GCACCCCTGTTTCCTCAAATCTGAGGACATCCACCTTGGAGTGAACGAGAGTAGCACAGACACAGCTAGGTATGAAATTCATTATGGTTTTGTTCTTTACCATGTGGGTTACATATCTCCACTCCTTATTTGTCTGTTAATCTCAAAAAAATCTTAATCAGCATGGTGTTTTTTAAGGCAGCGCTGCTTCACTTGTATAATATTGCTTTGGTCCTCTGCTGCTTTTAATAACTAAAAGGAAAGATTAGATTTTGTGGATCACCACATGAACCAATTTTACATGCACCCCTGTGTAATCTCTAACCCCCCGCCACAGGGTTCTCTCAGGGCTGTGTGATATTGTCTTAGCACGAGTGTATAGCCACTCCACACTGGAAGAACTGGATAAGGAGGCCTCCATCCCCATCATTAATGGCCTGTCTGACCTCAGCCACCCAATCCAGATCCTAGCTGACTACCTCACTTTGCAGGTAATGTAGCAGCTTCCTGGCATCCTGCTGTTTAAATAATTGAGATGATAAAGTCAGCTTGTTTTTCAAATATTTCCTCCCAGGAACATTATGGCTCCCTGAGTGGACTAACAGTCAGCTGGATTGGAGATGGGAACAATGTCCTCCACTCCTTCATGATGTCAGCAGCCAAACTAGGAATACATCTGAAGATTGCTACACCAAAGGTTTGCTTCTTTTTATGTGGGCACATCAACTGTAACTGTCTTATCATTGCTAGAGTTGATCCTTTCCAAAGAATATCCTGGGGAACTAAAAATATATTGTTTTCTTTTTATAAAATATATGAATATTCAGCAACTGATCTACATTTTTACCTTAATTTGTAGGGATATGAACCAGAGAAAAGTGTAATTGAAGAGGCACAAAGACTCTCCAAAGAGGTGAATTATTGTTCATGTGTCCTAGCTTTAAACAAACCTCTTGTCAAAAGACGTCTCATTAATTCCTAAAATTGTATTTTGTCTCAGCACGGGACCAAGCTGGTTCTGACCAGTGACCCCATGGAGGCTGCCCATGGCAGCAATGTTTTGGTCACTAGCACCTGGGTTAGCATGGGGCAGGAGGAGGAGAAAAAAAGAGGCTTAATGACTTTAAAGGTTACCAAATTACTATGCAGGTAAGATGTGGGGAGTTTTACAAATATAAAGATGCACATTTTGACTTGAACACTTTCTCTATGGCTCAGAAAGAAAGAGGAGTCAATCATTACATATCAGTAGCGTTTAGAGATGGAAGGCGTTTTCTGCTATGTAAAAGACACTGAACTTTAATTCAGAGCAAACTTATGTTTTGTCTTTAATAGACTATAGTTTTCTGAAAAATGAGAAAGTGAGGTGATGTGATTTTCATTAACAAAACATGTCTTTATGTCATATATATAAACACACATTATGGACCGTTTTATTTTGGAGAAACTACCTCTGAACTGATCCAAATCAGTCATTTGTCAGCCAAATATGTGTGAGCATAGGAGATGTTTGATTCCAGTTTTGAATTGATTCAAGGTATTAACATAAAACAGCTTCTGGAAAACAAAAGAGAAATGGACCCGCACTGCAAACAAAAAGAAACTGTAATGTATTTAACATATATGTATATCTGACTAGCCATTATTGTTGCATTACTCCATCCTGACTTTCTCACTCATCTACAGACAGCACGTGGAGCCAAACCAGACTGGACCTTCCTGCACTGTCTTCCACGGAAAATGGGGGAGGTGGAGGTGGATGACGAGGTATTCTACTCTCCCCGTTCACTTGTCTTTCCTGAGGCAGAGAACAGGAAATGGACCAACATGGTGAGCAGCCTTGAGAAAAACTCACCATTATTTACCATATAATTTTATACATAAGTAGGTTCATTTAGACCCATAGTCAGCTTTTACTCTCTCTCTTCTAATCATGACATCCTTTTTCTCTTACAGGGTCTGGTGGTTTCTCTTCTGACTGACTATTCACCACAGATCCCCATGCTCAAGTTCTAACTTCATTTCTTAAGGTGGACTTTTGCTTGTGTGAAAAAACATCTGAGGTTCAGTGGCAGGTTCAAACAGTTGAGTATCATCACAACAAAACAGTATTGATTATGTCAAGGTTATTGTTGAGCTAGGAACATAGTTGGCATTGTTTGCCTTGTTTACTGCTCAAGGGAAAACTAAAGAAACAGATCTGTGCTTGAGTCCAGACAACAAGTCCAGCTGTTGAATCATAAGAAGTCAGAGTCATTTGTTTACTCTTAACATGTCCTGTGATAGGGAGCAAACAGTGCTGCAAGTGTGAGGGCCACAGTGGACATTCTGACCTTCACCGTCTCTTTCTTTATCTTAACAAATTTAGTTTTGAATCTTCACTGCCTCCAACAAATATGTGCTCCACTCATGCTTAGTCACCAGTTTTATTCATTGCTGCCAATTTGCAACAGCTTACACTTTGATTTTACATAGATTCAATAATACAGACAGGATTTTACATGTGTAGAAATGCACATCCTTTTAGAGATCTTAGGCATCAGTTCAAATTCAGCTTGACTGCAAAAAGCTTTTCACACCCGACTCTAAATTTACCGTCACACAATTTCTCTGACAGTATGTTAAAAACATTTCAGATATCATGATCTTCAAATTCAAACTAACTGTTTCACATTAGTAAATTAGTACTGTTCAATAAACAGTGGAATACTCTAAACTGCTTTTCAAAGTTTGGTGCCCTATATGTATGAATAGGGTATATTTCATGTTACCATTTCATGTTACACAGGTCACTGTAGCTTCATATTGTCATGTTTTACCTTAGTTAACACAAACTTCTGGTTTGATTACAGCAGGGGCCTTGTTTTAATAACATTATATCCATCTCCTTTTGCAGGTTCACAAAACAAAAGCTCACTTATATCAAAGTTCCTTAGGGCTGCTAAAAGCAATGTCAAGGAACAAGATGTTACTAACATGTTTTCTTTTCGTTTATAAGTTATGGTCATTGTTATACAAGTACCTCATTAAAAGTAAAAATCCTACATTCAAATTTTCAACTCAGTCAAAGCAACATAATATTGACCAAAAACAGTAAAAACTTGATGTAAATTTACTCTCTATGCAGCATTATCGATGCCAGTTACATGAAAGCTTTGTATCACTTCTGATGAATAAATGTGCTGTTATTAATTGTGATTGGTCAGAAACAGATTTTTTTACACTGAATTTATTTCATCATTGTTAAAAAAATAAGTGTCAGAAATAAAAATGCACGCTTGAAATTCAATAGTTTCGAAATTCAAAGTCTGTTTTGATGCAAAAAAAAATATTCAGCTTTAGAAATTAGAATTCAAAATCAGATGGCACGGATTTACTTCCATATGAATGAGACCGTGTGGAAATATTCAATATCAGGTCTGTCAAAAGCCCGTTTGCTTTCCTTTTATGACCTTATTCTGAATAGTGACAACTTTCACGTTACAAGACGGAATTTAGACTTCTTTCCTCTGAACTTGGTGCTGCAGTTGATTTAGGCAGTAAGTGTATTGTGAGTTAAGTTATATCATACTTGGACGCACCACTGGAGTACAAGCAGCTTGTTACACAGCCGCAACAAGAGCTTTATATAGCAGGGACATTACACTAGTCTGCCCCCTCATGGATGGAGTTGGTATTGCTCCTGTTTTCTGATTGGACAGCGGAGGATGGAGTGTATGTGCGGGAAGCTTTGATCTCTGTGGGCGGTCCAGTCGGTTCCAAAATGTCTTTCCAAATGTGAAGATGGCCCCTGTTACTCTTGACAAATACATTTCTCAATTTTAGCAGGAGTAGCAGGACTTCAGAGTCGCACTAACTTATCAACTTCTCTGATTTAACACCGGCTAAATCCTGACCCAACCTGCTGTCAAATCTCAAGCGAGTTAAGTAGCTGCTTGACAGAAATAGCTACAGGTGCTCCAAACAACCTCACACAGTCTGTGGAAAAAGGTTTATCGAATAGGCAGGTAAGTATGCCCACTATATAAATGAGTAGACTACACTACTTCATGTCCTGTTTAGAAAGTACTCTCACCGGGTATGTCCTCATCTCTCTGTCCTGTCATCTCCAACGCAGCTCCCCTCTCTCCTCCTCCTCTCGCTCCCCGTAGAGCTCAGCGTTGACTGACAGGTGGACAAAGGAAACGTCAGAGGGAGGCGCGGCCAGGACAAACAACTGTTTTTTCTCATAGACTGTATATAAAATATATAATATAAACAGTCTATGGGTTTTCTCATGTTAGCAAAAGTGACCGTTCTCATCAAAATACTCCGTATCATGAACCAAACTTTATACATGCAAAGTAAGATAAAAGTAAAATCGTCTTTTTCTTATCATGCCAAAAATAAATAAATGAATAAAATAAAATAATAATAATAATATTAAAATTAAATTAAAAATAAATGTAATAATGATAATATGATTATATTAGATACCATTAAATAATAATATTATTATTATTACTATATATTATATTATAAAATTATTATTTTTATTGTTATTGTTATTATTTATATGAATACAAATAATAACAACAACAATAATAATAGCAGTAATAATAATAATAATAATAGTAATAACAAATTCAATAATAAAAATATATATTATAATGATAACAATGATAATATTATTATAATAATGTTATATGATATTATTACTTTATATTATATTATATATATTTTTAATATTATTATTAGTAGTAGTATAAGTGTTATTCTTATTGTTATCAATTATAACTGTTATTTTTATTATTAGTGTTATTTTATTATGATCATTACCAGTTTTCCAAGAAAAAAAAAATTCCAGGAGGGAATCCTCTTGGTTTGTCTACTTCATCTTTGAAACATGTTATGACAACAAGACCGTGGCCTGACGTGCTGCTGCATGTTGTAGGGGTAGGGATTGGATAAAAAATTGGTTTCAATCTGATGAAATCTCCTTAGGAAATTACTCTTCCACGGTATTTTCAATTCAAGTCACCATGTCTACCAAGATACTGTCTTTAAACAGCACGGTTTTCAAATGGATGAAAACGTTTCACACCAGCTGTCCACGAGGGTTTAGGTAAGACACGCCGGATAACTTTTTGGTAATGTGTAAACTTTTATATAAACTGCTTATACAACAACCATGCATGCAGCATAACTTCCTCATTTTTAACTTCCACAGAACTGCAGCTGCGTCTCTTAGTTCCGTCAGTTTGAAGGGTCGAAGCTTCCTAACTTTGAAAGATTTCAGCCCAGATGAAATCAAGAGGCTGCTGTGGGTCTCAGGAGACCTCAAACATCGGATCAAACATGAAAAACAGGTAGCTGGTGTTTGCTAACATCTGTTGACTGCAGTGTGCATTTGCAAATGTTCTCAGTTGTAACTGTCAAGGTCAATCTTCAGTGTCTGAAGCTAACTTTCTTCTCCATTTTAGTATCTTCCTCTTCTCCAAGGGAAGTCCATTGCCATGATATTTGAGAAGAGGAGCACCAGAACAAGAATGTCTACAGAAACAGGTGTCCCTTATGTATTCATATATCTTCAAATGGTTTATGACATGTGCTGTATTGAAACTTATATGTAAAAACATTAAAGTGGCACAATGCAGTCATCAATTGTTAGATTAACCCATTAGATACACATTGATAGAATGAATGTAATAGGGTTCTAGTATCTCATAAATTTAGCCTGGCTGTTAAAAGACAGTTTCTATTTGAGGATGATTCAGTGTTTTTACTCCAGGTTTTGCTTTGCTTGGCGGGCACCCCTGTTTCCTCAAATCTGAGGACATCCACCTTGGAGTGAACGAGAGTAGCACAGACACAGCTAGGTATGAAATTCATTATGGTTTTGTTCTTTACCATGTGGGTTACATATCTCCACTCCTTATTTGTCTGTTAATCTCAAAAAAATCTTAATCAGCATGGTGTTTTTTAAGGCAGCGCTGCTTCACTTGTATAATATTGCTTTGGTCCTCTGCTGCTTTTAATAACTAAAAGGAAAGATTAGATTTTGTGGATCACCACATGAACCAATTTTACATGCACCCCTGTGTAATCTCTAACCCCCCGCCACAGGGTTCTCTCAGGGCTGTGTGATATTGTCTTAGCACGAGTGTATAGCCACTCCACACTGGAAGAACTGGATAAGGAGGCCTCCATCCCCATCATTAATGGCCTGTCTGACCTCAGCCACCCAATCCAGATCCTAGCTGACTACCTCACTTTTGCAGGTAATGTAGCAGCTTCCTGGCATCCTGCTGTTTAAATAATTGAGATGATAAAGTCAGCTTGTTTTTCAAATATTTCCTCCCAGGAACATTATGGCTCCCTGAGTGGACTAACAGTCAGCTGGATTGGAGATGGGAACAATGTCCTCCACTCCTTCATGATGTCAGCAGCCAAACTAGGAATACATCTGAAGATTGCTACACCAAAGGTTTGCTTCTTTTTATGTGGGCACATCAACTGTAACTGTCTTATCATTGCTAGAGTTGATCCTTTCCAAAGAATATCCTGGGGAACTAAAAATATATTGTTTTCTTTTTATAAAATATATGAATATTCAGCAACTGATCTACATTTTTACCTTAATTTGTAGGGATATGAACCAGAGAAAAGTGTAATTGAAGAGGCACAAAGACTCTCCAAAGAGGTGAATTATTGTTCATGTGTCCTAGCTTTAAACAAACCTCTTGTCAAAAGACGTCTCATTAATTCCTAAAATTGTATTTTGTCTCAGCACGGGACCAAGCTGGTTCTGACCAGTGACCCCATGGAGGCTGCCCATGGCAGCAATGTTTTGGTCACTAGCACCTGGGTTAGCATGGGGCAGGAGGAGGAGAAAAAAAGAGGCTTAATGACTTTAAAGGTTACCAAATTACTATGCAGGTAAGATGTGGGGAGTTTTACAAATATAAAGATGCACATTTTGACTTGAACACTTTCTCTATGGCTCAGAAAGAAAGAGGAGTCAATCATTACATATCAGTAGCGTTTAGAGATGGAAGGCGTTTTCTGCTATGTAAAAGACACTGAACTTTAATTCAGAGCAAACTTATGTTTTGTCTTTAATAGACTATAGTTTTCTGAAAAATGAGAAAGTGAGGTGATGTGATTTTCATTAACAAAACATGTCTTTATGTCATATATATAAACACACATTATGGACCGTTTTATTTTGGAGAAACTACCTCTGAACTGATCCAAATCAGTCATTTGTCAGCCAAATATGTGTGAGCATAGGAGATGTTTGATTCCAGTTTTGAATTGATTCAAGGTATTAACATAAAACAGCTTCTGGAAAACAAAAGAGAAATGGACCCGCACTGCAAACAAAAAGAAACTGTAATGTATTTAACATATATGTATATCTGACTAGCCATTATTGTTGCATTACTCCATCCTGACTTTCTCACTCATCTACAGACAGCACGTGGAGCCAAACCAGACTGGACCTTCCTGCACTGTCTTCCACGGAAAATGGGGGAGGTGGAGGTGGATGACGAGGTATTCTACTCTCCCCGTTCACTTGTCTTTCCTGAGGCAGAGAACAGGAAATGGACCAACATGGTGAGCAGCCTTGAGAAAAACTCACCATTATTTACCATATAATTTTATACATAAGTAGGTTCATTTAGACCCATAGTCAGCTTTTACTCTCTCTCTTCTAATCATGACATCCTTTTTCTCTTACAGGGTCTGGTGGTTTCTCTTCTGACTGACTATTCACCACAGATCCCCATGCTCAAGTTCTAACTTCATTTCTTAAGGTGGACTTTTGCTTGTGTGAAAAAACATCTGAGGTTCAGTGGCAGGTTCAAACAGTTGAGTAACATCACAACAAAACAGTATTGATTAGGTCAAGGTTATTGTTGAGCTAGGAACATAGTTGGCATTGTTTGCCTTGTTTACTGCTCAAGGGAAAACTAAAGAAACAGATCTGTGCTTGAGTCCAGACAACAAGTCCAGCTGTTGAATCATAAGAAGTCAGAGTCATTTGTTTACTCTTAACATGTCCTGTGATAGGGAGCAAACAGTGCTGCAAGTGTGAGGGCCACAGTGGACATTCTGACCTTCACCGTCTCTTTCTTTATCTTAACAAATGTAGTTTTGAATCTTCACTGCCTCCAACAAATATGTGCTCCACTCATGCTTAGTCACCAGTTTTATTCATTGCTGCCAATTTGCAACAGCTTACACTTTGATTTTACATAGATTCAATAATACAGACAGGATTTTACATGTGTAGAAATGCACATCCTTTTAGAGATCTTAGGCATCAGTTCAAATTCAGCTTGACTGCAAAAAGCTTTTCACACCCGACTCTAAATTTACCGTCACACAATTTCTCTGACAGTATGTTAAAAACATTTCAGATATCATGATCTTCAAATTCAAACTAACTGTTTCACATTAGTAAATTAGTACTGTTCAATAAACAGTGGAATACTCTAAACTGCTTTTCAAAGTTTGGTGCCCTATATGTATGAATAGGGTATATTTCATGTTACCATTTCATGTTACACAGGTCACTGTAGCTTCATATTGTCATGTTTTACCTTAGTTAACACAAACTTCTGGTTTGATTACAGCAGGGGCCTTGTTTTAATAACATTATATCCATCTCCTTTTGCAGGTTCACAAAACAAAAGCTCACTTATATCAAAGTTCCTTAGGGCTGCTAAAAGCAATGTCAAGGAACAAGATGTTACTAACATGTTTTCTTTTCGTTTATAAGTTATGGTCATTGTTATACAAGTACCTCATTAAAAGTAAAAATCCTACATTCAAATTTTCAACTCAGTCAAAGCAATATAATATTGACCAAAAACAGTAAAAACTTGATGTAAATTTACTCTCTATGCAGCATTATCGATGCCAGTTACATGAAAGCTTTGTATCACTTCTGATGAATAAATGTGCTGTTATTAATTGTGATTGGTCAGAAACAGATTTTTTTACACTGAATTTATTTCATCATTGTTAAAAAAATAAGTGTCAGAAATAAAAATGCACGCTTGAAATTCAATAGTTTCGAAATTCAAAGTCTGTTTTGATGCAAAAAAAAATATTCAGCTTTAGAAATTAGAATTCAAAATCAGATGGCACGGATTTACTTCCATATGAATGAGACCGTGTGGAAATATTCAATATCAGGTCTGTCAAAAGCCCGTTTGCTTTCCTTTTATGACCTTATTCTGAATAGTGACAACTTTCACGTTACAAGACGGAATTTAGACTTCTTTCCTCTGAACTTGGTGCTGCAGTTGATTTAGGCAGTAAGTGTATTGTGAGTTAAGTTATATTATACTTGGACGCACCACTGGAGTACAAGCAGCTTGTTACACAGCCGCAACAAGAGCTTTATATAGCAGGGACATTACACTAGTCTGCCCCCTCATGGATGGAGTTGGTATTGCTCCTGTTTTCTGATTGGACAGCGGAGGATGGAGTGTATGTGCGGGAAGCTTTGATCTCTGTGGGCGGTCCAGTCGGTTAAACGCAACGCTACGCAGTAATTCATTCATAAATACAGACCCGCTGCTTTTAAAGAAACGTGAGTTTATTGATAGAGTGTTATTAACATAAATACATCAGCCTGGTGTAACAACACATTTGCAGCTGAAACCGAAAAACAGAGAAACTGTTCTCATAGTTTCAACCCATATGAAAAAGCAGCTCAACAGACGCGTTTACAAACAGGCTAGAGATGTCAGCTGCTGTACTGGCGAAATGAAAACACAGCCATGATTCTCCCAGTGCGACCACCCACACACTGACTGAGGGAGTCTGAGAAGAGGAAAGGGAGCTGAGGTGGGAGGAGGACGCCATTGCAGCCGCAGCTGGCTGTATGTGTTCGGGCTGAGGGGGGACAAACGTTACCGAGCGTTACAACTGGGAGAAACATTGTGGACTTTTTCAGGGCCGAGACAACTATCGCTGTGTTTTAATGTGGAAACAAACGCCAAGGATGGGCGGTTTGCTTCGTGAACGGAGAAAATGTGGAGTCAGAGCAGCGCAGCGAAGCAGGTAAAGTGGGTTAGTGTAGTTTGGTGTGTTTACGGGGACAATGGGAGAAAGTTTCGGCTAACCTCAGCTAACTAACGGGAGTTGTTTCAGCTAGCGTTACTGCTAGTTGTGGTACTCACAGTGAAGATTTTTTATCAAAGTTTATCGCTGTAAAGGGCTTTAAAGAATTCTTACATACATCATTCATTTGCTCATACAGTCACACCTTGGTGGTGGTAAACTGCCTTAGTAGTCACAGCTGACCTACCTGTGGCAGACTGACGGAAACATGGCTGCCAGTTTGCGCCTCTGTGACTCTCACCCACCCAAAAACTCAAGGCAGATTGTTCAGCATTATAGTATATTAGGGAAGCGTTATTATCTAGCCAATAGAAGTAGGAAATAATATCCATGGCAAATGCTCATTTTAAAGGATTGTCAGCCTTTGGCACCGGGAGATAGCATCATGAAATGACTTTAATCTCGTTTTAGCCTTGATTAAGGGATTTAATGGGATAATTAAGAAACAAGAGTAGGTGAAATAAAACAATGAAAATTTGCAGCCCTAGTATAATGAAGATTACCTTTCACTGAGGCAGGTTTTCTTGCAGCAGGCTTCAATCCTAGCCCAAGTTGGCCCCAAGTGTTATCACCAAACACTAGCAGCCTGCCATTTTCTGCAGACATTGAAAACTAATAGAGGTCAAAGTGTGATTAAACATTAGAGAAGTTCTTGGACATGGGTTCAAAATGAGTGATTCTTTATTATGTCAATGTGCATATATACTGTCTGAACCTGGGATGACAGCAGTGTGCTCTCCTCCGCAGGATACTTGTCCTGGCTGGTCATTTCTCACCCAGAATTTACAAGGCACATTATCAGCGAAACCGCTCTTTCCAAATGTGAAGATGGCCCCTGTTACTCTTAACAAATACATTTCTCAATTTTAGCAGGAGTAGCAGGACTTCAGAGTCGCACTAACTTATCAACTTCTCTGATTTAACACCGGCTAAATCCTGACCCAACCTGCTGTCAAATCTCAAGCGAGTTAAGTAGCTGCTTGACAGAAATAGCTACAGGTGCTCCAAACAACCTCACACAGTCTGTGGAAAAAGGTTTATCTAATAGGAAGGTAAGTATGCCCACTATACAAATGAGTGGACTACAGTACTTCATGTCCTGTTTTGAAAGTACTCTCACCTGGTATGTCCTCATCTCTCTGTCCTGTCATCTCCAACGCAGCTCCCCTCTCTCCTCCTCCTCTCGCTCCCCGTAGAGCTCAGCGCTGACTGACAGGTGGATAAAGGAAACGTCAGAGGGAGGCGTGGCCAGGACAAACAACTGTTTTTTTCTCATAGACTGTATATAAAATATATAATATAAACAGTCTATGGGTTTTCTCATGTTAGCAAAAGTGACCGTTCTCATCAAAATACTCCGTATCATGAACCAAACTTTATACATGCAAAGTAAGATAAAAGTAAAATCGTCTTTTTCTTATCATGCCAAAAATAAATAAATGAATAAAATAAAATAATAATAATAATATTAAAATTAAATTAAAAATAAATGTAATAATGATAATATGATTATATTAGATACCATTAAAAAATAATATTATTATTATTACTATATATTATATTATAAAATTATTATTTTTATTGTTATTATTATTTATATGAATACAAATAATAACAACAACAATAATAATAGTAGTAATAATAATAGTAATAACAAATTCAATAATAAAAATATATATTATAATGATAACAATGATAATATTATTCTAATAATGTCATATGATATTCTTATTACTTTATATTATATTATATATATTTTTAATATTATTATTAGTAGTAGTATAAGTGTTATTCTTATTGTTTTCAATTATAAGTGTTATTTTTATTATTAGTGTTATTTTATTATGATCATTACCAGTTTTCCAAGAAAAAAAAAATTCCAGGAGGGAATCCTCTTGGTTTGTCTACTTCATCTTTGAAACATGTTATGCAGCAAGACCGTGGCCCGCAGGCTGTTTCAGAGAGTTTATTTCTCATTCAAACTCTAAAAGTGAAGGAATATGTTAATTCAGTTAATATTTTTGTTACATAATCAAAGTAAACTCATAGTAAAATAGCTTTATATCTTGAACTTTTAGGCAAATACATGAAAAGTGGACACTTGGGAGGATGTTGCCAGGACTCGCTCCCATGGTCTTAGGCGAGGTCAGACGTAACAGCCCTGCCCGTCCCTCTGACGTGCTGCTGAATGTTGTAGGGGTAGGGATTGGATAAAAAATTGGTTTCAATCTGATGAAATCTCCTTAGGAAATTACTCTTCCACGGTATTTTCAATTCAAGTCACCATGTCTACCAAGATACTGTCTTTAAACAGCACGGTTTTCAAATGGATGAAAACGTTTCACACCAGCTGTCCACGAGGGTTTAGGTAAGACACGCCGGATAACTTTTTGGTAATGTGTAAACTTTTATATAAACTGCTTATACAACAACCATGCATGCAGCATAACTTCCTCATTTTTAACTTCCACAGAACTGCAGCTGCGTCTCTTAGTTCCGTCAGTTTGAAGGGTCGAAGCTTCCTAACTTTGAAAGATTTCAGCCCAGATGAAATCAAGAGGCTGCTGTGGGTCTCAGGAGACCTCAAACATCGGATCAAACATGAAAAACAGGTAGCTGGTGTTTGCTAACATCTGTTGACTGCAGTGTGCATTTGCAAATGTTCTCAGTTGTAACTGTCAAGGTCAATCTTCAGTGTCTGAAGCTAACTTTCTTCTCCATTTTAGTATCTTCCTCTTCTCCAGGGGAAGTCCATTGCCATGATATTTGAGAAGAGGAGCACCAGAACAAGAATGTCTACAGAAACAGGTGTCCCTTATGTATTCATATATCTTCAAATGGTTTATGACATGTGCTGTATTGAAACTTATATGTAAAAACATTAAAGTGGCACAATGCAGTCACCATGCAGTTGTTAGATTAACCCATTAGATACACATTGATAGAATGAATGTAATAGGGTTCTAGTATCTCATAAATTTAGCCTGGCTGTTTTGATCCATTAGTAGCTTTAGCAATGTAAATGCCACCCCTTGTTTTTGACACAAAAGAACTGCTGAAAGGGGACTTTGAAAGCACCATGGGAACAATGCTGTTTGCACCTAAACTGCATCCATACCCCACTCCTATGCTGAACTTGGTGTGGGCTTAAAAGACAGTTTCTATTTGAGGATGATTCAGTGTTTTTACTCCAGGTTTTGCTTTGCTTGGCGGGCACCCCTGTTTCCTCAAATCTGAGGACATCCACCTTGGAGTGAACGAGAGTAGCACAGACACAGCTAGGTATGAAATTCATTATGGTTTTGTTCTTTACCATGTGGGTTACATATCTCCACTCCTTATTTGTCTGTTAATCTCAAAAAAATCTTAATCAGCATGGTGTTTTTTAAGGCAGCGCTGCTTCACTTGTATAATATTGCTTTGGTCCTCTGCTGCTTTTAATAACTAAAAGGAAAGATTAGATTTTGTGGATCACCACATGAACCAATTTTACATGCACCCCTGTGTAATCTCTAACCCCCCGCCACAGGGTTCTCTCAGGGCTGTGTGATATTGTCTTGGCACGAGTGTATAGCCACTCCACACTGGAAGAACTGGATAAGGAGGCCTCCATCCCCATCATTAATGGCCTGTCTGACCTCAGCCACCCAATCCAGATCCTAGCTGACTACCTCACTTTGCAGGTAATGTAGCAGCTTCCTGGCATCCTGCTGTTTAAATAATTGAGATGATAAAGTCAGCTTGTTTTTCAAATATTTCCTCCCAGGAACATTATGGCTCCCTGAGTGGACTAACAGTCAGCTGGATTGGAGATGGGAACAATGTCCTCCACTCCTTCATGATGTCAGCAGCCAAACTAGGAATACATCTGAAGATTGCTACACCAAAGGTTTGCTTCTTTTTATGTGGGAACATCAACTGTAACTGTCTTATCATTGCTAGAGTTGATCCTTTCCACAGAATATCCTGGGGAACTAAAAATATATTGTTTTCTTTTTATAAAATATATGAATATTCAGCAACTGATCTACATTTTTACTTTAATTTGTAGGGATATGAACCAGAGAAAAGTGTAATTGAAGAGGCACAAAGACTCTCCAAAGAGGTGAATTATTGTTCATGTGTCCTAGCTTTAAACAAACCTCTTGTCAAAAGACGTCTCATTAATTCATAAAATTGTATTTTGTCTCAGCACGGGACCAAGCTGGTTCTGACCAATGACCCCATGGAGGCTGCCCATGGCAGCAATGTTTTGGTCACTAGCACCTGGGTTAGCATGGGGCAGGAGGAGGAGAAAAAAAGAGGCTTAATGACTTTAAAGGTTACCAAATTACTATGCAGGTAAGATGTGGGGAGTTTTACAAATATAAAGATGCACATTTTGACTTGAACACTTTCTCTATGGCTCAGAAAGAAAGAGGAGTCAATCATTACATATCAGTAGCGTTTAGAGATGGAAGGCGTTTTCTGCTATGTAAAAGACACTGAACTTTAATTCAGAGCAAACTTATGTTTTGTCTTTAATAGACTATAGTTTTCTGAAAAATGAGAAAGTGAGGTGATGTGATTTTCATTAACAAAACATGTCTTTATGTCATATATATAAACACACATTATGGACCGTTTTATTTTGGAGAAACTACCTCTGAACTGATCCAAATCAGTCATTTGTCAGCCAAATATGTGTGAGCATAGGAGATGTTTGATTCCAGTTTTGAATTGATTCAAGGTATTAACATAAAACAGCTTCTGGAAAACAAAAGAGAAATGGACCCGCACTGCAAACAAAAAGAAACTGTAATGTATTTAACATATATGTATATCTGACTAGCCATTATTGTTGCATTACTCCATCCTGACTTTCTCACTCATCTACAGACAGCACGTGGAGCCAAACCAGACTGGACCTTCCTGCACTGTCTTCCACGGAAAATGGGGGAGGTGGAGGTGGATGACGAGGTATTCTACTCTCCCCGTTCACTTGTCTTTCCTGAGGCAGAGAACAGGAAATGGACCAACATGGTGAGCAGCCTTGAGAAAAACTCACCATTATTTAACATATAATTTTATACATAAGTAGGTTCATTTAGACCCATAGTCAGCTTTTACTCTCTCTCTCTTCTAATCATGACATCCTTTTTCTCTTACAGGGTCTGGTGGTTTCTCTTCTGACTGACTATTCACCACAGATCCCCATGCTCAAGTTCTAACTTCATTTCTTAAGGTGGACTTTCGCTTGTGTGAAAAAACATCTGAGGTTCAGTGGCAGGTTCAAACAGTTGAGTAACATCACAACAAAACAGTATTGATTAGGTCAAGGTTATTGTTGAGCTAGGAACATAGTTGGCATTGTTTGCCTTGTTTACTGCTCAAGGGAAAACTAAAGAAACAGATCTGTGCTTGAGTCCAGACAACAAGTCCAGCTGTTGAATCATAAGAAGTCAGAGTCATTTGTTTACTCTTAACATGTCCTGTGATAGGGAGCAAACAGTGCTGCAAGTGTGAGGGCCACAGTGGACATTCTGACCTTCACCGTCTCTTTCTTTATCTTAACAAATTTAGTTTTGAATCTTCACTGCCTCCAACAAATATGTGCTCCACTCATGCTTAGTCACCAGTTGTATTCATTGCTGCCAATTTGCAACAGCTTACACTTTGATTTTACATAGATTCAATAATACAGACAGGATTTTACATGTGTAGAAATGCACATCCTTTTAGAGATCTTAGGCATCAGTTCAAATTCAGCTTGACTGCAAAAAGCTTTTCACACCTGACTCTAAATGGGCCGTCACACAATTTTTCTGACAGTATGTTAAAAACATTTCAGATATCATGATCTTGAAATTCAAACTAACTGTTTCACATTAGTAAATTAGTACTGTTCGATAAACAGTGGAATACTCTAAACTGCTTTTCAAAGTTTGGTGCCCTATATGTATGAATAGGGTATATTTCATGTTACCATTTCATGTTACACAGGTCACTGTAGCTTCATATTGTCATGTTTTACCTTAGTTAACACAAACTTCTGGTTTGATTACAGCAGGGGCCTTGTTTTAATAACATTATATCCATCTCCTTTTGCAGGTTCACAAAACAAAAGCTCACTTATATCAAAGTACTTTGAAAGTTCCTTAGGGCTGCTAAAAGCAATGTTAAGGAACAAGATGTTACTAACATGTTTTCTTTTGGTTTATAAGTTATGGTGATTGTTAAAAACTTGATGTAAATTTACCTTCTATGAAGCATTATCGATGCCAGTTACATGAAAGCTTTGTATCACTTCTGATGAATAAATGTGCTGTTATTAATTGTGATTGGTCAGAAACAGATTTTTTTACACTGAATTTATTTCATCATTGTGAAAAAATAAGTGTCAGAAATAAAAATGCACGCTTGAAATTCAATAGTTTCGAAATTCAAAGTCTGTTTTGATGCAAAAAAAAAATATTCAGCTTTAGAAATTAAAATTCAAAATCAGATTGCACGGATTTACTTCCATATGAATGAGACCGTGTGGAAATATTCAATATTAGGTCTGTCAAAAGCCCGTTTGCTTTCCTTTTATGACCTTATTCTGAATAGTGACAACTTTCACGTTACAATAAGGAATTTAGACTTCTTTCCTCTGAACTTGGTGCTGCAGTTGATTTAGGCAGTAAGTGTATTGTGAGTTAAGTTATATTATACTTGGACGCACTACTGGAGTACAAGCAGTACAGCCGCAACAAGAGCTTTATATAGCAGGGACATTACACTCGTCTTTGACCCCTGTTGCCCCCTCCTGGATGGAGTTGGTATTGCTCCTGTTTTCTGATTGGACAGCGAAGGATGGAGCGTATGTGCGGGAAGCTTTGATCTCTGTGGGTGGTCCAGCCGGTTAAACGCAACGCTACGCAGTAATTCATTCATAAATACAGACCCGCTGCTTTTAAAGAAACATGAGTTTATTGATAGAGTGTTATCAACATAAATACAACAGCCTCGTGTAACAACACATATGCAGCTGAAACCGAAAAACAGAGAAACTGTTCTCATAGTTTCAACCCATATGAAAAAGCAGCTCAACAGACGCGTTTACAAACAGGCTAGAGATGTCAGCTGCTGTACTGGCGAAATGAAAACACAGCCATGATTCTCCCAGTGCGACCACCCACACACTGACTGAGGGAGTCTGAGAAGAGGAAAGGGAGCTGAGGTGGGAGGAGGAGGAGGAGGTGGACGCCATTGCAGCCGCAGCTGGCTGTATGTGTTCGGGCTGAGGAGGAACAAACGTTACCGAGCGTTACAACTGGGAGAAACATTGTGGACTTTTTCAGGGCCGAGACAACTATCGCTGTGTTTTAATGTGGAAACAAACGCCAAGGATGGGCGGTTTGCTTCGTGAACGGAGAAAATGTGGAGTCAGAGCAGCGCAGCGAAGCAGGTAAAGTGGGTTAGTTTAGTTTGGTGTGTTTACGGGGACAATGGGAGAAAGTTTCGGCTAACCTCAGCTAACTAACGGGAGTTGTTTCAGCTAGCGTTACTGCTAGTTGTGGTACTCACAGTGAAGATTTTTATCAAAGTTTATCGCTGTAAAGGGCTTTAAAGAATTCTTAATTTTGGGTGAGGTTTGGACGTATTACCCTTGTAGTTAACTACTCCAAAGTTGAGTAACTTTTCGTTCATATAACGCTGAGAGATAGCAACAGTTTTGCTTATTTTCTTCCACTATAGTGCTCATTTTTGCTTTTATAAAACTTGGGCTGTTACTTTTTGTGAAGTTAATGCATCTATACGAACATAACATCTGTTTTTTGTTGCCTAGGATAACGTTAAACTTGTAAATATTGGGTCAGTAACAGATGTATCATTTGCTCTATGCTGGATGGTCCAAGAAAATGGTCAAAAGGCTACACTGACTCATTATAGTGCAGTTAAACTTGCTGAAGTTTCTGCTGATAATAACAAATATACACATGAGCTAGTTTAATCGATGCAAACTGGTCATAAACATAATAGGGATGTGTATTATCGGAATTGTTGCCGATATAATGAAACTTATTTTGGTTGATGCCGATATCGATGCAACTTTTGAATCATTATGAAGGACGTGAAGTCTTATATTACTCTCACTGTGACAGGCTGTTTTTAGAAACAAACATAACATGAGACTTAACCCTTTTCCCTGTGTTGAAACATGAAGAATGTTTTTTCTTTTCTTCAAAAATGTCTGTTGTCTGTTTCCAACATTTTGAAATACTTTGATATCGCTTACACTTTGGGGCTTGATGGAAAGCTGTCATCTCAGGCACAAAGTCAATACTGTACTTTGTCAGGATAAATAATAATAATGCATCAGATTTCATGTAGCGCCTTATCAGAGACCCTCAAAGCGCTTTACATTAGATACATCATTCATTTGCTCACACAGTCACACCCTGGTGGTGGTAAACTGCCTTAGTAGTCACAGCTGACCTACCTGGGGTAGACTGACGGAAACGTGGCTGCCAGTTTGCGCCTATGGCCTCTGTGACTCTCACCACACAACACTCACAATCATACACCAGTGGAGGACACACACTGGGAGCAAGGTGGGTTAAGAGTCTTGCCCAAGGACACAACAGACAGACTCAGGAGGGGGGAATCGTATTGCCAACCTTCCAGTTATTGGATGACCATTTTACCTCCTAAGCTACTGTCACCCAAAAACCCAAATAGTTATCTGCTGATACTGAAATTATACCCATAGTATTGTGCATCCCTAATTACAGACATTTGTCATCTGTGTGTATAACGTTGGCCTACAAAAGACAAATAACTTCAGCCGTTCAATAAAAAGTTTCCTGTTCCCCTTTAAAATGCAGTTGAGTGAAGGTTTGAGGCAGCACAGAACTGAGTTGACATTGATTGACATTTATGATGCCAACTCCTGTCTTCCCCATTACAGTCCTCCAACAGTCCTTCAAGTGAACCGTGGCCCAGCCTCTCACCATGAATACCAGTAGGAACTGCACCGCACTCGGGAATGGAGAGGGTCTGGCTGCCCTGGAGTCTGTCTCCATCGTGACCATCACGCTCCTGGCCTGCCTTGGGAATCTCTTGATCGTGGTGACCCTCTATCGGCGGCCGTACTTACTCACACCCAGCAACAAGTTTGTGTTCAGCCTTACCCTCTCCAACCTGCTGCTGTCAATGCTGGTGCTGCCATTTGTGGCCGTGAGCTCGGCAAAGAGAGAGTGGGTGTTTGGGGTGGTGTGGTGTAACTTTACTGCCCTGCTCTACCTGCTCATCAGCTCTGCCAGCATGCTCACCCTGGGGGCTATTGCCATCGACAGGTAAGTGCTTGATTATGATCACAACAATATTGGAAAACTATTCTGTTCAATTTCTTTGCATTGTATTTTGTGTATTTGCATTTTTACATTTGTATACCTACAAAAGGGTTAGAAAAATCCAGTATCAACACTGTTTTGCCTCTGCTATTGGTCTCCACAAACTTCCGAGTGACGAATTTGGGTTTTAAGTTGATTAATGTTTGAGCGAGCCCAATGACAAGTCACTAATTTTGTCAGTCTGCTCTTATAAAGGAGGAGTCAAAGTGTCTGAATGTGTCTGTGGGCCGTAACACCAAAACAATAAGCTAAGCGATACTTGTTGGGCTGGGGAAACTTAAGGGCTATGTGATATTTTCCCTTGTATCATCACAGGACACCTTTTCATAGAACATTAACTATAAGAAACCTTAAAACAAAATTTCACTGCAGCAGTAACCTCACAGTTGCAGTTGTTCACACCCCTGAAGCAAAGCACCAAAATACCAGAACCACTGATGTTAATCACAGGCAAGTGGTATGGGATCGCGGTTGTTAGGCACGGCATTGCTGAAAAGGAGGTCCTTAAATTATCATGATTGTTCCGTAGTCATACAACAGCTCATGAACCAGAAAAAGTACCTATTGATCTACGCATCCAAGATACTTGGATCTATAGAAACACAGAGATATCAGTGAATGGATGTTTGTTAATTTCTACAGTAGTAGTTTGACTGTTTGGCACTGAAGCATAAACAACAGTGGTCTGATAGCAGCAAAAATAAGGGTATACTCTGATGGCAAAATGTCAACAGTTTGTGTGATACAAATATTTTACATCAAAATACCCATCACTGTAACTATTACTTGTTGATTTGACAACTCCAAGCCCATAACTCTAACAAGTTAAGGTTAGTGGAACAGCGCCACTTTCCTGAACAGTTGTCTCCTAGGATACAGCAAGTAAAACCAGACCTCATTTCCTCTGTTAGATCAGATTTGTATCACTAAGTTTCTCTGTTTTATCAGAAATGAGTGGAGTTATATTAATATTTACTTACCCTGATAAATTTGTGCACCTGATTTCTTCAAACCTAGCATGAGATTGAGTCATTTTTGTTTGCTCTCTGGCTTCAATTGAAATATATTCAGTTTGACAAACTTGCAAAGTTCTTGGTGTGTTTCCCTTTAAGGTCAGTATGCAGCCTTGTAAATACAATTTGTTCACCAATCCAACCGAGAGATTTTCCCAGCTCAAGTATGAAGCATTAGACAGGCTCTCGCAAAGTAACCTTGAATGTTTACCGACATGAATGCACTGTTCATGTGCTGCAGGGGCCGGGATTATTTCCCATTGATTCCTATTTTTAGAACTAATCCTTCACAGATACAGCTAATCCAGCAAACTGAACTTTGCCTTTTAAGTCAAAGAATGTTTGTGCTTTGTTTGAGGTTACCAGATATTACCTGGTGGTGGAGAACTACTGTGTGGTATGTCAGCACAGTTGATTTTAGTCGGACCAGTCATGACAAAAAAATAAACATTGTTTTCATTCTGAGGGTTGTCAATTCTGCCGAACTAAAAATTCAACAAGGTCTCTTTTGCTCCGGGTAAACTTTGAATGAGGACCTGCACTTATTGGTGGAACAAAATCACCCAACAAATGAATCAGTGGTAGAAATATTGGTGATTGCAGCAAGTTCAGTTGAGGACTTTAAGTGGTTAGATCTGACGTTAAATGCTCTATCATGTTTTTCCAGTTGTTGGTGTCCACAAAGGTCTGTTAATGTTAGCAGCTGAGATCTACAGTAATGTGCTGTGAAGCATACAGTCTTCTCTGTTCTCGCTGCTCTTCTAATTACCTCAGCACCTTATGGGACTTCTGATTACAGTACGTGTTTTTGTTCTCCGGCCAAGCCACTCATTTTCTGCTCTGTTTGCAGTTTTTCACTTCCCAGCTTTGTTCAGGAGGATAAAGTGCAGCTTCTGGCTCCTGTATCACTCGCTCAAATCGGAGCCGTCTCTGTGGTGCTTGGACCTAAAGGTCTCCTCTGGGATCTCTGTGGAGTTTTCTTTCTGTAGAGTCCCTCACGCCTCACTCTTTTTCTCTTGCAGGTACTACGCTGTGCTTTACCCGATGATCTACCCGATGAAGATCACAGGAAACCGGGCAGTCGTCGTCATCGCCTATGTGTGGTTACACTCCCTGCTGGGCTGTCTGCCTCCTCTTTTCGGCTGGTCGTCCTTCGAGTTTGACTGCTTTAAGTGGACATGTGTGGCATCCTGGCACAGGGAGCCCAGCTACACCGTCTTCTGGGTCACCTGGTGCACCCTTCCCCCATTTGTCATCATGCTGGCCTGCTACGGGGTCATTTTCCGAGTTGCCCGCATGAAAGCCCGGAAAGTTCACTGCGGGACAGTAGTCGTGGCCCAAGACGACTCCAATGGAGCCCAGAGAAACGGACGCAAAAACTCCAGCACATCAACTTCCTCCAATGGTAGCAGACGGAGCCTGGTGTACGCAGGAAGTCAGTGCAAAGCCTTCGTCACCATCTTAGTGGTGATTGGCACTTTCCTCGTCACCTGGGGGCCGTATGTTGGGGTGGTTTGCACAGAGGCTTTGTGGGGACAGGGGAGTGTGTCTCAGGGATTGGAGACTCTGGTGGCATGGCTGTCTTTCTGCAGCGCCGTGTGCCACCCACTCATCTACGGTCTGTGGAATAAAACGGTGAGGAAGGAGCTGCTGGGGATGTGTTTTGGGGATCGCTATTACAGAGAGTCGTTTGCTACGCGACAAAGGACTTCCCGCCTCTTTAGCATCTCAAACAGAATCACAGGTGAGAGAGCAGCAGTGACTTAATGTTACAGATCACTTCAACATTGTTTACATCATTTGGCTAATGAATGTAGAATGAGTATGTATACGTAAACGCAAATGTATAGTTCTGCATACAGTGTTTTTACACATAGACATGACTGTTTTGGCTCATGAAAGTGGGTCAATATAAATCTAAATCAAACTTTTTGTGTAAACTGTAAAAAGAATCAAATATAGGTAGGTTGAATGCATTTGTTTTACAGGTATGGTCTGTTTATCTTCAGATTCTTAAGTTGCCATGATTTCATATGTTGTATGAATGCTTCCCCGTGTCCCTTCAGATCTGGGTATGTCCCCACATTTGACAGCCATGCTGGCTGGTGGAGGTCACCTGCTGGCCCCAGGGAGCAGCACAGGAGACACAGGCTTCAGTTTCACTCAGGACTCATGTAAGTGTCGCACACAGGAAGCCTACAAAATGAGGGGAAGTGTGTCCTCAAAGTGTTTACTAAATCTAAAATCATACTTATTGCCTCAATACACCGTCAAATCAAAGATCGAGTATGTCGGCTACAACCAATGTAAAAAACATTTCTCATTATATTTCTCTTTTTTATGTTCATTTAATTATCATTTGCTTCATGAATTGTGGAAAAAAAAGGGTGAAAATGTCCATCACAAAATAGTTACAGTAAAGGAATTTGTGCTTCTTCTTTAAATATGTTTCATCAAACTAAAAATTTAAAATCCAAGTATTTAGTTTGAAATGAAAAAACGTTTGAGAACCTGTAAAAGCTGCCATCTGACCTGAAAGAAAGGTGTAACAGTATTTTACCTCTAATTTGTTTGTTTATTTGACACTATAAAAATACACACACGACACTACCTCAATTATGTTTGCATTTCACAAATTAAAAAACAATAAATTGACGGACAAAAAATAGAGCAAAATACAATAATACAGTTAAAACAGAGCTTAACGAAGAACAGAGAATCTAATGGACTTGATTAGTTTGCTGTTAATTGAAGTATCAACTGAGAATTTATCCATGTATTTGGAACTACCACGAATTAGCAGGACTTTTTACATCGGCAGTTGTTTCCTGTTTTTTTTGGCACGTGATTGTTTGACCTGAGTTTGAACATTAGACAGAGCTGAAGTGACTCATGGTACATGTAACCATGAGGTTTGAAAGGCTGACAGATGGTCCTAACCGACTCTGTTGCCTCATACTCCCTCAGCGTAACAGTCAGTCTCACATTCCTGAATCACAGCTCATGTTTTTAGCTCAGGATGACACAAGAGGGGGCAAGTGTTGTCAAGTGTATCACAAACCGTGTGTTCAAATGTCCGATTGAGATGATCCTGTTTGTGAATTAAGTATCTATGAACTTAATTTTTCGACTTCTTGTGTGTCCACTGCAGGCACAGATGTGATGCTGCTGGATAACTTCTCCACAGACGGCTGCTCTCATTCACAGCTCAGCGGGGCCCTGTCTGCGAAGAGGAGGAGCTCGGTCACCTTTGAAGACCAGGTGGAGCACTCCAAAGGTATTTGTTGTTCCCCAGCTCCAGGAAAGATTAAAGACCAGGGTGTTTACCTCGTACTCGCGGTGGTTTTGTGGTCAGCAAACTACTTATCTAAACACAAGGTTTGTTTGCCTCCAAATGATCCAGTATTTGTCTTTCTTCCTCAGCTGAAAACACCAATATGTCCTCGGTTCAAGTCCACGCAGAGGTACACAAATCTCTGGACACCTTTGCTACTTGTCTGGCTAAAGCCATTGAGAGTGACGCAAAGCTCACCATGTTTGGAGAGGGTCTGACTTTACCGGGGGGACTGTTTACAACCAGGTCAGCGCCAAGGCCCAGGTACCTGGACGGTCAGAGACTGAGGCTGGAGAGTATTGATGAAGGTATCGTTAAAGACGACAGAGATGAAGAAGAAGAACAGGATGTGGAGGAGAAACCGGCCTGAGCACAGCTGCTCTAAACTGTACTGATACATATATATACTGTATGTGAGCATTCAGAGAGCCGCTTGTCCTGCTCTGTGGTGCAGCCAGTGAAGCCTTAATCCTCCATGTGTGCATGTGTACTCCATACTTGAAATGATGTCAAACAGGAAGCGGCGTTTCATTCATTCCACTGTGTTGGACCAAGCATACAGCATCATGTCTTTTCAAGCTTTCGTATGGATTCATGTAATCGAATAGAAGCCTTAACTACTGTATCATACATGATTTGATTGTCGTCGTTAATTGTTTATTACTTTATATTATAATATTTCCTGAATTTGCATTATCATGTGCCACATCAGGGCTGGGCAGTATTATAGAATTATAGATGTACGTTGTTCAGAAGACTGCTAACACTTTAATCTGTTTCTGCAGTAGACTGGTGGGACGCCCAAAGCTTGATTTTGATATCATAACTCAGTTTGACGTTACATTAATAATAGGAAAATCTCCACACTGATGTTAGTGATACTGTTTGTCTTAACGTGGCCCAGCCCTCAAATGACCTGAATCTGTGTGCAAATATTTGTACCACTACCACTAAGGTACTTGCAGGGATGTGTGTTCCTGTCTGTGTAGGTACCCGACGTAAACACAGGTGTGTTGTTATTGTAATGATGCTCTGCTACATGTATTGCACTTGAACATGTACTTGTTCTGATAGAAACCACTCTCACTGTATGTCAGAGCTGTAGCTGTTAGGTCAGTGTTTGTGCGTGCCGTCAAAGGTAACGAAGGTCAGTTTGAATTGAAATGGGTTAATGAGCAAATGAAGGTCAGAATATCTGTTATCAGTGTTTGAAGATTGTTGTATTTATAAAAAATGCATCAGCAAGGGTCCAAAATTTCATACTGTTGTGCACAAAGGACCATGTCAGAGATTAATTTCTGAGGAGGTACACACTTAGGAGAGTCAGTCCTTAAAAAAAAGCAGAGGTGCCCTGTATCCTCGGTATTGTCTGAGTAAATAATGATAGGAACATGAGCTTTACCTCCGTTTACATACTCCACCACTCCTTAATAAGAGAAAACAAACTCTTAGATGACATTTGTAATAAGAAGAGCACCGCTCTGGTGCGTCAGTCTTACCTCGTATCTCTGTATTGTTTTCGAATGGTACTACTTTTGTAAGAAAGAAAAAAACTATATGCCTGAGAAGTGATGTAACCTTTTGATTTTCACATTGAGTTTTTATACAAACACTTGCATTAAAGTTTTGTATCAAAAACTTTGTACAGAAGTTTCTGAGCCAATTCTTTATTTCTGTGTCGAATGTTAGAATGAACTAAAACTTGACCTGCACTTATTACAGCTGAACTCAAACTGCTTTTATTCTATCAAATCGCTGAATTTGAGTAGCTCGCCACAATTAACTGCATGTTAAATTGAATAACTGCTCAGTTTTAAGTCCAGATTGGTAAGCAGTGATACAGTTGTAATTGATGGTAACATCTCTGTTCGACATAAATCATCTTGAGCTGTCAAATCCGCAATCTAGATGTTGCTTAACAGTGACATGTGCCACTCAAAAGCATAGCGACGGTGTTGTTTTCTACCACAGTCACAGGAAGTAGCAGCTGAGACGTGCGACGGCTCAACTTCAGGTCTGGCACGGCTTCAAAACAAATAATACTAATTTCAGACTGTACCTGCATCAGAGTTTTCGCGCTAACAGTCCTTTCCATTCCCATTATTTTTCATTGATGACAAATACTCAAGATTGTTAAACAGGCTCGTAAAGGGCAACTCCACTTTTTTTTCTGCACATAAAAATTTGTTTACACGCTTCAACCAAACCAACCAGTTTTTACTTTACTTAAATTCTGTAATATCACTCAGCTGCAGTAAGAGTCAAGATTTAACTCCTGCAGACAGCTAACACATTGATTTTTGCCAAATTCATTTTTCTAATTTATGGCTCATATTAATGTCTCACAATGAAATAATTTGGGCTTATTATACATTCACTGAAACCCTAAAGTCCTGTGAGTGTCCCGGAAAAAATGAAACTGAGGTGAAAATTATGGAAAAGTGTGAGTCACTGAGTGCTAGAAGAGCCAAAGTTATCTTGTGCTTGTTTCCTTTTTCGTCAATATTATGAACTCAACTCTTAAAAGAATCAGTGCACAAAGAACAGATTGGATTTTTTTTTATTTCTGCAGTGATTTTCAATGAATTTGTTTAATGCACAGACTTCTCAAACTTTTTTCTTTCAAGCTCAAGTGCAGACATCTATGAGATGCCATCGCTTTATTTTTTCCATTTTCTGTAAAGATTATAACTCAATGACAAGTTCCTTTGAGGAGAAGAGCCACAGCTTTGTCCCGTTTGTTTCCCCCTCAAAAAAATTAAAGCATCCTCAAAGCAGGTTTTTACTTAAAGTCCTTGTTTACATACCAAACTGCCCAAGCAGCACACCAACACCTCTTAGCTTTGTGCTACGAGTTCAAATGTCACACATTAACACTGATCAAAGCTCACTTTCTCCTAACAAAATAATATTGCACTTAACATCCTTGCACACAAGCCGCCATTATTCTCACACTTAATATATATATGTATATATATATATATATATATATATACTGACGTCCTTGCTTGTTCCATTCACACAAATGTAGTTTATCCTCATACAGAAACATCAGTAAGAAAGTCATCTTAAAAAACACAAGGGGGCTAGAAATAATACTAGTTTTCAAAAGGAAGTATTCTACACTATACTCGTACAAATCTCAGGTTTTTTCCAAGTGCTTTACAGCAAAAGAAACAATGTCTTCTTTAAAATAAAATGCCAGCAGGTTACTGCTCGTCCTCATTTTCCTGCCCTGAACCTTCGGAGCGATCACCTTCTATCCGATCTGCAAGAGTAAAATCACAGCAGTGACAACAGGTTCGATTTTTATACAGTTTATGTATTTCAAAAAAAGTGAAATTGTGAATACCTGATCTGATGTGATTGAGGGAGGCCAACATTCGGAGCATGAATGAAGCCGGGACTGTGATTGTGTTCCTGGTTTCCTCCAGCATCAGCTCATTTCGAGTTATTACCTTGACAGAAAAGAGGAAGAGAGGAAAGGAAATCAGAAAAAAACAGAGAGGAAAGGAGAACAGGTTTGGAGTGAGAAAGGAGGTGATCACAGATTTAGAATCGATCCACTAATATGATCATTGTTATTGTTAATTTAATGGCTATCAGCTAAATTTTATGAAAAAAAAATAAATAAATAAATAAAAACCTTGTGACGAAAAAAGGAGAATGTGACCCGTGACGTCTTACCTCATTAGCAAGGACTCTGTTGAAAGATGGCGACTGTTCCAGTGGAGACCAAATCTTGATGTCATAGTCTATCCCTGAAGAAGCTAGAACTGAATAAACAGGAGGATAAACAGAAATAAGATTAATAAACAAGAAAACATCATCATATCATTTGCTGAGAGATGATGAAGAAGGACTCACTGGGGTCGAAGGGGTGAGGCTGCAGACAGTTCACCACATGGTTGTCAGCCTCCAGCAGCATGAGGTGCTCCGCTGTGTGTCTGTCCCAGATGAAGATGTGACCGCAGTCGGAGCCGCTCATCACAAAGTTGTTGCCCCAAAAACAGGACTCCTTTATCTGCACAGAGAAGACACAAAAACACCCATAAACTCTCTAAAGATGGTATGGTTTGACATTTTAGGAGACAAGCTTCCTTTTGCTTTCCTCTTTTGGTAAACTAAAAATCAACAGGCATGACAAACTTGTAGGTTTGTGTGTCCTACTTTTTATTCTAGTGGCCTACAGTGTGTTATAAACTACAGCATGACTAAGCTGGCAAAGTTACAGAGTTACATGGCTAACTCTCAAAAAAGATTAGTATTTACAAGCCCTCCAGAGATGTTGTCATAACATTAGAGCTCCCCCTACTGTCTGGCTGCAGTACAGCTCATTAACGCCCCCTCCTTCTGAACACGTCTTTCCTCAAACACAGTTTATGTCGTTCAAATAACTTCCCTGTAGGTTTGATTTAAACAATTTTCTTAAATGAATAACTGAGCTGCAAATACAAGATCAATCTCCACCTGTTCAAAGTTGTTTTTTTTTATGTTCTGTATGTAAACAGCTGCAGTAGATTCGTACATTTTGAGACCCAGTTGTGAATAAATATGTTGAATATCATCCCCCTCTTAAAGTAATGGCCTAAGAAGTCAGTGGTTCTTAAGTCTAGTCCTCGAGGCCCACTGTCCTGCATGTTTTGGATGTTTCCCTGCTCCAACACACCTGATTCAAATGATCAGCTCGTTATCAAGCTCTGTAATGGCTTAATAACGAGCTGATCATTTGAATCAGGTGTGTTAGAGAAGGGCAACATCCAAAACATGCAGGACAGCGGGCCTCGAGGACTAGACTTAAGAACCACTGGTCTAAGTCAATGATCAAGTTTTTCAGGAATTTTCTGGATACTCTCAAAAAATGGACAAACTCACACTCTTTACATAGGTGATAATACTACAGAGATAGTTCCACATGATCTGTTCAATTTAGGATTTAGGCAATCCTACCAGAGATGGGCAGCATCATCAAGGACTGACTTAGGGGGAAAAAAAGCAATTTCTTTTCAAAAAGTGACATAGACCATTATTTCAAGAAGGTGACGATATGTGAGATAACAATGAGATGCCAAGTGTGAATAAAATTTTAAAAGATAATTTCTCATTCTTCTAATGTCCAAGTTGTTTACATTATATCATTTTTATTTCTTTGACAATTTAAGCTTTGATTTGTGATTTGATGCTACAAATGGGACACAACCCTTAAATTGACAACGATATCTAGACTATAAGAGGTTATTTGCCAAAAACACTGGCACTAAGTAGTTTCCCTTTAAAACCGAAATTTGTTTTATTTTCAGTGCTCTGTGTGCAAAGCAAACAAGACAAAAAGTACACTTCTGAACTTCAGGAGTGTTGACAGACTTAAGTTAAATACTGCCCTGATTCCTTTCCTTTCTTTGTGCTAAGTCAGCCCCATGTTCCAGTTTCATACTTCATGCACCACCATGTAGTTAGTCGCCATCTTTGCTTCTTCAAGGGAGTAAATGACCTGATTTCCCTCGAGTTAAACAGCTCATCCCAGCTCATAATGTAAATTCCTGGAGTTGTACCATTGTCCTTGAGTTGCGATGGCCCTTGTAGACCATTTTGACTGAAGGCCTCCTGATATTCTGCGTCTCGCTCTCCTCCATCTCCCTCCTCTCTTTCCTCCTGCGAAACAGCTCCTGGATTCGAGCAGCTGCTGAGCGCCTGTGATGCGAAAGGGAAAAAAAGTGCATGTGATTATGTGGCCTTTACAAATGTAACTAACAACACAAAGCCATGCTGTCACTGATGCTTGTAAACCTCATGCTTCAAAGCTCGAGTGAATCGTATGCTGGTATCATTGAGTCAACCCAAAATCAAACAGAGCAGGCAAAGCAAAACATCGTAACTGATCAAAGCTCTTAGAGTTTTTGCTAAATCCTGTCCGATGGAGACACAGCAGTAAAATTAAACCCGACATAGAAACCAAAAAATGAGAATTTAAACCTTTACTTCCTTTCTGCTGCGATCTCATGCACCTTTTCTACATTTTCTTCATTTCCTTTCTTTAAACAATCTTCAAAATGCTGCTCGATGCTGTTTCTCACACACTAAGTGGAGTCAGTACTCACATGCACATCACTCCAGATCTACAGTTAGCTGTGTGTTTGTGTATGTGTGTTAGTCCTCTACAGGTGAAAACACACCCTCTGTGTTCATACTACACACATCATGAAGTGCTGTTTCGAAGCTCCACATCACACGCCTGACGGGTTAGATGCTTCAATCGACCAGCTCAAAAAAAGAGTCATTACCTGATCATCCTATCTCCTACAGCAGATCCTCTGGAATTAAATCTTTATTTGTAGTGAAACAGTCATCACAAGATAACAGAAACAGAACCCACCCTTTAAAGTATCATTTTAAATAAAGAGGAGATTTTTTATAAAGCAGATTAAACCTGCTTTAAAAAAAACATGGCTGCTGTTGTTTTATGTACCTCTGTCCCTGTCCTCTGAATCTTGTTGACGGGATGAGAATGGGGTCGTCGTCGCTGTCGTCAGAGTCCTGGTTTCCTCTTGCAGGCTGGCTCTGACCTTCCCCTCCCTCCTCCTCTCTCACAGTGGGTTCAGCTCTCCTGCAGCCTCCTGATGTGTCCTCCGTACCCTCCGGCTGACTCCTCTCTTGTGATGAAGTCGCCGTGGTGCCGCCTTCTGAGGGGCTCTCTGCGGGGGCTTGAGTTGATGAGCCGCTGGAGCAGGGAGCGTCACAGGGTGGGTCTGTGGAGGCGGCAGACGCACTTTGTGGCCCTGAGGACTCTTGGCATGCTGGGTGAAAGTATGAATATATTAGTATGTTTGTTTGACTGTCATTTATTCACTGATTAAGGTGTATAATGAAGGGATCAGCATGTTTCCAAATGTTTATCATCCTCTTTAGAGCAACGACATTAAGTCTTTTGGTGATGTATACTTTGAGCTGAAGGTAAGATATCAACCTGCTTTATTCACCAACCATTCTGAGAGGAGATCCCTTTTAAAACCACCTGAGTCAAAGAGCTTTCCAACATAAGAAACTTATCTACAACAACTAAAAAACTGGGATTTAAATGACAAATATATCATTTTTTAAATTGTTTTACAACTGCTACTTTTCAGAATAAATGTGCCTTCATGACATAAAAGTTCTTCAAAAATGTAATCTGATCAGCATCTCTCTTCTATATTTTGTTATTTTTCCCCATAGGTTTGAGATCAGACTGCTTTATTTCCGTATCATGTGTCTGTGTGCGTCCATTTTTAGATCTCGTCTTCAAACCCATTTTTATTTATTGGTTTTCAACCCTGCATGAGACTCGGCTTCTGTTTTAGTGTTTTATGGTTTGTTTTTAGTTATTTGTTTCTATTGTTTTTAAAAACATTGAAAATATATTTAACTTTTTAATATCTGCTTTTATTTTATCTATTGTTTTAATTGTTTTTAAATAAGTTTTTAAAAACATTGAAAATATATTTTACTTTTTAATATCTGCTTTTATTTTATCTATTGTTTTAATTGTTTTTAAATAAGTTTTTAAAAACATTGAAAATATATTTTACTTTTTAATATCTGCTTTTATTTTATCTATTGTTTTAATTGTTTTTAAATAAGTTTTTAAAAACATTGAAAATATATTTAACTTTTTAATATCTGCTTTTATTTTATCCATTGTTTTAAAATTTTTTTTGATTGTTTTTATGTCTGCATTGTTTTGTCTATTTATGTGCAGCACTTTGTTCAGCTGTGGTTGTTTTAGTGCTTTACAAATAAAGTTGAGCCGATTTGAGTCCGTTTGTAGAGCGTATTTCAGACCCACTAATATGACATCTTACAGCCCCTTTATGGGCATTTAAAGGAGGACTATGGGCATCAAACTTTAGAGGAAGTGGCTGCATCAAATCAAAGAGTACACAAGTGAAATGTTCTGCAGTTTAGGAGCAAATTCATGAATCTGATTTTGATTTTCTTTATGAGCTCTAGGAAGAAAAATTTTGGGAAAAGGTAAGACGATAGATGCTGGTGAATGAAGCCAAAAAACTCTTTAAACACTTTTTTATCGATGTGTGTCTTTTTAAAAATCTGCAGCTTAAGCAATTTTGGGAACTTCAGTTGAAGAGAAACTTAAAACAGCTGTGAGGGAGTTTAATTGAGTTTAAAGTCTGTCACAAATCCAGTTTAATTCTTATTGAACTGATAACTTCATAAGGTGTTACAGTGATGGTCAGAGTTCTCCAATCAGCCTCTTATCAGTGATGAAAGGTGCAACCCTGCATGTTTCTGACCACATCAACAACATCCATCAGTGCTGTAAACTTTCAGAGGAGGAGCAGGAGTTAAAAAGGACATACCCCCTTTTTCACAGCAGAGCTCACCTTGCTCTGACACTGAAGTGTCTGAAGACACGCTCTCTTTGTTTTGGACAGTCACAGCCTCAGATGTTTTGGATCCTCCACTGCCCAGTGAGCTGGATGTGCTGCTGCTCCTGATGAGGGAGAAGAAACAGTGACCAGGAGCTCCAAGTCCTCCAGGGTTTGGCTGCTTGATTTACAGCTGAATTTGATTGTTAGTAATTCTTGTATTTAGATCATTTATCCTCTTTTAACATTTCTATTATGTATTAATCAAGAGCTGAAAATGAAAATGAAACAATCAACAACAACAAAAATATGTTCCATCTCTCCGTGCTTGGTCTATCTCTCACCACTCATCAGTGAAGTCCAGCTTGATGGTGCTGGTGGTGGTTCCCTCTGAGCTGTAGTGCAGCCTGAGGACTGGCTCTGCTGCACTGGGTCGACTGGTGCTGGGCATGGAGGAGGTGGAGGTGGAGGTGGTAGAGGAGGAGGAGGAGGTGGAGGTGGTTGGAGCGCTGCTGCTGACTGGTACAGCAACAGGCTGATCAGTAGATGAAGTTGCAGCTTCTGCTGCTCCTGAGAGAAGAGAGAGAGACACACAGGAGAAGAAGAGAAATGTTTTTATCTGTTTTTGTTGGAGGGTCTGATTACAAGCTTGATTTAGAGTTTCAGTCCTTGCTGATCATCGCATGTTGTTAGTGGTGCAAAAGCACAGAGGAAACATGCAAACTTCTGTTGCATCACTTTCCTGTCAGTTAGAAACACCCAACAGCAATGGGCACATGCTGCAGACATAAATAAAGCAGACAGTGGAGGTACGAGCTGTTACAGACATGAGGACAATCATCAGCCACAGAAACAAGACACACACACACACATCAGGACACAAGATACACAAAAGTCAAAGCCCTGAATCATTTTACTCTTTTTCTGCTACAGTGATGATGTGGTTTGAATTAGTTTTTAATGATGGAGAGAATAAAACAGAAAATAAAGGTCTATTTGTTTGAAAAATAAAATAAAATCTGGAAATCACTTCACCTGGTCGTAAATGATCATACTTTTACCATTTACTAATATAGTTTTTTTGCAGACATGCCTCTAAATGATGTTTCCTTGTCATTATTCAGGCTTTTGGGGCCTAGTGTTTGTTTATGCCTGAAGTTTCCCTCACAGACAACAGACTCAATCTAATCGTATCCTCTCTATGACTGTTAATACTGTTCTATTACCTCATCACTGCACTGGTTATTACACTTTAAGAGTTCTCGAGGGAAAGACTGAAGCTGGTTGGAACAGAGAGAAATAAAAACATTGAAGCAATGGAAGTCGGACTGTGAACAACTCTTAGACACAGCAGGGATGCACCGACCCCCATACTGAATGGTCCAAAGCTGACTTTAATGTTTGGATCTATCCCGGGCCAATCTATCAAATTTAATTCTATGTTTACCTCTGAGTGGAAATGCTACTTCTTCCATCAGCTGAGTGTCAATTTTTCTCACTAATTATTGGGATCTGATTCTTAAGAGAAAAGGAGGAAAAGCCCAGGAACTAATATGACTGAGAAAGTCTCATCGGTGCATCCCAAAAGGGTTTGATCACTTTATTTCGTAAGGGAGGGTGAAGAAGACACAGCTAGTAGCAGGGTGGGGGTGGTGTAGGAGAGGGGGCACGCACCCTGCTGTTCATCGAGAGTCATGGATCCCAGCTGTTTGTTTACCACAGATGAGGGGGAATCTGGAACAAAAATGAGACCGAGCAAACATCGGACACAGAGGTCAAACCTCAGCAATCGCACACATTCAAGACGCACAGAGGTTAAAACTTTAAACTCAGGTTGAAAAAAAACAAAAAACAGACATGATCCGGGCAAAGTAGTAGTAGTAGGAGGAGAAGGAGGAAGAGCTGTAAAATCATTAGCAGGAGAAAAAAGCTTCATTTGATTACAGCGGGGATTATTCCTCATTCTGAATGTGCAGCTTTAGTACAGTCAGAGATTAGTATGTCTGAACCAAAACATGAACATGACACATCCACACATACTCCAACTGATAGATTAAGCTGTTACATTAAATCTCATTATAATCTTTGAAAACCTCAAATGAGATGTTAGCTTTACTTCCACTTCCACTTAACTGTGTAAAAAATGAATAAAAATTGTGAGTGTGGAACAAAAGCTTCATTTTTCTTCTACACATCAGTTCAGCCTGGTGAAGATCAACAACGCAAACACCCTTTTACTCAAACACTGACTATTATGGGGTTTATTAGCTTGTCCATTAAAGCCTTTCGCAGACACACAGCTCTTTGCTTGAACATACTGGAAATAAACTGTTATTCCAGTGTGTGAAATAAACCGTTGGGTTCCACTAAAGTGCTCACCAATCACAATCCTCTCTTAATTAAAAAATGCCAAAATAAATCAACTATGAAGCACAAAATATGACTGCATACTGTCAAATAGGAAGCACAATACTTGCATTATTTTTGAGCACCTTCAGACAGTAGAAAATTTGAGGCTGTTTAACACTCTGAAACTTAGTGATACTAAAATCATGTAAGATGAGGTTTGCTTTGAAGAGAGGTAGTTGATGGTTGATTGTTGTCGATCCTGAGATCAGTGAGAGCTGGTTTCTGCCTCTCTGTGGTCAAAGCTCTGCTTGTTTCAGCACAGCTTTTATTTTTCTTGGTTTCTTTTCTGTTCTTGGTTCTTTCAGTTTTGAAGTTTCTGACATTCATACTTGCAAAAATACGACATTCACACGATGATGTATATTCAGGAATTAGAGGAGTCAAAAAGCAGGGTCTACACTCTACACAATTACGAATAATCTCTAATAAGTAATTTATTTAAGTTGTATTGTAAAATTCATTTGAAAAGCATCATTCAGACAAAATGTGAGATATTTCTGACAACACTCACCATCAGATTTGACTCATCGATATTTTTACAACAGATTCTGTGAAAGTATGTGGCTCTCATAATGCAGTGGGTCTGTGGTGTGCTAATGTTGAATTTTGGAGCCACATGATTATAGATGCTGAAGTTACCATTTCCACTCAGACTGGTACTGAAATTATTCTAAATGATAATGCTTAAGTTATATTTGTTCACTTAAGTTATCTTTACTTTGCTGTTACTGTCAATACTACACATATGGATGCGCAAAATTGGTATCGGCAGAAGGCAGCTTTAAAAGTTATTTGTTGGTGCTGACATGTATGGCTGGTGAAATGACTAACTATTTAGGTGAAAAGCTTACATGCACCAACAATTTACATGATGCCTGCATGGGAGTGTTTTTAAGTGTAGTGCAAAATAGTCATTTGGACTGCTTGTCTGGTATAGCCGAAGAGAGGAAGAGCAATATAACACTCCTCTACCACGACCAATTGAACTGTGCATCTCAAAAACGACCATTCTTAACATCAAAAAGAGTTTCTGAAGAATGAAAAATCAGCAGTCTCTGCTTCAGTAATTCAAGAGAGCTAATAAATACAGAAGAGCACCAGAAAATACCCAAAGGTAAAGGCGCCTCACAAGAAAATCACAGAATTGATAACCAGCCTTTCAGCATTTAGGAATATACTACTAACGTACTTGGATCAGTATCTGTATTGATATCAGGCTGATATACTGGTTTGAAAATATCAGCAAAACTCCAACCCTAATTTTTACAATCATCATCATCATCATACAATCGTTTTGTTTCTCTACAACAGACAGGTCTTGAGGAAGGCTAATGCCATTCTGGGTTATCCCAATCATCCACTTATATGCGAGTTTGAGCTTTTACCTTCATGACGTCGTTTTAGGGCCCCTATGAGGAGGACTACAAGATTTCAGGTCTCTTTCATCCCCAGTGCAATTCATTTAGTGAATAGCAGTTGACCCTCAGGCTGCTCATGTTGTCTTGCACTATTATCGCTCATTTGCACACATTGCACTTTTAATTACTTGGTAGTAGTTTCTCTCCATTTTTGGTATGAGCTCTGGACTGAATTTTAGGAGGTTTTGTGTCTGTGTTTCTGACATTGTGTTGTTATGTTTTTAATTGTTCAATGTTTTTTTAATTTATGTTGTCATTGAGTACTTGTCTTTTGTAAGCCTTGCAGCAAAACTAATTTCCCTTTACGGGACAATAAAGAGATTCTGATTCTGATTCATTGACGCTGCAGCCTTAAGTCTGCATGATCTGTGATTATAATTTATCCCGTTTGCGTTTTCTCTCCATCCCTCTTATCTTCTCTTATTCTCTTGTCACTGTTTGCCGAGTGTTTGCTCATGCTGGCCTTGTATTTAGTCTCTGCACACAACAAGTCTAGACTGTATCCTCAAAACTCCTGCTTTGATTTAATGATTCTTATATCCAACTTTGCAAGACTGACAAAAAGCCATCACAACTACGCACACAGAAGATTAAGTCTGTTGTTATTTTCTTGCATTTTTACGTCTTTGATTCAGATCAAAACCAAAGTGAATCAAGTCCAGCACTTAAGTGAAGTCAGCTGATCAGTTTGTGTGTGTGTGTGTAACATCAAACATGAATGAACAACATGAGCCATGAGGACGCCAGAGCAGAGCTTCACACTGTCTGGTGCCACTCCAACAGGTGAAAACTCAAGCAACAGGGGGGGGAGCGATGAGAGTGAGAGCATTAGTGAGTGAGGGGCTGAGCAAACAGGAGGAGAGGCGACACAGTGACAGCTACAGAGGTTAACGAATATCAAGGTGCATTGTTGTTGAATGGAAAGAGGATCAGTGTGGGATTAGTTCTAGCAAGATCAGGTCTTTCTGGAGCCTTTCTACAAACAAACATGTCTGCCATTTTCTGAACAGAGAGGGGGGTTAAGATGAGTGGCAAAGGGGGAAGCAAGGGGGCCATGTGTACAGCCTGCATGGAGGGGGCGAGGAGCTCAGAGGGGAGGGTAACCTGTAAGGGGTTGTGTCTCAGCGGCAGCAGCGGCAGCAGCACCAGCAGCTCTTTGGGACTGTCTCTCAGGGGCTGCAGAGGAAGAGGAGGAGGAGGAGGAAGAAGAAGGGGCTGCTCGCTGACCCCGTCCTGGTGGGTCGGCCAGCCGGAGTAACCTCTGCAAACGCCTACACACTAAACTTATGGGCAGCCGGTGAGGACCGTACTCTGACAGAGGGGGAGAGGAGGAGAGGGAGAGGGACGCACGATTAGAAGACTGAAGGGGGGAGGAGTGAGGGAGAGGAGGGAGCACAGAGATGAGGAGGAAGAACGATGAGAGGATGCTGAAGGAGGAAGAGATTGAAGTGAGGCTGCTGCTTGAGTGGAGTGGCTCCAACAAACACACAATACGAACGAAGACACAGACAAAAAAAAAAACACAACGGATCTGAGACCGACTCACTGCAATGGGAGCAAAATGTGAATTTCTTAAAAACGTTTTGGAGAGAAAAAGACGTAACAGCTGTGTGGTATACCTGACAGAGCGGGCTCTGAAGTGGGTGTGGGCGTGGGTGTGGGGGTCCCGGTGCTGTCGGCCTGACTCCTTTGCTCTGAATCAGGCGAGGAGGTGAGGGGGGATGATGAAGACGGGGCCGAACTCTCCACTGATGAAGAGCTGGAAGGAGGGGGAGCTGTGACAGTTGATGAGGACCCTGAGGAGGAAGAGGAGGTGGATTTAGGCATGGGGGCAGCAGCATCAGGACCAGGAGGTTCCTCTGGGGCGTCAGACCCTGCAGGTCTCTCTTGGGTGCTGGAGTCCTGGGTGGGGTCTCCTGTGGGGGGGCTAAGTGACGGCCCCTCCGGACGAACTGATGTCCCTGAAAGAAGAAAATTACGATGATTCAGAGTTTTAGAAGATAAACTGACGACTTTTAAAACAGATTCACAACATTTAGATAAAATGGGACCCTGAAAACTGGTGTCATCAATCAATCAATCAATCAATCAATCAATCAGTCTTTATCTATACAGTATTAGACAGCTGCAGAGTCAATTGTATATAGGAGTGATAAAGGTGGAATTTGATGTAATGAAAATAATGATGATTTGTGAAAAATGTTATGACTTCATCTTATTAAACACAGTCAGGGTAAAGTAGTGCGAGACTTTCTTATTCAAAGGAGGATCATCTATCAGTCGTTGTCTCACCTCTGGGTCTCGTCTGTCGAGCCCCCCCTCTGGTGCTGCTCTGAGCTTCACTGGCTTCCTCAAACCACCGGGACAACATGTCCGACATCCTCTGCATCAGAGACACATTCGGACTCTGCTCTCCTACAAGAGTCAGGGAGGGAAATGTTCAGAGGTTTACAGCTGCTGATGTTTTAACAGGAATCAAAGAATTGTTGTGGAGCCTCAGAAGTGAGTTGAGGGGTTGAATTTGAATTTCATTTGAACCATTGGTGACTCTCTCTGTGACGCCAGGCTTAATGCCCTGAGTTCTGACCTTATGAGCAAGCTGAGCCAAACTTACTGGAAGCTGCTCTGGTACCTGCAGAATGACATCGAAAGAAATCCTGATTTCAAACAGAGGAAAAGTTTTTAAGCTGAGATTTGTAAATTATGAGACTGATACAGAAGCAACTTCAACCCCGCCTCCCCTTCTGTTTCAACTCCGTAGACGCCACGCCCCCACATCTGCATCCTCATGAATGTGTGCAGCCGCCGGTTTGTTCTGTGGATGGAGCTGTGCTGCTGTTTAACTCTGGAGACACTGGCTGCTGACTTACATTTGATTAATTGCCAGAGCTACAGTATACTGTTTTGTTTTGTTTTTTACTATCCCTGTGTAATTTACTCCAAATCATTTCCTCTTTTGCTTCTCCAGCTGCTTCACATAAAAAAACATCCAGAGGTAAAAACTAACTTTTGTAAGTAACATTTGCTCACATTCACATTAGTGTTTTTTTGCTTGCTTGTATTTTTTGGAGAAGTTTTTAAAACCAGTTCTTCAGTACTTAAATACTACTTGTGTATTTTTGCTTGAAAGTATTGTTCGTTCAGATACGATTAGATTAAACACAACTTTATTTATCCTTTTGGGAAGGTTCCTTCAAGGAAAATTTGAAAAAAATGTTAAAAAGTTAAATTGAAAAAAAAGTTTTCAAAGTTTTTAATTGAGTAAGACGATCCCTAAGCTTTCCAATAGCTGACTGATAAAATATCTACACTGAGAAACAACTCAAAGTAACCAAGATAAATGATCTCAGTTCTTATCAGTATATCTCATATTATTTCATTTAGGCTACACTGACCTGTCAAGTCCAAACATAAACTTTTTATGAAGATATCTCAAACCAAAATTATCTAAATAAGTTCCTTGAAGTGTTTGTATTTCATCTTGTTTTAAGAAACTTATCTGGAAAACCTTGATTACTATATTTTCAGCCAGTTTCACTCATGACACTAAATGGAGTCTGTATTATTGACTTGTAGTCTTCTCTGTGCAGCCATGACCTCAGTGTAAAGAAGACCATCTAAATGTGTGATACAGACTGAGTAAATATTTGCCATTTCCACTCCTGTGAAAATGACATCTGTGATAGTGAAAAACATATATAGTATAAATATATCTGAAGACATTTACGATTTTGTGTTTGAGTATCGAGCCCCAGAAGAAAAACATACTTCTGTGATATCGGACTTTATAAAGTTTGAACTTCGTTGATGCAGCCTGAGGGAAGAATTGTAATAGTGGAAAAACTTGGGGGTTATGTTTATATGTAGGTTTTCTGAATGTTTGGGTGTTGCTGAATTCAACAGGAGGTCTGAATCTTTAAGTTGTGACTTTAGCTTCGAACCCTCACGTGTTTGCCGTGTTACTGACTGCTCTGATCTTACCGTCTCTCTCCCTCTCACTCTCGGGACGAGCTCGGGGTCCCGTGTCAGACCAGTCACCTCGTAGCCGGAGGCGCTTCACTGGAGGCTGCCTCAGCTGTGGAAACACACAGACACAGACACACACAGACACACACAGACACACACAGAAAAAGATTAGCAGTTTGTCAGTCAAAGCATGGTCAAAAATAGCTCTGCTGCCAAAGCAAAACACTGCTCGTCTCTGTCAGTGTCCTCTTTAATTTGCTCCCCCCTCCCCTCCCCTGTCCTGTCCTGGCTGCACGGTGAGGGTGCCTTCACTCTCCAGTCCCCTGGCTCCTCTGCAGGGCAACAGGCTGAGAGCCAGAAATAGAAAAAGGGACTCTTAGTGCAGGAACTATCAACTGCCCTACTCAGGAAATGTCATCAGGTCTGGATAAGGGCTGGAGGTGTTGAGAAGGAGCCAAGACTGAGGGAGATAGTAGAGCAAATCAGAGCGAGAAGGGGCCCTGAAGAAATGAGGTTACAGGTGGAGGGAAAATGAGAGAGGGGTAATGAGGCTGTGCCTGGCCATGCCCTGCACCTCAGCCTGATCTATTTTGGACGATAGATAGATAGAGGAACACCGTGTGCGTCGGTCGCTGTATTTGGAAAGGAATGTGTGTGGTGGATGCATCTCGACACAGCTGAACTCACCACGAGGCTTTGAAGCAGTGGCACCATGATCCAGCACATTCAGACACATGCAAAGATAGGCTCTCACAAATACTGGATCTGAGCGCTACGATTCAACCTGACTCGTCATTCAGCTAAATCTCAAACTGACTCCTCACTAAAACTGCTGTGAAGAACTCTATGCATCAGGAGGTTTTTAAAGCTTTAATTCAGTGTTTTCTTCCTCGACGACGTGTCTCTTTTCTCCTCTCTTCTGTCCTTCAGGGTCATTTGCTCCACTCGCTGCACTGCATCAGCCAGAACAGATTTAGCCCTGCTGTCTGCAGTGCTCTTAGAGGAGCCCCTGAAGGCTCCTTGTTGTGTCTTCACTCAGTGTTTGCACAGATGACATGTGCTAGTGTTTATTTTCTATTTAAGCAGATCTAAAAGATTCAGCTACGAGCAACAAAAGGGATTCAAACTGCTCTAAAGATGTTAACAAAGAGATTGTGCCTTTCTCTGCGACAGACTTCTACCATCTGTTTTTATTTAGAGCTAAAACTCTTGAACACTTAAACTCATGTTTGATTGTTAAATCAGAGTACAAATGAAGTACGAGTGGAGCACTGGCGTGGATCAGCATGATAGACCGAATCTGTCAGTCAGGTCACAAAATAAGCAACACTCCCAAATCTAGAAGTGACAGAATAAGAGGGCAGAGAGATGCTGTACACGGTTTTGGTTTGTCAGCCGCTCAGACACTCTCCGCTGAAATGATGCTATTTCATAAACTGCTCTTCTCATTTGTGGGAGTCTCTGTGTGTTTGGTTTTTGTACATCTGAGTAAGGGAGAGATATTTTCTGTCTCCAGTGGTCTCACTCTAAGTTTAAAGCATGTTTCAATTCCAACTAACTGGCTAAAAGGGTTGCGCACAATAGACACAAAGGTTGGAACTTTTTTAAGGGAAACGACCTGATGTTTGGATACAAGGCCGACACACTGGTGAAGAGTCAACGCAGAGAGATTTCCAAGACTGAGCCGAGCCACTTATAAAAGGAAGAAGAGCTCAGTCTGGCATAAAACAAGGACTTAGGGCTTTTAAATCACTTTGTGTCAGGGGTAGCAGACTGTGTAATCAGTGAGTGTGAGAGCCATCAGTGATAGATGATGGTGTCATTGACCAGACCAACCTAAAGTCCTGAGTGAAATATTAAAATATTACATTCAATCAGGTCATAAAAATGATTGGATGTGCGGAAGATACAAGACATTTTACACCGACCTTTAAGGATCAACTGACTTTATGTATCATAACTTTTCCTCCTTCTGTGAGTTTTAAATGTAAGTAAAAATGTTTGAAGTTTTCTTTGCAGTTCTCTCAGCTGTGAAAGTATCTTTGTCTAAACATCTAGAAACACACAGAGCTCTATCTGGTGTTAGATAGAAGAGCGTGAAAGCTGCTTGAATCACCTCCTCCCTCCGCTCCTCAGACGGGCCCTTTAGCTCTCGGGCTTGGTCATCTTTGGGATCAAACAGGTAGATGTAGTCCGAGGAGTAGCTGACCAGAACCTCCTGACCGTCCTCGCTGTAGCAGAGAGAAGTCACCCGACACGACTTATTGGACAGGTGAGTGGGGACGAACCTCACGCACATACCCGTCGTTCCCCGGCCCATATAGTTGCCTGAGGAGGAGAAAGAGAGTCCCTGATTGAGATGTTGTTATGCTAATAAGAGAGTCAAAGTCTCAGAGCCAACGGTAAATCTTTGCACCTAAACTGTGTGATTATAAATCTTTGATTTTGAGAAACACTGATGGCCGTACTCTCCTGTAAGACGTGTCTTTACCTACATGCTGTTATTACAGCTCTGCTACTTTGACTGAGTAGCATCCATCTGCCACCTTCACTTATCTATAACTGTAAATAACTCAAAATCAAAGTAATACCACACCTAAATAACAAAGTATGAGAGTTTACCTGTTGCTCTAGTGCCCAACATGCGTCTGTCGTAGATCCGCACTGAGCTGTCTGAGCAGCCCACAGCCAGGTAGTATGGCACCAGGGGAGAGATGGATATAGAGGTTGCTGCTCTTCGACAGTTTATCAGGATGTCCTGAAATCAGAGTAATAAACACAGTCAGAGTCCTACAGGTAAGTAAGCTCCAACAGAACTGAACAAAAGAAGAACTGAGAGAGAGGTTTCACAGTTACAGAGATCACAGGCAACCAGACTCGAACAGTGAGGTTACACAGAGTAATTAAGAAAATGATCTTTATTGAGTGTTTAATTCCCCTGCTGCGTATGTGCGTTTGTAACTTTGACAGGCTGTAGGATAATTAAGAGGAGGAGGTAACAGAGTCTGGTAAAACTACCCTGACATGTTTAAGGTCACAGGTACGGATCTCAGGCGAGAAAGAGGAGAAGACGCACCACAATCTAGAGGGACCCATCTTTCCCTGCTCTCAAACACACACACACAGAAACATACACACACGCACACACACACACACACACACACAGCCTTGGCACTCAGCTCCCTCTGATGCAGCTTGGCTTGTAGCCAGTGAAGCTGTTTTCTGAATCACTCCTGAGACCGAAAGCTGTCAGCTCATATAAGAAATGAGGGAGGTGAATTTCTGTCAACACGGTGATATCAAGTTTATCCTGACTCAGATAGCTGATGGATTTATCAGAGATTTAATTCAAATTCACATAAGTTCACAAAAACAAACATTTTGAAACATTTATACTCCCATTTGAATGACAGCACTCCTCTAGAATAATTCTGTGTCACACAAACGTTTGTATTGTTTTTCCCTGTTTCTGAAATTCTGATTAAAATCAGGACTTGTTACAGGCAGAAACCTGGCAAGTTTCAGTACACGGTGATTCAGTGAATCAGTAATAGAAAGAGAAAGAATATCAAGGCTGTCAACTCACATCTTTGCAGTCTTCTTTTGTGCAGCTCGTCTTCATACGAAGGTCGAACCACCGCACCGTGCCATCCTCCCCACACGACAGAAACGTGTAGGGGTCATTTGGTACCGTCATAATCTGAGAGAACAAAAAGAGAGGAGTTAGGAGAAACTCAAGAAGCAGGGCGAGTGAGAAAAGGCAAGTGGTCTTCGAGGAATTTCTCCTTTTTTAGCACCTCATAGGCTGTTCCATAATGGCAGGTGAACTGACACTGTCTGTTGTACTCGGGGCTCTTCTCAGTGTGTGTGTAGTAGATGATGCCGTCCCCAGAGCAGGAGACGATTTCCTGACCATTGGTGTGGGGCATGAACTTCGCACTGAAGATGTTCGCCCGGTGACCTGAACGAATAGACTTTTTGACCTGAGAAAGAAAACGAAACATACAAGATGGCTGAAGTGGACGTAAATGAAGATCATGAACAAAACTCTACCTGTTATGACCAAAATGTTCATTTCAAAAGAGGGAAAGGGAGTCACAGAATCATAAGATGGATCATGTACTTTACTGTGTTTTCCTCTAAAACATTTTAATTTAAAAGGTGTTATTTTTCATCCTTTTTTCAGAGCATCAGTTTATTGTTGCTTAAAGGTTTTTAGTAAATGATTCAGATTTTCTTCTGATTGGAGGATTTATAATAAAATCCTTTTGTGTCAAAAAAACATCGACAGCAAATACAGCAAGTGATAGTGGGACAAGATGGATCAAAATGCTGTGCAGCTGCTTTTCCTTCAAGTACAGTGCATTATCTCATTTCGGTCCATGTTCTTTAGTCAATATAAGACTTACCTTTTTGTTGTACGGGTTGCTGATGACCAAAAATGTATCATCTGACCCTGACAGGATGTATTCACCTGTGTCGTTCCAGGAAATGGTGTTGACCTGCGCAGAGAAAACAATTGGGGAAACAGTTATCGATATTATAGGAGCTTTTATCCATTTCAACCTCCTGTAAACCAAGCTCAGGCACTGAAAGGTTTGGATTTGATTTTGGAGAAGCAGAGTATAATCTGAAGCTGGTTCAGATTTGATCCGACTGCGTGTTTGAGTTGAGCCGAGTCTGTGAGTCTGAGGTGGGATGGAAGATTTAGAGACAGACGTTAAGCTGAGTCAAACCTACAGGAAAGACTATGAAACAATCGAGTATCGGCCCTGATACAATCATAAACTTCATGATGAGACCAGGATTTGGTAAAAACTTCCTCCAGCACATGTGGAAATGTTTTTATACTTATTGCATGATACAGCTTCTTCCTTGTTTTCACTGATTTTGCAACATTCAGACGAACCAACTGGTAGTTGGCATTGTCGAGGTTTGTTTAAGAGAAAATGTGCGAAACTTCGGCTCTTACACGGTGTAATGCTCGGACAGTGTAATGACTGTCTACATTACAGCTCCTGTTCATTCATCTTACCGTGTGTGGATCATTCAGAGGTGTGTCTGTTGTTATGTTTGGGTCACTTTTACATCACCCTCATACTTAAACCAAGTTTATAACTAATTAAACAACAAAGTTTAAAAAAAAAAGGAATAGCAAGAACTTTAAAATTGACATCCTTTTTTATTTGTTTTTACCTGCCTGGATTTGCAGGCGTAATTCTTATTTATTTATTTATTTTACCTGTGGGATCTAAAATTGAGAATTTTTACAACATTGTTCATCAGACTATTTTTCCCTTATCAAGCAAAGACAAAATTATTTTTTGTCTACTGTTAGATTTAGCAGAGAGAGGCAATAGTTCCTGTCTTTCTTTAAAACTTCTTATTCGTTGTGATGCTGCATCCTCCACTGACTTTTTTAGCAAAAACATGTCTTTGTTTTGGAGACTACGATCATGATATATTTAACTAACGGTGTTAAAAAACAGTCAAAAGTTATTTATTCATTTTCATGGCATGATGCTTTAGTACACTATTAAATCTTGATGATCACATGAAGTGGGAAAAAATCAGAACATCTTCATATCTGAAGGATGTAGATGGACTGTTCCTGGGTCGTTAAAGATAAACATTAGTTTAATTACTTAAATATGTTGGTAAAGTTACATTCCCTATAGTTCATAATGTTACCAAAGAATATCTTTGTGTGTTTCAAACATTTACAACACAAAATCTCCCAGCATGTCTGGTTAAGACTGCAGATATAGACCTGGAGCTCCTCTGGGAGTGTTTGCTGATGTTGTTTTGGTGTTTTGGATGAAGTGACGGCCGGTGTGGGCTGATAGTGTGACAGGACGTGTGACTGTTGTGTCGGCTTCGGGTTTCTCAGAGGTATTAAACCGCCTGGCCTGAGGTCAGAGAGCTGCTGTATGTAAGATACTGAAACCTCACAGACTGACTGAGGAAAAATGGAACAGCGTGGCAAAAGGAAAAAGGAAATAAAGACTTATTTTGTTTAGATTCAGAGAAGAAATCAGGTTCAGTGTCTCAGGAGGGATGCAGTGGATTTAAGTAACCTGACTTGATACTTTGGTGCATAACAAAAAATGCGGAAAAAACACAAAAAATTAACAGGTTGTGGGAGAAAAATGCACAAAAACAACAGAAAAGAAAAGAGAAAGAAAAAACGATACATCTATTTTTAAACTGAAAATCTCTGCAGTGGAAAATGGAAGAGGACAAAATGTTCTTCACCAAAAGTAAAGAGAAATTTTCAAGGTTTTATCCTTAGAACGAGGATTAATAACATATTGAGTCTGATAATCAAAAAATATTGGTACTTGTTTGTGAAAGAAGGTAGAAACATTGTCATTGGGAATCCTGGGCCCTTAACATACCTGCAGAGACAAAAACTAATAAAAGAAAACAAATATTTAGAAGTTTGAGGAACTTACACAGCCATCATGTACATTCAGTGTCCCTTCAAGTTTCAGCCTCTGGACAAACTCTCTTCTACCTGTGAACAGAAAAAAACGACAACATAAAGACTCTGAGACAAACAGGTGAAATAATGACGATTTAAGTGTTTCAAATATGACGAAACATTTCTGAGAGCTTTGTCGCTGACCGGGTTTTTGTGTTGTAGAGCGTAAATGCTGCAAAAGGTTGAATCTAAACAAACTAGACCAGTCATAAACTTCATCTCTGAGTGTGCTGTGGACAACAATGCATGATGGGAAACGGAGGAGGAGCAATTATCTACCCAAAGCTAACGTGAGGTGGGCTTTGAAACACTCAGAAAACAATGGGGTTATTTTGCTGCCTGTTTCTTTCATAGATTTTATAGTTAGTTTTATGTGTGTGGGAGTACTTACTGATTTTAAATAACGTTACAAATTTATGATGAATTTTTCTAAGAATAAATTTGAAATTGAGATACAAGTCCTTGGTGGTTAGGACGTTTAATTGTCCTCACTTTTCCCCGTAAAGTCATTGGGTGTATTTTTCGACTCTTACCTCCCCTAAAAGAAACACACACTAACTCATAATGCAGCACTTCCTCGACTCTTCTCAAGTCCAGGAAGTGCTGCTGCATACGGAGAAGTTTGAGAAATCCAGCTCCTGTCTATGCAAATGAGAGCTTCAACCTGCACTGACAGGTTTTATATGCGTTGCAGCGCTGTTTACCATCAGTGTTGTCATATCCTTCCCAGGAGCTCCAGCTAACAATGTAACATATGAAACTGTACAAACATCTTCTGCGCAGACCGTCCAAATATGAAGCATTTAATTTTGATTGTCTTTTGTTTAATTATGTTAGTCCATGTTATACTGAATGTGATGAACAGTAAACCAAACACAGCTGCAGTGTTATCATAAAATAAAGAATAGACATAAGCACCATGGAACTAGAAGAGACTGAACCAGAAAATATTGGATATATACAGGCAATACTTTGGTTACATTTAGTTAACTGGTTTAATAATTAAACATCATCTCTCTTGCTCGTCGTCTGTCATAAAAAGTACAAAAATTGCATGGATATATTGTGCATTAGCCCAGTGGTTCTCAAGTCCAGTCCTCGAGGCCCACTGTCCTGCATGTTTTGGATGTTTCCCTGCTCCAACACACCTGATTCAAATGATCAGCTCGTTATTAAGCCATTACAGAGCTTGATAACGAGCTGATCATTTGAATCAGGTGTGTTGGAGCAGGGAAACATCCAAAACATGCAGGACAGCGGGCCTCGAGGTCTGGACTTGAGAACCACTGCATTAGCCTAAGCAAAGCCATCCACTACTCGGCTGGGCTGTAGCTCCAGCTGATAGCAGATAATGAGGTCTGGTTGTATTTTAAAATGGAAAATGGCGATAAAGTTTGATGTATGTTGTGTCTGGCTGAAATAGTATAGACCTTCTTGATAGAAAGCTGGTAATGCTACGTATTATCATCATCAGTGTTCATCAGGGATTACAGAGCCTGTTTTTTGACTGTTTTCTCAGTGTTATACAAATATTGAAATGACCAGGAAATCTTTTGCTTTGGAACATTCCTGCTTTTGATGAGCAGGCCAAAGTCAATATGTGAAGACTCAAAGATTATTGATGGTTGACAGAGAAATCAAAAACTTTTTTAATCACTGGCTGTATCTATATGAGGTGGTGCACAGCCATGTTAAGCATGTTATTGTCAGGATGCTGGTCTAATCAACTCTCCTGATCTTGCTTCTAAGAGTTCGAAGTCTCTCATCCTCATCAGAAACTGTCTACTTTATCAATGATAACCTAAATTAAGCTGAATTTTCTCAAACCTCTCCGGAAGTATCTGTGTCGGAATTCAAAGTAGACCACGACTTGTTGCTCCCATCCCCCTTTTTCAGGCTAAATATATCCTGTTCCACACGTTGCTGCATGTATCCCCAACACGTACACAATCACAGCTCCAGCCATTTCTCAGTCGGGCTAAATACAGCACTGACTAAACCTCTGTGGCACCTGCCCCACCTCAACAGGCCAATAAATCTTCATTCAACCACTGTCAGGCACTGACTGTCTGACAGCAGTCCGCTCTTATAAAGCTCTGTGTCTGGCTCTGAACCCAATAAACCGTCCTCGCTCTGCTCCACAAACCATAACGGCTCTTTTTCAGATGTTTCTGTCAAAAACAAATCAAATAAATATTTAAACTCAGAGCTATCACTACAGAAAAGTAACAAGTATGAAAATAATCGACTTAACTCAGTGCAACATGGGCAACATGACACGACAGTTTCTGATATCAAATATTCTTGTATGAAATAATTTTGATTTAAAGCTCCAGTGAGCAGTTTATAAATGCTTGGTAAGTGGACTAAAATTTACAAAAGAAAACAAGAGAATTTAAACCAAAACTTATGTTTTATAAATTTATTGTCAACGCTTGAAATGCTCTTGAGGGGGGTAGGTGCCATTGACATCACGCTGACAAAGTAACTAGGCTTAAAGTTCCTAACAGGAGCTTTAAATTAACTGAAGGGCTCCAAACTGGTATGAGTACAATTATTAACTACATTTATATCAATCTTCCCCAAAAATACATATATATGATTTGATATATGATATATGATTTGAAATTGTTGACAGGTGTCGAAGGACTGCTGGGCAAAAAAAGCACCTTCTTTTAAACCTGACTGCATTAAATATTAACATTTGACTGCAGGTAACATGCAGATCCTGATACTTTGATGACAGCAACGTAGATCCAAAATCCACTTTTGAAAGAATGATTTTTTTTAAATGTATTACTGTATCTTAGTGGATATATTTTTTCCTTTCTTTACATTTTTTAAATCCTTGTTCTGAAAAAAAAATTGAAACAGTGTAGTTCCTGGGTTTTGATTATCAGGATATAACATTGAATTTTGATTATTTTGAACCTCTCTATGTCAGCATAGGACCTTGAGGTTGCCCCATGTTTACTAGTTGGCCGTTTAGTGTCATCTTAGTTAATCTTAACATCACCAGCGATGTTACATGAACAGAAAAAAAAATTCTTTTGAATCATACTGGCCAAGTTTTACAAAGACTGTAAAACTTTCAAGGAAACAGGTTTAAAGACAAATGCCAGGGTTAAGACAGTGGAATAAAAACATGAACGTAGGAGTAATAAATGTTGTTTTCAGGTTTTTCAAACATATTCAATAAGAGATGACTGCTTTTACATGTTACAAATCTTTTAAACATACAGGGCTAAAGTACTGGCCTTCTTAAACCCCATATGCTGTTGTTTTGATTTTAAAAGGAATACACTCATAATGTTTGACATGGATAGAGTGTTTATTCCTACTCAATGAAAGGGCATCTGTTCTTTATATTTCTTCCCTCTGAAATCACAAGAGATATATTGATGCACACTCCCACTGTGAGCATTGTTCTGAAAGTTTCATCATGTTGCAAACACTCCAGCATTTCCACATAAGCAAATCTTAAAAGTAGTTTAGTTACAGGCTTACCTTTCTGCGAGCAATGGTGATTCATGATTACTCATATAATACTATTAAATAATAAGGCTGGGACGATATGCTTTTCTCCCAATTCGATTCTTCAACAATTTTTTGGATGCCGATTCAATTTAAATTGCGATTCTACGATATTGTCGATTTTCTCAATTTTTAGTTTGCATTTTTAACACCAGTGAAACAGTTGAATGATTATGATTGTCTACTGACTATTCCAGTAACCATATTTCCCCCAAAAAAATACACATCACATGTAGGTCAGTTTTCAAGATTTGTTCTTAAATTTGAAAAAAAAAATAATAAATTTTTTTTGAACATAAAAATCTATTTGAAAATTGCAAAACAAAAAATCCTGATACTTATATGAATCGATTCTTTCTCCCACCCCTGGTGTTAAATATTACATAGTTGTATAATCTGTTGTGGTTGCATTTAGAAGATTAGCCATTTGGCACTTTGACTCATTTATATTTTTAACTGCAAAGTCCTGCCAACCTGAGCGCACCATATAGCACTGGGCTTGCATCAATGCAATCCACATTAGATATTCACATTTACGTCCATACACACAAACCTTTCACTTAACCTCATACACACCTGGGTGGAGTAATGCAATTGAATACAACAGCTTTGCCATACATGAGTTGTCAGTTTTTGTTGCCATTGTCAGACAGGTAATTGATATAGACCAGGGGTGTCATAATCAACCACAGCAAGTGCCATAATCTGGATTTAAGTCTAACCTGAGGGCCAAACAGGGTCAACAACTTAACCCAAACTGTCAGCCTCCTTTTCAAAATATAACAAAATCAGCGATGATTATAAACCACTTGGAAATTCAAAAAGTAAAAAAGATACATTTATAGGCAATCTATAGGCAAGTAACGCTTTTAAAGAGCAATTACAAGAGGAGTAATTTGAAATCATAAGTTTGAAAGGTTAAAATATGAGATCAATTTGAAATCAAGAGTTTAAAGTCAAAATATGACTTAAAATTGGAATCTAAAGGATTAAATGACAAAAGTCTAAATACTGAGTTGAAAAAAAACGAAGCTCAAAATAAAATCTTGAGATGCAAAATTGGAAATAAGGATAAAACACATTTTTCCCCCACATTCTTGACTATTTATCAAATCTTCCTTACTCTTTACTTTCCCAGATTTTCATGGTTTATTAAGAATATTTTAAATAATTTCCTGGAGGAAATCTGCAGACCTCATACTGGTGGGCCACTAATAATACAAATATGATATGATCCCGTGGGCCAGATTTGGCCCCTGGCCCTGGAGTGTGATGTAGACTAAATTTGTTATTGAAGACAAAGTGGGTGGTGGTACTTTATTAAAAGGCATTCCTTGTAGTTTTTCCACCTCATTAATGAACATACTGAACGCCCTCCAGCACATGACAAACATCCAGAACAACTCCAGCATTTACATTAGAGAATTATTATTCCCTGACCATGCCAACACACGCTTCATAAGTGCAAAATCATGGTAGAGCTGTTGTATTGGATTGCATTGCCCAAGTGTTATGTCTGTGCAGTGTATTTGCCAGTTCAAGGCTATCCTGCAGAGCTCAGATGAAGGTGATGATGATGAAGCTCTTTGCTGATTGCCTTTCTACTTTCTACACCATCTATGGCTGAATGTGTAACCATGTGAATAAAGAGATAAAGATGTTCATGCTGTAGCCTCAAAGAGAGCTGTCCTATGAAGGATTATCGTTACACATAACCTTTAATCCTATCTGTGCTGTGCTTCAGCGGGGGGGCTTTAGTGGAAGAGGATGCTGCTGAATGAGACACACACAGGTGGGAGCTTTAGTGTGTTTACTCTGGACGGTCCTGACTGAACAGAGGAACTCTAACAGGGCAGACAGAGTGAGGGCTTGGATCACAGTCATGTTGGGTGTAGCTGTCAGCACAAACACACGCACACACACACATTGAGTCTGCAGAGACAATGTCAAAACACTACATGTTTCCCTCTGTCCTCCCCAGTTAGCATTAAGAGGCTTGTTTGTTCTTACCTAAGTAGTTGGTCCTGATGGTGTTAGGCTCGTTGTATCCTATTAAGCGTTTATTTACATCCCAAACCAGGTTTCCAGAGTAGGACATTGTGAGAAAATGTGATTTTAATTAACAATAACATTGAAACCGAGCTAACCCTTTCCCCTTTTATTTATCGTCGCTCCCGTTTTGCCATACAGATCAAATCCCTGTCAGTCGGGACGGGCGGTGCTATCGTTAGCTGCCTGCGACACTCAAAGCTCTCATAGCTGGATGTGAAAGAGTCGCTGCTGTCCTGTGCCCGCTGTCCTCCCGAGTTTACATTCACTGTTTGGCCGCTCTGTCTGCTCCGCTAACTCCCTGCCCGTCCTGCTAGCTTAGCCTGGTTTATTATTTCTTCAGCGGACAGCTGTCCCATAGTAGCGCGATATTCTGCGTGATTTAGTAGACAGGATGGGAGCGCTCCTTTAGAAAATAGTAGCAGCTGCCGGGGCGGGGTGTACCGTGAATACGCATCTATCTATCTATCTATCTATCTATCTATCTATCTATCTATCTATCTATCTACCTATCTATCTATCTATCTATCTATCTGTGGGTCCCGACCCAAAAGTGAGTCACGGACACGTTCTGGATGGGTCACGAACAGCTGGTCAAAAAAGTAAATATGTAATGCGACATTTATTGATTATTTGATATTTTTTTGTACACGTAACTTCAGTAGTTGTCGTCCTCACGTTGTCCCCTTCATGTGCTTTGAAATGCACTTTACTCAATAAAACAAGTGGATCTATGTTAAAGATTGGAGTCTTTGGAGTTTTTTTTTATATAAAAATTAAATTTGCTTGATTTGAATTCTATAAAAGTGGGTCGCGACTTAAGGACCATGAGAAAATGTGGGTCCCTGAGTGAAACCAGTTGAGAACCCCTGCTCTAACCGATGAACGGATGTCGATAGATGTGACAAGACAGATTAACTTCAAAAATTATATACAGACAGAAATAAAGATAAGAACAGATTTAGACATAAATAAAATAGGGGTATATGAAAAACTAAAAGGACATAAATGATTTTTCTGCAGACTATCTTTAAGTTTAGCTGATCACTGGATGTAATGCAATATTTTTATATTTTGAATTGTTGTAATTAGGGTATTTTTCAGACAGTTTTTATTTGTGAAAGCATCATTTCATGAACAAATAACATTAATATGTTTAATTGCATTGATTATTTGTCAATGAATAGATAAATAAATACATATTGTGTCCTCTCCCTTCAATTTACAGTTCAGTTTAGTTGCTCTTCGTGCCTGTTGACTGGGTCTTTTTGTGGCAAATGTAATTTTCTACCAAATACTTAATATTTACGGATATAACCAGAGCCGGCCCAAGGCATAAGCGAACTAAGCGCCTGTTTAGGGCCCTGCGGCCAAAAGGGGGCCCCCCAAGAGCAATCAAAAAAATATATATATATATATATATATATATATATATATATATATATTTATATATATTTTATTTTTTGCATGTATGAGTGATGCTTTCTGTATGATCAAATATATATTATTATAAAAATAAAATAAAGGAAAAACATTTAAGTGCTGCTGATGATGTAGGCCTATGATTCTTAGTGCCGACATTTTAAAGCTCCGCTAACATTAGCATTCAAAGAGCAGGGAGTTGTGGGGCCAAACAATGTTGCATAAAGGGACATATCCTTCAGGGGAAGAGAATAGAAAGAGGAAGAAAAAGGGAGGAAGAATAAAAAACACCAAGATGTTTGCATGTCATGGAATGTTAATCAAAGAGATTTGTGAAGGTGTGTGAATGATCAACAATCAATATTATTGGCAGAATTAGGGGGCCCCAAAATCAAATTTTGCTTAGGGCCCCATTGAGGCTTGGGCCAGCTCTGGATATAACTTCTTATAAAGCAGCTATAATGGGCTTTGAACCCATATCCACTCCCACTGCATTAAATGCTCCACTTCCTATGCCAATAATTCAAATAATTTCAAAATTCCACTCCCATCAAATAAACTGGGGATGAAAATGTTCTACAGACAACACAAACAAGGATTTAGTGCATCCCAAAAATGATACCAAGGATAATCGACGGTGCTGCGTGTGTTGACTGTTTTACATCTTCAAAACATAAGTTTTTTATTGTGTTTAAAACAACCTAAAGATAAATACACATCAAGTATCTTTAGCTGTCCCCAAAACATTGTTTTGTCTCTCCGCCCAGTTAAGCTACGCCGGGAAGAAAAACATGAATTCCAATCTTAACCAATAGCATCGAGGTTATGATAAGGCAGACCAATCAGTGCAGAGGAAACTTTCAACCCCGCCTCTCACGCGGTTGGTTGCACCGCAGGGAAAGTCACCTCGTCGGGTCGGTCAGAACAGAAGCTACTGTGAAGCTAGCAGAGCTAGCATGGTCATATTAGTGTGAGTGGAAGGTCGACAGTAGGACAGCAGCATCCTCTCCTGTCACTTTAACTTCCTGCCGTGTATCTATTTGACAGCAGCGCGCAGATAACTGAAGCTCCTGAAATTCTCTGGATTTAAACACAAGGTCCTCAGCTAGCTAAGCCTTTAGCGAGCTAGCATCAAGTTCCGCTCAGTGTCTTATTTCCCACCTTCATAAATTTACGGTCATGGCTGCACTGAGAGCGTCCTATCACCGGATTCTGGACAGGGTCGAGCACATGCTGCCCGCCAAACTGAGACCTCTGTACAACCACCCGGCAGGTAATGCACAGTTTAACCCCCACCTGAGTCCTCGGACCCGGGCTGGGGTTTGTTTGGGACGTGTCAGCTGTTAGTGTTGGTGATGTTGATGCTCGAACCTCGACCTCCATCCAGCCTGTTCTTGGTGTCTGAGCTGTGTGAAAGTCAGGGGTTCATTGTTGTCAGCGTTGCTGTGGGAGACCCTGATCTGCAGGGATAACTGGGTCAGTCTGTGGTGATGGTGGTGAGGGGGTTTATGGCAGGAAAACTGCTGCCTTGAGTCATATTAATATCACATAACTTTAGTAAATAGAATAAAAGTCCCATGATAATGGAGAATAAGAATAATGAATATTGTTATTATTTTACAAGTCTGCTCCTCTTCCTTAATATGGCTCATAATATTTTCCAGAAAAAAATGGATAAGTGTGAAAAATAATGATCTTTTCTCTGACTGAGAGACTTGGAGAAAGTTGTATGTGTCTCAACCTGCCCTACATAAATCTGGAACTCTAACTTTTTATGCAAAAAAGGTAAAAAGAGGAAACAAGCACATCGTCTCAATTCTGACTCTCCAAGGCTGGTATTTAATGATTGGATTCTTAGCTCAAAATACATACTCTGTATGGACTTAATTGCTATCAAAGCCACTTAAATTATCATTATTATGCTTTCAACATTTATCCTGATTTCCAGTATTATTGATTTTTCCCAGTCTAGTGATGCAATGTTGAAAATTTGAGTAATCTCTACAACTTTCTGTCTCTTCAGGAGGGTTTATTTTGGCAGCTCATCTTTTATTAAAGACAGCAGACTATATAAGGCAGAAAGAAAACTGTCCAGTATGATCCAAGCCAACAGCAGTATTATTCTCAAATTAGAGTGCCTTATAAAGTGGACAAGTTTCTTCTGTTCAGTCAGTACATCTTACACACACAGTGAGCTCTTTGTGACGTTGTTATTAACCAGAGAGGACTGAGATTAAGGAGTCTTTGGCGTCACTGAGGACAGTCCGATCTCATGTTTTGTCTGTATAAGAGACCCGCAGCTCTGATTGTCAAGGGCAACTTTTTCAAGTTTAAAGTGGGCGGCAACAAAAAGCCACCTCCCTCCATACTGATTTGCGGTGACTGAAGTCTCACGTTGAGTCTGAGTCTGAGTCTGGCCTGCAGCACTGGGCGGGATTGTTAGGGAAAGCTGGTTTCAGATCAGCTGCCTTTTTATGGTCCTGACCTGTACATTTTCTCCCTTTTGCACAAGTCTTAAGTGAGGCTCCAACTCGCCTGTCTGGTTTGACATCTTATCTTTCTGCTAACTAGATAAGCCTTGAGGACAGATAAACTGTCTGAGTGAGAAAACACTGAAAAGACAAACCAAGACAGTATATCACCAATATACTATTTATCTGTACAAAAAGATAGCTGTCAAGGTCAAGGCATGTTTTCACTGTGGAGTGACATGAATAAGATATTTTATGTCATGGCTTTGCAGCGTGTTTGTTCTTATTGTGGTTTTCTGTTTGGAGGTTGAAGCAAATTCATACATTGTCCCATAAAAATAGACAGAATCAACCTTTAAAAAGTTCTTAGGTGGTGTTTTATTAACTTGTATAGGATTGTAATCGACAATCAGTAACAAAAGCAACTCACATTAAGCTTAATTGAAGTTTTGTGCTGCTCAAAATCAGCCTCTGAAAGAAGACATGAGGTTATTTAGTGCAATCTAAAGGTCAGATTCTAGCTTGAAACACTCCCTTGCTTACCCCTCTCGTTACTAAAGTGATGGTGGCCTTTGAGGACAAGAAGTGCCCGTGACGCGTAATAAGTATGATTTTCTATTTGACACATTTTTTCTATCAAAAACTTCTGCCAGGCCATTTTATTTTGCACACAGTTACTCTCTATATCACAAGTTTGTCGATTCTGTGTTCCCACAAACACATGACTGTACAAGGTGGTGGCCTCTGTGAAAGGAGACCACTCCTGTATAGATGTAAAATACTAAGTTAAAGTGAACAAAAACAAAAGTTTAAAAACAAGAATGGCAAAAGTTCTTGATCTCATCTGTCTTTTTTTTTCTGAGATGACTTTGAGAGGCTGAATGAGATATCGGTGTTCATTTGTAGAGTTTAACATTAGATTTTTGCGTTACTAAGTGAGTATTATTCTTTTGTGTTATCAATAACTTTCAGATTTTCATCATTTGGTGCTTCCTCACCCCGCTCTTGTTATAAAGCTAACCACACAGAGCCCTTTGAGCTCTCTATTAGGACTTTAGGACAAGCTGCAGAGTCTACCTGTCACACAGCCACTTAGAGTCAATTAGACTTAAGTTTAATCTTCACAGCTATTAGAAAACACCAGCAGGCAGATTAGTCTTCTAAAAATAAATCATCTGTGATACAAAATTATAAAACAACAACAACAACAACACCTCCATCGTCTAATGTTTTTTTTTCATTCTCTCTCCTTTTTCTTCAGGTCCAAAAACAGTTTTCTTCTGGGCCCCAGTGTTCAAATGGGTAAGTGTGCAGCTATATTATTCAATATTTTCTCCAGCTTTAAAAAGGGGAGAAAAATGAATTGACATCAATAACTGACATGTCTCCTCTTCATGCTTTCAGGGTCTGGTCATAGCTGGTTTGGCTGATATGACTCGTCCAGCAGAAAAACTCAGTACCTCCCAGTCTGCAGTGCTGACAGCCACAGGTGAGATTTCTCTGTGACCTCGGTTTGGTGACGTTCTGTGTTTGCTGCCTTAAATTCTTGGCGTCATTTTGACAGTAATCACATCATCAGTCTGGCATGTTAAGAAATCTGTGTCTGATCTGGGCTAAAGGTTGTCTGATGCTTCCCCTTCTTCAAACAAATCTTATCTGTGTCTCTTTTGCCAAAACATAGACTCTGTTCTCGTGATCAGCAGTTTGTTTATACTGCCAATAACCTTCACTCTCACTTTCGTCACCAGGCCTGATCTGGTCCAGATACTCGTTGGTCATCATCCCAAAGAACTGGAACCTGTTTTGTGTCAACTTCTTTGTGGGCAGCGCAGGAGCTTCTCAGCTCTACAGGATCTGGAGGTTTGTGGTTCAGTTACAAGATGATTAAACTATCACCTAGCATTGAACGACATGACTCATCTGAATGATCGATTATAATAATTGATCACTGATAAATATGAATTTCCCTCTCACTGCTGATAAGAATTCATGCTGCAGGTTAATGTTTAAACACACTGTAGCTGATACAGTTCAGAGTGGCAGTATATATATGAAATACAGTAGTTGTTATATGTGCTCTGTTTTTAACGAGTGACTGACTGAGATGAAACATTTACTAAGAGAGTAAAAGTCACTGACTGACTCAGACTCTGTCATACAGTAAATAAAGTAAGCAACTATAGTGAATGAATAAGGAAGATGATCTCTGCCAAGTCAAGATTTTACTTTCATGTTGGAAATCTGTATTTCAACCTGAGGGACCAAACCCAGGGACTAAAAGCACACTGTATAGAGTGTCGCCATTTATGTGTGACACAAAAACACGAGTTGTTGAAAGTTTGGCGTTTGTGAAAACAAATGTATGCACACTCTTGTTTATTTACACGACCCTGTACTTTTTTGTGTTTTGGTTATTTGAGTTGCTTTTGTTCCTCATACCCTGACCTGATCAGCTGACTTTGATAGGAGTGACATAAGAACAAAAAGCTTTTGACAACTTATCGCTAAGTTTTTTCAGATGCTATGGTGGAATGGATCAGATCAGTGTTTTTCAACTCGTAAATGTCTCATAATTGATAAAAAAAAATTACTGATACTGTTTAACTAATTTTTGTTTTCAAAATTAAAACACCACACACAATCTCCAATGATTTAAATCCTTTTCTATCTGTTAAAAACCTTAAAAACAGTTTTCTATCCTTTACTTCCTCAAATATAAATCTAGTTATAAAATGCAGCATCTTGATTGGCGGCCGCGATCATGCGACACTTCCCTCCATCAACCTGTAAGCACACTTGCAGTCAGGAGGGAAAAACTGAAAACAAAATGGAGAGACAAATGTAAAGACGGCTCAGAGAGGAACGGAGACACTGACACCAAAAAGACAAAAAGAAAATATAACAAAAGTTTCCTTCAGTATGGATTTACAAGTGTCATTGAGAGCAATGAGGAAAAGCCGAAATATCTGCTGTGTGGTCATGTCTTGTCTAATTCTAGAAAAAAAGTGTCTCTAGGGTCTCCAGAAATTTGTGATGTCAAAATGGGGTCACTGCTCAAAAAATGTTTGGAACCCCTTGATTAGATCGAGTTTAGACTGTGAAAGAGTCCATGAATTATAGCAGAAGAATTTAAACTCTAATGGAGAGAAATAATCCCAGATTTCTCAAGGCTCATCACTCATCAGGAGTCATTGCTGTACAAAATACTCTTGCCTCATTTGAGTTTTACATTTCCCATGATCGGTCTGAACTCTCAACACTAGTTTCAGCCTTAATAACGTTGATCCTCTCCTTCTCTTTTCCTTTCCATCAGGTACAATCAGGATCAGAAGGCTCAGGCTAAAGCAGCTGTAGAGTCCTGAGAGCTCTCTGTTGCCAACACTCCACTTCCTGCAGTGGACTGAAAAAGGGAGACGTCACTCTGGGCACGAGCCTGCCCCCTTCTTCGTCATCTCCACATCATCCCATGCTGTCTCCATAACATCCATGCCATAACCATTACTCCACCATATTAAGCCTGTCGTCCCTGTTGGAAATGTGCACTTTTCCTTAAGTTTCAAATTTCCTCAGGGTGTTTTGAAAGAAAAAAAAGAACAAGAGAGGACATTTTTTTTAACTTTAGTCAACACACAGTCAAGAATGGAGGTCATCAACGCACAAGTACAACTTACTCAACAAGCTGTATGATTGTACATTCTTTAATTTAAGTTCATGCTTTATATCTCATGCACTAGTTGGGAAGTTTTTTTGCTTTTTCCATCAATTTTCAGGTGTAGCAATCAATACCTCATGCAATAATTTCCCAAAAACACACATACATACATGTAACTCTTGGATTTGTGTTGAACGTAGTTTAAGGAATGTTTCCAAATGAAATCTAGTGAGGATGTCATCAGATTAATATTTTCATTCACTTATTTATAATTTGGTATTAGTCATGCCACCTGTACCTCATTGATTATTAAATCATTATTGATTACCATGTAATGATTCCTTCCATCCTAAGGCTTTAATCTTTTTAACGTGTGTGAGTGCAAATCATAATTTATGAACCACGTGATTTAAAGAAAAAGTTCTCATGTAGTGAAACTTTTAAACTATATTTTTTTCTTGTTCTTATCAGGTACACTTATACTCAGATATCACTTATTAAACGTGTGCAGTATATTCTTGATTGTTACACTGGTAGTGACATGCTAACATTTCATCATCATCAACATTTCACCTCTTTGTTTCTAAAAAGGTGTTTTATATTCCCTCCTAGGTTAGATTACTTCTTACTCCAGCTATTCTCACTATACTTAGACGTCATCACCCCTGACTGTTGCAGCAATACCTGGTGTTATCACTGAAATATTTCTTGATCTGCAGACTGTTTGAACAAACGGCACTTTTAAAGTTGATCATGATGGCTCTGTGGCTATGTAATGGATATGTTAAACTAATAAATCCTATTTGACGCCTATGGCTGGTTCAAAGAATGAATATCTGACTCTTGACAGATAAAAAGTAGCAGGAGCTACATGTGTTCACATTTTAGTTTTGGAATCTGATACAATCTCAGTGGGACTGTCCCAACAAGTTTCTGTTTTACGATAAGCTTGATATTCAACCAGTTTGATGTTATTCTGCTATGTAGCAATGCACCCTTGCAGGTATCAGTTGATCAGTAAACATTAACACTGACCCTGTCAACAGACATCAGCTGATCAGTAAATAATGTCTCATTCACTGATGTCAGTAGCTGATATCGATCTGTATTCTCTGATTTTATCTTCATCTCATTGATATAAATCTGGAAAACTGTTACACCTTATCAGTTCAGAGAAGTGGTTTTTATGTGCAGATGAAGCCCCCTGCTGGACAAATACGTCAGTGCATGAAATCCTACAGCTCATAGAAAAATGAGAAAGAGAAAAATATTGAAGAGTTAATGTAAACATCATCGGTAGCAGCAATAAACACCTGCTGGATTTAAAGTTTAAACATAGGTGAAAGTATTGGCTCCAATTTCCATGATCGGTGCATCTCCAATTTTATCTGGTTATTCAGGCACAACATAATCAGTTCATAGATGCAAAGATATTTGGTTTTGTTGTTTATTTTGACAGTATTTTGGCTCTACTTCAAACTCAAGTAAGGAACTTTTGGTGTGTGTTGATTTTGGTTCCCCCAGTTGACAGGACAGGACCTCTCACTGATCACATGGTCCTACACTTGTATTGGTCATGATTGTTAAACAAAAGAAAATTAAATTTAATATAGAGAGAATCTTTGCTGTAAAAATTTAAAAAAAAAAAAAGTTTGGTTCTGAGTCGTCTTGTCTGACACAAACACACTGGTGGCTTCTGACATTAATTACAGTGTAGAAAATTTCCACCATATCTTCTGCCATGTTTGCCTCTGAAGATCATAAAGAGAAGTCAGTATTCATTGTCTGTTTCATATCTGAATCAAAAACTTCAAGCATCAAGATACTATACTTAATCCAATAAGATACTTTCTTCAGAAGTTACTTTTTACAGCCTTGAGCTTTTTCCCCACCAATCTACACATTCAGTCATGTTGAAGAGGAGACATTAGACCTTTAGTTTATCAGACAAGTTTATCATTTCCCTCAGCATCCCTTTAAAGTATTTAGTCAACAGTGATGTAGGAGACTTTGGAAAGGTTTACTCATGCCTCTGGCTATCCAACAGTCAATGTTGTTACTGTCAACACTAATGATGTTTGATTGTAGACATACTGCAACATCATCTCCTTCTGTGGCCCATGGTCAGCACTCAAGAAGTGAATTCCAGTTTCTAATACCCACAAAATCCATATTGGAATCATTGACAAACTTTACACTCGTAATCCTAAATTTTAACTCAATTAAAAAAATTCTTGTAACGCATCCAGTTTTGCTCTAACAGACCAACTGTCTTCAGCCTTTTAGTTTTAGTAGATTTTGAACGAATTAAAGATAAGCTCTAGAAGTCTGACTTATTAAAAATTATCTTGCTGTAACATAAGTGTATATACAGTTTAAAAAGAACAACAATGACAACAACCATATCACTGGTTAGCCACAAAATTTTATTAACAACCATTAACAAAAGTCAGGTTTAGCGTTTTCCTCCAACACGAGGTGCGCTGACTTTCATGGGCTTGGCGATTTTGGGTTTCTGTGCAGTCTTGGTAGCAGACTGCAGAGGGAGAAAGAAACACGTAACATCAGAAAAAGCCTCGAACAGAAGTTGTCATATTTACTACATTTTTTTTTTTTTTCTATCCGTCTTTTTTTTTCACCCTGCTATTTGCACAGCGGGTCCGAGGACTATAATTTCATATATGCTGTTGTATAGCATATATGACAATAAAGCTGACTTTGACTTTGAAAAAGCCAGCAGTGTTCAGGTTGACAGTACAGCCTTTTGGATTATTTGAGTAAAAAAGATACTGTTTGTGTTGCCAAATAGAATCAAAAGTAAAGAATCACAATGCTCTTGAAAACATTTGCAAACTGTTAGGTTTTATATCAATGCAGTGAAATTATACGAACAGCTTTTTCTGCATGTTTGGATATCTTACCTTTGCACTTGGGGCAGCTGGCTTTTTGGCTGCCTGCTTCGCCTTCTTGGCCTCCTTGGCCGCCCTGAAAAGGATGAAGGTAGAAAAATCAGCACAAAGACCAAAGGGTGAAAATATTATGTTTTGTTGCAATCTTAAAGTCTTCACTGGAGAGCGAAATGATCTGGGGAGGAATGAGCCGCTTTGCTTAAACTTATCTCCCAATATTTGTTATTTCATTGAAAAAGAAATCGACACCACAGTCTATATGCAGCTTTTCAGTTTTTCGGTCAATATGGTGCTCATTTCAGGTTGCCACTGAAAAATGTCAAAGTTTTTATATCAACTTAAGCCCACATCATCAGTTTGGTATAGAGTGAACTGCTTCAAAGTCTTCCTAAATCTAATTTCATGATCAAAACAGACAGCAGGGTCTGACTCTGCAAGCTGGCTGTGGCCTACTGCATTGAGTGGCAACATTCAACACTCAAATTCCACCATTTGAAATGTAAAATGTGTCTTTCATTACTCATCAACACTAAAGGGTTAACATAGTCTGATGTAAGTAAGGGCATTTCAGGAATCTGGAGGTAAAAGAATTTAAAAAAATGACTTGAAGATCTGTATCCTCACCTGATGGCCTGCTCCCTCTGGGCCTTGCGGACCTCGGGCTTCTGGTTCCTCTTGGCCATGATCTCAGCCAGGGAGGCCCCAGTGATGGCCCTCTGGAACTTGACTGCGCGGCGGGTACGCTTCTTGGTCACCTCTTCCTGTTAGGACCACATTCAGACAAGATTTATCATAATATGGTCACATTAGTCACACATGGTCACATATAGTACATATGTGTACACTCGTATGATCACACATCACATGGTTAGACATCCCTAACCGTTATTCACTGAAGAAAACTGGAGGGTTGAGCCCCCAACTTTAAATCAACTGAGGTTTAAGTTTTAAGCTCAGCTGATGAAGAAAAGCTGCAGCCCATTTGTTAAAATGAAAACTGAAACAATCAATTGAAAAAAGTATTGGAAAGAAAATCAGTACAGAAGTCTGCTGCTCCACAGTATACTCATGTCTGATTTGGTGCAAGCTGATTGGTTGCAGGGTGCTGAGTTTGAAACCACCAAAACCAAGTCTATATGCCATCTGTTACCTTGCCATTAAAATTAACCTCACATATTACAAATGAAAAACACAACCACAAAAAAATATTTTAGAATTACTACAAACATTTTGGTTATTAGCCGTATATCAACAGGCTACTTCTATGTTAATTACTTAAGTTTCTTCAATCAAGACAGATTTTAATCATGAGGAGCTCTAAACTGAGTTTGCTTTGCAGTATCCCCAAAGAGGTTTTTTTTCTTCCTTTGTTTTTTCACATTTGCTTGCTGTGATAAGATAACAGAAACATCTATGTTGTAGGAGAGTTTGGAGGCTGACCGATGGTGAGATGTCAGTAAGAGACGTCAAGGGCCAGTACTATGATCTCCTGTTGTTCTATGGCTGACAGTGCGGAGTGAGCGCTGCTGCTCTGCCTGCAAAACGCAGATGAGCAACAACACATAACACAGACTAAAACAGTGCACACCATTCACCTACAGCCAATGTTGCAGAAGAGGAGACCGACTAAGAGTCTGATATTTCTTTTAAGCAAGCACACCAGTAGTATTAAACTGTATCTAAATAAGCACTTGAGTTGAGCATGCTTATTTTTTTACTTACAGACTGGCCCTTCTTGTGCTTGCGTCTGTACAGCACAGTCCAGTTGATCTGTCTGGGGTTTCTCTTGGCCAGGAAGGCGGACTCGCATTTGGCGTTCAAAAACTGGAACACCTAAATAAGGAGATAAAAAAAAACACACTTAATATCTGGAATAAAGCATTTCTCTTGTCACCAGGTTTGTTTAGCCTTGATATTAAACAACTAAAATAAGTTCACTATCACATGGTGCCTCAAATTAGACAATCAGACACTAATGGCCTTTCATTATCACCTTAAACAGAGTACTTTGCAATACAACAGGACTGTCAATATCACGGTTTGTTGTAGGAATCAACACATAAACTGAGCATAAGTTTGTCAACAATCACATTTGGAGCAAGGAAATATTCATGTGATCTGCCTGTCTGTTCAGTATATGCAAAAAAGTGAAACAATACTCCAGCAGAGCCACAGAGAGGCAGAATAATAGTTTAGTTTTCTACTTCACTGGTACACACACACATGCTAAGAGTTGAAGCTAGCGCTCGCCGGTTTCATGAACTGGGCCAAGCTAACTAGGCCTTTTCCAGAGACTATACATGGAATTACCGCTTAACAGGACAGAAGACAGTTCAAGAGACACAACCAGGTAGAGTTATCGTCATCATCTGAAATGCGGGGAACAAGCAGCCGATGTGAGGAGGATTTCTTTTTTACCTTTCCGTCTATCCTGGCGTATCGGCGGCCATGGCCGGGGTATATCTTATACCCACTGAAACTGCACAACTCGACCCTGAAATGGACAAATATAGAGCATTACTACAAGATTGTGATAAATTAGCCTCTTTCTTAGAGTAACATTGTAATAATGTTTATTTCTGTGTTCAGATGACATTTGATTATATTCAGTACACTCACTTCATGATGGCTACGAGAGGGCACAAAACCGGAAAGAAAGATGTCGGAAGCGGAAACTGAAATGGTACGCAAGAAACCGTGTTTTATAACTTATTAAACAATTTATATTTTTTTAGTCTGTTGGATTTATCTGCATTGCTTTACGCATTAAACACATTTTTAAAATATTTTTGCTCTCTCAAAAATTACGATTTAAATTCATGTTTTCCCCAATCGCTACAAAGATGACGTTGGAATTAGGCGGTTGCCTAGCAAACAGACCAGAGAGCGGCAAAGTGGCGCTTTTTGTTGTAGTGAGATAATGATCAAATTATTGAGCACGAAAAGGAATTTGGACGGGTAAATTGAAAGATATTTATGAACTTTGATATTTTGTATCATGTTGGCGCGTAGTTCTCCTTCTATACAGCAACCCGCTAGAAGAAAGTCAACAAAGATCATTGTAGTTTTTACCACCACCAAGGACCTATCAGAGCAATGAACAAGACGGGTCATTCGAACTACATTTCCCTGGAAGGCCTCGGTTCAGCCGTTTGACAAGCGATAGACGCTTCTTGTCTTTCACACTACAGTCTGCAGCTACTAGAGTTGTTAGCTAAAGCACCGTGTAGTCTGTGGCATTAGGATGGGTGTATCAGATTTACAGTCTGATAAACACGCTGGTAAGTGACTCGGTTGCTGTTCGGGTCAAACAGACAGCGAGGGTTTATGCTTTTATCGGTGGTAGTTTGTTAATTACTAGCTAACTTAGCATGCATCATTACCACAGGGTACCACTGCTAGCTTGTTTTACTAATATAAAGGGTATCACTGGAGTCAGATCCTAATATTCATAGTTTTCCCAACAAGCGGTTTCTTTCAGTCCTTCTCGTTTCTCACTGTATGACTAGTCTTCGCCTTGCCTCTCTCCTCCTCTCTCGTCTGTGAGGGTTTAAGGTAGTAAAACAATATGTAGAAATATGTATTAAGGAATTGGGAAAGAGCAATTTAACTGAGTCGGTGTTGCAGAGGCCAAAATATTCCAACTAATCTTAAAGTCCTCTGTTAAATCTAGCCTTAGTGATTAGTAAAATGACAGCTGTGTGTTGCAGTTGGTTTGATCTCCACTTTCTTTGCACCTATAGGTCCTGTGATGGATCTCTCAGCCATGGGTATGCAAAAGCTGGATCCTAATTTCATGTGCTCCGAGGACACTCACACCCTCATCCTGGATCGCAACCATATAATGAAACTGGACCATCTGGAACGGAGCCCAGGTCTTAAGCAGGTAGTGAAATAAATCCAAAACATTGTTCCTTCTAATCCATTTATATACTGAATGACTTACATAATGACTTTTCTTTTTTTTTGTGCCTTTTTTAATTTTCTCTGTAGCTTTCTGTTGCAAGTAATCGTCTGGTGAGAATGATGGGCGTGTCTCGGCTGACAGAATTGAAAGTCCTCAATCTTCCCAATAACAGTATTGGATACATCGAAGGGCTAAGAGACCTTCCTCACCTTGAGTGGCTCAACCTATCTGGGAACAATATAAAGGTAATTCTGCCACACATAATTTGAAAATGAACAAATATAATATAAACGTGTAAAAAGTGGTGAAGTTGATTCATATGTTGCATGCTTTTAACTCAGGTCATTGAGCAGCTCAACAACTGTGTTTCCCTTCAACACCTGGATTTGTCTGATAATAACATATCAACTATCGGTGATCTCACTAAACTAGTGGCGTTAAAGGTATGTTTTTTTCATGTCTGGGGTAAAGCATCACAGACAGATTGTACAATAAAGGTGCTGGATGTCTGTCAATTTTTTTTAATTTCTGTCAATTTTGCAGACACTTTTACTTCATGGAAACAGCATCACAACACTCCGTACTGTTCCTGCTCACCTACCTGCTCATTTATCCATCCTCTCTCTGGCAGAGAATGAAATTAGGGATCTTAATGAAGTAATTATTTCTCTCTCTTACTCAGTAAAGCATCTCTAATGTTCATTTAAATGACATAGAGGATGATGATTATTGACAGATGTTATCCTGCTTACTCCTTAGGTGTCTTACCTTGCGCCCCTCCATGACCTGGAGCAGCTGTCCATCATGAGCAACCCGTGTGTTATGTCAACCCCCTCATTGCCAGGTTTTGATTATCGGCCTTATATCATGAGTTGGTGCCTCAGTCTAAAGGTTCTGGATGGCTATGTAGTGTCACAGAAAGAAGGGTATGTTTAATCCTAAGCGTTTAAGATTAATTAAAGTGAATTACCAGGGTGCTGAATCGTCTAATGTTTTGTCATCACTTCAGTCTCAAAGCAGAGTGGCTTTACAGTCAAGGAAAAGGACGATCCTACCGACCAGGTCAGCATGTGCAGCTCGTTCAGTATCTGGCCACTGTTTGCCCTCTGACGTCATCACCAGCCCTCGAGACAGCAGAGGACGCCAAATTGGAGAAGATCCTCAGTAAGCAGAGGTACAAGCATGAAGTAGCAGTGCTGCAGATAATGGAGCTGCTATATAATCCAAAGCTACTGTATGTTTTCTTTGCCAAAGATTGTTCTCAATGGAAAAAGGTTTTTTTTTTGTGTGTGTGTGTGAATATGCTTTGATGGACATCTTGTCTCCAAGGTTTCACCAAAGGCAGCTGTTGGAAGAAACAAGAGGAGGGTGTCCCAGCCCACCCCGCCCCACTCAGCTGGATGTGGAGAGGCACAGTCCCTCTCATGAAGGACCACAGGGTGGAGCCAGAGAGCCTAAGAGAATCAGTTCACCTGCACCAGCTGCTGCGCCATCATCACGGGAAACAGGTAAGAAGGCTGCTTTGACACTCTACGGGACAGTTTTGTTGATCTTTTATCATCTTAACTATTTGGATTGTTCTCTTTTGTACAGAGCCAGTTGTACAATTTAACACCTGGGTCAGCTGTGATTCATCCCAGCCACCATTGCCAGTATTTCGTAGCCTAAGGCTTGGAGAAGAGCATATGTATTTGGAGGATGTGCTGACAGATGAGGATAAGATAAACAGCAGCATGCTTTCCTCAGAGTCCACCTTCCTTCCTGTCACGTCTGATCTGGATCCACCAATGACCCACTCTGACAGTGAGGATGAGACAGAGACATTTGAACCGGATTCACTGGCTCCTAAGAGGCCAGCACAACCCAAGAAGCACAACACTAATAAAACACATCAGTCACCAGTTAACAAGCATGAGAGGTGTCCTGAAGAAGAAGTTCTTTCTTGTGCAGCTGAAACAGCTGGAACACCGGCACTTGGAGTAAGCACACTGCAAAGTGCTCAGAAAACATCCTCTGACCAAAGTGAAGTTGAGATAAAAGAAGCCACAAAACAGGAGGAACTTTGTACAGGTGCAAGTCATTCATCTACAATGAAGGCAGACCAGGCAGCGGTTAAAATACAGTCGTGGTGGAGGGGACAGCACACTCGCTGTTGTCACCCCATGGCCAAAGAAGTGCGCAGTGAAATCCGCCTACGCAGGATGCAAGAACACATCCTCTTCTTGTCTGAAAAATTGGACAGGTACCTCAATGACTTTCTGCTTTCCTCGTGATGTAGTTTCCGTTCTGCTTTATGACGGGTTGCACTTTGACAGATGCTGTGGTCTTCTTTTAAAGATATAAATATGAGTATAAACACCAAAATGTACACAGATTCAGATACTGCAATAATGAAGAACATGTCTGTGTACAGGGTGCAGCAGCATTATGAAGAGGAGCGCTTACAGAGGCTGGTCCAAGAGGAAGCTGTTAAGTTTCTGTGGAAACAGGTCAGTTCTCCCTGGTTCAATGACTTGTTGGATAAAATGTTGCTCTTTAGGGGACTTTAGCACTTTTAGGGGACTATTCTCCTTCAGTTTGAATCCTACAACACAACAATGTACTTTTAGTGAAATTTATGATAAGTTTAACTTACGCAACGATGTTGGCAGTTTTAGCCACATTTACACTGATTGAAGGGGTGAATTCTTAAGTTAACAGCAATATTTACTGTTCAAGGTGTTGCTGAGTCCCATGGGAATTGTAGTACTTTGACATGTTTTTGGTAATAAACTGAAATAAATGGAAACTCAGCAAACAGCCCCAAGGCCAGAGGGACAAGAAAAAAAAGCTAATGTTTGTGATACCACAACATTTGAAAATTGTAAAAACTTTAAGACAAGGTTGAGTGGTTGGCTTTAAAAAAAGACAGACACGATAAAGCTGCAGATGGCTTTCATGAGATGAGATAACTCAAATGTCTCATTAATTCTGCCTCAGTATGACACCTTGTTTGTGCTCCTTCTGTAGCTCCAGTCTATGCAGCAATGGAAGCAGTCTGTGGAGCAGCAGATGGCTACCATAACTCAGGCTGTCACTCCAGCTCTGATCTCAGCTCCTACACTTTGTGAGACTGCCCCACCTCTTGTGTCCAGCACAAAGAACCCTCCCAGCACAGAGGTCTCCTTCCCAGACTCAGGCTTCCCATCCACAGGTGATCAGCGGGCGACACAGGAGGACAGTTTCTTGAGCAGTGGGACAACAGACTCTTTGAAAACAGTTCGAGCACTAAGTCCTGTTCCTAGTGGTTTTGCTGTGGACAGTGCAGACTGCAGCCTATTGGAGCAGTACCTCTCCTCTGTACAGCAGAGGGAGCAGGAGGCAGAGGAATCAGTCAGTGATAGAACAGAAACACCACAGCCCTCCTCACCGGTATCGCCAAACAAAGAAGCACAGGACAAGTCCTCCCTGGAGAAGGCAGACAACCATTCAGAGGAGCAGAGCAGGGAGGAGAGCACTTCTGGCCCTGCCTGAGAGTGCACCGCTTATGGGCACTTGTACAAAGCTACTTATTGTGTGTAAATGGGGCACTATCTGGAGGATCAGATGCATTGGTCCCCGTGTAGACTTGTAATGTCTGACAGCTGCTATTGTCTCATTACTGGCCCGAATCTCAAATGACAGTGCACATACTCTCCTTTGTTATTTAAGATTAAACAAAAGGCAGACATGGAAGTAATATGTTCCTGTGAATGTAATTCAAGTGCTTTTCAAAACTTGGATCTGTTGTCTTAGTCAGTGGACAGTTTTCCCCATTTGTAAGGGTAATGATCGTCATGTAGCTTTGGAGGACATTTGGAACTTCAGTGAGTGGGTTGATATGTTTACTGATTGAAAAACCTGGCACAGTAATATGTATTCCCTCTATCAATATCCATCGCATATATTACAAGATACAAGGTAAAATAAATCATACAAGAGATTAGTGTGTAATTCAAACCCCTAAAAATACAAGACAGACAATAAGTAGTATATCTATAACCACATACTGAATAATAACTGTTTTTATAAACTTGAGATACATTACCTGAAAATGTCGTAGCACCATCTTAAAAATGTCAATAAACTCAACTGTTTTCCACTTATTGGGTTTCCATTTATGTTGAAATTCCTAAAATGGATTTTTCTTTAATAGTAAAACATTTTCATGTTTTATAATGTATGGAAATAACTGAGGTATTAAAGTTATTAGAACTAGAGTCTAGAACTAGAATTAGGCTTTAGTGAAAATGACACAGGTCTTTAATCTCAGTTAAAAAAAATAGGTATGACCTAATTAAAGCTCCTGTGAGTGACTTCCAGTTTGTGTTGATTTTGGCGACACCTGTTGGCGAGGTCATACTCATTGCATCTTCACTGATCTTCTCTACATCTGCAAGTCATGTTTGGATGTTTTGGGGGTTACCATGAGGCAAGAAAACAGGATATGGGTGGAGTGGTCAGATTGGGATATACTTCATATCAGGTCATGGTGACCCTCTCTCATGGTAGCTTAATTGCAATAACAGGAAATCTGGCTCCAAAAGATAGTGGCAGAGAAAGTCACGAAGGGGACTTTCGCACGCACATTTGGCTAAAACTAAGGTCCCTGACGTCAATGGAGGACTATAAAAGATATGTGGATGGGCTGTTTTGCTCATGAGCTATTGTTCGATGCTGTGATCGGAATAAAAACCCCGCCGAGAGGCTGCCAGCTTGATTCTGTCTTCGTGTAGTTCATTTCTGCACTTTTGCACCGAGGTCATCTTCTAAACAAGTCATGTTTATGACTGTACATAGAATGGACGCCGTCTGCCTCCTTGCTGGGTGAAGTCACTCTGAGAACAATGCCCTCTGTTGATGGGCTGTAGTATAGGTTATAAATCCCGCCTCCACCAGCCAACCTTATGGAGCTGTGGACAAACTGTAGAAATTTATTGCATAGAACATAAATTTTTCTCCCCCCTGGTTGTGATGTTGACATGTAGTTATTTTAAGACTGGTTTGTGATCAAGTCCCCTTTTTCTGTGAAGCTCCGTTTATTTAAAAGTTATTAGGAGGGTTCATGTTTTCTATAATTGACACCTGATACAGCCCATCGGCATTCAAGGATTGTGTAGCTCACCCGGGGGATACGCTGTTTGAGCTGAGCTTCATCACATCGACTCTTCCGCCAAGTGTGTAGAATGCTACTGCGCAATGCTGGTTTCAGGAAAAAAATCGCGGAAATACCAAGAGCTTTTTGGCTTCAAATCCGTATACAGGCAGGAGGCGGAACCAAGTTGTCCATAGTATATACAGTCTATGGAACCCACTCATTGTTGATCATGTCATTCTAAGTCTTGTTGCACAGGTCAAAAACTCTCCACAGGAGCTTTAATATTCATATTCACTTTATGAGGTCCACTGATGGATGTCTGTTTACTTCCTGCTTGACTATAATCCATGTTCATTTTCTATTTAAAAACACTACATTTATTTTTGGCATTTTAATCAAACTACTCAATGGTACAATGTTAATGAATACATCCTATCGAGGAAGACGCTCATTTGCGTGCATTCAACTGCTACATGAATAATGACCAACAGGGGGCGCAGTAAGGCTGTTCGACCCACAAACCCGCCCCCACCCCAACCCTGTTTCTCCCCACTCATGATCACTGTGAGCTCTGGAGAGCGAGGAGGCTTGACATGTTTACTCCACCGGCTCTGGTGTGACACTCGGACCGCTGCTTTGTCCCCGGATACAGCGGTCGGACCCTCCACTCTCTCCTCCTGCGGTTGTCTCTAACGGCTCGCCAACATGTCAGTCCGTCGCCGCGGTGTGTAAGTATCGGGGGGTTGTAGCGGCTGAAACAAAAGCATCACCTGCATTAGCTAACTGGGAGTACGGTGCTTTTCTCTTTATGTAAGAAATGAATTTAAATAACCCTCTGAGTGTTTTATGTTAATGTCTTCTTATCATCACTTGATTGTTGTCCGCTGGTGCTGGATAGTTGTCGATGAATGACGAACGGTAGTGGACCGTTAATACTTTACCGTTATTTACGTGACGTCTCAAGATGGAAGGCTGGTGTGAGTGCGTGCTGAACGTAAAGCCTGTTTATAGTCACGGGGGTCGTCTTATCTAAAAGTGACAGAACGGTGCAGAGACGTGCAAATGTGGGTTAATGTAGAGGAAACACAGTAAACAAACGAGCCTTCATTTGGTTATTTATTACAATGATTTGAGCTTAATCATTGCGCTGTCATGTTGGAATCTGTCTATTAATTGAATACTTCAATGCAGCTCGGGGAATAAGATTACTTGATTGACTGAGGCTATTTCTATCTGACAATAACATATACATTTTTAGTTGTTATTCAGATAACCCAAACCGGTGGGAAAGCCTTGCTTAATTTTGTCAGACCATGTTAAAACCAACTTGACATGACTTTACAGGGGAGCAAGTAGGGGAGAGTGGGGTAAGTTGAGCCACCCCCTGTTGCTTGGAAATAGTAAAAGAAATCGATCATGTGACCAAATATTTAGGAGATGGGCATCATTTCATGGAGTCTGTGAAGGTTAGAAGCACATAGGTGAAGGGGTTAGACATTTATTTACAAAAAAATACATTTTTAACTCTTGAAAGTGAATTTAGTCTGTCATAAGTTTGATTAGAATTGTGTTCAGACCAAAAAAGATCATTTTGAATTAGCTTTATACATCAATTGTGGTATCTATGAGTTACAACACAAGGTCAAAAACTTAGCATTAAAGTCCACCATTTTAGCCTAGAGTTGAGCCATTCTGATGAGAGGCTCAGAGTTTCAGTTCAGATTGTTAAAATGTGTTACTTTTTCTTTTAAAAAAAATACAGCTGTGAATGTTCTGAATCACTTAAAGACATTCTCATGTTAGAGTGGCTTTTTACAACACAGCTTCTTAACAGTGTGCATGCAATGAGTGACCACATGTCAATACATGCAATAATATTAAAAAGAATTATTGTACCAGTTGAATAGCATATAATAGATAAAAATACACATGAATGTGAAGAAGTGACTGTGAAGGGCTGGGGTGGAGAGTGGGGGGTAGTAGGGATACGACTCAACTTACCCCGCTCCTATGGGGCAACCTTTTTTGGCATGCTATATTATCAAGACAGTTATGTTTACACTCATTCTGTTTGTTTGCAGCGATGCACAACATCTTGAAATATATGCAGATACACTAGTTAGAGACAAAACTATGATTGTCTTGATGTAGTGATCTGAAATATGAAAAATGGCTCATCTTACCCCACTCTCCCCTATAAGATGATTTAAGAATGAGATTAAGACTGAAGCTGCTTGACTGCTGTCTTACCTTTAGACATGACTTTACAGGGGAGAAAGTTTCATGTCAGGAAGAAGACAAAAAAGTTAGCTGCCCCAACAGATGTTTGAGACCACATTTATTTCTGATTACCTACAAGCTTACTATTTTTTTTAAATAACAATGAATAACAGAAGTGTGATTTCTTCCTTGAATAGCGATGCTCATTCTGCAGCATCATGTGCTGAGGAGGAAGTGATGCCTTCATCCCTGTGGTGACCACACAGAGAGAAACAGGGCCTGATCATGGGAGACAGAAGGAGGTCACCATGTGCCGAAATCTCTCCAATTATGCCCTTATCTTCCTCTTCCTAGCTCTGTCTGGACTCATCTTCCTGTTGCGCAACATCCACACTGTGGAGGTGAGAGAAAAACTTGGTTATTGGTTTCCTTGGTTCCATTAAAAGGGAAATGAATGTATTGACCATAGATTATATTGTGGCTTGTGAGGACACTTACAGTAAAGAGCTTCTCTGTGCAAAGTTAGAGTGGTTTGTCTCTCAGTGCATCACTGTTGTCATGGATCCAGGCCTGCAGCAGCCATGGCAGGAGGCGATATGTTTACTGTTTCATGTCAATCTGTTCTCCCAGTCTCATGAATGCTGTATTTCTCCCTTTACTGAAGAACTTGCTTCTTTATTTCGACCAAATCTGGCAATTTCTGAAAGGACAAGAAGTTAAAGGTCAAATTCGCTGTCATATAATGTCCTGGCAAAAACTTTTCTTGCCGGAAGAGAAGATTCAGGGCATATCTCAGATTTGGCCCGAGGCTGAAGTGTTGACGCAGTCTTTGTTTTTTGTCTTGAAAGTGAACAGATCATATGTGAGGCCAGGTTAGAGATGCTGAGACACCTCAAATCTAGAATTGGTTGCTTCTGTAGAAACACCCATGTTTGGACTGTTGTCTGCTAACATTGTGTACTATGACAGAAAAAAATGTAAGTCATGTAAACACATTAAACGAGAACCAGATCCAAATTATGGGAGAAAAAAAAACAATGAAAAGCGACAGCGGAGACTGTATTTCCTATCCTGATCAATAATAAGATTTAATCGTGGAAAAAAATGGTACAGATGCTTTGTAAACAAGTCTAAAGACAGGATGCAGTCAGACAAACACAACCTCAGGCTTGTCCAAACTGACCAGAGCCACTAAACATTCACTTAATGACAGAGGCCTGGAAAGAGACAGACAAGACAGTTTTACGAGGGCAAGGGTAAAAAGAAAAAACACAACTGAAAAGAGAGTGAGAGACACTGGTTTCTCTAGAGGGAGAAAAACCAGAGCCGAACATCTGTGATGAGTCAATAACAGCCAAAGAAGAGAATAATGGCAGATTGCCAGGCTCGGTAACAGCACAAAGGAGAAAGAAAGAGAGGCATGCAGATGACTTGAACTCGGCTGATTGTGTAGGCATACATCCGCTAGGTTGAAAGAGGTTTCGGTATAACATGACCGTTGAAAGAAGCCACAGTCATTTACAGAACTGCTCACTTAGTCGCACTGAATAGCTGTTCTCTGTGTCTGGTTCTGCTTGAGCTTTCTACCTATTTATGAATGTTTTATCCTTGACACTCATCAGATGTTGTCAAGTGCTTTTTTTTTTATTTTTTAAGAAATGCTTTCTGACTTTAACACTTTTGTAAAGAGAGGATAGGACAGAGGATAGTGGAGGAAAGCAGGCGTGGGAGTCTGGAGGGACATGCAGGAAAGGGGCCACAGCTTGGAATCAAACTGACTGAGAGCTACAGCCTCATCTCATGTGACATGTGACTTCACCACTGGGTCAAACCAGCGTCCCTGCTACGGGCAGCTGTGTATTTATCCGTTGGTAGAGAATGGATTGTCCTATATATCGCACACCACTAATCTGTGCTGCCTTTGTTTCCAGAACTGGAACTGCCACACTGTTTCAGCCCTCTACCAGCTCCAGAGCAGGATCCAGTCATCCTTCATCCCTGTGAATCTCCCCACGTTTCACCACAACCACACCTTCTGTGCCCACCTGGGCCAGAAACCCTCCCCTGAAGATGAACTGGAAGAACGCTACCTGTTGGACTCGATCACCTGGCCTGGGCCCCCGCCCCGCTCCACACCGCCCTCTCTGCGGCAGACAAGCGACCCCGTGCACAGCCTGTTTGCCATCCTTCCATCCAAGGAGGGACGAGAGTGGCATGTGGGCGACCAGCTGGAGGTCCTTGTCCAAATGTACGACTTCCAGGGTCGACCCAAGCACTACGGTGGGGATTTCCTTTTGGCCAGACTGCACACTCCAGAGCTCGGAGCGGGTGTAGCAGGTCAGGTGTTGGACCACCGGAATGGATTTTACTCTGCTCTGTTCCCATTACTTTGGATAGGGTCTGCCCAAGTGGAGATAACCCTGGTGCATTCTAGCGAGGCTGTGGCTGTGCTGCGACGGTTAAGAGAAGAAAGGCCTGATCGAGTTTTTTTCAAGAGCCTGTTCCGTCTGGGCTTTCTGTCTGAAACTACTTTGTGCAACATGTGTCTTCCCCCGGACCAGCAGCCTCTGTGCAACTACACAGACCTTTACACTGGGGAGCCGTGGTACTGCTACAAGCCTAAGATGCTCAGCTGTGACACCAGAATCAACCACGCCAAAGGAGGCTATCTGAAACATCTCATCACCAACAGAGAGGCACTGCTCTTTCAGAGGTTTGTGCTGTGCTGGGATGGGGGAATATGTCTTAATATGACGTGCCATTGAAGGGAATATCCTTAGCTTAGTTACAATTAAGATTTTGACTGAGTTTTCCTCTGCACTTTGTCAAACAGAATTAAAATATCACCAGATTTAGTTCAAGTTTGAGCAGTCGCTTATGACCACATCTCAATAACTTACTGAGCACTGTATTAGAGTGAATGAAGGGCCTCCTCAGACCTCTGGATAAAGCACCAAACAACTGTCTCCTACCTCCAAGTTGTGGCTTCAGACAGTACTGGTGCAATATTCATTTAAATGATCAATCTTAAAGTCAAGATCATTAAGTACATTTCTCTGCTGTCATCTGATTGCAAATCAAGACACTGGTACAAATTGCTTTACAGTGTAAATATGAGCTTTAAAAACAGTATTATGCTGCTAATCGTTGACTTATCATCTTTGATTATGATTTGACAAAAAATTTATTCTGTTTCAAAATGACTTATTTAAAAAACCCAAATCTTTAGAAATGTAATTTTTCTGTAATGTGATCATAGACTGTATAAACTATGGACAACTTGGTTCTGCCTTCCGCCAGTATATGGATTTGAAGCCAAAAAGCTCTCAGTATTTCTGCGCTTTCTCTCCGTTTCCTGAAACCAACATTGCGCAGCAGCGTTGTACGCATTCAGCGGGAGAGTGGCTGTGATGACGCTCGGCTCATAAAGTGTATCTCCTGGGTGAGCTACGCAATCTTCGTACACCCATAGGCTGTATCAGGTGTCAATCATAGAAAACCTAAACCCCCTAATAACTTTTAAAAACGGAGCTGCACAGAAAAAAGAGGACTTGAGCACAAACCAGTCTTACAATAACTACATGTCAACATCGCAAACGGGGGGGAGAAAAATTTATGTTCTGTGTAATAAATTTCTAAAGTTTGTCCACAGCCCCACAAACTTTGCTGGCGGAGGCGGGATTTATGACTTATACTGCAGCCTGTCACCAGAGGGTGCTGTTCACGGAGTGGCTTCACCCAGCGAGGAGGCAGACACTGTCCATTCTATATACAGTCTATGAATCTGACTTAAATCCTATGTTGTACTTTAGGGGACTTATAAACAGTGACAGAAATATTGGACATACTGTAACCCAAATAATATTGTGTTTATTCCAGTGGTGTAAACATCAAAGTTCACATACACGCTTCAGGAGTTGACAGAATCAACGTGCTGCCTCCTGGAGACGGTACAGTACACCCGCTGTTACCCTGACAAGTTGTGCATTGTGTAAAAGAACAAATATGTTTTGATTAGTTCGCTTCAGGACTTTAATTTCATTTAAAACATTGTTTCTTTTTATCAGACAAAGTCAATGAGGAGAGCAGCAGTGCAAAGCCAGACCCCTTCAAGCTCGCGGCATCAGGATATTACTACGAGGACACATGGCGGCCATTAGGAGGGGTATCAATGCGCCAGTTCAATGACTCCTCTGCCATAACTCAGTGTTTGAGGAACAAAATAATCAACATGTATGGAGACTCTACAGTGAGGCAGTGGTTTGAGTACCTCATCACTTTAGTGCCAGGTTAGTCTTTGCTTTGAGTTTCACTCTGCAGTTTGTCTGTGTAACTTCACCGCCCTAAAGTCTGTTTATTCTTTCCTACCTAGAATTAAGAGAATTCAACCTGCACAGTCCTAAAAATGTGGGGCCTTTCATGGCGGTGGACAGCACCCATAACATACTCTTGAAGTACCGCTGTCACGGCCCACCCATTCGCTTCTCTACTGTCATTGCCAGTGAGCTGCGATACGTCTCAAACGAGCTGGATGGCCTCGCTGGAGGTCCTGACACTGTCGTGGTCCTCAGCATTTGGGCCCATTTCAGCACCTTTCCTGTTGAGGTTTACATACGACGGCTCCGTCACATTAGACGAGCAGTATTGAGACTTCTGGATAGAGCACCTGGCACAATGGTTGTGATCAGATCTGCGAACCTCCAGGCTCTGGATCAGGAGGTGAGCCTGTACAACAGTGACTGGTTCTCCCTGCAGCTAGACGACGTGCTCAGAGCCATGTTCAAGGGACTGAATGTGCTCCTGATAGATGCTTGGCAAATGAGTGCAGCACACCACCTCCCTCATGCCCTCCACCCCCCTCCAGTTATTGTTAAGAACATGATAGATATGCTTTTGTCTCACATTTGCCCTGAGAAGAAAAAAAGCCAAAAGACATAGAAGGAGAGTTATTAGAGTGAACTGTTTTAGTTTTAGAAGACTGAGAAATGTCCTGACTGATCCAACCAACCAGCTCCTCTTTTTTCACTGCTAGTAGGGGAAGGCTGTGCTAAAAATGGAAAGCATTCTCCAAAGCGGCAAACCCTTTAAACACCATCTGTAACATTAGCTGTGCCAGACTTGTGGGACTTTTCTTTTAAATTTAAATTTTTGTTTTTCTTCATTTTAATCCAAAAAAATTTTCATTTTGAAATTGCCAAAGAGTTTGGCAGACTGTTACTGCCCATCTGTGTTTGTTACCAAAGTATTATTTGTGTGTGTGGATGTGAATGCAGTATTTTTGCTTTAATCCTCCATGTTTGCAGTCGGGTTTCTGTCGGGGTTGAGGTTTGATTTTTTATTTTGTCCAAAGCCGAGCACTCAGTAAGTCCTTATTTCTCAGGCTGGTTCATGTTTAAAATATTTCCTCATGATTGATTCATTTATCATCATTTTGACTCTTAATTTCCTCATCAGGTTCTTTAACATGTCAAATGAAATGTAGCTCTCTTTGGATTTGATGTACACTGTTGCTAAATGACATCCATAGTGGAACATTTTCTGCATTTTGACCCTTAATCATCACTTCAAGTATCAGGCTTTAACTGTTTTACCCTCTCAGTCCCTCTAAATTGTTCCATCTTTCTTGAACCCGTTGATTCCTCTAACTGATCAGACCTTTTCTGCCTTTCAGCTCTGCTTAACACCCACTAATGCCATTAAAATGTGAGCAGCTGTGTGTTCTGCATGGACATTGCCATTTTTGGTATCTGTCATTGTTACATTTAAATTCCAGATGCTTTTCATAGGTACAGTATATATTTTATCATGAGCACCAAGAGTTTTTTATCCAATTTTCAAGAAGAAGAGGAGGAGGTCAGGAGAAGAGAGAGGCTCGAAGCAGAGAACATGTGCCTATTCCTGTGTTAATCTCTGAGTGATCGGAGGCTGGCTACAGCGAGACTTAACCGTGACAGAAAAAGAGCGGAGGTGCTGTAATACTTGATGATATCTGCTGTTCTCAGTTGTTCTTTTTTAAATGTGGAAATGCTCAGCCTCCTGCTGCTTTGGAAAGCTTTGTCATTTCTTCAGGTGAATCAGTCGGATCCAGTCCAGATCATTTTGATCATGCCTCATGGTCTTTTAATGTTCAATGCAGTTCAATAAACTGTAAAGATGGCAGCACAAGGATTGTCTCTCAGTGAATGTGGTTTTCTTGTTTATGGAGTTTTTCTTTTTTTTTTTTTGTTTCTTTATTTGTGTAATTCTCTGTAACACTTTATTTGATGCCTATCTCTATGACGCATTATAAATATATGTATAATGCATTATAATCACGTTATAGCACTGTATAACTATAGTTATAAACACTCATAAATGATCATAATTCTTTATAGCAATAATCAGAACACATTATAAAGCATTTTATCATGACTTACAAGGTCAGGTATTATAATGTGTTATAACTGTTAACAACTCACTGACAATGCCCACATAGATAATGCAATGCAACTGTTGTTAACAGATATAACACATTATAATACCTGACCTTGTAAGTCATGATAAAATGCTTTATAATGTGTTCTGATTATTGCTATAAAGAATTATGATCATTTATGAGTGTTTATAACTATAGTTATACAGTGCTATAACATGATTATAACGCATTATACATATATTTATATTGTGTTATAGAGATGGGCGTAAAATAAAATGTTATCTAATTCTCATAAATATTCCTGTTTGCACAAAAAATCAGAAGTTATTCAGATTTCAGAGTCATTTTGTGATTTTCTACATATTTATGAATGAGTAGAAACATGAGAAAACATTAACTTTGGGGATGGAGGCAACTCTACCAGACTTTTTTAGGTTTAATCAATCACTTTCCTGAGAATAATAGGGCTAACAAAGAAAACCACTTTATTCAAAATTGATTTTAGGTGTTAACCCCAGTGTCACGGAGAGGACAAAGATGTAGACTCCTTTAATGTGATAATAAATTCTACCAATCTAGAACTGGAGTCACGGGGCCTGAACTGCTCACTACTTCAATCTGGTGAGTGATCTCAAGAGGCAGGAAATGCTTCTTACTTTACAAAAAGATAATCTGACAGTATTTTCATTTACGATCATCATACAGACAGAAAAAGGCTGTTAGGAACACTGAGAGAGCGCTAAGACCAGGACTGCTACAACCAAACACAACAGCACATAATATGAAACACTAACCTGATATAAACGTTAATGAAAGTGTCACATGGGAGTCTGTAGAAAACACTAGATACCATTGAGCTTCTTTTGTTCGCATCCAGGTCAAGCTGAGTCATTACCCTTAATGGTTGTTTTTCAGGCCACAGGGGTGGCATTAGTTTTAATGACCTTGTGGGTTGAAATCATGGTGTACTGGTACAGCAGCTTATCGTTCGTCCATATTTTGCAATTCAGTTTCAGGAATCTGATCCTTTTTTTGCACAAGACTTCTTCCTAACACCAAATAGAGATAATCTGATAGCCTTGAGTGGTTTTCTAATAGTGTCGACATAGTTGTGTCTACATTTCAATTTCTAAATGTCCTCGGAAATAGAGAAGTTAATCTTGCAAATGTGGTATTGGTAGTGGCAATCAATGTCAGTTTGTTTAAAGGAGCAGTACCAAATTTTTATTCCCCTTTAAAGTTTCAATCATGTAAGTTTTGTCAGATTTATAGAGGCCAGAGAAAAGCTTCTTCTGATGTACACAATCATGCCTTACACTCGTCTTTTTACTCTCGTTCATACCAAGAAACTCTATGAAGTTTACTTTTATCTGGGTTAATTTTGTGAAATCTAAAGAGAACGTTCAGGGAAACTTTGAATGAAAGTTAAAATTATAGAAAAGTTTGTTGGAAGAGTCCAAAAGTAGTCTGAGATTTTAAATCGAGGTTTCTTAAAAGTTTTACATAAATAATTTTATGGAACTTTAATAAGTTTTCAATCCAAACTTTGAATAATTTCCTTGAATTGGCTTTCATGAATACAATAATGGAACACTCGCCTCTGAAGTTGATGGATTAAGCACATAGAGTTGTGAGCTCTGATGAATCGTGAGGCAATAGAGCAGCGTATCCATGGAGAAAGTAGCTGGACAAAGTCGACTTCTCAATTTTGTATGAGGTTTGATTTGGGAATTTTTCAAGCGGAGAAAAGTATAAAAAGTAAAATAAAGTCTAAAACAATAAGACAGTTTAATTACAGATAAGAATAAAATCCTAAGTAGCTGCAAACTAAACCAGCAGATTTATACTAGAGCGATGACCAAAAGATGAGAAATAATCCCTCACACCACCCCGGAAAAAAGAAAACTCGCTCACAATCTTTTGTCAATTTTATTCCAAAATTTCATGTTCCCTTTGAAAACTTCAAGCATATCTCTCTCTGTACTAAAGCTGGCAGAGCATCATGTTCTCTAGGAGTTAAAGATAAGATACAGTTCATCAGTAACTTTGGCAAAAATACAACACCAGGCAGAGCTCTGTAAAGGAAAAACACGCCTATGGTATAGAAAAACCTCCTGGTGAGGCTGCAACCTGCACAAACTTAATCCAAACACATTCACTAAACAAGAGCATCGCCTCTGATAAAAAACTAAACAGGACAGAAAACAAAGACGTGACAGACACCACTGTGTTTTCTGTCTTGTGTGCAGGTTTTAGCAGGAGTGTGAGACAAAAAGAGGCAGTCATGTGGCGGAGTCAGATGTGGCCTTTATGACCGCTGCTCTTCTCATGGGGTGAAAACAGAGAGTTTAATTCATAACACGGAGCAGTGATGTCAAGAGGTCACACAGTAAGAGGCACTGAGAGTCCCTGTCAAATACTTGGATACAAGATGATTCCTATTTGTCTGTGTCGAGACAACAGAAAGCATTGCGCGAACTAGTTAGCGACCTTTTTAGTACATTTATACCGACTGATTCGGTTCTCAAGAAACAATTTAGTCTCTGCGAGTGCCGAGCACTGAGGAGTCTTTGCCGAGGGTTCTCCCAAAAGGAGTGTTTAAGTTGGAGCTATACAGGTTGTTCTTGTTCTACTTGATATGCTGTAATGTGACCTTAAAATGTTTGTGTTTAAAATCAAGTACAGAGAAATGATGAAACTTGTACTAACAAAACTGCCATGAGAAAGTGAAATAAACACTTCAACATCGGAGAGTCAAAGAAAACGATGGCCTGACACTTAATCATTACATAACCATTAATATGACACGAGACCGATACAGAAGACAGAAAGGAAAAGTGACAAAAGGAAAAAGCAACAAGGCAACAAATCTGAAAGGAGGCGATGCAGAAATCATATGTGAGGCCACGGCAGCATATTTAGAGTAGTGGCAGAGGAGTGCGGGATCACACGTCCTGGACGTTCATGGCGTCCTGAGGCCAGGTGTACGTGTCCAGAGAGAAGGAGTCGTAGTCTGGACTGTAGATGTGAGACAGCACGAACGCCTCCTTGTCTTTAGGCTCAGGGTAAACCGAAGCAATGTTGTGTGTGTATGCATAGTTGATGATCTGGAGGGAAGGAAAGGAGGAAGTGAGGAAGTACCAAAAATACTCACAACAACAACAAACAATCAATTCAGAGCATTTTCATAACGAAAGGCCTCAATAGCTCTGCTCTTTCATTTGTTTCTGAACTGGTAATTTACCATGATGATGCCACATACAAACATAAACACACAGTTGAGGTTTTATTATACCAACTTGAGAAATGAGTAGAAGATGACCCACCTTTACTGCTATCTTGAAGGAGACCTCTCTTATAGTGCTCAGAGGAGGATAAAGTCTCCCCTCAGCCAGGTGCTCCTCTGTCACCATGTTGGCGATTGCCTGACGGATACAGTTCGAGAAGAATTAAATCAATCTGAAGTCAAAAAACACATTCCCACGAATATAAAATCATTATATCAACAACATGTTATAAGTGATGAGAGTACCTCTGCTGTAGTGAGGAAAATGTCATCAGATATGTGGCGCACCCTGCAGGCGATGACTCCCAAAGCAACTCCGGGGAAGACATAGGCGTTGTTGCCCTGGCCGGGGTAGAAGGTGCGTCCATCAGATAGTGTCACCTTGTCAAAGGGACTTCCACTGGCAAAGATACCCCGACCCTAAAGAGAGAGAGAGACAATGGGAAAAGGAGAAAAGAGAGAAAGGGTTACTTTGGAAATAATATATATTTTTTGCGCAACATTTCTCTAACAGTAGAGGGCAGTAGTGTCCCATTTTGAAAATATCAACAAATGGGTCAGATTTCCACAAGATGACTCCACCGTATGAACTAAATTCTAACCATGAACAGCTGGAGGCACTGTCTAGAAAATTCATGCAATTTTTGTTACAATTATGATGAAGAGGAAGATTCAATTCCACAGCTTAATGTTTTTGTTTCATAGTTAGAAATTCTTAAAAGTGATAGACTTTTCCTCAAAGTTGCAGAAAACAGAAAAGTATGACTGAAGGTGCTAAGAGAGAAAGAGCAACACTAACATAATTTTAAAAATAGATTTTAACATCTTTGTATGAGGAAGAATCTGGGTTTTTGTCCAGTCTCAAACAACATCTTCATTCGCAGCACCGTGAGGTGGAGTTTTACCTCCGTCAGCTTGTAGCATTGCTCTGCAGTACACTCGGCTTTGCTGGTTGGATTACTCAGTGCAAAGATGATCGGTCTCTCGTTGAAGGACGCCATGTCTTTGATAATCTTCTCAGTAAATGCTCCTGCGATAGCAGCCACTCCTTCATGAGCAGGAAACAGGACAGAATCAGCGGTTTGGGACAGTTTGGTCAGGATAAAACAACTTTGTAAGCAGGTTATAGAGCTATGTGAATGAACTGTGTAACTGTTACTTCTGATATAAATACATCTGACTATAAACTGTTAAACATGCTATCTGCAGGATTCAGACCATGAAGTTAATAAGAATCAGATAACAAGTGGCAATCCCTGAATCATTCCTATCACAGTCAACTCATGACTTCCTCACCGTTCCCTCACTGATAAAACACAGTAAGCATCTTCTCACAGTTTTTGATTAAAAACCTGAAACTTCAGTCAGTTCCTTCATTAGTAAGTTTTTGAATACAGTCCAAACAGTAACATAAATTCCTCCAGAGTTCGAAACACCAAACTATGGAGAGTGAAACAAATAAGAGTGGCCTTTTAAAATGTTAAATAACTAAAACATGTTTTGATGGATGTCCAGGATGATTTGGGTCTTATACAGCTCTGATCCTCACCTATGATGGCGGTGGGTTTGATGGTGTGCACCACCTCCTCTAGGGTCCTCAGGTGTGGGTGATCATGTGCAAACTCTTCCTTTTCATGGTTGAGGTGGCTCCTTCCCTACATTTGTGAAAAGTGTCTCTGGTTACATGATGCTCTTTGCTTTAGAGGTGTCCTTTAAAAGACAGACAAGTGTTACCTTCACGATGAGACCTTTCGAGTCCACCATCCAGATTCTCTTGGCTGCTTCTTCTTTACTCACTCCTTCTTTAGCCATGGCCATGATGAGCAAGTGAGCGATTCCCAGAGCGGCCTGAGAAAATGAGAGGAAACCTTTAATTATCCGAGTACATCACAGTGTCCCAGAAGATAAAGTCCTAGGAGTATTCCAGGGGAAAAGGAGGGTTATTATTATTACTGTTTATGTTTTCTATTTTGGAAAAGCTTATTAAACCCACATATTAAATTAACACATAATACTGCCATGTAGGTGGGTTTAGCTTTTTTGTTAGCTGTCAGAAGAATTTGAGCAAGTTTCCAGTCATTCACATTCCATCTCTCAAATAACATATCACTCATTTATACTGTGCTGCATACATATGTTAACAGATTTATGTATTTTCTACCAGTAAGGCACAAGGAGGGTTATTTTCTTTTCAAAAGAGAATGAAAAGTGTAAGATCAAATCTTCTCACCTCGCCTGCTCCTTGGAAAACAAAAGTGTGGTCTAAAAGTTTGTTCTTGGTGATCTTCAGAGCAGCCAAGACGCCAGCTACAGCGACTGAGGCAGTGCCTGAAAGAAAAGCAGCGACAGAGATGCCAGTGTTTGAACGAAGCGTGTCATGACCCTTTCAAATGAACATTTTATGCTTCATCTGTTATACATTGAAAATAGGGCTGGGCGATAAACCGGAAATTTACAGATACCCAAATTTGACAATAACTAACATCATTTTGCCCGTGTCAATATATTCGGTGTCAAAGAAAATAAATAAATGAAAGTTGGTTTTGGATGTGTGTAGGTAGGCTATGGTCTCATGACCCTTTAAGGCGCTGTCCTACATCAGAGACGTGACTCCACCCCATCCAGACAATAACAAAGAGGAGATGGAGGACGGTTCAAAAGTTGTAGCAGCTGGAGTGGGGGCTGAAGTAGACGAAGTTAATGTAGGAGGGGGTGAGCAGCTTGTGGAGTAGTAATCGTCCATTTATCGTTATCAAAGTGAACTGCTCAATATATTGTGATATTGATTTGAGGTCATATCGCCCAGCCCTAATTGAATACATCAAGGACATCTGGATGTACAAAATAACTAAAAAGCCAAAAGATTCTTCGGTTTAAATCAATCCTGCGGGTCCTCAGTACCTTGGATGTCGTCGTTGAAGGTACAGTATCGATTTCTGTATTTGTTGAGGATGCGAAATGCGTTGCTGTTGGCGAAATCCTCAAACTGTATCAGACAATCCATGCCGTACCTGAGGAATCAAAGAGGAGAGTCGGGGTCAGACGTCAGGATCTCTGTCATGTCATTGGTCGTTTGTGCTGTCACTCACTTGTCTGTCACTGCCTGCATGAACTCATCGATCAGGTCATCATACTCCTTTCCTCTGATTCTTTTGTGTTTCAGTCCGATGTAAAGGGGGTCGTCAAGCAGAGCCTGGACCAAAAATCAATCAGATAATGAACAAGATACATCATCAACACCGTTAATGATCACCAGAGTTCATCAGCAATCTGAACTAGTCTGATTAAGATGGTTGTGACGATAGATAGAAAGCTTTTATAACTTTATGACAGTCTCTTTGTGATCACCTGGTTGTCTGTGCCGACGTCCAGCAGCACAGGGAGACACTGCTGAGGTTTCACACCACCACAGGCGGTGTACAGAGCCAGCTTCCCTACAGGGATCCCCATCCCATAACTTCCCAGGTCGCCCAGGCCGAGGATCCGCTCCCCATCTGTCACCACTATAGCCTGAACAGAAGAGATATATGAGCATTTACTGTCTGGTTGATTTCTTTGACCTCTCAGGTATGAGCAGTTCTGTGAATGGAGCGTTTGGAGCCGGTACCTTTATGTCTTCTTCAGGCCAGGAGTTCAGCATGGTGGCAATATGACCTCTGTCGTGGATGGTGATGAAGAGTCCTCTGCAAAAAACAGAAGAGATAAATCAACTATGCTTTAAGATTGATTATCTGTTTTTGAGTCAGATTCCTGTTGGATTTCATGCACTACAGTCAGTTCATTGAAACTTGCACAACCAACACAGGTTATTCAAAGCCCCACTAAACAGATACCAAGGGGATGATATGGCACATCCCTATTTGTTTGATTAACTCAACAAATATTCGGGGTAAATAAAGAGAGAATCATGATGTTAATTCTCAGCCACCGTTGATAAACCTGTGAGCTTATTTGGCGAGCTGCCAGAGGGACTAACAGAACCAGACTGGACAGATACCTGAAAATATGCACTGAAAGATGAAAAAAATCACTCAAATTTAGCTACAAACTGCTGCACTTGATTACAAAATGTCGCTCTTTTGTTAATAAGAGGAATAATAAATGTTAACAAGTGAATTAACCAGTCAGGTTAGCTCTTACAGGTGTTTAATTCAGCTTGATAACCTGTTTAGCTGGAAGAATCGGCAAAGACGATCTTTCTTTCACTGACTCAGAGTGTGTAGGGTGGATCACAAGATTATGGTTGGCTGTTTAAAGCATAATCAGGTATGGTAACCTCTCTGCACAGGTGAAATCTAAGCTTGCCTGTTTAGTTTAGCCTCTCCCTTCAGTCAGTATATGAGCGGTCTATTCTTAGGCAAGCACAGGGTGTCTTCTGGACCATCGTACATCCTCCACTCTGCAAACACTCCTGTGTGTGGCTTGTGCAATAGATTCATGATGTTATATTTCCATTTTCTCTTTTCTATGCTGTTCTGTGATAGTTTTTATTTATTGTTTTATTTATTTGTTGGCGCTGTTGTGGAGACAGTGAAGCATGAGCTGCACAAGAATGTTTCAGTTTCGCTAAATGACACATATAAGAAAAGATTACCGGGGTCTTCTGAAGGCGAGTCCGTACTGTTGACAGGCCAGGCCGACAGTGGGAGTGTACACGATGGGCATGAACTCCTCGATATCTGAGGTCAGTAAACGGTAGAAGAGTTTCTCGTTCCTGTCCTGTAGTGTCATCAGCAGGATGTACCTGAGACAAAGACAGACATCCAACAGATGAAGGATCCTCTCCTGCTTAAGTTCAGTGTGACCACATCTTAGATATTAGTTTCTATGCAAATGCCTCAAAAAAACAAGACTCTTAACAGACTTTTCCAGATAATGAAACATAATCAAGCTCATCCAATTGACCTTCAAGCTCATCATAAGGTAAAAGTTTCATTCTCATCTTTTATCTGTTCAATAATAAACAAATGGAAAAGTAAAAACAATTCCAATCAACTATTTTTGGTTTGGACACTTTGGTTTTAGTACTTCTATCAAAATCAAGCAGGATAACTTAAACTAAAGTGGTCAACACTGTCAGACCACGGCAGTGAATAATTGAATAGATTTCCTTTCATTAATCATATATTATTCGTAAATACTGTGATAAATGTATAATTCTTGTTTACATGAAAAATGGATCAAAGTCAACAGATTAATCATTTATAATCAGGATTTTTTTTTTAATTCTTAAAGGTGATAAAATAATTTACTTGTGATCTTAAGAAAACGACCAGAGTTTAACAAAAATGGTCCTGTCACAGCTGACACTTAGCCTTCAACGGAAAAAAACCACAATCAGACTCAACAAGAAATTGTCATATCATCCTGCAGACATGCAAAAAAATCAAGATGATAGCACAGCCTTCCTTAGAGAAAATGTGTGCCGATTATAAAATGAAGCTCAAAGTACGAACTCAGAGAGCTGCGGACACTTTTTATCAGGCTGGATCACACTGATACACTCTGATGTTCAGAGGTCAGTGTCAGTGTGACATGTCTGAGATGGATTTGAAGGGACTTCACAAGGTTTGTTTTGAGATCATCTATTGAGAATTTGCCTTTCTTAGGAGAGTGTTTGAAATAGTGTTAAAGTGAGTGAGTGAGTCAGAAAGAGAGAGAGGGGGAGAGAGAGAGAGAGTGAGGTGTGGCATGCAACAAGTTCCCTCAGCAAGGATCAGATCAGAGATGCTGCTGATGTGTCTGAAATACTGGGCCACTGAATAATGTGTGTCACGCATAATGAGACTTGAATAAATGATAACAAGCTCTTTCAGCGTCTCAAACTCATGTCAGATCTGCAGCTGATTGTGACAGCACTGAACAGCCCTCCTCTGTTAATCTGTTCTCTCACTTGTCCAGAGGGTTGACGCGGGTCTCGTAGCTCTTCATGACCCGCAGCACCTGTACGTCCTGAGAGAGGAAGCAGGGCGGCAGTAGGCCGTGGATGCCCAGTTGAAGGCGCTCCTCCAGGGTGAAAGCCATTCCCTACAGGGTGAGAGAGAAAGGGAGCGGTTATACAACTTGATGATGACCCCTAAAAAAAGAGTTCTCTCAGGCTAAAGCCAAAATATGAATAAGAAATCAGAAAACCCAAACCCGAGTGACTCATGTGTTAGTCATCAGAGTAAGCGGTTGGTTATGAGTCATCCTAGTCCCAAATACAGTGTTTTTCCTCTGTACTGGGAGTTATGAATTAGGGGCCGTTTTAAAGTTAAAACATCAGCAAGGAAACACAAAATAAGAGCGAGGGGACTCTGTAAAGCTCTATACATGTCTTTGTAACTTATAGAACATAAGGCTGTGTTTTTATGATGGTATGTGCAGCAGCCTTGCACCCCTCTGCCTTCTGGTTTTGGTTAGAGCTGCTTGTCTTGAGCTGGCATGCTCTCCAAAGAGTGATTGGAGGGGAGTGTGAGGTTTAATCTATTTATTCTGTCCAATAGTCTGGGAGCTTGAACTCACTCCCCTGTCAGCTCGACTTCTCTTTCATGCCTCCTGCTTCATCACTCTCTCCGCTTCCTCTCGATTCCTGCATGGCGGAGGAAACACTGACCTACATGGAGAACAAACCGGCCTTCTGGGGTCAGTTTGATCAGATAAGTTAATACTAAGACCTTTACAAGCATGCCCTATTTCTCCTTTGAGAGTCAAACCTTGTTGATAAAATTAACAATCTGGCAGCACACCAAAGCAAGCCTTGAGGACTAGTTTACATATCATGTTTGAAGATCTAGTCCCCCATAAAAAAGGAAACATGAGCAAATTTCTTTAACAAAAAATGTTCTATAAACAAGATCCATCAGAATTTTTTTCTTAAGAGTTTCAATTCCTCTTTTTTATAGTTATAACTCTTACAATATCAATTATTCAGTACAAGTTTCAGTATTTTGAGACCAAACCCTCTGTTTTGCTGCTTAACGCTCTTCCTCTGAAACAGCTTGACTCAACCTAAAAGTTGGATTTTGATCTGACTTGCAGACTTTATGTGATCTACACAATTATTACCATCATGATAAAAAGCATCCCACTTTCAAGAATACACTGTTTCTTATCAACTAGACTGTACTGAATTGCTTTCTTGTTTTTTTAGTTGTTTTTTTTAGGATTTTCTTCAGTGTGCCATAGATTTTTGATTGAAAAACTCCTTTTAAAGTAACTAAACTCACTCACTTCAGTGTTTCCAAAACTACTTCTCCAAGTTCTCATTTGATAAATGAAAGAATTTGAAGCCTCCCCTGCATGCACACAGAACAACGTCATAAATATAAGCCTCCATATGCACTATAACACAATCTTAGATACTTCCTTCACTCAAAAAATGTCTGTAATCTTAGCGTTCTATCTGAAAAAACTACATAATGGCAACTTTTACTATAACAACACATGGTAGAACAACGACACAAAGCAAGTAAGTTAGAGTGATTCTGCAACATGACAACTGTCATTTCTTAGCCTCTAAGCGGTCCGAGGTTGATAGAAAAGAAGCTCAGAGTGAAGTATGACTTAAATGTGTTTTTTGTTACTGTCAGCCTTGTGTTTACTTAGCAGTCCTTTCACAAACTGGTCATACTGTGCTTTTGTCGAGCCTTGATGCACCAACCCTCCCACAGTTAAGGAAACACTGACTTTTTTCAAGAAACACTTAAAGACATCTTAAAAGCTCAAGATGTGATGTGTACTGCACTGACAAACAAGAACAAAGCTAAAAAGATTCGTCTTTAATTTCACAGGGTATTTTCTCAGTGTGGTGTCTGTTATGAAATACAATCAAGGGTGTAGTTTTCACCCTCTCATCTTACAACTATTACGTCTGCAGTTTTTCCACACACTGACTGCATGCTTTCCAGTTGATTCCTTACAGCTGAAAATACTGTACTCACTACACACTTAATAGCTGCAAACACGACAGCTCTGCCTGCCAGAGGTCATCAAAAGGAGATACTCCGATACACTGATCATGTCTTAAATACCAAACAAGATTTGCACTCCACAAAGACAGAGGCGTCAGCGTGCAGGGCAAGCTTCAAACAACAGGCAAACAACACAAACAACAAGGACAACAAAAGAGGCAGCCAGTGTGAAAGTCACAGGTTAACAGAATTAAGATAAACCTATTAGAGTGAGCAGGTTAAAGTAAACCTGTTAAGGTGAGACTTGAAGCAGCGGCTGTAAAGAACTATAACACACTATTTCTAATAGAGTGAGAGAGTGAAACCAAACCTCTGAGCGGGAGAAACTGATAAATTACAGTGAAGATTATATGACTTCAATTCAACCTGATCAAAGATTACTCTGAGACTGAGACTTTATAGGAGTGTTTATAGCAACATGACCAAAATAAAATGAAGAGAAGAGTCATTTATCTGGATATGAGATGTTATGGTTTGATATCTGGGAGGTCACTGGAATCATTTGGCAGAGGACAGTGACAGAAATCTGGACTTTCACACTTATACAACAAACGATGACTAAAATTACTGTAAGATTTAATAAAATACTCAAGGGGACAATGTTTATTGTTGTCAAAATCATGTCTTTTCTATCCATGTAGAGCTGAACTTGCTGACTCCTTCCAATACACCGACCCGTGAGTCAACATGTAGCTGCTGACTGAGCACCAGCGGAGGAAGGAACATGGACTGACCTCCCATTAAACCAAAATCAAAGCTATAAACTCAGCAAAAGTGTCTGTGTCTTTCCTCCTGTCCTCGTTCAGATAGCATGGCTGCATGAGAGACTCTTTGTTTGAGCTAGGTTTGGAAAAAACTTTGCAAACCTCTGGTGAGTCATTCAGCGGATGTTTGCTTTAGATGTGCTCTGGCACAGGCGGGGCATCTGCTGCAGGTTTGGGGTCTGACTTGTTAAATTCCATATTATGACGGCAAAGCAGAAATCTTATTTTCTGTGCTGGTGCTGCGCTGGTGGGACACTCTTGAGGGGTACATCATGATACTAGTATGCTTGAGTTGGTTTTATTTTCCTTGCTAAGACATAAAGACAACAAGCATGGACAGAGATGTTACAACACTTCTCACTCACAAAGGAGATTCTGTATTGGTTGTGATCACAAGTTCAACCACTCTTCCACATGGTGTATGCGGGACTCACTGTTGTGTGTAGAAACAGTCATGTGACTACAGGGTGAAAGTTCTCACGCCCCGAGCAAGTGAAACTTAAATCTGGAAGCACCTCTCAAAGAGAACTAGATTTTTTGTTGTTGCTGCAGTGACTGAAATTGTGAGAAATTAGGACACAGCTGTAAACTGACACTGTAGGATATGATTAGTATATGAATGCCAAAGTCTCTACTGATCGGTATAAACAGAACTCGGGTTGAGAGGGGGGATGAGAATGAAAATGAAAATGTTTAAAATCATCCCCTTTCTAAAACAGTCATCCCAGCTTTCTATCATTTGAGCCATTTATGTGGAAATATTACTAGTAGTTGAACATTGGAAATATTACCACCATTTCAACCTTTGGGGTGTGACGGAGCAGTGTCATCACTGACTGACCGACGTCCTCAAAGGCTGCCTGAGCCTTTCTTTGAGTATGGAGTTTGTTGTATGGAAGGTAACTGCCAAACTGACTTTTGTATTGCTGCTGTGTTTCTGTTTTTTTTTCTCCTTGAGTGAGAATCTTGAGTTACAGTGGAACTCCTGCCTTGTTGGTATTTTCTTTTTTACCTTGTACGTTTTGTAAATGGTATTTGACCATTTTTTGCACTTTTGTAAATATTTTTGCACTGTACCTTGAAAGGACGGCTGTAAATATATATCGCCATATTTCTCCCACTACGCCAGTGTTTTTCCACTTTATTTTGATTTTTTAAGCGAGAGCCCTGCGACAGGGAGCTTTGTGCATATTTAGTAAAATACTTTGGGTGAAGAGGCACATGAAAAAGACACTTTTTTCCCTTAAAAAAAAAAAACGACGTCAGTAAGTGGCGAAGCAGCACTAGTGACACCGTTGCGATTTCAGTATCGTGGCCAAGCAACATGGACAGCTCAATCCAAGGGATAATATAACATAATATGATAGTTATCTTTGTGCTTTAGCAACAATAAAGTGGGTACACAGGTGGTTTCCCACTTTGTGCACTGTCATCAGAACAAAATATCTGTCCCAAACAATAAAATCAACCATCCCCCCTGATTTTTTTCACAACTTGACTGGGTATAAATGCTATATCTTGGGATTAAGATACTGTTTTTGATGTCTCTTAAATGTAGAAATGATGTAATTTTGTGATAGTAAACTGAATGTGTCTAGGATTGGGAAATTGCTAGTCTAAACAAAGATGTCTAAAGGCACTGGTAGAGAGGACCTAAATCGCTTGTTTTTTCCAATCAAAAAGTTTTTTGGTTAATTGGTTTCTCAAAAGATCACTCCTGGAGTCTTACTGCTGAAAAACATTGCCTCACAGAGATCAGCACAGGAATATACTCTTTGCAGCCCTGTTTGTGTGCGCATGCCTGCAGGTGACTAACAGGTAGAGTACCTGACATTCTTGTAGGCTCACCTTGTTAAGGTGTGGATTCCTGGTGATGTCGTAGCCCCTCTTCTTGGTGCTGACGCTGCCCTTGCGGCCTGTCCCAGAGTGGCAGACTCGTACAGCCTGGAGGCAGGCCCTGTCGACCGGCACGACCCCGGTAGGATGACCCTGTGCACCGGCGAAGACCCTCATCCCACCGGCTGCTGCCGTGCGTCTACACAGAGACAGAGCGGCTCTTCCTGGGAGGGAGTTCATGCTGCCTGGAGTCAAGCAGGGAGCAGAAACACTTTCAGACACACACTCTCAAACCCTGCTGCTGCTGCCTATGTTGAGAGTCACCTTCCAGGTCAGAGAGAAGACTCACGAGCTGGAAACGTCAGACATACCGTGAATAACCTGAGTTGAGCAAGTCTGTGCGCCTGTAAACAAGCCGCTTCACGCGTCTACTCCACTAACCTGAGTCTGACTCACTCATAAACAACAGGTGCACCCGACAAAGCACACATTCATCTTCTAATACAAAATAATGATGACCTAAAATCGATGTTTGAGCTAACTCCTGTTAGCCGCAGCTGCTTTTAAGAGAATCATTTCTTCTTCTTCCTAATGGACAATCTGCGCAGCCGCTAAAGCTAGCTCTCCATGTAGCTCCCAGTCTCACCTGAAAACCGACGTGAAGCTGCTGCTGTAGTCCTGACTCAGATATTCATAAGAGCCGCTTCTCTGCTTCAGTTAACAAACGCTGGTGTTATCAGTGGATGTTGGGCGGATCGACAACAGACAGCTGATACAGGATCCTTTGACATTGACTGTTTCACTTCCCCCTCTGCCAGTCGGCCTCTCGTAGTAGAACCACCAATCAGACGGCAGCCTGGCAGGCTCAGAGGAGGGCCAAGCCAACCCGCGCATCCCCCTCCCCTGATTCAGTAAACACAAGCTCCATCTGCAGACAATATAAGAGCCCAGTCCTCCTTACTTTTCCTTAGTGTATATGTATTCTTAGTGACACAAAGGTTGCGTTATTGCATGCAAAGTTATCTAGTGCATTGTTTAAGTTTCATAGTATGTTTCGAAAGACCTGCTGCAGCTCGAGTAAACGACAGAAAATCAAACATATTTTAACCCTTAGTCATGCCCTGACATACATACACAGCACTGATCACAATTCAGTCTGTACACTGCAGATCAAAATGATCTCTTGTGCTCCCTCTGCTGGACACAAGAGGCAATGAGGGTTGCATTTTAGAGGTACAGACCATAGAATACATATACTATATTAAATGTATATTCTATATACAGTCTATGGTACGGACATATTTAAACTAATCTACAGTTCCTTAAGTGGATTTCACCTGTTTGAAATATTGATCCAACAATCTGTACATTATATTCCTATACCAAACATTTATATGTAAGCTTGTTATAATGAAAATGTTTTAAAAAGACAAAGTACTGTAAGTAATAATAACTTTTTTGTATAGCACTTTTAAAAACATAAGCTTACGAAGAGCTTTGACATATAATCATAAAGCACATAGAAAAAGAGATAAAAACAAAAAGCTCAGTAAAAACAGAATTGACAGCCATATCCGTGTCACAAGGAACCCAGACAATACAAGAACCATGCAACATAAAATGAGATGACTAAAATAAAAACATAAATTAAGAAAAAAGAAAATGCAAGTAAAAGGGAGGACAAAAGCGGAAAGAGGATAGAAAATATAAAAGGCAATATCAACAATGATAATAAGATAACAGGTAATACTGATAATAATAGAAATTATAAAATAGAGCAACAGAAATAAGCAAGAGATAAAACAAACAAAGGCCTCAAAGGTTAATCGAGAAAAGAATACTAGTATAACAAAAGCTAAAAAGACAGTAAAGCCAAAATAAGAGAGGTAAAAGAGATAAGATATGACAGATAAAAGATAAAAGACAGCATCACATAAAAGCAAGTCTGTAAAACTTAGTTTTTAAAAATGAATTGACTTGTAATGCAGATAAATCTCCCCTGTGACTGTGATATTACTCTTTAGATGTGAATTATCATGAGGTCTGAGTGGTCCTCGCAGTTTCCACTTGTTCAAGTGAAGTTCAAAAATAGTCACAAGATATGAACAACTCTTTTGTGATTTAAAAAGACAGACACCACTGTATCTAAAATGTTTATTTAAAAACAAGAACATCACAGAAGCAAAAAATTACTGAAAATTATAATTACATCTTGTTTTTCTAATAAACACATGCAAAATATTCACTTTCTGTCCATCTATACACTTTTCCTGCCTGTCATAATGATAAAAAAACAGTTTAGACGATATAAAATGCATTGCAAAATAGGGAATAAAAAAAAAATAGGCTGTCTCAGTATCCAACTCGGAGACAGCTTGTTGAAACTGTTGAACATTTTCTTCATAAACACCGACAGCAACATTTTATCCATCACCAGGAAACTTCCATGACAAATTACAACACTACAGTGTACGGGGACCAAAATTACACACAGTTAGGTCAAAAACAAAGACAGAGTAAAGTATACATATACATACAGTACATTACATTTCAAAACAAGCTGATTGAGTAGATCAAGGTACCAGCGTTTAGTCTTCATCTTCACTGTTCTGGAAACATTCAGGAAACAAAAAAAAAGTAAAAAAGGTGGAAATGCTTCAGATGACTACACTCGTGCCACTACGGGAGCTTCTATCCTAAAAGAGAGAAAGTGACAGAGATGAGGTTAGGTTAAACAGTGTAAATGGATTTTCAGCTTATTTTACTGAAAATCAAAGAGGTGAACTTTTCAGCAAGTAATTTTTAACTATTTTAATCTAAATAGAAGTGCTTTGACAGTGACACATTTGCACAAGCAGTGATAACCAGTGAGGACAGAAAGAGGAAGACTTGAATCAAGAGAAGTATATTAAGGACAGAAAGAAACCAACAGAAATCAGTGTTTGAGTGCTGGTCTTACAGATAGGCGGTTGTAGTTCCTCCTGATGTCGCCCTGTCCTGGTTGGACCTCGATGGAGTAGTAGCTGGGGGGCTTTTCTGGCCAATCTTTCCTTTTGCCTCCTTTCCTCCTCCTGTTGCTGCTGTCCTCGTCATCTGAGCTCCATGATCCTTTGCGGCGCTGAGGAGGAGAGTAGCTCCTCTCCCTCCGAGTTGCTCTGTTGTACAGCTCCTCCATCAGGTCATCACGACTATAGGCTCGTGGTCTAGACCGACCTCCTCTCCTCCCAGGCGAGCCTCTACTTTCATTCCTGGAGCCCCTGTTTGGGGTTCTACCTCGCCTGTTGTCCCAGTCTGAGTCGTCATTGTACTCCCGAAGGATCCCCGGTCTGGGTGGAGAGACATCTCTGTAGCCTCGGCTGCTGCGGGGAAAACCTCCTCCTCCAGACCGGTTTGTACTCCCACTAGACTGGCTGGATAACCTGGCACCAGCCCTGGCTCCGTTCCCCCCACCAGGCTCTCTGCTGGGTGCACGCTGGATAATGGGGGGCAGGGTTATCACCCGTCTCTCCACCCCTTTCACTCCCATCTCATCCAGGGCTGACAACATACTCGGGGGTCCAGGGGTGTAAGGGATCACAGGAGGAGATGGGTGGTGCTGAGGCTGAGGAATATTTTGTACAGCATAGTGAGCCTGTTGAGGTGCCACTACATCAAGTCCCCTCACCTGGTTCTCCAGGTAATCCAGCACCTGGTTGTTCCCCTGGATGCTGCTCCGCATGCTGCCGTTAATATGGTGAGGAGGAGGAGGAGGCTGCTGCTGCTGCAGGGCCATGGGGGACAGCTGCATGGGGGCCATGGCAAAGTTTTGTTTGGCAGGATGGTCGGAGTAGGAGCCTGGAACAACAGTGTTTGTTTTGGTAAGACCTGAATTGCATGGTTTAATTTTGCCCATTAGAGGGCAGCAGGAACAAGATCATTCATACTTTTTTTAGAGTCAATGAGCACAACTCCTCAGCAAGACTTACTATACCAACACATCCCTCTGAAAATTAGTCAGCACCGTCACACATTTAAGTAATACTGGTGTAAATCTAACATGTTAGACCAAGATTCTCTCTCTATTTGAAGATCTTGTGTTTTGCTCTAAAGACATTGAATAACTGGCTCTGGGGTTACTGAGTTTTCATGCTCACATGTTTTTTTTTTGTTTTTGTTTTTTTTTGGGGGGGGGGCCTTTTTCACTTTCAGAATTAATGAAAACAAATAAAAAATAATAAGAGCGCTGAGATTGAACTAATACTTTCCAGTTGTAGGGTAGGAAATTAAAAGAGTGAGTTGAATGATGCTAAAACGGCTTAAAGGGATAGACCTGCATGGTTTATTCTTAATTGGTTAAACATAAGGAGGACCTTATTTGAAGTGTACCGTTTGTAGTCATGCGATTCCCATCACCATTAAACACACACCCTCAGTTTTGGGCATTTTGATCAACAACAAAGCATCAAAGAGAGACCTTGTTGTACCATTGTGTTGCTCACCTGAGTACAGTATGGGGACGCCCTGAGCGGAGGCATTGGAGCTGATGGGAGCGTAAATGGGTTGTCCATTCATCCAGGGAACCATCGCTTTCTGGGCCTGTTTCATCATCCTGTGCTGCATCACAGCTGGAACCAGAGAAGAGAAAAAAGAGCTTGACTCAAAAGCTTTGAGGTAATCCATCTCAGTCCATGATTTGGCAAGTATTGATATGTCTGCTTGAATGAGAAAACTCAAATATGTTCTTAGAAACTTTAACAGCTCTCCTCTGTTGAAATTTCCCAGTTTCTCTCATTGCTCTGTGACTTTTTCCTACTGTGACACATTCAAACTTCCTCCATGTTGAAAAGTTCTCTGCATCAACAAGTGTCACAAGCTTAATTTCAGCTAAACAAAAAAACTTTGGATCTGTATATCCCTTCATGATCAACTGAAAATAAGATTCCTAAAATGCTAAACTTCCATGCACGGCTTTGGGACTCCTCTTTTACCTTTTTCTGGGCAGCAGCAGGTCTGTGGACAGCACGGGCAGCGGACATAACAGCAGCACTTCTGCGGGCAGCACTGACAGCAACAAATGCAGAAGAGCATGATGAGCAGAAGAGCACCGAGGATGATCAACAGGACCGTCAGCCAGTCTGGAACAGATCAGAGGATATGATCGTCAATATTTTTTCCACACCAGCAACACACAGGCTTAGGGTGACTTTGAGTACCTACACCTACTAGAGACACTTACGGTACACAATAAGTTTGACTTCTCGATCAGAGTCTCCTACTGTGTCACCAGGAGCATCAATGGAGCAGAAATAGACGCCGTTATCCCACCACATCACCTCATTGATGACCAAGTCAGCATCTGTAGGAGAGGTTTGAACTTCAGCAAAGTGGAAATACAACTACGTTCCTAACAAAAGATTTGCGGATATTTGAAGGTCTTGTTTTGGTTTCTTTATTTGCTCTATGTCCACTCTGTCACTTGTGTTATACATCAGACAGCATAGCTTAACCTGTTTTGCAAACCAAATCAGTAAATAGGACAAGAAGCGCACTGATTGGCCAATACTGCACTTCCTTTAAAAGCAATACAATATAACATATAGTGGACTAAGCAGGATTCTTCAGTCTTATAACGTGGAGTACAGATCACACTTACTGTTCTGAATGGTTATTTTGCGGTTCCTGTATTCTGCACCTAGAATTGGCTCATTCAGGCCTCTCTTCTGGACAACTGTGCGGACTACGCGCTGGCGGTCACTGCAGTCGTTGGATGGGTCCTGACCAAGCTGCAGAGCGGCCTGATAGGCTGCAGAATCACAAAAGAAATGTTTGTTAGAATTATGAATTTGTCTGTGCACTTGCACATTACTTCTCTGCACTTTGTCAGACTTCAGCAGTTTGTCCAAAAAAACGGTTGAGCGAATGTGGTTGCATCATGGACAAAAGATGGTGCATCTGAAACAAATTCAGGCTGGCTTAATGGTGGACTTTAAGGTCAATTGAAAAGATGACAATGAGAAAAAAAGATTGTGGAAGAGATTAAAGTACTGCTATTTATTTAAAACAACTGAGGGTCTGTATCTTGTTAATTCAGTATCACAAAGAGATTTTAATATCTAAAATGAATGCAAGACACCTCTGTGTAATTGAACTCGTACCTGTATAGCATTTATATAGCACCTTAATGGTTTTTATATAATGCCAAAGCTAGCCTTTCTATCCTCCTTTACATGCATTCACAGGCTGCTGGCCACGCAGAGCAATTTGAGCTTGATGTTTTGGTCAAGGACACTTTGGCATGTGACCGCAGGACCTGGAGTTCACTGACAACCCTCTGACTGGGGGACAACATACGATCACTGAGTCACAGCCCCCGAGTCCAGTGTTTACCCTCTACTATACACAGACTCACAGTTGTATAATGAAACTACTGCATTAAAAAGCAATCTGATTAGTTGAGGTAATGTGGACATCTCTCAATGCATCACCAGCAGGTGTTTGAATACAATTCAACAACATTTTTTCAACTGTTTGTCAGCAAATTGACTTAATTGCCTGAAACTCAGCCGACTGAATGGATAAGTAAATCCAGTCATACGTCTGCTGATGTTTTCTTGCACTTAGGATTTTTGATTTTAAAGTTTTCAAAAACTACTTGATAGATATAAAACAGTGAAAACAAACTTTTGGTCGCTACTGTGAAAATTTTCAAAGCTTGGTTTCAAAACAACAACAAAAAATCCCTTTACTAAAAGTACTAGATCGTCCTTTTGTTTGTTTTAACAAACATTCACTTGGCACAGGGCTTGGCTCTGTTTAGATATAGCACAACACAATCAAGTGCAAACACCTCTCAGCCCAAACACACCCTTTACTCAATCAGAGAGGTGAATAATGTTGTTTGAAACCTGGTTAGAGTGGTAGGCTGAATTGTGTTGACTGTTTAAAGCCCTAGGAAGTAAACAGATCCACATCACCGTCTGTTCATTTATACAAAAAAGACATTCACTCACGATGTTGAAGTTTTTTTGGCCTGTTAGTATAAAAAAATATATACTTGCTGTTGTGACTAAGTGGTGTATGACTGACTGGAGACAGCTGGCTATGATACCTAGAGTTAAGATGGTCTTGCTGTTAGTTGTTGAATTAATAGAAAGCTGGTCAAAAAGACAAACAAACACAGTATTCGAGGGAAAACAAGCATTGACCTTAAAAACAGCATGTTACGAAATCTTCCCAGTTTATCTATCATAAACATCACTCATATCAATCATCAGATTTTATGGCCTAGATGAACCTTCTTGCATATTAAAATCTCTTTCCTCACCTGTGGAGTAGAACTCGAGCACCGGGTCCTTACAGAAGGACTTGTACTTCCAGGAGACAAGGACATCCTGAGCGTTCGCTGAGGTTGAATAATCGCAGCGCAGAATGACTGAGGCGAACAGAGTCGTACTCCTCTCTGTCTCTGGAACACTCACCTGGATGGACAGCAGCTCTGGCACAAACAGGAACATTATTCAGATGACAGTGGAGATAAAATGTGAAACAACAACAGCAGTGACACATATTAAAATCCAAGAACGTAAGCCAAAACACCTTGTGTTTATCTGGCTTCGCTTTTATTTTCTGGACTGACAAAAATCTGAACAAACAGGTTAACAGTTTACCCCTTTGTATGTGCACATGTTGTGCTCTACAATTATAAGTGGTAACAGCTGTCAATCATGACCATGAGTGAAGGAACTGATGACAGGATTTGCTGCTAATTGTAACAGTTTAGTTTAAGGTCAAATATCAAACTCCCACACACATTTGGAGGCTATATAAAGACAGCTTCATGAGCATTTAAATGCAGGAAAAAGTCAGCTTTCCAGAGCTCAAACCATAGCTTAGTCACAATCAACAAGAAGTTTTTACAATTTTCAAAACGTTTATTCCCAATGCTTAACAAACCAAACATTGAAAGTCCATATTTCAGATTAATTTGTTATGAGATTGTTTTCTAATTCACAATAATATAAAACAAAAACAAATAATTCTCCCAAATTCTCACATTTCAGAGGTTTAAAGGGATATATTTTTTTTTTTTAAATCTGATGAGAGTGAAATAAAAACAGTAGCCTCAGACTTAAATAACCCCACAATTGCTTTGAGTACTTCAGAGTAAAAATGTCTGTTTGCTGGTTCAGGCAGTTGAAATGTTGATGCTGTTTTCGATTTAAAAATTTAACACCTCAGGATTTTAACTAACAATTTGGCAGAAGAGGACATCTGTTTCTTTGGACTTTGGATTACTGTTATGGGTGTTGTTTACAGACATTTACTGTCTACATGACCCAAACGTTTGTAAAAACTGCATTAAATTAAAAAGCAGATATGAATCCCTACATTTTTTTATATCAATTTCGTAAAAACAATATCGCTATCAGGGTAATTCAACTAATATCTTTGAGTCTGTCTTAGTCTCGTTTTGATGTCCTCATTCAGGAGTCCTAAACTTTGATGTTGTTTACATTAAAATCTTGATCTGATAAACAGTCTACTAAGTCTTTTTACCATTTAAATCTGTTGTATTCTGGAGAAAGTGGTTAAAAACACAATTTGCAATAAGAAGTCACGTGACTGTAATTTGCCGTGCCCTGTTTACACCTGTTGATAATTAACTTGTTCACTTTTTAGACTGTTTGCTTTTGTAGTTTCACTCTAACTTTCTGCCTATAGACAGGTGAAAACTGAAAATACTTGATTAAATGAAGGAAAACAGCTAAAACTGTGTCCATTTAATCATTAAAAAGCCTCACCTGTCGGCAGGTGAAGCACCAGAAGCACCATTAGTATCACGTTTCCCATTTCGCTGTTCAGCTTTCGCGGAAGCTTCAGTCTCTATCCTGCAGGCGATTCAAAGTCCTTCGATAATCCGGAATATTTGGAGGAAAACGAGGAGAAGGCGCAGCTCTGCATATTAACCAGAGTTTTCGCTCAAAACGACATGATATTCAGGTCGTATTTGATGTCTGAGCTGTAATACGACTCGTACAAATGAGGAGCAAATTTTCCCAGTGGAGAGACTCCCCTCCCCCACTTCGGCTTCAGGTGACATCATGACTCCGCCCCCTCAGACAGGTGCAGCTCAGAAAACGAAACATGGCGGAACAGCAGGAGCAGCAGGGTGATTTTCCCTCCATTTTTAGCAGAATATTTACGGGTAGATAGTGAAAAATGTGCTTGAAGTTTAACTAAAATTTCCCAGTTTTTCAGCGGGAAATTGGGCATTAGCCATGAAATGATACAGTTATGGAACATTTACAATTTTCTTTGCGTTAAATAAAGCTTATTATTCTTCTGTTTTACAGTTTTCATTAGCCTATGACTGATCTTAAAGTTTAATGCCAGAGAGAGAAATACTCCCTTAAACTCTTTCTCTATTTTCTTCCTGCTTTCTGTGCTTTTTGTAACGGTAGATAAATTTACTTTAAGCCTCAGACAGCTGTGTTTGAGAGAAAACGCCAGCTAAATATAAATTACAAGCCTGACAGTTGAAGAGGGCCCCAAACATATTATTTAGCCAGATATTTTGGGAACCAAAGTCTTGCTTAAACTTGAAAACTGGGCATATTTTCGCAGGTTATTGTTATGACAAAACATAAAACTAAGTATAAACTAGTAGGCTAACTATTTAGCTTTCAAAAGAAATAAACTGAGAAAAAAAAGAAGTGGTAAAAAGGTAAAATTTCCATCCAACATGTAATGAAGTTGTCAGTTTAGTAAAAAGGACTTAAATGAGCAGCTATCTCAGTACTGGTAAACCTGGCCCTGATTTGAACTTTGACAGAGACCCCATTAATACTGGTATAAAACCATCCTATACAAAAAAAGTAAAATGAGGAAACAATTCAAATAGATCTCATCTTTTTGGGTAAGTTTAAAAAGCAAGCAGCTACATTAAAACAGTGGAGAAGTTTCACTGAGAAGGCTGAATGAATCACAAACAGGTCAGTGAATCTGGCACAACACTTTTTGTCCACCTCACCAAGTGTAAAGTTCACTCTCAGAATGAGTCATATTTGTGCTGGGATGTTTACATCCCTTATCCTCAACATGGACCCCAGTGAGCTTTACTGTTGACACTAAACAAACCCGCCTGAGCTCAGCTCAAGTGCTGCTTCCAGCACACTAAAGTGCTCTTGTAATCCTTTAAAAAAAAAAAAAAAACACTGCAAGAAGAAAAGCTTTACCATCACATCTCTGTCTGACTTTTCTCTGAGCCTTGAGACATGGAGGTCTCTTAATTCCTTCTTTCACAATAAAAGGACAGGACACCAGGTAAGCCAACTTTCATTTTCTGGAGCAAGTATCCAATTTGTGGACTATGGTAGAACTTTAATTTGGTGGTTGTGGAGTAAAACTTTACCAAATGGTCAGTCTTGTCTGTTCGGGACCGCTGAAGATTCCTAGATCACCTTGACCATTCTGCCAACTATGCCAGATATAAGAATAAGTATAACTTTATTAAACCTCGAAGGGAAATTCAATTGTCTGTTGTCTTACATAATATGTCTCAAAAAGTTTTCTACTATTTACACAAGAGTTATAAAGTCTAATGGCTAATATTTCTAAGTATCACGAAATGACCAAAAGTAGACACAAATGGAAATACTTTACATGTATCGTCTAACCTAAAATGCTGTAAAATAAAGATAAAACCATTATAAGTTTACAATCAAACATCTCATAATGACCTATTTGAACATTAGGATGTAGTCTGCAGCCACCATAGTAACTTACCGCCAATTTTAGCATTCAACTTCCGGTCCTAATTATATCCTGCGGTTTAAGAGGCTTTTTTTTTGAGACCGGAAGTTACACTACCCTCTAATTGCTGAGACACAAAGTAAACAACTCCGTTACTTTACAGACAACAAACACAGACAGACAGACAGAGGCCTAAATTCTTTTAATTTTATCTTAATATGAAATACTAGCAATTGGTAAAAAGCATGAATATGTCACAAACTCAACATAACTTATTGTGGAGCTCCAGCTGAGTCGGTGTTAATGGGCATAAAATGTTTTAAATAACAAGCACAACAAAAAAATATCAACAGAAAAAAATGATCATGATCACACATATTCCACTTAAGAAAAGTACTCACTCTCTTCGTTCGCGCTCACCAAAAATGGGGTAATTTCTCCACAAACTGCAGTCTATGGCTGTTCCACAGTCGACCGACACTATACCGTGAAGCTCATTTCAGACATCATTATATATCACCAGCAGGTGGCGCCATCTCTCCTTTAGTATAAAAGCACCAAATTAAAGAGAACATAAATCTATCATGAAATTACAACATAAATTTAACTTTGGGCTCTTTCTTTTGTCTTTTTGGGAGCTAATATCTCAAATGTACGTGTCTCTTGTGTGGAACAATAATAGAGGCTGAAAATAAATTGTAAGACAGCAAAGACTTCCTACATGTTTTATTATTAAAACAGTTTTTAAGCAGTGCAATTCAAACAATGTCAAGGTACAGTACAAACATAAAGAATGGTATAAAAAACACAAAAATACAAAGTAAACCTGAGTTGCAGTCAACTGAGTGAGAAATTAAGACTGTAGTTTCCTGTTAGATGCTAAAAAGACCGTCTGACGTTGGCAAAAAACAAAATTATGGCACTGATTTACGAGTTTAGTTCCTGAAACTGACACACAATCAGCATACACACATCTGCAGACTACACATGCTTAAATAGCCAGATATAATTCATGCAAGTGAGCAAAAACGCCCTGTATTAACATAACAGACTGCACATGCTGCTGTGCACATAAATTTCAGCTGCAAATATTTCAGTGGGACATTTCAGACTTCATGTGGAGGAACAGAAAGCCTCTCCTGCGTTGCAACAGGATGGTTTAAATGAGCAGACTGGCAGTGCTGAGAGGATGGATGCTGGGAAACCTTGTCACACTATGAGAGAGTCTCTGCTCAGTGCAGTGCTCTGTTAAAGAAATACACCGAGAGCCACACGTTAGAGACTTTGAATTCATGCTCATGTTAGGTTAGTGCAGCCTGCTGTTTTATGGCACTTTAAGAAATTATGCAGCTCAAGCAATGTTAGTATTCATGAGTGTGATAGTAATTCACGAGAGATTAACATATTTAGAAGGCCAGCAAGTAAGCATTGGTAACACCGTGAGAGCCACAAGCATGTGCATGGATTATACAGCGTGTACTGGAATTACAACATAAATGTGTTTTACATGAAATTCAAAACTAATCATTCTATATTAATTCAAACTAGTGAAAAATTATACTGATTCAGTGTTAAGACCACAGATTTTGCATTAACATTGCACAAAAAACAGTCAGATTATGTACAAAATACTGTTAAACATTTTCAAATGATAACGCGCAAAGATGGCAAAAACCAAGAACATCTCTCAGTACTTACTTGCTTTCCAATCAGACCTGGAGACTCAAATAACCGAGGTTTGTTTGGGACTACTGAGGCATCTGAATGCATGTTAAGACACTGAAACTGGTTCCTCTCTCTCTGGGCACTTTCCATTTCTATCCCTTTTTCCAACATGTTTTGTAATGTAGTGATAAATGTCTAATCCTACTGATGTGTGAGGACATCCATTATGTTGCACTCTGGCTTTTTATTATGATCGTTTATGGGCAATCACAGAATCAGCTGAATCTGACTTTAGTTATACCATTATCACTTAAGTTTTCCTTGTTTTGGACTTTTCGTGGGAACTGTTGATAATGAGTGAAGTATAGAAAAAGGAAGGACTCATCCTGTAACTATGAACAGAATGAAGAGGCTCTTTCCTGAAGAGCTGCAGAGAGAGGAAGTCCTTATTCCTGCTATAAGTAACTCACCAGGTTTCGGCTCCTCTCTCTATCCTCCCTCCCCCCTTGTAGAGTTTGGGACATTCCCTGGTTGGGGCGAGTGTAAGAAAACGGCCTCATGGCGGGTTCAGTGGTCTTATATCGGTCTGAGCGTGGAGGTTCTGCAGTGCGGTACCGGTCTGTGGCCTGCTCAGCCCTGCGATACCTCTCAGCCTCCCACTCAGAGTACGGAGGTAAACCGTCCTCCTCCTCTGGACGGTTGCTCGGTGATCGACTGTAGTAACTGTCACTGCCCTTTCCTCTGGAGCTGCCTTTAGAGGGAGTGTCACTGTCCTCGTCTGGTCTGGCACCACCTCGGTCCTCTCCCCGCCCCCTTGCCTTTCTCTCCAGCACATCGTTGAGGAAGGCGTTGTCATACCCTTTGCTTTGGGGCGGTCGAGAGGGTCGATCGCTGTCCCATGTGTCCCTTCTTTTCTGCGGTAGAGGTGAAGGACTGCGACGGCGCCAGCCATCATCTTCCTCTCTGTAGAAACGCCTGGGAGGGCTGTAATCCCGCTCATAGAGTCTGTCAGCAGGCCCGGCTCGACGGCCACGAGAGCCAAAAGCTTGGGCAAATTCCTCCAGCTCATCCAGGGAACCAGTACGCCCCCTTCTGCTCAGTGTCTTTCTCTGAAGATGCTCCGAGGAAGTGTTCCACCTAAAGCAAGGAGGACCACATACTTAAAATTACACATTTTATTTACAGAGCTGCTTTGAAAAGATTGGTATATGGCTTCATCCTTTATAAATGGGATGGTGGGGATAAGAAAATGATGTGGAACCAGAAAAGGTAGACAATATTTTAGAGATCTGAGTGGATTTGTGATAGTGGACCTTGTGTGTGAAGAGGGGGGATATGAATATACTTAATTGTGTGATATGGAGCCAGTGGTGCTGTTGAAGACCTACACTATCCTGGATTAACTGCATCTATGTATTGTAGAATGAAGCACTCGGTGAGCTGATACATCAGAACTGTGGTAAAATTGTTGGTGAGAAGACGATTGAGAGAAAAACAACCCAACGTGACTGAATGATACAAACCTGCAGTTCCTCCAGTGGCCATGTGAGGGCAGCTTCCAAAATAATACAATCCCCCATTAAGCCCCATGTTAGAATACCTTCTGTCCAGCTCGTCATCTGAATGGTTGATTCTGTCCCGCCTGTGTCTTCGGCTCTGTGTATGCGGAGCTGCTCTCATCACAGTGTGGTTGTCCATGTCTGCAATTGGTGGAAGCGCCTTCATCTGGACTGTCTGATAAGTGTGCCTGAAGTCTGCTGTCCCTCCGTCGTGTAGGGAGCTCAGCTCAGAGAGGCTACTAGCTGTTTGGACAGACACACATTCTCTGTTTTCATCACTGAAAGAACTTAAAGGTAGTTTCTGCTCAAGTTTCCTGTAGCTGCCCTCTGGGGAACACTGCTATAGATGCAGCCCACTAAAGTCCTCTTTAGGTGTTTAATAGTATAAGACGGTAATAACAGTACATCACTATCCTTCTGGTTTGAGGGTGACTATGACTGTATAATTACAAGCAAGGCAAAACATTTCACGTGACACCTCAAACTGTTGTCAGATTCCACTTCAAGAACAAACCTTGAGATTCTTTTGTACTGTATTGTTCACAGTTAAAAGAAAGGACAAAAACAACATATGATTGTTAGAAAAAGCAATGTTACACCTTGACATGCGTTGACAAATCGCTGTTATTTGATATAAGTATTCAACAGCTGCTGAAAATACCCAGATTTTCATCTTATTTCTGTTAAATTCACTCTGCTTATATTTTTAATGTTTTTCAGTTGAGAAGGAACTGCAGACTTACAGCTGCTTCATTTCCCTGAGGTCCTGTATGAGAAATCTCTCCTCTCTGTGGTGACAGTTAGTTGTTACGTGAAATGGATGCAGGGGTTAGATGGAAACTAACACTACTTAATTGGCACAAACCATGCACAGAAAAGACAACACTTAAACAGACACACACACACCGCCACACAGATTACAATAACTGCCCTAATCTGTGCAGGCTTACGTTGATGAGCAGCCATCCTGACAGAGGGAAGCTGAGCCAGCTCCTTCTCTATGTAGTACAGAACTTTCATTGGCTCCTGGTTGGGAATGGTTTTCAGACGATAACCACTGCACACTGTGGATGTGGACACACACATACTAAAGCACAAAAACAGACAAGGACAAGACCATGCAGGCAGGGAGTGTGTCCAGACTGTTTTTGACTGGTGTCATGAAACTGAAGCCCTAGATATTGCTGGGGTGACACAAATTGTTAGCATTATCTCTTTTGTCTACATTTATCATGTATACTTTAGCGCCACTGTGACCAAATAGTTGGTTTTGCCTCTGAATAAGCAAGTAGCTTATCAAAGTTTTGGATTTTTGGGGGTGATAAAGGAGAAGTAATCCCTGTAATCACCCTTCTGGACACGTCCGTGCATGCAAGAACAAACACATAAATAAACATGTCATTCCTTGTAAAGCAAAAACTAAGCAGACCCAATAACGTTAAGATTAGTAACAGATAATAAGCATGCATGTTGAGGATATTTTGAGACAAGAGCATGAGGGATGACGGATGAATTGAGAGTTAGTCAGTCAATGTTTTCATAATGATATCAAGTTTTTGTGACGTAAAAAATTTGACCAAAAATATCTTCACATTTTCTCTTTTACTCAGTATTGTCTTTTGCACATAAATAACATTTTGGCAGCTTTTTTACCGTAAAACTTTAAAGAATAACACCAGAGGGGAAAAAAAATCATACTCTGGAAACCCAGACATGGTCTCTCTAGAACCACTTACTTCTTTTTAACAAAATAAAATAGGTTGTTGAGCATTTCCTGAACTGTTTTGTGAAGTCTCACCTCCAGCCAGGTTGTTGTTCTCCACTGAGGGGATAGCTGCAATTTTCGGCTCCATGTGGGATGAAGGAGCAAGAGGAACCACAGAGGGAACTACAGAGGGAACCACGGAGGGAACCACAGAGGGAACACCGGGAATGTAGTACGGATACATCGGAACCTGAGCAGACGGTCCCCTCTTTGCCATTTTCCCTGCCTCATATACTGTGAAGGAGAACAACACACCCTTCAGACTGTGTACTACTGAGGAACAGAAAAAACCTGAAATGAAATGAACCGATTTTTTTGTGTTGTGTTTTGTTTTCTCACAGTGTCGAGGGCAGCAGCAGGTGTCAGGACAGCAGCAGCAGCTGACGTAGCAGCAGCAGGAGTGTGGACAACACTGGCACCAACAGATCCCCAACAAGAGCAGGAACACAACACTCCCAAGGACGACCGATCCAACAAACGCCCACTCTGCAATGTACACACAAAAACACAAACACACACATACTGTAAATTGAATTTTCCATTTGTTTATAAAAAGGCTGTTTTGATGATGATAAGAATGCAAAAAAACTATCAATGTGTGATATCTGAAAGGCTGGAGTGTTGTATTAGATTGCTTTGGATGTGTTTGGTCTTTTAAATATAAACTGTTCTGTGTTTAATGTCAACACTCACTCCTAGAGCCACAATCATTTGACATGTGAAGACTAGACTTGATATTTTCCCATATAAAACCAGCAAAACATGATAGACACGCTGGGGATCAGACTGTAAATATCCATGTGAATTAAAGTAAGTTATTCTGAGTTTGTTTTTTCAGAGTTTGTCAGATTTGTGACTGTTGGTGAGCACATTTACAGACAAACTGGCCCCATTTTCATGATCATGTGCACAGATGCATAAAAATAGCACCTCTGGACCTGATCCAGATCTTTGTTATGAACGAGCAACTGTAGGAATAAAACTGATTGAGGTCTTTTTATGTTTGTGATTTTGCGTATATTTCAAGTGCTTGTGTATTTGACAGTCCTGAAAACTAGTATACTGGTCATTCCCCTGAGACCTAGCATCCCAGAAACACCTTAAAAATTGTGTATTTTATTTCACTTGGTGTCTAGAAAAACAATTTTAACAAACTACTCTGACTTGGTGACAGCTGTTTTTGTGCGATTGTATGTGTCTCTTTAGTGATAAGCTCTAGTTACTTTTGGATTCACTTATAAAGGGGTTAAAGCTGTTCATCCTATGTTTTGCATTGGCTGCTCGATTAGTAATAAAATAATAAAAAACAAAGGTTAAAAGTACAATAATGAGACCTTCACTTTCATGAAGGTATGGGAATATTTCTGCCTCCCTTTAAAGATGCCGTCAGAGACCACAGAGCCTTTCAAAAAGAAACCTCAGATGAGCTCTAGGGAACTACGAATCTCTCCTATCCCTCATCACATCTCTAAAGCATCCAAACCCTAACAACACACTTCCTCAGGGTGTGCCAAAGACTAAAATACACTCAAAACCATTAACTGTGGCGACATACTGTAAATCCCCTGAAGAATTTAAGTCATCAGCAGGAAGGAAGAGACAAGAGCTACAAGCTTACAAAGAGTTTCTCTATCTTTGTGCTGTTTCAGGCTTTTGATGACACCTGCATGCAAATATTAAGCCACGTAATATCAGCGTTGGCGGATTATAGCTTGAAAAGTTAACTATTAGTGTGCCAAATTCTGCAGATATGTGTGACAGATAAGGTAACAAAGAATCTACTTATCAGTTCTGGTAGAACGAGTTTGATGTCAGTATCTAAAACAAACAGACTGTCAAGAACAGATCAGCTGTAGTAAAACAGAGATTCTGTGTTCTTTACTCTGAAATAAAGGTGTGTGTGTCTATCTATGTATCAGTCAAAATAAGATTGACAATATCAGCATGTCATTTGTTTGCAAAACTCAATGCTGAGCATCCCTACTTGTTAGTCAAGGAAAGTTTTGATTGGTCAGAGAAAATTAAACGTGAAGAAGCCAGAAGATGCCAGGCAGTGAGACAGAGTGCAGGTGAAGGGCCATACCTGGCATTATCTCCACATCAAACTCAGGTAGCAGATCGTCCGGCTGACCTGTCCGGCCTGCAGAGAGAGGGAGAGCACAGGTGAAGGCCGGCAGGGGAAGCAGGAAGCGTGAGTCCAAAAGTTAAAGGTCAGGCAAATTAGAGAATCTGGTAGCAGAGTGGATATTTCACAGTCATGCACTGATTGAGCATTTTACTGCCATCTCGCTGAGTACACAGCAGGTATGAATAAATTAACCTCAATGGTTGGATTTGGAAATTTATCATTTCACATGATGTTATGAAAGACACCAAACCAAGAGACAAACCTGAGCATTAGTATAATTGTAATTCTGAATCCCTGTAACAGCTGTAAGAGGGGAAGGTGTCTGACCAGGGCCAACAACATGGTGAAGACACAGCCCTTTGGCACGTCGATGACAAAAATCAGCAAAGAAAAAAGATATATACCTCTGTCCACAGGGGGCACCAAAATCAACACAAACCAAAGCTTCCTCATGAGAGCTTTAATTTTTTCATTTCCTATGATCAAGTTGCCCACACGGCCTTCAAACCAAACACAGGAAAAATTTATCAAATTCATTTTAGCTTCTGCTGTAGCTTGTTTGCACAACAATTCAAACATGTACCTGCAAAACGTCGGGGAGTCAGCTTGGTCATTGAAAGCACTCCTTAACACAACAGTAACAGCATTTGGCTTCTAAAATTCCATCTTTATGCTCAGTTCATGGAGTTTCCAGCTTGTCTGTAAACACTTGTCCTCACATGAATCTGTTTTGATGTCCAGAGTTCATGCCATTAAAAAATGTTGTGTTTAAAATACAGTATGAACTCCTGAACATGGACATGAATCATCTTGGTTTTGAGGTCAAAGTTCATAACACGCTTAACTTTGACTCTAATTTTAGCGAGAGGCAAACTGTACCACACCTCTTTATGTTGCAACTCACGACTACAGAGATGTTGCCCGGCCAGGCAGCGTGTGAAGAAAAAGAAGGGGGGACTCTGGAAACTGGGGCACAGAACAATTCTGGGGCAGCAATTTACCATGGGAACTGGTAATAAAAAGGTCACACAGGCTGTATGGCGGTGAAACAATGTGTCTTTGTGCTTTATGTACGAGATAAACAGATCAACAAAGTGAAACTAAACATCCTAGCTGTTAGGAACTTCACTGAAACACACAGAGGGATACAAAGACTGGCAGCAGGTGTGGTACAACTGGAGGTGTTCATGTTTTCATTACACTTAAAGTGAGGTGTAAGGACTATAATTACAGTTAGGAGTCACTGATCTGTCTGACTGCAGGCACAGACTAAACACCCACCGGCTCCACAAACTGCTGAGTAGGCTGTTACTGTGGACGGGGGGAAAAAAAAACACACATCGTACCTCCCCACCTGATAAAAAGTAATCTTGGTTCCCTGACCTGGCACACTCATCTACATACCATGAAGCTCAGTAACACCGAGTAACCTGAGAGATCCAGGGAGTTATGCAGCTCTAAGAGGGAGGGAGGCGGTGAGAGATGCAAGAAGAGGGCTGGAGGAGTGCGAGGGAAGATTTTGCAATACAAAAGGGAGAGTGAAGGGAGTGACTGCTGAGAGGGGAAATTAATGAAAAGACAAATTTCAAGAGGAAGATTGTGGAAGACAGCTTGTTGCAGAAAGGAACACACAGAAATTCAGAGGAGTTACACTGTTGCTTAGTGTTGGTGAGAAGACTGAGGCCTCATTTCTATACAGACTACGTAAAACTGTAGTCAGTTAACCCTGCTTAGCATAGAGTTTTTAATCTGAAACTGTAAGATTAGAATAAACATTTTGTCTGGAGGTTTTAAGTAGAGTACACATGATTTTACACAGAGAAGAAATTAAACTTGAACTTAATCTTGGTTGTTTCTTTTACAAGGCGAAAGCGGGGACCTAATTGCTTTGCTGGACTAAGCTAATCATTCAGTAGCTACATACTTAACCAAAAGTTTTAGAGTTTTAGAGAGAAGTTAGAAAAGTCAACAATCCAAAATGCTGACTTTGGGATTGTTCAAGTTTAAAAATGGCAGCATGTGAGATCCAAACCCTTGACATATTTCCAATTTCTAATCCCAGATAACATAAATCCAAAACTCACTTCAGCCTTGTTGTTCTGCCGAGTTTAAGCCCCCCTCCTCTGTCCTGTGAGCTGACTATAATCAGATTAGTACTCAGCAGAGGAAGGCCGAAGGAGCAGATTTTCAAACCACAACCAGATCGAGGTTTGCATAACTCAAAGAGCCAAACACTTCAGAGTCAAGATTCAGATCGGATTGCTGTAAAAGTTCAGCCTGATTCTCATCTTTTAACTCTTTTACTCCCCTCTCTTTTTTTTTGTCTATACCAGCTGCAGCCCTTTACATACCCTGGCCTCCTCTGGGTTGCCATGGTAACGGCTTAAGGGGTGGCTTGGACAACAAAGGCTTCCTCAACTTCTTGTACCGAATGAACATCTTGTTTCACTGAGAGATGATCCAAACAACAACAAATAAAACACACAAATCCTGCACAGCTGAACGTGCGATCACTTCTAAAGCTGCCAACAGTGAAGTCCAGTCAGGTCAACATCAGTGTGAAATGAGCTGCTGGCTTTCCTGTGTAAAGAGGCAAACAACATATGGCTGTTTCCATGGGTGCTGTGGTTGTAAAAAACACTTGGAGAGCAGAGACAAAAAGACTCTTTCTAAAACTTTTACAACGTATAGAGAGACGCCTCACCGAGCTTAAAATGAGACAAAACAAGCCTGACCATGACCAAGCTAAAAGTTTGATTTGAGACTTTGGTGAAAATATGAAGTGTGGTCATACCGAGCACCAGTAGCTCCATTTGGGCTTCATTCTTCCCCTCCAGATCATTAGCAATGACGACTTTACAGAAGTACACTCCACTGTCCCCCCACTGCAGCTCCCCGATCCGCAGGTCTGCTTCTGCACAGAGAGAGGAGAGACAAGGCTGTTAGTGCTGCAAGAGGTGGGAGGTCAAAGGGTCCATCATGCTCTCAAAGAAGGACAGTGTTTAAATGTGGATACACAAGGATTTATGCTGACAGAGACGTGACTTTAACAACCCTGTGTCTGTTTCGAGAAGCTTTCACTATTGTACAGTTATGTTTGAACACCAGGGCTTGGTTTGTGTACCGTCTTTTCATACTAGCACCTATACAATGATCGCCTGAAAAGTTAAGAGCGCAAGTCCAAGAACATGACCAGTGTCCGTAAAGTGATACTCAATTCAATTGAGTGCACTACTGAACTTTACTTTACTTAAATGCAAACTTTAATACAAACTGAGGCATTTAGTTGAATAAAACACCATCAACACCTCGTCTACCATGAATTTTATACAAACAGATATTCAAAGACCTGAAATTTAAAAACTACACAAATAGTAAAATTATTCAGAGTAAACTGGGTTATGTCAGTCATAAACAATGGCTGACTTCACCACATAGTTAGTTTAGCCAAAAAGAAACCCCCACCACTCATTAATGGAAGTTTGCTCTGATTGGCTGAAAGTAAAACTATTTGAATACCTATTATTTCCCTATCTAGGTCCAACTAAAGTTCAAATAAATGTACTGAAGTTATATCCTGACTGGAGCAGCCTTCATTCGACTTGCTTTGTGACACATAAACTGAAAAGTTACAGGTACAGTGTGTCGAAATTACAGTTCTGAGGAGACCTGCTCCTATGTGTAAATAAAAGGCTAATTTTAAGTTGATAGAAAAGTATTTTAACTTTCAAGTAATTATACACTAATTCAAACCTACTTCACAATATCATTGTATAATATATTATGACCTCACTTCTACCAAGTCTCCTCTGCTAAATGCCACTTAATAATATACCTCTGCACCGCTGAAGGTGCAGACCCCTTAAAATCAACAGAAACTCTCTGAGAAGTATCTGCAAGTTGTTTTTTAATTCTAAGGGATGGTTTGTTTGTTTTTTAAGTGAAGATGTACACAGTACTTATAAATAGTAAGTGTATTACTTTGGAATCACAATCAGCTCTGCCTCTTAATTCAGAAACTGGCTAAAACCTGAATTTCGATGTTTATGAAATAAACTTAAATTCACATTTTTTCTCTAAAAGGTTAAAAGTTTCTTAAAGTGTAGCAACTGGCACAAGCAAACTACCCCGTAAAAGTCCCTCCATCTGGATAATGTAAAACCATCAGCACAGCTGATATGGAGCTGCTACTGAAATAAATATTTAGTGTTAGCTCTGATAAAAATATTGGATACAAAGATTACCCCCATGAATTCATTACTGTGTCTGTTCATCTTGTGTTTGCTTTACTGTTTCCAATGACTTCAGATGGACATTGTTGGATGTGGTGTGTCTGAGTGATGTATTTGAATAGAGGACAGCTGTTTTGTTCTGATAAGACTTGAGGTTTTACAAGAGGTCACACATGAATAAGAGTGGGAGCAGGGATCTGGATCATGAGTGGAGGGCTGTTTTTGTGTGTGTTTCTCTCCTCTATTGTAAGGTAAAGACAAAGGAGGTATATTTAGAGAACAGGAAAACACGATGCAGCAGTGCAGCAGTCAAACAGCTGCAGCGTCTCTTTCCTGTTAACTGTGAAATAAAGAAATGCGGCATTACTGTTTATGATGGCGATGTCTCTGCCTTTGTAATGCTCAGCCAGTGTCATTGAGGCTCCCTGCGCCGACGCCACAACCCTGACGGTGCGCCCGCTGTCTGAGCACTCCAGGTGGGACGTGGCACCCAACTCTGAGGCCTGGACAGCCAAAGTCTCTGACAGGGTGAAGGACTCTTTGGTGCGGTCTCGACAGTAGGACTTGTACCACCACTGGACCACCGGGGTCTGTGTAGAGGCCGTCTGGTAATGACAGGGGAGGACGACGGACTGGAAGAGCATCGCCAGGCGCCGCTTCTCCCGTACTGTGACATGCACGCCATCACACACATACGCTGACACAAAAAAATCAAAGACAGACAAGACAGGAAGAGATGTCAGATTGGAAAAAAATGGACAGAAAAATATATAGCTTACTTTACTTTATGGTCCTTGTTTACTTAACAAACTTTAGGGGGAGTGCTGTTCATCACTACATTCGTTTCAGATGACTAAACTAAATTAAGGGTCGACTGGATGTCTTTGAAAACAGCAAAACGACGGGAAAAGGATGCAGATCTTGATCAGTGGAGAAACAGCTGTGCCTCTTCTTTGTCTGTGTGGAGGACTACACCTGGGAGATATTCAGCATCATATTAAAGACAAGAACAGAGAGATAAGTTGTGTGGGGGCTCCTCTGCTGCTCTGTGCTGGGGTCAAGGAGGTCAAATTCCTGTGTGCCTGTAAGTGTGAGTGTGTGTGTTATGTGGGGGAGGCCTGGAGAGAGGCAGGGGGTTGTCATCACACAGGGAGGGGATGGAGAGCACAGACGTGGTCATGGGTGCTTTCTGCAAGTCATATTAAGTCGAGGCGGGGCAGGAACTCCCTCTAAACATTTACCAGAAGACAGGAAATCAACACAAAAGCCTGCAGCTTGATTTTCCTCAGGAGCGTTTATAGTTTTTATCTCAAATATTTCCTTGTTTCCTTCTACGAGCACCAGTGTGCTTACTTCCAGCCCACCTTTAGGACTACAACTGTGAGACAGTTTTAATCAATTTAACGAAATAAATAAAGTAAAAGGCTTTACATACCAATTACTCCATTTTTAAATAATCCGACGGTTTTATCACTGATTGATTTATTAATTTATGCATAAACAGTCAGACAAAGGTAAAAAAAGATGGTTGTTTAAGGTAATTAGTTTTATTTGATCCATAACCAAAGTAAATACAGACTTAATTTGCAATAAAAATGTGCAAATCTTACAATTGCAGACCTGGGGGCTGTTGGTTTTGAACTAGAATTTTTTTTATCATATGAGGAATTAAATGAGTCAGTTGAGATATTGGGACATTTTGATGGATATCTTAAGTTTTAGTCATAAATACACATTCCCATCAGTCATGTTAGCATCATCAGTTTGTTCCCATTCCTCTGATGAGTAACAACATGTAATCTGAAATTATTTTAAGTGCAGTGTTTGAGGTGTGTCTGGGGCTGTGTTTGCAGGATAGAAACAAGGAGGAGAGATAGAGATTCTCCCACAACGAAGCCCTGGTTATCCCTTTGTCTCCTTTTTCATGGACCAGTCCATTGTTAGGGCTGAGTTAAAAGAGGGGGAGGAGGTCAAAAAACGCCAACCAATGAGAGCATCCACATTCATACAGCTGGCTGGAAACAGACCAATAGATTTAAACCAAACCGTTTCTCCATGAATGCCCTCAGTTTGAGGTGAGAGCAAACAAACAATCTCGAGAAACTATGGACATGCTAAAAAAAGACTTTTAACTATTGTTTATGTGGAGTCTGCATCAGGTGTGAGTCACTGTATTTTAATGAACAGGTTGCACAGAATACAGACAGACTCCTCCTCCACCTGCATGCAAACAGATAGACTGTCTTGTATTAAAATAATGTGTGGTCACTGCTGTTTTCCAGGTCAAAGTTCTGCTACAGGACGCTGCATGTTTCCTGAACACAGTCGGGCTTCTTTTCCTCTCCAAAGCTGTCACATTTCCTGCTTTTACTGTGTGCTGCATTCCTTCACATTGACTCAATAGCCCAGCAAACTATAACCCTGATAGGACTGGATACAGCCCCTACTTCTGATAAAGATTTCAATGCAATTTTAGGAAACACACAGAAAGTTTCTGATAAAAGACGTGACTTTATTGGTCAGGGGGTTAGATTACAGGGTTTTTCCCAACACTTAAAATGATGTTGACCTAAACGTATGACTAATAGTATGGTTATGGTATGATACTGTGACTCCCTTTTTCTTTTTGTTTTGATAAAACTCCTTGTTAAATTTCTAATGAGATTTGTTTTCAGCCTATATAAAATAGGAAGGAAAAATGTAATTTATCCTCTCACACAGCATAATAAAGATGTAGTGTTAGATAAGTTTTTTATTCCTAACCTTTACTACAACAAAGTTAATATAATATTAGGACAATTAATTAAAACATCAGCCTTAAAGCTTCATGTGTATGATTATTTAAACAGGAAATCTTTCAGATCTGTGCTTGAAAATGTACAAATATTACCTGTACACTTCCAATTTTGTCAGTCCATACACGAGATAGTCCTGTGTACTTTGTCTTATGATCTCTGGTAACCTCAAGTAGACCCCAGCCCTAATAAGTTTTAATTAATTAACTTTCTATAATGTCAGAAACAGACAGGCCTGCATTGGCAAAGTTTTGTTTATGCCCCAGGGAACTATGTCCATATCTAAGGAGTTAAAGTAGCTTTTTATTTTGAAGAATTAATACAGTGTTTAATACTACATACCTTCAAATTTATTACTGTTTTCATAAATTCAATTAAGATGGAAAAACCTCGCTTTGAAGCTCGAATTTGAGGCTCACACTTTGTTCGGTGGATTCCCGTTATGATCACTGAGTTTATATAGGATCAACCTGTTGCTCTGCTGTCGTAAATATGGCGCATATTACCAAAAATGACACGTTAAAGAGAAGGGAATAAAACTTACCAAATGCTCCCAGTGCAATAGCCAGCAGGTAAAAGTTCATTATATAGTCCGTTTTCACACTAAAGTGCACTTTATCCGCATGTTGCCTTCCCTGTGTCTGTCCGCTAAGTAGAGCTACTGCTGCTAACAGGACTCACTGCAGACTGCTCCGACTAACGGGACTGTACCACTTCACACAGAGGAGGGCCTGGACCACGAATACACATCTGAAATTATTATATCTACATCGTCCACTCCCTATAGAAAGCCGCGATTTAGTCCACTCGTTCCTTTAGCAGCCTATACCCCTTAAACCTCGGTTATGTTTTTTCTTCACCGGGAGCAGCAGCAGCGACTTGCGGGCATTGAGAGAGAGGTCCGCCTGGTGAAGGTGGAGGGAGGTGGGGGGCAGCACCATGATAAACCAGGTCAGGGTGGACTGTGAGTTTTTCTGGAAATTTACTGTCAAAGGGCGAGGGGTAGGCAAAGTATTCAGTTCACAAAAGGGTAATACAGAATATCTAAACTGTTAAAATTGTCAGTTAGTTACAATTCTTACATGAACACCTGCTGAATAACAGACTAAAATGACATGTGGAAATGTTTTAAGTAGTATGTCATAGGTAAAATAAGATTTCACTCCTGCAACCAAGAGATAAAACAGAAAGTGGGTTGTAGGATAACCAACAACTTTTATTTTAGATGCGTGTGTTGATTATCATTATAGAAAAAAATGACTCAAGAACACAGTTTCCCAGAAAATCTTTACAATACTTATTGTCACACTACTGGAAATTACTGAAATTATACAAAGTCAAAGCAACAAATCCTCTGCAATTGTATGTTGGCCTTTTATACAAACATTTAAAAGAATCTCATGTACCCATTTTTAACCCAGTAGTCATAACTGTAATGTTGTTCCTCTGTGATCAAAATTACCATTACATACAAATAAAGTGTTTGGCAGACAGAAAACATTTCCCTCTGTCAAGTTGGAGTACAAACAGAACATGACACGAGAAGCCAATGTTTAAGTTCAGTGAACTTGCAATACAGTGATTAAGATGACAGACTTTCTGTCTTTGCTCATAAAAGTTGGTATTTTACCATCTGTCTTCACTCAGTGTCATGTCACCCATAAAAACAAATATACGAAAATCTCTAAAAACTGTTCTTGAATGCACATGCAAAAAAAGTTTTAAAAAAGACATATTTCTGGCTCCGGTACTGCTGAGACACTTAATTATATATACGTTTTGATGAACTTCTTTTAAAATCTAAGACTAATGTTTATGTTTTTATTTTCAAGAGAAATTAATGAAGTATATCCTTTTTTTCCCCTCAAATTGTTTTAACATCATGTCCAAATTATAGCAATTGATAACTTGTCTCGAAATACAATGTTTAAACCTACTGGATGGTGTTTTTCGATTCAATCGTTCCTTTTTTGGCTTATTGTATTTGCACAGGCCGTGTCTGTATTACAAAAAAAAAGACCTGTAGGTGCTGTGTAAGAAACTTCAAATTTTTTTTTATATTATAATTGTAGAATTGACCAGAGCTGGCTAAATGAAAAAAGACCTTGTTTCCAATACTCCTTATCCCTTGTGTTAATATTTGAATACCTGATTTTGCTCTCCAATAGTAAGTGCACATGGTCCCTCAGATTTTCCTTTGTGTACCTCAAATTTTTTTATAGAAACCGTATGAAAAAAGGAAAACATGTATTTAGAGAGCAGTTAAAACACTTTCAGTAACACAAGGTATTCTTAACCATGTCAGTATCCATCATCAATGTACTGCAGATGATCACGACTGCCTCCGATTCGATCCCGTTGGTCATCGAGACGATCACGACTGCCTCTGTAATTATCACGATCATCGAGACGATCGCGACTGCCTCTGTAATGATCACGCTGATCGTCGAGGCGATCACGACTGCCTCTGTAATTATCGCGATCATCGAGACGATCGCGACTGCCTCTGTAATGATCACGATCATCGAGGCGATCGCGGCTACCTCTGTTATGATCACGATCGTCGAGGCGATCGCGGCTACCTCTGTAATGATCACGATCGTCGAGGCGATCGTGGCTGCCTCTGTACCTATCTCGTTGATCGTCGAGTCTATCCCTACTGCCTCTATACTGATCACGCGGGTCATCCTGATAACGTCGAGAGTCAACATCATTGTCCTTGCCATCATTTTTTCTTTTACCGCTATAATTGCTGTGCTGATCATCCTCCAGCTTCTGCCCAGCAACTCCCAGGCTGTAATTGCTTTTAGGTACAACATCTTTCTCTTCATCCTTGTACTGCTGCTTAGACTTGGTGTTTGTCTTGTCATCCACGAACTCCTCGGTCTCAGGAGCATCTTTGTCATAATACGCCACATCTTCAGGAGGTCTTAAACAAAAAGCAAACAAAAAACAATGAAAAGTGAGGAGAGTTGGTGACTGGATTAAAAGAAGACTTAGATCAGAATCATCAAAAATCTTTCTTAGTGATGGATAACACTGGTAAAAGTTTTCAGGACGTATTATACATACCCTTCAGCGTTCTCGTCGTTTTTGCCTTTTTTCCTGCAACAGCAGAAAATGACAATCCCCAGAACCACAACGCCTGCCAAGACCCCTCCAATTATGACTGCAGTAGAGCCAATATTCATGCTGCCTAAGACGGAAAGAGAACATTTAAAGCATCATTTGCCATTTTGAATATTTTGGAGTTTTTCCTGAATTATTTGAACTACTGTTCTTATTTCATCAGGAAATTTTGTTTGTGATGAGACAGATCACGTTATTATTATCAACATGAGATGCTTCGTGTTTGTTGGACAAATTCATCTCTTGCCATTATCAAAATTTAAGAAGCTGAAGGAACAAAAACTACACCATGGTCAGTAGAGGTCAACAGAACTATGGCAGCAAATCCTCTGATTGAGTTTTTCAGGTGACAGTCAATGAACTTTTGAGCTCCTCTCTGTTTTCATTTTGTTCTCATGACCCATAATGTTTACGCTCAATGGATCCTTGATTTCACTAAGGTGAAAAAACATGAAGTTCTAATCAGGCACACATCACTCAATATGAGCCAACTATAGCTGGCGAGCGAGCTACTTATCATCCCCGTGAGTTCTTAAACCAGCAATTTTGTAAAGCAGATTATTTATCATTTTTATATTCTCAAACTGATATCTTTTACTTCAACTTGTGCCAGAAGGTTTTTTTTGTAACCAGGACAAACCGATGTCTGGCCAATCGTAGCTCAGTCTCACCTACACCTCTGCACCCGTGTGTGTACCACTTTTTCACAAATGGGGAAAACAATTATTAAATTGCTGATCACTTTTCAGGACTTTTGAACAAACTAATTTTTGCCTTTTAACGCACCAAGCAGACAGAAAGTAACATTAAAGCGTGTCTTAGCCACCTTGAAAAGTTAGTCCAATGGCCACTTGTTTTTTTTAGATCTCTACCAAATCCAAAGGACAAATTCAGATTTGTGTACTTTTACTTTTACCAAGAGGTCTTACCCAGAACTGCAAAACATATAATTCACTGAGGGTTTATCACAAACACCTGAGCAAGTAAATCATTGAAAAGACTCACCTGGCAACACACTCAAGGTTAAGTTGCAGCTGGCAGAGCCGATTCGATTAGTTGATTCGCAAATGTAGAACCCTGACATTTCCTTTGAAATGTTGAAGAGGGACAAAGCTCCATCCTCTGCAACATAATCACAAAAATAAGAGCACATTTTCAAAAGAATGGGACGATGACTTTGGAATTTTTACATCAGCACAGATTATATTAAATGACATATCTGGCTGCAAACCAAAAGAAGAGGCTTTGAAGTAACAAATGAATGATGCATACTTTCAGTTGTTTTAGGGGGAAATGGTCTTGGAATGTTTTGGACACTGTAGCTCTTCCATCCATAGGAAGGTTGTGGGGACCCCTCCTTAGACACACAGGTAAGACTGATGTTATACCCATACTCTGCTGTTCCCTGGACCTGACAAATTGGCGGAGAAGGAGGTACTGAAAGAAAATGAGAATTTCACATTAAAATTCCCTTCATTGCAGCAGACGTCATTAAACATATGGGAACAATTCGACACATATAAATTCACATTTGCAGCTAAGTCTTACCAAGGACCAAAAGTGAAGTTGTGGCAGCTGGTTTCCCCTCATCATCATTGGGGATCCTGACACTGCATTGAAATTGTCGGCTGTCTTGCATGGTCACCTTTGTCAACTTCAGAGTGCTCACTCTGCCATCAAGGTCAACTTCCATAAAGGCTCTGCCTTCATATGCAGGTGCTATGTCAATGGGATTGTTTGTAAAGTAGGTTGCAACTGTTTTCTGGAAAATAAAAACCGTTATATTTTATTAGAAAATATGTTTTTAATACAATTTAATAATAACATGAAATAAAATTGCCAGCTGATTGTAGTACAGAATAGTTATGATGAACAATAACACAAGACATTTCTCTCTGGTATTACTATTTTGATATACAAAGACCCCTTTTGCCTTCAAAACTGCTTTAATTGTTCATGTCATGCTGTCTCCAAGTATTATAAACATTCTTAAGACATTTTTGTCCATATTAACATGAAAGCATCATGCAGGTGCTGCAGATTTGTCGGCTGCACATCCACGATGAGAACACGTCCCAAAGGTGCTCCATTGAATTGAGATCTGGTAACTCTAGAGGCCACTGGAGTACAGTGAACTCAATGTTATGTTCAAGAAACTAGTTTGAAGTGATTTACCCGTTGTGACATGGTGCATTATCTTGCTGCTATTAGTCAGAAGATGGGTACAATGTGGTCAGCAACAATACCCAGGTAGGCTGTAGCATTTTGGCAATGCTCAATTGGTACTAAGGAGAAGATATCCCCCACACCATTACACCAGCAGCAGCCTGAACCATTAGTACAAGGCAAGATGAATCCATGCTTTTGCACTGTTTACACCAAATTCTAACCCTACCACCTTAATGACGCAACTGAAATCGAGACTCATCAGACCAGGCAGCAATTACAGCCAAGGTATGGTGAAGGTATGCAGAGTACCATCTCTGAATGCACAACATATTGAACCTTGAAGCAGATGGGCTACAGCAGCAGAAGACCACACTAGGTACAACTCCTGTCAGCTACAAACAAGAAACTGAGGCTACAATTCACACAGGGTCATCAAAATTGCACAATAGAGAAGCTATTTGACTTACTGTTACCTTTCTTTCATCTCAAACCAGTCTGCCTATTCTCCTCTGGCTTTTAATATCATCAAGGCATTTTCGTCCATACAACTGCTGTATACTGGATATTTTGTCTTTTTGTACAATTCTCTGTAAACCTCAGCTTGAAAATCTCTGTAGATCAGCAGTGTCTAAAGTGCCAAGTTCAGCCACTTAAATCCCCTTTCTTCGTCATTCTGATGCTGGGTTTAAACTCCAGCAAGTCGTCTTGACCATATCTACAGGCCTAAATGCATTCAATTGCTGCCATGTGATTGACTGATTAGCTATTTGTGTTAACAAGCAATTAAACGGGTGTACCTAATACAGTAGCCAGCGGGTGTAGTGTTATCTCAGTATGGCTAAAAGTTCTGATTAAAGAATTGTGTCACCGTCAGATAGACCAACAGCCTAACTGACCACAATCACAGCCTTTTCTGTCATTTATCAAGAGGAAAATCCAAAACTTTTTACTGCCATATTGAAAGAGTTTGAGTGTAATAGTGATGTAAAATTAATCAGGATATTTCTATACAAAACAGACTTCAGGATAGATACCCAAGTCTTGTCTCTTTTTTTTTACACCAGCTTTTCTCTACTACTGCATCGTATAGAACAAGAGGGAAAAGATAAACTAAAGATTAAATAATACTATCAATAGTCTGTAGTTACACCCTTCAACTATATTTTCGGTCTTAAAACAACTTTGTAGTTTCATTTTCTTTTGATAAGTGTAACAGTTGGTTATCTGCAATCTTACTATCAGCTGAACAAAGGTCATCAAGCTCAGCACAAAGAAAGAAAGAGCGCCAAGACTGAAACATTTCTACTATCATATTAAGTCAAAGCACAGGACTCCTTCCTCATGGGTAACAGTATCCATTACAATGAATCCTAGTGTAGTCAATACTGAAAACTTAAAAGTTTCTGATTTGAGTCTAGAACCAGTGTAGATCAATTAAAAACACAATAGTGGGCAGACTTTATCAGGCTAGAGTCGAATCTTATCAGGTCCTGGTGTAGGGATCTTTTGTTTCTGGTCCCAAATAATGCCTTTAACGCTTGCTGTGTTACATTGTCTGAGAAGAATGGGACTGAAAATTAACATACTGGGAAATACAATGACATGTTTTGACTGACGGAGTATTTTTTAGCGGGGTCAAACACTGAAGACAGAAGATCTTTTTTATATAGTTTATCCCACTTATCTGTATTTAATATGAGACCTTTTGATGTAAACTGCAGCCAGTTTAACCTCTTACCATTGGCTCTTCAGGATTGTCAGGCTGAGCTTCCCATGTGAGAATAAGTGTATTGAATTCCGGTCTGGCTGGGACAAACATACATGTCAGAGTAATATCACCATCTCTTGCAACCTCATAGTCTTCTTTTTCAATGGAAACCTGGATACCACTGCAGCTGGAAAGCACTATAATAAAAAGAAAGAACTATGATTAATAATCAATATATTTTTAGGCCAAACTTGTAATATTGTTGTTAGTTTAGCATGAAATACTTTTAGAATACACAGTACAACTTTCTTTGGGGAACTTAGATGGAAAATTAAACCAAAAGGTCTGTTTCCGGTTAAGCAGCCAAGTGCTGGATTGATGATTAACCTTAGTAATAAATCTATAAGGGTGTGGTAGTGGTTCACAGAAAAAGAGAAAGAATAAAGAAAGAACTCTGACCTGTGAGTATCAGAAATACGCTCCGCCACTCAAGCTTCATCTTCATAGTTGTTACTGGAAATGATTCAAAAGTCCAGAGATGAGAAAATCTGAAAATTGATGCCCCACAGTCCAAGAGCGAGGGCCCGCCTTAACCTTCAGGGTGAACTCCCAGGTATGGAGAAGTAGACTCTTCCAGGTAATAAGTCAACAGTTTGAGGTCACATGTCAGCGGAAAGCCAATCATTCACCTGTTCTGCTTTGATTTAACCTGCTTATTCAAGATGTATGTTAGGGGTCTGTAATGGCTGTAGTATTCAAATAGATGTAAACAGTCAGAAAATATATATATATATATCAATCACTGATCTGTACAGACACCAGCTCATAGAAGGATACATAGATAAACAGATAATCCAGGTAAATCAATTTTATGTTCAGAATCCCTCCGGTGTTATACTCAGTGTGACCTGCAGGCTGCAGTATTGCACTGACATTGATGCTGACTGTTTGATGAGAATTTGAAAATCTACTATGTAACAGATATTATTTCAATAGACTGTTTGCTCTTGCGATGCTGTAAACTTAACCCTGAAAAGCAAAAGTCGTGAGCTGTAACCAGACGCAAAGTTGTTTGTCTTGTTTTCTAGATATTTCCATTTTTAAAGCCCCTAAATACTCAGTAAAGCAAGAGGTGCAAAAGTACACTTCATCTTCCAGACAGTGTGCTCTTTCAGTGGCTTTGGTGGCATGAGGTTGCAGATTCAGATCTGGCTCCGGACAATGATCTATTCCTCTGTGGCCAAACAACATAGCTGTGGTTAAGTATTCAGCCCATCATCGGCTCAATGTTGAGCCATATGATAGACTGAATACTTCAGTTTAACCATTTGTTGTGTGTGAGAAAATCTCCACGAGTCACTGAGCGTGTCTTCCAGACAAACCCATGGCCAGATACATCACAAACACACACACTTATAGTTTTCTTGTTACCAAATTGAAAAAAGGGAAATAAAGGGGAATTTGTTTCTACTTCACATCTCAACATATTGGAGAAGTGGAATCTAAGTTTTTGAGAAGTTGCTAGCCTATCCATCAATCTCTCTCTATTTCATGTTTTTGGGATGCATGCAACAAAAAGGACATGATGCTGCTTGTGCAAGAGTAACTGTGCATCTTTTCTCTCAGTCAAAAGTGCATAATTTATCAACAACTTAAAGGCATCAGGTGGGTGACAAAATGTACATGCTTCAACAACTTTTATCAGTCCTCATCAGTCAAAACTCTTACAACATATTTCAACAGACTCTTTTATTCTCACAGCTTCATGCTTTTGCATGATTCAGAAATCTTGGATACGAATCAGAAGGAGAATAATCTAAACTAAAGTGACGTACAGTCTCTGCGTCTTTACTTCGAGTCAGTTTCTGTGCATCTTGAAGAATGCTGCATCATTTTCAGGTACAAAAGACTTACTCATGATTCTTTATCATTATTGTTTATTGAGTCTGAGTCATATGGTGGGTACCATGACACATTACATTATACTGGTTGAAGAGGATTGTAATACATCTTTTTTGTTGTTACTTTATATTATTAGAGAGAGGAGTCAGTTCATTTAAATTAAGCCTACTTTATTAACAGATATGTTACTACTGCTGCTGTTCAGTCTTTAAGTAGAAGAAAAGCTAAATGATAATCCATCTGAACACGCTCCTCCAACTTCACCCTGGTCCCTGCTGAGTGTATCTGAGCGTACCTGCTTGTGCATGCATGTGTGAGCGTGTGTGCGTAGTTGTGGGTGTGTGGTTGTGTGTGTAGCTTCGGTAGGCTCAGGGCTGGGATTTCGGGTTAAATATTCAAAATGGCGGACGGAGGAGCAGCGAGTCAAGATGAGAGTTCAGGACCAGGTAATGATTACAGCATTTTACATATTCATACTCATATTCAAACTGTGTAGCTCACAATTTATGATAAACGGAATACAGACGAAACGCAGACTGACTAAGAGATGAGGATGAACCCGGGTGTTGTTGTAGTTTAGACACAGAAAGCCAACAGTAATTTGACAGAGGAGGAAACGAGCTATTGCAGTGCGACGGCAAATTACATGGAAACATGCCTCCCCCCTTTGTGTGATTAGACGGCTGTACGCCGCTACATATTCATACCTCTGTCGACAAATACAGTTTAGCATATTTTATTAGTAATCGCCGACGTGCCTCCACTTCTTAGATGACATATTTAGATATTTCGCTGAGGCAGTTTGATTGAAATGAGGATGCTAACACGCTAGCGTTAGCTGGGCTGCTAACGCTTGGCTTTGTGTTGATGCACACAGTGAAGCCTTTGAAAGAGGTTTGCATATTCATTTTTCAGCGAGCCGGGCAGAGGCTGTGCTTCTCTCTTTTACGAGCTGTTTAAGGGAAATATATATAAATGTAGCGAACATGGTCCTTGTTTACTAACACATTGTCACCTCGGTTTCCTTGGGCTCGACGCGGTTTTTATAGTAGAGCGTTTTCCCCTCAGCCTTTTGTGCTCGGCGCAGTGGAGTCACAGCAGCAGCAGCCTGTTGTGTTATTCATGCGGGCCTGCTTGAACCAGAGTGCGGAGTTCAGCATATTCCAGCAACCGAGACTGGAGCTCGTCCTGCGCGGCACAATAACCGCACGTAAACGCAATACTTTGTCGTCTTTACACATTTTAGGCGTTTCTTTCTCGGGGGGCTAACCGGCTAACCTTACCGTTCCCGTACTTGGATGAGTTTTTCAGGTGATAATATTAAATTCGCGGAGACTGAGCTGGAACAGATTCAACGGTAAATAACCGTTGAAGATGTAGGTGTCGGTGATGTGTTTACGGTGTTTCTCGAAAGAGCCGTTGTTTTAAACTTAAACGACGGTGTCAATGAAGTTGGACCGAGCACTTTCTTGGGAGTATTAGTGGAAAAGTAATCTGTTAATCCATCTCAATCGAACATTTAACACATTCAAACAACTTTTTAATTTCCCTCCGAATGAGCAGAGGTAAAATCTCGTTTTCTATTTGCAGTTTCGTCGTTGTTGTGGGAGTTTAGACTGAGTCTGTCTGTGCTGAATACAAAGATTGTACCTGTGTATCCCCCCCGGGCACAGGGAGGGGTGGTGAGGCCCACTTCCTGAAGGCCACAATAATAACAGGCAGGACATTCTTACTATTCACTCCACCGGTTTCATGGCTGGGCAAGACACAGCATGATGGCACTTTTTTCCCCCTCAAAGTGCATCTCTTTAGTTTGTGTAAAGGAGTCCAAAGCGTAGTGTGTAACTGTATCACAATTCTGCTATTGATGGGCTGCATTATTTTGATGCTGAAGTTTTAACTTTACAAGCTTTCTGGGCCCCACTTTTACCAACTGTGAAAAAAATAACAGTGAGTTAATTGATAAGTATACTTGATAATAATTTTCTACCGTTTAATAAATCCATTCAAAATAGTGTGTGAATTTTATGAGAGGAACAAACAATAAATCTTCAATACCAACTCAGGACTTTGTGTTCTTCTCTCCTCTATGACTGTTAATGAACAATCTTAAGCTTGTAAGCAAAACAGGCATTTAATGACACCCCACCCACCCCTACCCCCGGGTTTTGGTTTACAGATCACCATTTTTCATCATTAGGTACCTAACAAGTTAATGAATCACCTCAAGAAATAAAAGTTTGTTTCAGCCTCATGAGGAAATGCATTTTGCTGAGACTATATTGCTATTTATTGAAGTCTTTGCAGCGATAATGTGAGCTATATGGACAAGCTTCAGACACATCCCTTCTGTTACAAGCTAAAACTCCATTGTGATTGTAACTGTAGATTTGTGTTTTTTTTTCTTCTTGTTTTTCTTTATACAAATGAAATTCAACTATGTCTCCCGGGCCCTCCATGGGATCTTGATTGTGTTCATTGCACAAAATTGGTACCATACCAGCAGCCTTACTGAAAGAATCATTGGGGTACCTGTGATAAATACAGTATCATAGATTAGGTTTGAACTTCTTTGTTGTCGTTGTTGTTGCCTTTGTTATGAAGGCAGACACAAAGGTGTCAGAGTTCCTGTGTGTAACCATCATTGTTGTGGGGAAAGATATCCAATGACTGTCCTCGTAAAAATGCTGGCACTGATTGATTTTAGTGCATTTGCATCCCAAAAAATACAATGTGATGTATTGTAGGAGATTCCAAGCTCGGAGAGTGGACTATTTGTTAAGTCTCATTTGGCAAAATTATGACAAAGTATGGAAATAGACTTGCCTAGCTTAAAATATATAATCAACTTATTAAACAGGGCAACTTAAATGACAGATGAGAAGTACTTCTGTCATCCCCACACTTAGGCTACTTTTCTGGTTTAATTAGTTTTACAGTTCCACCCTCATTCCAGCCTTGTAGTTCTATCATGAATATTCATTGGTGTAAACACAGTTGTTATGAATAATGCATAATTTGCAGTAATACATTCAGGACATGCCATCTCAAAGCACTGAAAGGGCCTCCATGAAGGCTGCAGTCAGACAAGATTTTTTTATTTTTACTGTGGAGGAGGAAAATCATAAGTAACCAGAGCTGTGTGCTGTGTCCAAAACAGAGAATTGTTTCTGTTGATCTGTAGCATGACTAAACAGTGAAAGGCAAAGAAGCCTAAGTGGGATCAAAGCAATGTAAAGATGACATTTCTCTTTGTTAAAAAGAGGTTCCCTAAAACAAAACAAGTCCAGGTTCACTGAAAATCTGGAGAAGTCATTTTTTTAGAGGTGAAGAAAGGATCCCCAGAGATGGCCACTGCATGGAAACATCAAGCAGCAGATGATTGGCGGTATATCTAGATGTTGTTACAGTTGGTGTGTTGTCACAGAGAACTCTCAGTTTTCTGCAGCTTTTATCACATATAGAAGATATTTGCCTGAATTTAAAGGTTTTTATGTTTAGGTACACTTAATTACAACCCACATCTTTCATAAGAAATACTCCAATCAAATGAGAGCTTTCTTAAGGGTCGTGTGATGTGCCAAAACACTACCATTGTAATAATTTCACTGACTACATGACTATCTTTAGGTAATGTTAAATTCAATAACACTCCTAGTTTGAAGAACATCTTGGAACTTGCAGAAGCAGAACTTGCCCTGAAGTTTTTGACGACCTTGTTCTTTCCTTTGTGGTTGCAGACAGTCAAAACAAACTTGAAAACATTAAAAAAAAGCAATAAAATTTAAAAATCAGTGTCTATCAGATATTTTCTGGTGGATGCAGGCATGCAGCTAGTATTGGGGGCTGTGAGCTGAGCTGCCGCTAACATCCACATTGTCAGTATCATGGTACTTCCCACACCCAACTATTGTTTCATCATTGAGAGGTTGCACCTTGGATATGCTATTTGTCTTTGGCATAAAACATTGGCTTTCATTATCAACAGTTAAAATATTACTTGTTAGAAGTGAGTGTGCACTCCAGCGTGTAATTCACATGAAAGCAAAAACAAACAAACCACCACCTGCAGCTCATCTGACTGTTGTTGTATCTGCTGCATAATAGGCTTTTTGATCTATCAATTTCAAGCACATGTCTGAAGTTTATTTTTGTGTTGTTCTCTATTGAGAGCTTTTAATCACCAAGCCCTACTTTGCAGAGCACAGCCAGGATCGCTGGTGAAATCTGTTAAGTGCATTGCTTCATTCCTGTAAAAGAGCAAAGACACACCACATAGATAATCCACAGTTATGGCTTAAAGCAGGTAGTCTTTTACTCTTCCTCTTTATCCAGTAGTCATCCTCAGCACCCCTTGGAAACTTCACTTTAATTTACTTGGATTGAGTTTCCGACTTAGCCTATAGACGGCTTGCTAATGACCACCCAAGAGATCCAGACCACAGCAGCTCAGAGTGGTGTTAGCCTCATTACTGCTCATCAAGTTACACTTTGTCCTGTATTAGGTTCGTTTGGTGGGTTAAGTTTGTACTGTAGGTTGTCAGATTCTGGTGTTTTTTTTACAAGAACTAAAAGCTGTTTTAAACTGTTTAGACACTTGGGTTGAATACATTTTAAAGCTGTAGGTTGTTTGCTAATTATTTCCTTTAAATTGGAAGATTATCTGTCATGACCATACATCTTGTCAGCTACAAAACCTCCTTTGTGCCGCCACTCTTCCAGATTAGGAAAAGTGGTCCTGATGTATTCTGTGTTTATGACGGAGGATATAGATAGCAGGGCAGAATGTGGATGTGCTAATTAAGTTTAGCTCCGTCTCATGTTGAATCTCCGCGCTCACATTAACGTCTCTGCAGTATTCAGCCTGCCTTTCCATAATACAGTGCTAATGAGGCACCTATTTAAAATTCTCTTTGCAGGATATTTGTATAATGCATTGTTCCGCAGCCGAGGTTTGCAAACCATTTATCCATGTAACTGTACATGTGTTAAAGTGCACCGCTGATGACTGCCTTTGCATTCGCTTCTGCCTTGTTTTCTCATTTGTGTGCATGATTTGATTGCTGAAAAAGTTCGAAAAGACAGACTGCTGTGAGATTTGTTACGGTAGAGTGACATCTGTAGAAGTCATAGTTGCCCTCTTGGTAAACAGAGGGCTGAAATCAGTTGTTGAATTGGATTGCATATGACATTGTTGGGCAGTGATAAACTTTCTTACAACTGTTTATTCAGAAAGATGAGGCTGCTTATGTTTTTCGTTAATTATGATATCTAAACAACTCACCTTTCAAAAATATCTTACTGTTAAGGTCCTTACACACCGGGGCCGACGCGAATATAGAACAGAAAATTACGAAATAATGGGAGGAGAATTTTGACGCGCCTGACTATACACATGAAACCCAATGCGATTTTGCGACTTTCCGGGGGCGAAAAGACGCATCCCGGGGAAAGTCCAGCCTCCTTCGCCTCTGATTGGCTAGAAAAGCTGGAAACGTCATCACACACTCAAGCCAAGTGGTCAGCACTTATAGCCAATCAGAGGCGATAAGATAAGCACATGAAACTATTGTAACCACTGTCAGCTTACGTTAGCACAGATGAAAGTTAAAACAGAGACGTTTAGCAAACTGTTAAAGCACACAAACCATCATCATATGAGAGATCCAACGCTATGACTCTCCACAAGTTGTTATCTTTGTATTGTTTGTGTCTTTTATCATAAAGCACTCTGTTCTCCAACACGTAAACAATCAGCTGGTCGGCCATGTTGGATATACCGGTAAATCTGACGTTGCAACAACACGCAATCTGATCTGTCAGAAGGTGACCCACAGAATGATCCAAAAAAATAAAAGCCGCAATATCACAGGACGGGAAAATGTCGCTGATGTGAATGCTTATATTGACAGGATACGGGTTCGAAAAAAAATATTGATGTCCGAAATAATCGCACGACAAAAATGGTCCTGGTGTGAAAGTACCTTTAGCAGACATTAAAATAGGACAAAAGATTGGCTCTATTGCAGTGACCCTTTAGGGGCTTTTTGGTTTCGGTCATTACCAAATATCGATCTGATAATAGTGTTTGATTAATACGCTGTTTGCCTCTGGTGCCGAATAGACTGGATTCTTTTTGTTTTTGTAAAGAAACATTGGAGTTGACCTAAACATTGCTTTCCACAGTTATATATACAAAAGAGAAAAAAAAATCGCTGATGCTGCAAGTTGGATAGAACTTTCTTCGCAGAGCGAGAAAAGCCTCAAAACAGCCAACGCTGAATCTGAAGCTCCCCATGTGTGGGCAGAGTAGTGCTCTTCTTTTTCCTTTAAGCAAATCGTCTGTCTGATGCCTCAGACCCGTGATTTTGCACTGAGTACAGTGTATAGCGGTGAACATACAGCTGAATCAATCTGCTCCATTTCTAATGATACCTTATCTAGCTTTTGGTCTATAATTTGGACTGAATGAGTATATTGAGTCTATTTTTTTAATCACCCTCATCAAAATTGTACAAGTAAAAATCCCCTAGCGTAGGCTTTACCTCACATCCACCTGAAACACTTAAAAAACACACAGAATCCCCGAAGTGTTGAGTAAATGGAACTGCGAGTCAAGCTAGGAGAAGAAGACAAAATCTTCTAACACTCTAATCAATCAAAAAAAGGATTTTTATCATATCCGTTTAATAATTAGAGAAAGTCGGAGCTACGTTTTTCGCTTAAGGAAGAAAACTCATTTTTGTGGATGTAACTTGGGAGTGTCAGGTTGTTAGTCATGGCTGCACACAACAGTTAGTGACTGTATACTTGGCTCTGATGTCCTCACGATGCTGATGTAGGCCTACTCTATCACATTAATGCCATTACACTCTTCTCGAATTGCAGTCTGCGTCTATGTAAATACTTTAATCTGGCAGCAGCCTAGGTGAAGACATTAATTGAAGCTTTATCCAGGAGCAGAAGCCCATTCCTTGTAAGACTACAATACAACCATGTATTCCAGTCCAGTCCTCCCAGATACACCAGACACCAGCGCAGAAACATAGCAGGGTCTTTTCTCTGCGGTAAAGAGTCTGTCAGCCTGCTGGAAATGAATTTTAAAAAGCCCCAAAATGAAATACTAATGGAATGTAAAGCTAATCTAAATATGCTAATCCCTAAACACTTCATAAACATAGACAGCAACAGCCCGCCACCCACTCTCCGTGCTCGCTGGCTGTGGAATGCAGTAGCCACAGGGGGTCCCGCAGTAATGACAGCTTGTGGTGGATTAATGTGGAGTTATTTATTTCCGATTGAGCGAGTCCCCCTCCCTCTTACACCCAAGACCCCCCCTCCACACCCCCCTTCTCCTTTTTAGCAGTTAGACCAGGTCCCCATGACTCCTGGAGAAACTCCGAATGAGCAGTCTTAGACGTCCCATTAATGCAGTCCGCCTTGCTTACATGCCCAGACCACCGCCGACAGGCCTCACATTGCATTCTGGGATATCTTCAGCCCCTTACCTGCTCTTAGCTAATTACTTTTTAGCCGTGCACTGGCACAATAATTGGTCTTGTGCTGCTGCCTCTCCTCCCTGTGCTGCGCCAAGTGCTAGTTTGAGCACTTTTTTTCCCCACTTCTCTGTGTCGTCCTTATTCCCCTGTTTTTTATCGTCCTCCAAAAGCCATCCAATTAATATGCTAATGAGCTGATAAATATTTATAGGGGTTTAAATTATGCAGAAAGCTTTCAGAGCCCGGTGTGAAATGCGTCGCTCGCAGGACTTCAAAGCCTTGCATTGCTAACGAGGCAGGGGCAGATTTGCATACGGCTTTAATCAGCTGAATACTGATTACGCTTCATTATAGAGTTGTAGGGAGGGGAGCCGAGTTAGAGGAGGCCGCCAGCTGCACTTGTCGTTTGTTTCATTCCAGCTAGAGAGGGAGAGGTCGAACTTTTTCAGAAGTACAGACAATCTTGGCACACAGGAGAGAGAGAGAGAGAGAGGGGAGAAGAGAGAGAGAGCAAAGTAGGCACTGTAAGAGAGAGAGAGAGTGCAGCACTATAAGAAAAGAAAAGAGTGCCGAGAGAAAGAGAAGGAGAGCTGTTTGTCTAAACCCTGTTGGCTTTCCCAGTGTGCGTTTCCCAGTGTTGCTCAGTGAACCGTATGCCGGACAGTGCCGCTGTGTCTGCGTGTGTGTAGCTCCGCTTGTATTGAACTCTGCTCACTGCTGACCAGTGGAGAGTGAAGAGAGGGAGGAGCAGGGTGGAGGAAGAGGAGTGCCGGACACCCTGTTGGAGGGTTTGCCCTGGCAGCGGCAGGTTACTATGATAGGCTCCACGGCCATGCTGGAAAACACAGGTGGAGCAGGAGCAGGTAAGTTTTTTTGGTGACGGGGTTGATCCGACGCTGCTCGGCATCCCTGTTTATCCTTGATGAAGACGACTCGTGCGGGTTTATTTTTGTAACGAGACACCAGTTGTTACGTCTCTTTGTCTTCCAGCCTTTTACTCTACGCAAAGTTGGCTTGTGTTGGTGGTTAATTTCACATAGGTTTACTGTTTGCTGCTTTGTGTGGTAAATGTGACAGGCAGAACACCTTTTAACTATGCAAAACACTCAGGTGACGAGAGTGCGTTGATCCCTCCTCCTCCTCATCACCTTCTTTGTGGGTTTGGGTTGTGAATGCTTTTATCGGACCCAGGTGTGAGTTCCTCTCATTGTCTGTCTCTGTCTGGCTCTTCCAGATGCTAAAGTGAATAATCAGTCAGAAACTACTAAATGTGCAATGGAAAGTGGTGACGGGAACACCGGTGAGTGGCTTGCAGCTCTTTTTTTTTTGTTTTGTTTGTTTTTTATTAACTGGAATGAAATCTCAACATTCTGAGTTTTCCCTCCTGATTCAACAGGTTTCTAAATTCATAGTCAGAGATAAAGCTCACTACAACACCGTCCACCTTTTTTTCTATTTGGATTCATTAAGAGAAAAAAGAAATCATGGCAGCTTTCCAAATCTTAGCGAGCGATCCTCTTTGCCAAATGAAGTGTTTACCTCACAGAGCAATCCCCCCTCACTTGTTCAGATTTAATATCAGAGTAATTCGCTCTGTGTCGGTGCTTCAGTGACTCTGTGATACCAATTATCTAACTCAGAATGAACATAACAGATTGGATACTCAGCTTTGTATTCCTGTTGTGTAATGATGAGCTGAGTAAATATTAATGTCTGCTTCCAATTTTTGTGTAAGTCCGTGTTGTTAATAATTAATTTTGTGATGATTCACCAGCCTGCTCTCGAACACATTCATGCTGCAGAGTCAAAACCAGCACGCTTATCTATGATGCGACCTTTAATCACATGTTTTGCAGCTTTTAACTGTATTTTCTGCCTCATAAAATAACCGGTTTACTTTTAGTTGCTGGTGTTATGTTTCTCTTTTTCTGCGTGTTTCATCTCCTAAAAAGTAGATAATGTTGTTGATTATAAATCTCCGAGCTGGTTTCATGATCCGTCTCTCTGTCTTTAGGAATCCAAACCAATGGATTGGACTTTCAAAGGCAGACGGTGCCAACCACAAGTGCAATCACCAATGCACATGCACAAGCCCTCCTCCAACAGGTAAAGTGCGATGAACACTCGTCCCACATCTTTCAACTTCTCTCCTCCTCTTTCATTCATGTGAAGAAAACATGTTTTTTCAGCCTTTTCAAACAGCCCAAGTGTGGCATAACAATAATAAAGGTGAAGTTTAAACTGAAAGGTACGCTTTTCCTGCACTCACACATGCGCTAGCAGAAAGAGCTCATTTAAATGAGCCAGGCTCTCCTTGTGTCGCCTGGCAACACGGCAGATTAATCAACCCTGTATGCTAATTAGCTGCTCTGCGGTTGCTCGGAAACAGATGGCCGAGAATATGCAAATCTATGCAGAATTTACATGCACTGCATAACAGTTATTTTAATTAGCATCTCAACTCTTCCCTCCCTTTCCATTCACTCCCCTTGTCTCTGAAGGCTGCAGCACAATTTTAAAAACCCACTTTCTCGATTCCTTTTAAATTCAAATTCCTCTCCCCCGTTTCAAGACTGAAGGCTCACTTTTCAGGAAGCAGCCAAAGTTGCACAGAGACGTCATATTTCAGTGTATTTTTACTGCTGTGCCTTTTTTCTAGACTTCTCCTTTATGTCTAAATTAGGTATCTCTTTTTTTTTTTAAAGCTAATAAATTTATTCAGCTTGAAATCACTTGACCAGGTTTACCTTCTACTTTTAACCTGCTCAGTATTACCTGTAGGAAGTTGTCCTCTAAGCCCCCCATCCTCCTCCTTTTTGCTTCACCTCCACTAGTCTAAGTCGGAAGACTCGAGTGCTCTTCCCACCTCCGCCCAGCAGAGCGTTTTGCCTCAGACCCAGCTAATGTTGGCAGGAGGACAGATTGCTGGAGTAAGTGGCCTGTTGCCTCATTGCTATGAATCAAACCCTTATCACCGTCATGCATCTGGGGTGACACATCAGCACTTTGAAGCCTCAGAGTTTGGGTGATGCAGTGATCGCTTGCTTTGACTGTAGCCGAGGCTGGTGTCTCTTCTGCCTGTCTGCCTGTTTGTCATCGTGGTGGTCCAGCTATGTCCATAATCCTCCATGGCAGAATATGGAGGGATGTTTCTGGACATAGTCTTGATCTGTCTCTCCACTCATGTCGGGGCCGACCACAGACACATTTCATCTTCATTCATTTTTCCTGAGCGCATACTGTAGTGAAGATGACGGGTCGGGTTTAACGCGGCTGTCGGGATTCAGTGTTTACCATGCATGTGGATCTGAGTTTGAACATGACATCAACATGCCCATTTGCACTTGTGCCTGGCTCAGCTGCATGAGTCTTTTCTCCATTTGTCTGCCTGGGCGCATTTTAGTGTTGCCACGGTAAAGAAAGCCTCGAAGCTTACTTTGATACTAAAAAAAAAATTAGGAAACCACGAGAACAAAAAGGTACCTAAAAAGTCAGTACTTGAGCCAAATGACGTCTTCAGCTTCAGCTGTGAAGTATCTTCATACATGGAGATAATAAAATTCAATATGAACAAGAGCTATGATCACGTTAATGACAGTACTGAAGCAAAATCTGCATCATATAATACTTTATACTCAGGAAAAGAGAGTTTTAGCCAACATGTCAAGAAGACTATTGTCTAAAATAGTGGTTTTATATGTGCTATATTCCCAATGATGTTGAAGCCTCGCAGCTTAAGTACTGTGACAACACTAACATGTCCAACCTCAATGATACGATCAGAGCTGGCTGCTAAATACATCCTATTTTTCTTTTAAAATCATATTTCAAGGTATGGTTTCATTGGCATTCATCATCTTCCCTTCTCATATATTTCAAAAACATGGAGGTTCTGTGCTCCAAAGTCCCAACATCAGAGCTTTTGTGCCTGATTATGAGTAGGTATAATGTCAAGTGCCAATAGAAGAGTTTGCTTCTTAAATTTAGTCTTCTCAGTCGCCTTGAAGTAGTTTAGTTTTGTCAGACCAACCGTGAAGATCTACGGTCCGTTGTAAATTTTGTCAGCTGAACTACAGTTGATCATTCATTTAGATATTTGTTGCAGCACCCACAACAGTAGAGCACCGCTCACAGAGACATGAATGTGAGACAGCAGCGGTATACACATGAACGCCAACAGAACCAGAAATGAAAACAAATAGATATTAACTGAAGTGTGACAAAATAAGACTTAATTTTTCCTCTCATGGCCTGGCCCTCGAGGTAGAATGAAACAAGTTTGTACTTTTATTGCTGTCTTTATGTTCCCCTCTACATTGTCCCTACATCTCTCCGTCTCTCTCGTTTTTGGCTCTTCAGTTGACCCTGACCCCAGCGCATCAGCAGCTGTTGATCCAGCAGGCCCAGGCTCAGCTCCTGGCTGCGGCTGTGCAGCATTCAGCCAGCCAGCAGAACAGCACCACCGGGGCCAGCATCTCAGCCTCCGCAGCCACGCCCATTACCCAGCTGCCTCTGTCACAGCCCATCCAGATCACTCCGGTAAGATACAGCGCCCTGAGTAGTTATGTTTTACTCAAATTTTGACCGAGAAATCATTTCCTCTGTGAATTTTACAGAGCAGCATCAGGTCTAAGTCAGTTTAACTTGATTGGAAAAACTCTGGAAAAAAAAACAACGTATATTTTTTAATAAGGAAACACATTTTTAAAAAATACTGTATGTCTTAAAATTAGGGGCCACAGTCTGTTATAGATCAAAGCTTATTTTTGAATAAGTGAATCAATGTGTGACTGTAGTTAAATCAAGTGTCGTCCATTCCTCTCAGCAGCTACAGCAGCAAAATCTCGGCCTGCCTCAGTTTGTCCTGGTGCAGCCCGGCCACCCGATTGCCACACCGCTGCAGTCCACCCAGTTCATCATCTCACAGGCACCATCGCAGGCCCAACAGAGTGAGTGTGAAAACAAGCACCTGTTTGATTTGGTTTGACATGAGAGAGACTGTTTCCAAATGTGTTCTTCTGTTTTTTTTAATCTGATCTTCAATGTCTGTCATTCTGTAGGCATATTGCAAGCCCAGAGTCTTCTAACTCAACTACCTCAAAGCCAAGCTAACCTCCTGCCGACTCAACCAAGCATCACCCTTGCACCTCAGGTTGGTACTGATCCGAGCACCTCTTTTACCTGACAGGTTTATCCAAGCTGTATTTATGTTATAAATCAGGTGTTAGTGAAAAATCGAATAGGCTCTTATGACCACTTAATGCTGCTATCATTTATTTTTCTATCATCTGCATCTGTTGCCTTTGGATCTAATTCTAATTTCAGCATTACCTTTTTTTGCAGCCTGCAACACCAACCCGCACAACAACAGCCACACCAATTCAGACCCTGCCCCACAGTCAGACACCACCCAAACGGTTGGATACCCCCACTCTGGAGGAGCCCAGTGATCTGGAGGAACTGGAACAGTTTGCTAAGACCTTCAAACAGAGGCGTATAAAGCTGGGCTTCACACAGGTGTGATTAAGATTGAAAAGACTGATTTGTAAATGTGACAGGACTCAGATTGGTGATGCAGAGGGGAATCAAAAGCTCACAGGTGGGGCTTTGTTGCCGGGAAAATAAACTGTGATGTGTTATTTTGTGTTTCTGTGTTCAGGGGGATGTTGGCCTGGCCATGGGGAAGCTGTATGGAAATGACTTCAGCCAAACTACCATCTCCCGCTTTGAGGCCTTGAATCTGAGCTTTAAGAACATGTGCAAACTCAAGCCATTGCTGGAGAAGTGGCTCAACGATGCAGGTTTGTCCCTGAACCTACTAGCCGGCATGTTTTCTCCTCGTTTCACCACATCTTTATTATATTATTACTGTGCAGATGGCAGCAAAGGTTGTGAGGGTTTGTGTTTTATTTTTTTTTAGCAGCTTGTCTTTACCTTCCTTCCTTTCTTTCTGTCGGTGCTGTTTGTGCAGAGAACCTGACATCTGACCAGGCCCTGTCCAGCCCCAGTGCTCTGGGCTCCCCAGGCATGGGCATAGAGGGGATCAACCGCAGACGGAAGAAGAGGACCAGTATCGAGACCAACATTCGAGTGGCCTTAGAAAAGAGCTTTCTGGAGGTTAGAAACTCAAATTTACAAAACTAGACATTAAGACCAAAGCAGGAGAATAAAAAATTTTCTCACTTTAAGTGTGTAAAAGTAAAATTAGTCAAATTAATAATGGAACATTTAGGCCCTCGTGGCTTTTTTGGTCACAGATTGTACTTTGATCTTAGAAAATTGCTTAAAATGGGAGCATCTCAAGTGCTCATGGGGAATCCCTGGCTCTTTTGCCCTCTTCAAGCAGAACCAAAAACCTACCTCTGAAGAGATCACCATGATCGCCGACCAGCTCAACATGGAGAAGGAGGTGATCCGGGTCTGGTTCTGCAACCGCCGGCAGAAAGAAAAGAGGATTAACCCCCCCAGCAGCGGAAACAGCGGAGGAGGAAACACCCCCATCAAAACCATCTTTACCCCCAGTAGCCCTTTGGTAAAGACCCACACACTCACAAACACTGATTCATCACAGACAGTCTCTTCTGCTCGCCAAACAACTTTTCCAGGAATTTCAAAGTTACAATTTTAAAAAGTTGGAATAAAATCACCAGTTTTGCAACTGCTGTTAAAAAAAAAAGATAAAAAAAAAATAATAATAATGAACGTCAATAAAATACATAGAGGTTATTTAAATCTTAATGTTGGTATTCTCATAGAAAGTTGGTCTAAGTTTTAGCCATGAATCGGGTAACCGACTTTAAATGACAGACCCTGCAGGATCCCTATTCTTCGGGAAATCTTAGTCTGTTGCTCAAAACTCTGACTTGTTGACACATTTTCTGCAGATATGGGAAGGTATAAAAAGTATTGTCAGAGTTTTTGCAGTCCTCCAGTATTTGGAAAGCCTTGTTTATGAGGAGTAAATTGTTCAGTTGCCCGTCTGTTTCCTAATAATTTGTGCATAAATTTTACTTGTTTTTCAAGTTCAGCGTGATTTAGGGATTTTGTTTTTTTTAAAGCTATTTAGCCTAACCCCTCCTTATTCCATTACCCAGGTGGCCAGCACAGCAAGCCTTGTGAGCAGTCCAACTATTAACACACCCACCACTCTGACTGTAAACACAGTGATGCCTCTCACCAGCACCAGCGTCTCCAATCTGTCTTTCACAGGTGTGTGTTTGTGTGACTGCCTTAATGAAAGTTTGCATTCAATCGTCTGTAATCAAAGAGTTGAAGGTTAACATTCCTTTCTCCTCGCTCTCCTCTTCAAGGCACGACAGTCGGAGCCACAAACACGGCATCCGTTATCTCCACAGCACCTGTGGTTACCACAGCAACCAGCTCTCCGTCTTTAAGCCCGTCGCCGACAACCATTCAGTCCACGCAGACAACAGAGAGCAAGGTCGGCACTCAGGCACAAACTATCATCAACCAATCCCCGACATCACTCGCCACCACCTTAGGGACGGGTCAGGTGATGGTGGCGGGTCCTGGACTGTCTGCGGCGCTGCAGAGCGCTGCCCAGTTACCCACCAGTGCGAGCTTTGCTGCTATGGCTGCTGCTGCTGCTGCAGGGCTCAACCCGGGCCTGATGGCCTCCTCCCAGTTCGCTCCAGGGTCAGTAACACCATGCTTCTACAAGGCTTTCTGATTATTCACCTGTGTTAGTCACTGGGGTCCTTTGTATTGATTTAATGCCTTCGAATATGATTGTCAACAATTCATTACGGTGTGTGTTCAGGGGGGCTCTGCTCAATCTGACTCCTGGCCTTGGCAGTGCACTGAGTCCTGCCCTTATGAGCAACAGCACCTTGGCCACCATCCAAGGTGAGTGAAATAGTTACTGACTCACTTTCTTCTTGTTTTGATTATGTAGTGCGAGTCTCTGGAGCCTCGGTTGGTGATATTTGCGGAAATATTAGATCATACGTCTAAATATACACACCTCTGTCTCGTTAGCAGCTCTGGCATCGAGCGGCACAATCCCCATCACCTCTCTGGATGGAAGCAATCTGCTGTTCGCCAACACCTCTGCCGGTAACACGCCCAACCTGGTGACCACACCGATCTTCCTGAACCCCCAGAACCTGTCGCTGCTCACTAGCAACCCTGTCAGCCTGATGTCGGCTGGAGCGGCGGGGCTGCAGGTCACCACTGACGCTCATCATCAAGCCACCACGGCCGCCGTGCCTGTGCAAGCCTCGACCATTACCACTGCCTCCAAGGCACAGTGAAGCCAGCCGGGCGGCGTCCTGAACGAACGCTCTGTTCCTTACGTTGTGCACTACTCTTCTCACACCATGTAGGGAACAGGGAGGCTCGACGCTTCACTAACCACCCCACTTTCTTTCCATTGTATCTATCATTATTTAATCCTTTTGCTGCCACCAAAAAGAAAACAGCCTCAAACGAGGTTGTGGTTGACTTTTTGTTTTTTTTTGGTTTGTTTCTCATCTTTAACTTTATGATTAATGGATCTTTTTTGTTGTTTTCCTCGTCGTTGTCGTTTTTCACAAACAGTAGCCAGATGGACTCTGCTGTTGGCCTGTTTTGCTCACGAACCTTGACAAGTGTCCAGGAACAGAAAATTTCCTTGGCACCATCAAGCTTTTCACATTTTGTACATATATATCCTCCTATTTCCAGGTCAGAGTTTTCTCTGAAATACTTCTAACCAAAAACTTTAGGGTTTCTCTCTTTTAACATTCAAACTAAACTGATTTTACTACTAATTTTACAATAATCATTGTCACTAATGGGGTTTGTGTGCCACCCCATCTTTACTTATCTCTCTCTTCTTTTTTTTTTTGACAGGCCTTGACGTAAATCATATCAAATTTATATTGTAGAGACTTTTTCTTTAACTTTGCTGTCTATATTTTTGACATTTTTCAGAACTTTGTAAGTCTAATATTAAGTTAAGAGTTAAATATCAATTTTTAATCGAGGTTATAAGGCTTTAAAAACAAGTAATAAGTGGCCGATATAAAGGTTATCATTGCTTTAAGAGTCGGAGGGACCAGAGTGTCTCTCCGACTCTCTCTTTCTGGAAACACTGACTTTTACATTTCGCTGCGGTGGCGAAGTAGCCGACCAGCTTTTGTAAAACGGCGGTCTGGGTGCAGATCATTGACACTGATAGAAACTGACTGAAAACATTATAACGAGAGCTTTAAAAGAGCTGCAGACATGCAGTCCTGTGTCTGATTGAGGGTGATGTGTTTTGGATGGCGGTCCAATGGAAAACTGTATATTATGTTTGGGTTCAGAGGTAGAAACTAGAAGTCTGCATGTGTTGTCTAAAGCTCAGGCAGATACTGAGAGTTCAGTACCTGCATGATCCACAAGGCTGTGGGGCTGGCTGGTCTGTTAATGTGAGGACTAGTCAGCGGTCACGGCCTTCATACCAAATGTTTGGTGGCTTTTGGCTCGGTGGGGTTGTTGTATTGTGTTTTCTTTTTTAATAGTAGTACCGTCGTATCTACTTGTGCACAGTATCTGTACCAAAAAACTGGATTGATGAGCTGCAGTCTGCCTGTTTTGGGAGGAATGAACTTCTGTCTTTTCTTTTTCTGTCTGCAGTCATCTGACTGGCTTACGTACTTTAAGATATACCAAAAATATTTGTTAAAATAATTGCTGTGTGTAGTCGGTGTAGCGTAGTCTAGTCAACATATTTATGAGTACAGAATCTCACTTCATTGTCAACAGAATATAGAAATGCAATATTTTGATGATAATTTCCAAAGATGACCTTTTTTTAATTTTATTTTTATTAATTTGACAAAGTGTCTCATAGCTCAACTTTTGAATTGGCAGCACAACTGACCAAAAAACAAAAACAAAAACAAAAGGTTACGGGGTTTGGGCTTGAGAAAGAAGTTCTTTTTTACACTTGTGAATTGGTTTCTAATACCGGGGCCTTGCCTCTGACGCCTGATCCTGGTTTTCTTTAGGCCATTTGACGGCTTGTTTTCCTTTCATCAGTTTAGGTAGCAGTTTTGGGCTTTTCTGAAACAAAGTGGGAAGCTTCTGTTTTTTGGTTTTGTACAAATATTCAGCCATAAAACAACAGCTTGAACCAAAGTGGTTTTCCTCAGTAGTTGCTGTGTCTGTCCAGACACAGCTCATGTGTTCAAATGACTCCACACTGCTGATAAATAACTTTCCTCCTCTCCCATTTTCGGTCGACACCTGATACTCCTGATTTGGTGCTGCTGGAGAAGGATCACACAACCTTAGCTTTAACAACCTGCTGCTGATGCTCCTGGTGGAGCTGAGCTGTTGAGAGGCCTGCATGCTTACCCTATAGCTTTATGACTACATCCTGTGAAAATCAGGGCTTGTGGTTTTTTAGACCCTTCTGTGTGGAGGGCTCACCTGTGTAAATGCATAGTAGTGATCATCAGATAACTCGCTCTGCTTTCTCTCTGCACCACCATTTGGAACCAGCATGCTATGAAACATTATGCTGCTCCCTAAATCTGTCCACAAACTCGTTAGAAACCTGTCACATTTTCTCAGCCGACGCAGAGCTGGGCTAAGTGCTGTTAATGTGCTTCACATTCAGCTAAACCCCACAAGAAGAGCAGCGACATTCTGCTGCTGAGAGATAACAACACTGAGACCTTTAGCAGTGAAATTACTCCACGTCCTCCTCTTGTCTTCTTCTTCTTTTCTGTTGTTGAATAACTTTGACTGAATATACCTCAGCAGCACTTAAAACATAAGGTTCACTTTTGGACATTTCTGTGTATAGACCAGTGTAGAATGTATAAGTACTGTCTGGCTCGCCATTCAAAGTTTATACTGAAGAACCATACATAGGAACCGTACGTAAAAGGACAACCTACTACTGCTATTTTCTAGTACTACTATTTAAGGGGTATTTCCAGGTTTAGATATTATTTTGAGATCCTTCTTGCCAAAGTAAAAGCCTTTCTCTTTGCAGCTAGGCAGGTGTCTGGCTGCTCGTCTTGCTGGTTCCCCTGTCTGTCCGGCCACATTGGGCCTTTTCCTGTGCTGTTTGTAGTAACTAAAGAGTCAAACACGTGCTAGCAAGATGAACCAGTAGCCGTTGGCACCATAGGATGTTACTGAAATATTTATCTGAGGAAAGACTTAAGAATTAGAGAACTGATCTTTTCTTAATTCTATACGTATAAATATATATATAAACACTTGTAAGATATTCATATTTTATATTTGAACCAGTATGTTATCAAGATTGAATGTAGTGTTTATCATGCTTACTCTAAAAAAAAAGTCCCCTAAATCTTCCTTTTTTTATGATTGCAAGTGAGCAATTTTTTTGTTTCGAAATGTCAAGACCAAAAATAAGATCGAAAAAAGTGAGACCACACCTCGAAGCTGCGTGAGTCGCTGACACCTGTGAGGTTTTTTTTTTCTTCTTCTCTTTTTTAACAGGAGAGGCTCGTTCTCATGACTCTGAAATATCTGATCTTAAAGTTGTCATAATTTTTTTTTTTTTTTTTTTTTGTCGTGTGCTTTTGGGTTGAGTCGTCCTGGACTTGATTTGTTGTGCTGTTTTTAACAATCAGTTTTTTTTGTTTTTTTTTTATATTACTTTATGCCTTTAATTGTTTTGTATAGTGTGAGAGGGCAAGATCACTGGCTTTCTTAGTTTGATAAAAAAGAAAAGATTAACATTATCATTTATGCCTTATTGTTACGTAGAAGACATAAGCATTGTAGCATCGTTGTGCGAGTGTGTGTGTGAGTGTTTGTGTGCGAGAGAGAGAGAGAGGGCTTGGGCTTCGAGCTCTTCTGGTACATTGTTTCCACTGAAACATTACAATGTACTCTGGGCATTTCAAAGCGTGATTTTGTTGCTACCTTAGTTTTTTTTAGGTGTGACTCAGACAGGTAGAGGATGCCTGTGAGAAAAGCTTTACTAATAATTCCAGCAGGTGTGTGTGAGTGCAAGTGTCTTAAAACGAGAGACAAGGGAGGGCAGTCTGCAAACCATTATGGTGCATCTTTTTCCATCTTCCAGCCAATATTTACGAGCGATTAAGACAGAAAAAGATGAGACATAAGCGTAATTATTATGACTATTGTTTTTGTCCGGACAGGGCTCTCTGCTGATATCCTCAAGTTTTAAATCAGGCCAGTTAGTGTTCAACAAAGTCGCTGCATTTCTTTTTGTCGTTCTCAGTAGTTTTGACTCTGATAAGAGGCAGATGAACTATAAACTGATGATTTCTTTCAGCATTGGCCTCACTTTAATGCTTGAGTATCATTGCCTGACCCTGAGATTTGTTCTTCTTGTGGATCAGCCATCAAACTGTAGTAAGTTGACCCACCACACTGGTTTGCTGGTTTTTTAAAACAGTGACAAAAGGAAGTGCGAAGTACCAGAAAGGCAAAATGGAGCTGTTGTATACCTCATTTCTAACTCAAGATTGAGTAAAACTTGCTTTAATCTACTTAAGAAATAAAAACAGGAAAAAAAATTCTCAAAAAAGGTGAGAATACACAAACGTGTGTGTGTGCGGAGAAGCCTGTTTCAAACCTGTGCTCTATGAAGGGCTGTTGCAAAAAGCAGCCACAAGAGGGAGACGTGGTACAAACCATTACTCCTGAATGTCCACCTTTTTTCTTTCACACTTTGTTGTTATGATGCTGCACACTGAACAGAAATGTGTTGTTGTAATTTGAGTTATTTTGTTGTTGTTTTTTTTTCGATCACTGTTAGTTGAAAGTTCCTTTTTGTTATAGAAATAGGACACTCTTTAATGTTTCACACTTTAAGTTTGACAATCCTGTTTTACTGTTTTTGTTTTTCTGACCAGGTCCTGGTATGTAGACGTCTCCCCTCTTGCTGCTGTGTTTGTTACACCCCGCTTTTGCTTTCCTGTGGTACCAACATTAACCAAAGACTTATAACTTGATTGTATATGAATGACACCATCTTCCCCCTCGCTGTCCCCGCCTCACTGCTCAGCATCAAATCCCGGCTCGCACACTCTCACCTTCTCACCCTCGACTCATCTCTTTGAGCTTTTTATTGCATGCGAATGTGTATCCCAGAAAAAATAACAAAAAGGAAAAAAAGAAACAAAAACATGCTCCGGCTTCCTGTCGGTGCTGCGGTTTTAGTGCCTGTGGGCGGGGACCAGAGAAGAGGAGGGAGGGGTTTGAGACGAGGCTGAACGGGCTTCTCCGACACACACAAACCGATCCGGTGGTAGCTGGGTGATGTTTGTTAATACACACTGAGGGTTAATCCTGTGCACACTGTACCTGCTCAGGACTGTATGTTTGTCCATTTTGAGCACTGTTGCAAGGATGTCCCCCCCTCCCCTTACCTCTTTCTCCCTCTTTTCTCTCAAAGACTGCGGTGGAAACGCTCTTCCTGCCTCTCGTAATGTGTCTGTCTTCTCCTCTCCATCTGTACACTGTAAAGTCCTATAATGTTTCCCTGTTGTCTCCAGAAATACACAAAACTCACTGCTGTGTCCCCTCTCCTTCCCCTCTTTCCTTCGTCTCTTCACTTCAGACTCTGATCAGCTGTGACACTATGCATCATGGTCCGTCTCTCTGCATGGACTGTGTCCCTCCGGCTCAGACCTCTGGCGGACGGGCTTCAGTGACACTTTGTTTAAATGCTTTACTCCAAGTGAAGGTTGTAGGACCTCACAAGCGCTATCCCAAAGCAAAAATCCAAATATTTAACTTTTGACAAATGCAGATACCAAAGATATCTCTCTGTCCTGTGTGTCTCTCTTTGTTCCTCTCTTCTTCTCACCCTGCAGCATGTGTATTAAGAGACAAACCCAGCACTGGCTTAGTCCTAGCCTCAGTAATTCCAAAGCTTAGATGTATATTTTGGTATATTTCTGAGAAAAACTTGCGTGAAAAAAAGCGTCTGTTTCTCGTTTGTTTGTTGTAATCTCTTTTTTCTGTCACAGCATGGAACTAATTGCAGAACTGTCTTACTCTTGGTAGGTTAAAGATATAGTATTTTTGTATGTTTTTGGGTGTGTTGTGTGTGATTATCAGTTCACAGCCCAAGTGACCATGGCTTTCAACAAGAGAAATAAATACGCAAAAAGAAAAAGAATAAAAAAAAGACAATGCCAACCATGTACATATTATGTCTGTGTATCTCAAGAAATGCATTCTGTAAACATTTACTACTTCTGTTGTGGAAGCTTGGGTTCATCTAAAGGAATGTGTCCTTGTTTTTTATTTCCCTGTTTTCTTATTCTGCAGTCTGATAAAGAAAATGTCTTTCCAGGACTCTGATGTATTAAATCCTGGTTTCCATCATGGACAAAAACACTGAGGGACACTGATCTGACTACAAGTAAAAACACAAAAAAAACTAACAAAAAAAGAAAAAAAAATGCCTCCATCTGTGGCGGCATAGAACTGAAAGATTGTGTAGGAGTTTTGAGTATGTGAATCAGGACACATAGTAGATTTTGATGCATTTGTCTGCTGTATTTTTTGTTTGTTTTGTTTTTATACACATATAAAGATAATCTTTTACTGTTAATGTACAGTTTTCTTTTGTTGTAAACATCATTAAACCATTTTCCAAGTGTTTTGATATGTACTTTGTCGGTTAATGGGATTTAATACACAAGGAAGAAGCGACCATGATAGCTTTTCAAACAGTGCTGCAACAGAACTAAGTACTTTTTTAAAAACCTCTTCTGTGTATTTTCAAAGTACCAAACAGGTTAACTGTTAACAAAAGTGAGACCAAGACAAAACACCGTCTCCAAATGGGGTTCATGCAGTCCTGCACAGGTAAGGCATCCACATGGGAATGGGAACACTGTTGCTAGGGAACTCTTTTTTTTCTTTATTACCAATTACTTTAATTCAGTAATGTCTTCAAGTACTCTGTTTTTATTTATTTATTTAATATATTGTAACAAAAATGTCTCAGCACAGTACATTTGAATCCAAGGGATGCTATTTTTTGTCCATTTTAAATCTACCTGAATTACAGAGACTCACAACAAAGAGAAAAAGTCCATTTAAAATTAAAAAGCTGAAGCCGTTCACATATTATTCATATCATTAGCAATGCTGTTCATGGTTACAAGAGGGGCTATGGGATTATTGTGGAGGCTGAGGTGAAGATGAGCCTCGGGGGGCGGGGGGTTCATTGGGGTCTCCATTCCTCTCCTCATCTGTGTTTGGCTGTAAAAGGAGAAAAAAAAGTTCAGTCTGTGCTTTGACATGAGAGTCTTTTAATTATGTTTTCATCATAAACGATAGGTCACTGATGAGTTTACTGGGACAAAAAAACAGCAAAACAACTCAAATGTGTACTGTGTGATGGCCATAGTTTACAATTAGCCATGGTTTTAATGTGATGAATAGCTATAATGATGATGCCTCACATTGTGATTATATGTTACCTTTGGTTTCTTTTTCTTTGGTGTTTTTTTCTGCAGAAAACAAACAAACAAAAAAAAGATTGAGAATTGAGGTGTTATGGTAGTTTGAAAGATTACCTTTAATTAAATTTTTGGCGGTTTACCTTTTTCTTTGATGGTTCAAGCACCTGATACTGATCCGCGTCTCTTGGTCTCTCAAGTTCCTACAAAGAAAGTATGAAAATAATGAAGAAAATCCTTCTAGCAGATCAAGAGTAATAAAACATTTGTAGTGTAGTGTCGTCCTTACCTGGTAAATGCGTCCATTTTCCTCCTGCTTGTTTTGTAAGACAAACACATGAATGTAAAATAAGCTTTAAATGCTCACATACATAAGTAAATCTATAAATATGAAAAATATGTTCATCATGAGGGCTTATTTAAAGAAATAATGTGGGCACTTACAGGCTCTCCAACAGGTACAGGTGGGGGCAAGGAAAACTACTCCAAGATAAAAAAAAAAAAAAAAAGTTAACAAACAAAAAAAATTGTCATGTAAGAGCTATACCTCTAAATGAGTATTAGATTTGAGAATCATAGTCCTATCTTGTAGTCATGGTGGTGGGGGCTCAGCTTCTGTGGTGGATGAACACCTCAGTGGGCATCTCAACCAGTTTTTTTTATGAGAAGAGGGACTTCAGTGGGCAAAACAACTATTTTCTCCACTGATAAAGGAACTTCAGTAGGCACCTCAATTAGTTTTTGCCAATAGAAGAGGCATCTTAACGGGCATGTGGTGACCTCTTTTACCTTTTTCAATGGAAAGAAACCCTGTAGAGCTCATGGTTTGTTTTCTTTTCAGTAAAAGAGTACTGGATTATGTGTTAACTGGAAGAGCATGACGTGAAGAAATGTGTCAAATGTGTTGTTTTTCTCTGTTTCCAATGAGACTGGTTCAGAAAAATTTAATGTTTGATCATGAACTGTACAGGGAAGCATTATAAAGCTCACACTCTAGGGTGTAACGTTCATTTTCTCACCAGTCTTTAACTGTTTATTGACAAAACAATAAAAATTTTTGATCAATTCATAGATACAAGATTGTACTTGTTGCAGGTGCATTTTAAACTGCATGCTGTCTGTTTTAATGTGACTCACCCTTTCTCTGAAGAATAACACTGTGGCCACGATACAGTACAAAACCAGGACCCCATCAAGAACGTAACAAACGATGGGATCTCTGAAGAAAGTCTCTGCAGGACAAACAAAGTACAGGTTGCATGTTTTAGGGTTTAATTTTTGAGTTTAAGTCTTTCTTGTATTTTTTTTCTTCCTGATTACCTCAACTGTAAGATGGGAATAATGACCAGTTACAGAATGATGGTAAAGTGATAAGATAAGACTCCCCCCAGCAGAAAACATCCTGTCAATGATGTGAGAAAATTCCACACACAACAGAGAAAACAACATTTCAATGTGATACAGAAAAAAAAATTATTGAATTGATGTTATCATTAAAACCCAAAATATACTGAGCAAATTATTAACCTTGAGAAAACAATGGACTAAAGCTATATGCAAATGGGTATGCAAACACAAATATCAAGTGAAAATCCAAAATCTTTACAAACATTAAGTCACGATGAAGATTTGGTCATAATGATTCTATGCAACAAGAGGAAACTTTGAAAAGAGAAGTGATTTCTGATGTCAAAACAGATCTCTGTGTATGTGTGTTTTTGTTAAACCTCCAGCCAGAATTAGTTTCAAATCGTTTGTAATCCATCCACATGGGCAGACAATATACTTCTATGCTTCCCCTCTAAATTACTACAGCAAATATTGTAGTTTTATCTTTTTTTACATATCTATTTAATGTGTTCACTATACATCAGTTTTATAGGTTTATAGTGTATGATGCTTTGCTCACTGAACCACATTTTTTTTAGACAATATAAAACATTAGGTTCTATTTTCTTTAACAAAATGTCCTCCACACAGATGTTGTCATTTTCTTCAATCTCATAAAAAACAATTTAAAAGATTTTAAAAGCTATGGTATTACCCCCTCTTTTATTCTCTTACTTGACTGATCATAACATACAATTTTATTTATTTAAAACTTGAGCAGCTTTTCTTGTAAAGCCACCTTAAATTAAGCTCATTGGTGTATGATTCTTAATGATTTTAGATTTTTTTTGGAGGAAAATAAAAATTTTCAGAACTTCTTTTTGAAACAGATGAATAAAAATGAATGTGATTTCAATCTGTAACATTTATCATGTTAAAAAAGTGTTTCAAAAATAAATTACATACTTAGCAGGTCAACATAATAATCTAATATGACAAAAAATGATTTGAAAAAGCTCACTATTATGTGAAAATATAATTTTTTTAGACAGTTTCTATTACTTTTTATTCAAACAAGGAGTACAAAGAGAACAAGGGGACAAAGTGGATATAGGTAACTATATAAAATGTGATCTAAATTATTCATATAAAATAAGTAAAAATAGCTATGTCATTTAATTTCACTTTATTGAATGTAATATTCCCTAAAGGTTTGTGTCTTTTTATTGTAAAATACTCTTTATTATTGTTTTGTAATAACCTCACATTGTGGAAACTTTCAAAGTAGGTTAGAGGCCTAAGTGTGTCAGTGTGTAAATCTGTCACATGTCATGCTTGATGTCCATTTAGCAACACAAGCTTGAAATGGCAACAGAGAGTGAGGCGCAGAGTCTAAGCCTACAAACAGGAAATAAGTGAGTACATTTTTGCGCCTCAGTACAAATTCAGCTGTGTTCCTGTCAGTGTGAGGGGTCTGAGGTTGTGGTGAGGCTCATGTATGTCGCTATGCGGTTGGAAAAAAAAGGTGTGTGTTGTGAGAATGCAGCCGGGGTGGAGCTTCATTGAACCTATCACTACCTCATCAAATCTTGGTCATGTCATGCTGAACAGGGATGGAAAATTCACCGATCTTTAGCTATTTTTACTCTGCAGAGGGGAAAGTTGTGAAATAACTGAAAGGCATGAGCAGATAAGGAAATCAAAGATTGACATTGGTTTCCTCAGCATGACCTCACACTTAACCTTTCCGTTTTTAAAACATTTTTTGGATCAGCATGTACAGATGTACCTGATTACAGAACATGTTTTAAAGGCCTCAGTTTCCAAAGAAGCTGTGACACAGTTTCAAGCGTTGGTAAGAACACCTGTCTTGTAAATCATTTAACCAATGATAATTAAAAGTAATGCCAAGTCAACAGATCAGATTGACACTGAAGAAATTGATCATTTTATATTAAATATACAGTTCAGGCCAAAAGTTTGGACACACCTTCTCATTCAATGCATTTTCTTTGTTTTCATTACTATTTAAATTGTAGATTCTCAAAACTATGAATGAACACATGTGGAATCATGTGCTTAAGAAAAAAGTGTGAAATAACTGAAAACATGTATTATATTTTAGATTTCTCAAAGTAGCCACCCTTTGCTTTTTTGATAGCGCTGCAAACTTAAGCTGTTCTCTCAATGAGCTTCATGGGGTAGTCACCTGAAATGGTTTTTACTTCACAGGAGTGCCTGAAGTAACCCTGACAAGGTACTTCTGTCATCAAGAGCAAAGGGTGGCTATTTTAAAGAAACTAGAATATAAAACATGTTTTCGGTTATTTCACACTTTTTTTATAAGTACAAAATTCTACATGTGTTCATTCATAGTTTTGATGCCTTTAGTGATAATCTACAATGTAAATAGTCATATGAAAAAATAAAGAAAGACATTGAATGAGAAGGTGTGTCCAAACTTTTGGCCTGTACTGTGTGCTTCACACCAAATACCATAAAAAGAACCAGAAAATCTGGAAACATCTCTGGCCAAGGCCAAAAATCAACCCTGGATGGCTGTGATTCTTAGCCCTCAGGCGACACTGCATTAAAAAAAAAACATGACTTCGCAGTGAAAGTCACTGCATGTGCTCAAAATCATCTAAAACAACCATCTCTGTAAACACTTTTTCCCCCTGTATTTACAAATGCATTTTTAAACTGTATAAAACAAAGAGGCTCTTGACATGAGGTTACGTTCGCTGGGCTCAAGCTTATTCAAGATGGACTGATTTGGAAAACTGGTCAGTGTTCTGATCAAAACTCGACTTTCTTTGTGGAAATCATGTTTGACGTATTTACTGCCCTGAAGAGAGGAAGAACCACCCAAATAGTTATCTGCACACAGTCTAAAATACAACACCGATAGAAAAGTTTTGATGCTCATGACATAAAAAAGTCTGAACTGTTGAGCAGCTCAAACGGTGTATGACCTGGTAACAACTAAACATATCAGGTTCAATCTGAAGGTCAAACATGTTTATATAGATTCATGCGGCTGTTTTTTCATGGCTGCGCAATGACGGATATACTAAGTTTCTTTGTACTTAGTCTTAACTCTGAAATTATGTTTGCCAACACCTCACAAATGATCACAAATGACTTAGCATGAACATTTTCAAGATTGAACAATATCCGGATCTACAGTTTGTGTTTACATTTATGTGGTTTTCAGTCAATATTGCAGGAAGCAAAAATGGGGAGGATGGCTTTAGTCAAGCAAATTCAGACTGACATGAATAAGACATGAAATATTTACTTAGGGAGCACAAACGTTTTAAAATAAACGGTAACCCCCCAAATATCAAATGCCTAGATTGTTTTTGTGGAAGTTACCAGAAAGAAGATAAAAATAGATCTTTTAATAAATTGTGATCCTGTCTTGTGAGTCAACATCATGCTGCAGAGATAAAGAAGATTTGTCATATTTCAATTCATATTTTAAGATGTTTTGTTAGACCATGAGGAATGAAATTCAGTCATTTGCGGCTTAGAGATTTTTATTTTCACCGAGGTTTTCTGTTTGGCAGGTCACATCGGTGAAACGATGGTTTGGACATTTTGAAGACAGTTTCTGATCAGTTGAAAGAGATTGTTTCTAACCATGATTGATAAAAGATATTGAACCTTAATCCAAGTAGAAACAAATGCAAAGAACATGTAAGAAGTGGTTAAGCCTAATGTTTAAAGTGTCACAAAGCCCGCAGCTTAAAAAACCTTGCCCAGTGTAGTGAGGTTTTTTTTTAGTTTTAATATTTTATTTCCTAACATCGCAACATGCCGTGAAAACAAGCGGGAATTCACACTCTTGGCGGTCTCAGGGAGCGTATCATCTGAGGAGAGATTATCTATTTATGCTTTTATGTTGTTTTCTCACCTTCGTTAATCTGAATGAAATAATGGACAAGACTTTGAAGATCATTATGCATTTTTTAACCATAATCTTTCTTAATATTTATCTTTAAAGGTATTTTTCCAGCAGGCAAACTTCTCAAGCTTCACCCATAAGTATGAGGGAGTTGAATGTTGAATGTTAACTTGTTTTATGCATTAATTTATGTTTCCAGCGCTCTGAATCTGACTGCTATTTTTGCTTATTTGGACGGAAAATGTGCCTCATGTCTAAATTTCCGAGTGTGCACAACACTACAAATAACTCTACTTTTTCCATCAGATTACGCTGCATGTAAATAATCTTTCCTCTGTCTTTACTGTCACGCTTGTTCTTTTCTCAATGCAGAAATTTCAACAGGTGAAATCAAAAATATACTTCTTGAATTTAATCCTTCAAAAAAGCATCTGAAACAAATTGTGATGTATAATTAGTGCAGGAGATTTCTTTGTGAAAAAGTACCCGAGTTCCTGATAACAATAAAAGATTTCAACATCAAGACATACCAGAACTTATATCAATTAGTTAAAAACAAAGGAGTAAATCTAATGGCAATATTTTAAAATGACCCTTTTCAACAGCTTTTCAATAGCAATCATGCAAACCTTCCAACCTCTCCTTTTATATGAAAAAGAAAAAAATATAGAAAATAGTTTTTCTGTATTTGCATCACTCACCGACTTCCATGATTCTTCCCCTTTTCCTTTTGACTTTAAATACTCAATTCTTCATTTCTTTTAACCGTTAACTTTCTTCCTCTGTTTTTTCTCTCTGTTTTTGTCTGCCTCTTAAATTTCCTCCTCACTCTGATCAGAGGAAGTGGCTGAACTGACTTCAGGCGAATGGACTCAGAGATTGGCTGTTCAGACTTGAAACAATCTTTGACACCCACAGTCGGCCCCTTTGACACTTCAGTCAAAGAGACCCCCATCCCCGCCCCCCCAAACCCCCAAAACTCTGCTCCTTCAGGTATCTTAGCATCTCTGATGTAACAGTGATATTCTTCTGAGTTACTCAATCAACTCAACGACTCCTAAAACTCTTTTTAAAGTCTTTTGAAATGTTTTATCGCTTCCTCTAAATTCCATTTACACCCGTCCTTAACACCTGTTGTTATAAGGCCCAGTTTTTTTAGCTGATATTTCCCATGCAAATAAAATCTGGTCCCAGAACAAAGACCAGAAAACATCAACATGGACACATATTTACATGTCAGGGTCTTGCATTGCAGGTTGGTTATGCAAGGTTTGCTTAATCTCTCAGACAGGAAAGCGACTCGAGCTGGAGGAGGCAGTGATATCTTGTCAACTGTAGATGGGCTTAAATTTGGGCTTTGACTGATTTTGGAGCCGAACTCCTCTAGTGTGGCTGGACTTTCCTATTTTGCAGAAGTGCACAGGATGAGAGGTGCAGCGATACTCAAGAGCATCCAGCCAAGCAGCAAAAGTTCTTCATAAAGAATTTGTGACAAAAGCTCTATTATGGCCAGAATTTATCAACCAGCGGGTCACGCACAGCCTTCTTGGAGTCGTGACTTCTCTATTGATTTTTATGTCTCCAAGAATCTGGAAGGGGTGTTTGGGACTAACACCCCCCCACCTCATTGGAACCCATGCCGTGTTTTTAATTGGCCATCTGTGCTGCAAATTCATAGGTTGGCCAACACAAACACCTCCATAAGATCTGAGGTGATCTAAAAGTAAACCAGGTACCAGAAGACTTAAAGTGGACAATCAACTTTGAGGTCAAATACACAGATCTGTGGCTGTCTGTCTTAGATGGTGAAGACACGAGCAGATTTATCCATGGTGAGTTTGACCAGATGATGTTGAACAAACTTTAACATGGTTGAATGTGGGATATCAAACCCTCTACGACTTAAACTCCCATCTCTGGAGGAATCCTGGTGCATCCCAGGGGAGGCTGGGGACATAGGCATGACATGGGCAATAGGAATGAAAGGTGTTGTGGCTTGAAGACTCTAGCTGCCTGTTTTTACACTACCTCAAGGGTCCTCTGGAGGACTGACAGTGAAGGAAAAGAGTCAGAGGACCTTTGGACTTAGCCTGAGTTACTCAGAGGTGCTGTTGAGGTTTTCAGTGGCAATAAGGGTTGTGACTTCATACAGTAAGCTCTAAGAGAAGAGAAGGTGACTGCAGATAATAGAAGTTTACCAAAAGGGTCAAGAGATCTTCAAATGGGATTGTGTCAGTAGTATCCCCAGCATTATTTCACATTGTCATGGTAAAGCAGGAGCCGAGCCTTGAGACGGAACTTATCTTTTCTAACTAGTAAATCTACATTTCAACCCTTACTCACGGTCATGTGCTTTGTAATCAACTCAAAGAAGGAGATTACAGATAAGAGCAGCTAAACTGATTCTGGACCTTCCCTTCAGACTGGGCTCAGAGACAGAGATCAAGCAGGTCAGGCCAGGGGCTCATAGTCCAGCTGCTGCTCCTGTGCATCAAAATGAGCACATCCTTCTTCATGCATCTGTAACTTGTGTAAACTGAGCCTCTGTTTACCTTCAAGGTGGATCTTTTGGTATTGAGTATATGAACGACCTTATACCAGTGGTTCTCATAGTGTGAGCTGTCCCTCTGGTGGTCTGTTAGGGTCCTGCACATGCACTAAAGCGAATTCTTCGTTTGTACCTTGACAGAGCAGTAAGTTTGAATCTGATAACTGAGTATATGTGTCTGTTGGTTATCTTGTCTGGCAAGGGGTTGATCCAAGATTTGTTGTTGGTTCCGGCCTATTTAACTGACTGTGTGCTCTAAAGGTCAAAAGATATGTTGCTTGTTGTGATACTTGAATGTAAATGTTTACTGTGTGAAGGAAAGGTTACAGACTTAAGACCTCTGCAGCTTTTCAAAGAATGTCTCTCCCCCTGGTTACATAATCACAGTGATCTGTGACACTGACGGAAGCAACTGAACCAGCGAGCAGATAAGTGAGGCCGGGTCGGGCTGCAAAGAGGGGTCTTCATTTTGCACAGGGGTGTTAAATGTTTGGAGACGTCTGACTGAGGTCTGACCTTAGGGACCTTTAATTAGATGCAGACATCCAAACTTCTGGACCTTGTTAGCAAACCAAATGAAGTGACAATTCTCATTTTCCTGTGAGGGACAGGTCCTTTTTTATTATGACTCTACAATGAATAAAAACTCCTGATTTCACATTCTTAGTTAATTTAGAGAGTATGTTCTCAGCACAATGTAAAAACAAACAAAAGAAATATGATCCTAACTGGCTGAGTCATGATCATGTGAGACTCAAAACTTTGGAAATTGATGAATGAATTCTAGAGCAGAGCTGCACTATTGTAATACAGACACTGATGCTGTAAAATACATGTAATGAAAGAAAAAAACATCTATAAAATTAACTTTTCCTGTTTATTTGACCACAATCCTTATTTCCTTTGTATGTATTTGTCTGTTTTTTGTTTAATTTAGTTTTTATTTTTATCATTTTAGATGTGTCAGCCTTTCGAATGGCATGACATCCAAAAAAAAAGAGGGTGTTTTTTTGTTCCATGGGTTGTTTCCTGTTTACCTGAAATGGTACTCTTGGTATGACTGTAGGTACAAGAAACTGCTTCCAAGTAATCACTTGATCAACTTGTGGATACACTGATCTGATAAATACGGATAGCAAACTGACAAGTGGATTATTGTTAATGCTATTATATGTTTGCTGGTACTTTCTGAGTATTTTTTAATTCAAATGGTCACTTACATTTTGTTGTAAAAAGTATGTTCTACATTAATGTGGCATCAGTTACAAGTCAACAAACCCCACCACTAGTCTGCAATCAAATACATGATGGCCGGCCAAAACTCATGTCTTAATTTTCATTAGTGTTGTGTCATTCACGAATGATTCGTTCAAAAGAATCGAATCTTTTAAGTGAACGTACTGATTCGTTCGTTTCTCACTTCAGGTGAGTTGAAGTGAGAAACAGCATTGCCAGGCCAGCAGCCGGTGAACGAGGGACCACATGTACTGACGCCTGAATCACTTGGTGAACGAATCGCACATTGAACTACACTCTCTGGAATCATTTTTGTCAGACAAAGCTACCTTTTTTTTCACTGCTAAATTGCCACCACTTGCACAACTTGCATAGAATAGGACACAGCATGTAACAAGTAGTTCATTAAACCCGCAGCATCCTCTCATTGCAAAATTTTGTGAGGGAACAGTGCATGTTCAGTGTGAATTCTTCTAAACGTTCAGTGAATGTATCACTTATTGACTTGAATTTACCGAGTAGACCTTGTAAATAGCATACCATGGGACAGTACACTTAAAACATCATGACTTATAAACAAGTTCATTTTTACAAACCTGTTTGCCAAAGCAACACAGCTAAGCACTCTTGTCTCCCGGTCCCAGAAGCTATGAACTGAACTGAATCCTAAAACGTTCAGCTGTGTATCAGTTCAGGAGATCAGAGTCGCAGGCTTCTTCCAACAAGCGCTAAATGATTCGGTGATTTGTAAACGAATCTTTTCAATGTATATATATATATATATATATATATATATATATATATATATATATATATATATATTGCCCATGCAAACTATCATGCACAGACAAACATGCAGTGACCATACACAATTACTGAAACAGACGCAGCAATAATACAAACCCACACTAACCACTCTACATGAGTGCTGTTGGTTGTTATACAGCAGTTAGAAATGCTTTTATATAATTTATTTCCCCTCACCCCTACCACCATCAAGCACACAGAACTCAACACTTTAAGTACATTTTGAATTATGTAATTTCTGCTTTCATTAAAGGGCTTCTACTTCAATAAAAAAAAATAATCCAAGTAGGTGATTGTTTAGCTTTTAATCGTTTTATTTTTCGACATCATCGTCTGCGGTTTGGGTCTGGCTTAGTGTTGTGTTGTTCGCGAACGATTCGTTCAAAAGAACCGAATCTTTGAAATGAGCGCACTATACCGAATCACTTCCCAGAGTGATTCGTTCGTTTCTCACTTCAGTTGAGCTAAAGTGAGAAACAGCATTGCCAGGCCAGCAGCCGGCAAACTCAATGACTTGGCAAACAGATCATGCATTCAGCTACACTCTCTGAAATCCTTTTTGTCAGACAAAAATACCTTTTTTTATTTAACTGCTTATTTGTCATCACAACAACTTGCATACATAGGGCACTGCATGTAACAAGTAGTGTATTAAACCCGAAGCATCCTATGTAGCAGTTTGAGAGGGAGTGGTGCATGTTCAGTGTGAAATCTTCTAGACATTCACAGTGAACGAATCACTCACTGAGTCCAGACCTTATAAATAGCATGCCATTGGACAGTACACTTGAAACATCTCGACTTTTAAGTAAGTTCATTTTTACAAACCTGTTTGCCAAAGCAACACAGCCAAACACTAAATGATTTGGTGAACGAATCTTTTTAGTGAACTGATTCTAGTGATCCGGTACATCTAAAAGAACTGCCGTGCCCATCACTAGTCTGCCTGATGTTTGGTCACATGACCTTCTGGGTGTTTCTTAAACCGTCAGTCACATGATCCTGATGTCAGTCTGCTCGGCGGCGACTAACTGTTACAAGGCTAGAAAATTTCACCTCGGAACCAGCATTTACCGGGTTTACACAGTTAAACTAGCAGCCAGGAACGCTGTATGGTTTCGTTAGTAGAGAGGGAGCATTATTTTCTCTGAAAAATCAACGCTTTTGTCTTGTTTCTCTATCTGTTTTGTTGTGACGCTAAAGTTAGCCTCGCTAGCACAACACAGCCTGAGCTAGCTAGCTGCTGCTGCTGCTGCCGCCGAGATTTCGCTGAGAAACAGCTGAAGAGAAACCCCTCAAACATGACGCAGATCCGCAGTGTCCACTCATGGTGCCTGGGAGTAACATTACAATTGGTTTTAGGTGAGTATGAGCTCGCTTTATCACACATTTTTTAGGGTTTACATGAAGAATAAACAATATCGTCGCCAAATACGAAGGTCACACAAAACCAACCGAGTCAGCTGACACCTAGTTTTTTAAAAGAGTTGTAATGGCTACAAGTAATTGTATTGGTATCGGTACAGAATTATACGTAAATTAACCTGAAATGTCATATATGTTGTTTAAACTAGCGTTGGTAATGATTTGTTAAAGCAAATCTCAGTTTCCCCAGAAAAAAAACAGTCATCGATCAGGAGCAAAGGGTCAATTTTGTGGTCTTGTTGGCAATTTTTTTCACCATCCTTTTTTCTGCAAGACTCAGTAAAGTAGACATGCAGAAGTGGGAAAATAGCACCAGCGTGTTTCATAGATTTCCTGTAAATCAAACCACTTCCTAGGTGTACTATAAATAGTTTGGTAAAGATGTAAAGTCACATATCCAACCTTTTGTCCTCACACAATTGTGTTTCTTCTTTACCTGAGTACACAAGCTTTATCTGCAAGGAGGAATGTTTGACTGCTATTGTGTTAACCTCACACACTGTAAAACCAAGTTACAGAGCCAAAGATATTACAATAAATCACTGAACATATTTTTTTTTTGTTTTTGGACTCATTTACCTGGAGAATAATTGAGTCTTTATCCTTTGCTGCATTAAGAAGTTCAGATGTACAGACTTATTTGCAATCCCTCATTTTGGACGCAGGTGCCTACAGATGACTGTCAAACAGGGATTTAATATTTCTGCCTGTTAATAGGATTATATTTTCTTGCCACTGTCGCTTTGTTATTTAATAATTGATGTTGAGTTTCTGTAAACAGCTCTGTAATGAATACAGTAATTGTTGTAAGGGAACTTTTGTTTGACACGGCACAATTTAAGCTAAAAAAAGACGTCTCTAAATTTACACAGAAGTCAAACTTTGAGTTTTAGTTTTCCACCTCATGTGTTAAAAGGTTTACAAGAATGACTAGCTACCAAAACATGCATCCATCTCTAAGAGAAATAGGATATTATTCCATCATATTTGTCCTGAATGGTATAATCTCTGAGTTTTTTTACATGCACTATATTTGATTTATGAAACATGTCATAATTTTCTTTGTAGTGTCAGATGAATCCTGCTGAAATCCTGCATTTATTCAGCATTAAGGACCTCATATCCCTGTTATTGGAGACTCATAACTAATTTCTCCCGCAGCTGCTCTCCTACACCAGGGTTTTGCCACTGTTGCCCCGCCAACCACCGCTGCCCCACACAAAGACCCTGGTAGACCTGACAGAGGAAACTACCATGTCGCTAGCACCAATGGCACCGCTTGTTTACTGGCCTCCATGGGTCTCCAGCTCAATGTCACCTTCAGCTCCATCTCCCAGAATAAGGTGCTTAAATATAAACATTTTAACACTACTAGAGCCAAAAGTACAGACTCATGTGAATTATTGCATCTTTGTTAACAGACTCTGGTGGAGGTTGTGAACCTTCAGCCCAATTTGACCAAGAGCTCTGGATCATGCGACAAAGAAAGCGCTTCCCTAAAGTTGACAGCTGATGGGGATAAGACCAACCTCACCTTTTTCTTCACCCTGGTAGGTTACCTCAGTGATATTCATTTCTCTATATGCTCTCATTTTCATTTACAGTCTCAGATACAACCACTAGATGGCGACTGTTCCTTTAAGGTGAAGATGCTTTACTGCTGTATCACTAACTCAACATGGTGCTGCTGTTATTCCCCAGAATACTACATCCAATAAGTACTACCTAAGTGAAGTGTCTTTGTCTGCTACCTGGCCAGACATGAAAGGTGAGTGCACTCAAACTCACCGTGTGTACGGGAGCTACTCTTTGTTAGACTAAAAACAGGATTCTGTGATCCTCTTCTGTTGTGTAATCAGGTCATTTACACTGACAGTGTTTTCGTACAAATCAAACTGAGCAAGAAAGTAGCTTTTTAAGTTTATTTTGGGGATTTTGTTGCCTTTTTTAAAAGAGGAGAGTGGAGGAAATAGAGCAGAGAACTGGAAGTCAGTGTGGAAGATTAACGGGGGTCAAAGGCCCACAGGAGTCAAACATGGATCAGCTGCTCTGAGGGCTAAAGCCAGAGTCATTTCTTTAAAGATTATACCATGATACGAATGATCAGAAACTGTTTTTGTTGATTGATAAATGGATGGGTTGACTTTCTTTTTTTGCAGCTCCTCTCTGTTGACAAGGTTGTCACTGTAATACATTTTACAAAGCAAACATTGCACAGATTTCCTCATGTAAACATATTTTAGGGCATTGTAGCTAATATTAGGCGGGATGAAGTGAGACAGAAATCATGAGGAGCAGAGAGTGGAGAGGACATGCAGTACAGAGTCATTGCTGGGGGGTCAACCAGGGATTGTAACCTGTACATACAGGGTGCATGCTTTAACCTCTCAACAAACCAGTGACCTGCATGTTCATTTTTAGTTGAAACTCAGTTTTAGAGATGTTGTTTCATTCAAGGTTAGGTTGTTTAAAAAATCTTGTTTATTTGACTTCTGTCCGATTTAAAATGTGTCTTTCCTATTTGTTGGAAAATACAGTGGCTGTTAACCATTTAAATGCGTTGTCTTCCCACGGATCCAATACTACAATACAGGAAGACTTGGTGCCTATTGTCAGTAAAACAGGCGCGGTGCATTGACTGCATATCAAAGTAGATGCCGGTTGTGTCTTGCATGTCAAAAGATTAAAGGTCTAATTTCAGCCCCAACCCCTCTGCTCCCTTTAGTCTTCTGGAGCCCAAAGAATGTCATAAATGTGAATGTTGTCTTTCTCTCTTGGACTAGATACCTCTTTCTTCTGTAATCACTCTCTATACTTTGCTCATTAACAGCGCCCTTCTCAACCCGGAACAACAGTCTGGACTACCTTCAGGGCACCCTCGGCCACTCCTACATGTGCCGTGAAGAGCAAACCCTGGATGTCACCCAGGAATTGTCCATCAATACCTTCCAGCTGCAGGTGCAGCCGTTTGGCCTCAAGGGGGGGCAGTTTGGAGCAGGTAAATTCTTCAGTCGGGTAAAATACAGTAAAAGCAATCCTTCATGTTCTGCCTCTAATGAATGCTCTCTGCTGTTTCTCCCCCCCACAGCTGAGGAGTGCCAGTTAGACGAAGATGACATGTTGATCCCCATCATAGTTGGAGCAGCTTTAGCAGGTCTTGTCCTCATTGTGCTGCTGGCCTACCTCATCGGCAGAAAGAGGAGCCACGCCGGCTATCAAACCATCTGAGGTCACTTTAATGTTCGCAGAGGCCAGAGCGCTCCCATCTCCCTCCCCCCAGATTAACCCCTGTCCTCTGAGACTTAACACTCCACTCTTTCCCCCTCTATCCCTCCTCCATCCTTCATCCCCTGCCTGTGTGTGTGTGCTGTTCTTCGCCCTCATCAGTAACACTAGTCACCATCACTGTGCAGGTTGATTTACTCTTTCTGAACTGACTCGCTCCTTCACTTAAATAAAAGAGGGACTTTGTTAAGAGAGTTGGGTGTAAATAAGGAAAACTCTGTAGTGATACCATGTAAAGTGAGGATGGACTGTTGATCATAGGGTCTGTGTGAGTGCCCTCAGTTACATTGTACTGTTTATGATTTCTGTGAAAGGAATTTTGAGGGATTATGGGATTTGAGGGAATTACTTCCTTAGCTTTTCTTGTTGTTTTCTTCTTTTTGGGCGACCCTTTTTGTGAAGTGGTCTCGCTCTGATTAAGGTTTGTTATATAAAGGGAAGCTCCTGGTTGTTTAACATAATCCCCCTCAGAGTTTGTATAGGGGTCAGGTTAACTCAGAATTTAGCACAAATTACAAGGATTTTTAGGGAACATACTAAAAATACAGTCACCTAAACCCAAAGGGGGAAATTCAAGAGTCCTTTTATAGGAGAAATGAATTTAGGGTTCATATAATCAGCAGGGATTAGCGACGCTTACCTCCTTTTGCTTAGGTACGCAGGTACACAACACTTTTTGTATGGAGGCCAGAAATGCATTTTTTTCTCTTTTCACTTCATTTTGAGAAATGCGTGTTTGCTTTCTTTTTGCCTTTGGTTAGGAAAGAGGATCAGTGCTCCTTTAATACTGGCTGAATATGAAGCTACAGCTTAGGTGAGCCAAAGTTTGAACAAAGACTTGAAAAAAGTGGAAACAACTCGCCTGCTTCTGCACAGCGATGCAAAAATCATACCATAGCAAAAAAGCAAAAAGTGTAAAAACAACACAACTCAGTTTTGAAGGTGTTATGAGCCTAACTATGACTGTGTTATTTTTACACCTTAATATTTGAACATAAGTAAGTGTTTGTCAGCGAGTGGAGGGATGTGCTGGTAAGTGAGTTTTCTGATATTTGTGCAGAACCAGGCGAGCTTTCCCTGTTTCTAGTCTTTATGCTAAACTAAGCCAAACCTATCAAAGCTGTTCTATCATAGTCAACCCAGAGTACAGTGCTGCTAATCTTTTCATTTAACTGTTTTTTTTTTTTTGAGCTTGCAACTCTCCAAAGTGTCAAAGTGTATCTTGAGGTGAAAGTAGCCACTCTTCTGAATTCTGCTGTTACAGTATGCACACATGACAGGATTGCTTATGAAAATAGGAAGAGTACTGGTACTGCCTAGGTGCTTGAAAAGCTCAGGATGTCACTTTTAAAGAGTGAATTCATGTCGAAGTGTTACAATCCACTGGGTGGTTTTGTTTGTGTTTTTTGCTCGCTGATTATGTACCCACTAGGGGTTTTGATTGCTGAAGTGAAAGATGTTGCACTAAAATTTGAGAAGCAGCCCCCAAGTAATTATTATTATTAAAGTGGCCATAACGCTCTGGTCAGTGTTCATCAGTGCCTTCCCAGCTGTGACAGAGAGGGGATTCAAGTAAAGCCAATACCACAAAGATACTCACTCGCTCACTGACACCCTGTGCTGTCATGTCCGGGACATAATCTCTTTGTCTGACATAGCCTTCATGTACTGTTACTGTTACTATTACTACCATGAATTGTGTTGATTGATACAGCAGGAGAAAATACAGATGTTTGTTTTTTATGTTCCCCTTCATCTAAAAGTCCATGTAGTGATTTAATAAGGTTGTAATGTGTTTGAACTGTTTTCTAAAGGAGAGGTCAATAAAAGTGAATGAACGACACTGTTTGACCTTGTTGTGCCTTCATTTAGTTCATCAGCTGTCCAACCTGTTCCTGGTTGGCTTTTGTTTGTTTGAACGACAGAGAAGTATAAAGGTGCCGTATCTCAGAGTAACTGTGTCACTCAGACTGTGCTGTGTTATTTTAAATGCAGTTTTTCAAGACTAGAGTACAACCCTGTATTTATTTTTTGGCTTTATACAAAACATGTAATTTGTTTTTTTAAACTCATTGACACTTTATCCTCTGGTCTAAAGAGGGGAGGGGCCACAAGGCTTCACATCAGAGCACAGTGTCAAAGCCAGCATCCATGATGGAAAGGGCAGCTTACACAGGTTTGGAGAAATTTACGCTGCTTTCCAGACAAGGAAGATGTGACATATTTTAACAAGACAAAACCAAACCACATTCTGCATGTAGTGCAACAGTACGGCTCCATAACGATAAATAATAAAGGCTCCATGGTCTGCCTGCAATCCCGATTTTTGCTCGTTGAGGGCTATGGGTGCATCATGGAACAAAAAAATTCAACAGGAGACTCTGAACTGTGGAGCAGCTGAGACCTTAATCAGGAGAACTGGGACATAAAACTGGTCTCCTTGATTCCCAAATGTCATAGTATTGATAAAGGGAAAGGGGGTAGACATAATCCTGTATCAACTTTTTTTAAACCTGTCACTGGCATCAAATTTACCTGTAGGTGAAACTGAAAGTTTGATTTTTTGATTGAAAAATTTTTTTGATTGAAAAAATTTCTGCACGCTGTTTTTGACCAAGTGTAGGGTTTGAAATCGTCTGTTGACATTTTACATTTCCTTTTATTTTGGAATTGGCTGATGGCTGACAGGAATAATAATAACGCTTTTATCCATGTTTTCATTTTCTCAAGACTGGACTACTGTAACTCCTTCCTACCTGGTCTAAATAAGAAATCACTCTCCTGCCTGGAACTAGTTCAAAATGCAGCAGCTCAGCTTTTAACTAATTTAAAAAACTTATCAACACATTGTTGGATTTTCATTTGTTTTTATTACTCTTTAATGGTGAACAATTCATTCTTCTTATCCCAAGCCCATTTTGTTTTCTATGACTCGGGAGTCATGAGTGGGCTTCAAACATATAAACTTCAGGTTTTGGGTCTCTGACTGAACTGGATAACATTAAGCTGTAATTTTTACTCCTCCTCATCTTCACCAGGAAAAAAGTATCAGTCCACTTCTTCAACAATAAGTGAAACAACATTAGGACCACCGGATGAGCTGTTGCTCTTATTCTCAGTTCATTAAAGTAAATGGGCGGTTAAACTATGTTTTAATGTAAACAGTGTTAGTTCCCTTATTCTCCCCAGCAATGAAACAAGTTCCCCCACCTTAATACTACTTTCACAAATAGTATTTCTAAAGTGCAATCAGTAAAACTACAACAGATTTGAATCATCAGTTACGAGGGTTTTAGCAACGGTTCATCTGCAGAGAAGCTTTCTGTCAGATGAATTTGAGCGTCAAGTTGAATCAAAAGAAAAGGCAGTGATGTAACTTTGAGAAGAGGTTATTTCCCTGATCGTAGAGTTTCATTCTCAAACTGAATGAAATTAAGTTCCCGGGGCCAGTGTGTTACAGCTGTCCAGATTCCTCCTCCAGTATTCGCTGTCTGCATTTCTCCCTCAGTTTCTCGATAGTTCCCTTAGAAAGGGTTCCTGGTTCTGTAAAGATTTTCTGTAAAAACATAAAGGGGGTGAGGAAAAGGTGTCATCAAATGTTACTCATTGTAAGACAACTTTTAGCCACACTAGCTGTCTCTCTTAAGCAGGTCCGCCCAATCACCCTCAAGCTCAGGCAGATATAAACATGCCTGGCTGTGGTCGGACCAATCACCACCATTTATCTCATACTTGGTGTGTTATTGAAGCTTCATTTGCAAATGACAAACACGCACACAGCTGATGTGGGATGTGCTAAATTGTTTTTGTGCCACTATCAAATAAGGAGGACAGTTATTTAACAAAGTAAACACCTTCTGATTTGCATATACAACATTAGGGCTGGAGATGTCTGCTCAAGTGTATTAGTCACAGCTTGATAGATGTAGTGCAAGTCTGCAAGTATGCTTGATAAAACCCACACAATTTCTAGGACATGCAATGAGCTTCAAAGGGCTCCAACTTCTGATCCAGACTCTCATTTTCATTTCCATTTTCACACAGTTAACTTCCAGTGATTCAACAGAGTATTTTGATCGCACCTGCATGAAAGTGTGGCAGTCCAGAGTGAAAGTTCCCCCTGTGATTTGTTTGAAGCACTCACACACATCCATCAAGGAGCGAGCTCTCAAGATCTCTGGCTGGTTGTGTATGATGAGAGTCAGAGCGACGCGGAAAAGAACCTTTGAACCTTCATAGAAAAGACAATCCCAGATCCGCAAAACTGTCTGCAAGTACAAGAAACCAGGAATATTTAAAATGTGGTTTGAATCATTAGTTTGCCTCTGCTACTGATCCAAAGATGTCCTCACCTCAATCGGAAGTATATCAATGTAGAGGCAGATGAACCAGCGTGACACCACCAGTGTCCATATGCCAGGAAACTGAGCCATGAGCTGCCCCACAGCAGGAGCTTTAGCCTTCACCAGCTCCCCAAGAACCTCCTGATCCGTCTTTAGGCCCAGCATGGCGGGACTGTAGTAGTCTGAAATCATACCAGGAGTTGATGAGTTTACCTTTGTCTAACTCAGTGAAGGAGGTGTGTGTCTTTTTATGCATTTCAAGCACAGCGCTCCTTGACTGTTTTTAAGACCAAATACACAAATTTGAACTTTGAATGACAAAGTATTAAGGCCACATTAAAGACAATTTTTTAGATTTAAATTTTTTTTCAAAGGTGTTTTCTGGTCAGTAGGAAGTCCTGGTTAAATCATTTTCTCATGAGAATTTCACAAGCATCTTGTCAAATTGTACTTGTACTGTTTTGGCACATCAGCGTCGCACTGTTCCAAGTATCCCCCTTTAAAACAACATTATGTGGCTAATCGTTGACTAAATTTATAAATTTGAATATGGTTTACTCAGAGTTAAAAAAAAAGAAATATATTTTCCTCATTTTGGTCCTAATACTCTGCTGTACATTTGAGATTGTCGCGATGATCTGGACTATTTTAAGAGCAAAAAAATAGTCCAAGTGGAGTACCACAAGGCTCCAATCCTGGTCCACATTTTTTTTCCTGTATTATATCAATGGGTCACATGAAAAGGAACTGTCACAGTCGTGCTACACAGATGATGTACCTTAGTTTGTATATTTGTAAACTATTTACCTAACAAAGTTATGGTGGAAACCAGTACACATGGCAAAGTTGATGATAAAAAATTCCTAAATATACACGTCCCCCTGCATGTTGTTTTATTTATTGTGAGGCTCTGCTCTCAGGTTGTCCCATAAGTCTAGTTTCTAGGTCAAAAAGTTCCTCTTATTAGACTGACCATTAACCATTTCCACTGGTTATTGACTTGTACCATCTTACATGGGTTCAGGCACTATACCTGGGAGCATTCTGCCCAACAGTGCGTCCATAAGCCAAAAGGACATTTCTTCATCTTTGGTGATGATGATGAGGTATCCAGCGATGAAGTTCATGCCCTGGAATAAACAGACACAGCAATAACACAGGTGTATGCATCCCCACTTGCATGTTGTAGTCGTAGCTAAATGCCAATGGAGTAATCACTACCTCATTCTCAATTATGTTTAATATTTGCCTGCCTATTAGTGTTTGCTACAGAAACACCGTGTTGCTTAAAAGTTACATTATAAGGGTCAAATAATACCCCTAAAACCTAATGTGGTGCCTGAAGCGGAAACACACCAAGTGCCTTCAGATTGTAGGCCACAGATAGAGTAAACATAGCTGGGGTTGACCTTTCGACATCTTTAAGCTGATAATACAACCTTTACAAGACGCCAACAGGGATAGATTACACTGCGCTCAAACTGTACGGAAGCACAATTTGGTTTAAATCCTATGCATGTAAATCGATGTATTCAAATGATTAAGGAACCAGACGGTCCTGTTCCTAAGATAAACAAAGGTGATGTTAAGAGAGAGGAGAGAAAGTGTTTACCTTACCTGACAGTAACCCACTGCCTTGTTATGGTGCCCATAGGCCAGCAGCACGTTGAACAGAACTCTCTGCAGGCTGGGTTCGGCTTTGCTTTTAAAGAGGACATTGTCAGGAAAGGTCCTGTGAATGTCTGTCAGGAGACATTAAAAGATTAGGAGATTAATGGTATGGACTTGTATGTGAGGAACGACGGGTTTAGCTCTTGGACTCTTCTACAATGAAACCATGCTGTTGTAAAGCGTCCATTAAACGGTCTGTCTTCCTGAAATATACAAGGCCTCATTGTCACACATTGTCTGGATTGCTCTACATAGTGCTCCAAAATCTGTACACATTTGTATAATATTAGTGGTGCCTTCCTAGATATGTAAGCTACCTTGTTACCAATACCAATATCAATACTGATACTAATTCCAGTCCCACTGAGCAATAGACGGCTATTAGGCGCCTAGTTTTTTTTTTTAGACCTAATTTCAACCGTCTAGATTCTGTATATTTTTAGATGGAATTTAGACATTACCCTTTAACCCATTATTCGATAAAAATTTATTTTATATTAGACATCTATTAGACCTCTTTTAGAACAAAAAATGCTCAGTGGGGTAGTTCATGAATCTTTTAACCAATATAAGGAATTGATATGCAATGACTATAAACATTAAAAACTTTTAAAATTTTGTATGAAACAAACTCCAACATACAGTTTTGCTTGGATACCTTTGCAAATGTCCAATCAAAAATGAAACTTGAATGTTAATCGGCTACTCTGACAATACTGTAGATTTACATCACACCATTGTGTGACATCTAGCCAACCAGAAAGAGTTTTAGGACATGACACATTCATTATTTTGATTAGCTGACTGCAAAAAAATCTCAGATCCAGATTCGAGCTATTGCTACAACAACAATCTTTATAATAATAAAATGTTGAAATCAAGCTAAAATAAGCCTACATTAATATCATGAGTTATTAATAGTGGTTCTATATGCTGGTTGCCCTATGTCATAAAACAGAGTTAAGACAAAGAAGAAGTAGCAGGCTGCTAACGAGCTAGCTGAAGCAACCCACTGAAAGACCACTGGGCACTTTTAGAGCTGATGTTTAAGATTTATTGTGAATCTAAAACCAAAAACTAGAGCTTGTGCTTTTTTGGGTTATAAATCAACTGAACATTTACACTTTCTGATCGTTCTGTTATTTATTGTCATTCAGTTCTGCAACTTACGATCTACTGGAAGTAGCATAAAGGAAAATAGGCAATCAAACTGCAAGATAGATGAAATAGAAGTCAGTGTGGACTTTTTATCCAAATCTTCACTGTGATCTCTCTTTAAAAACCTTTCCAAACTGGAAAATTCACCAAACGTTTTCTTCAGGTGGTTAAAGCTGTAAAAAGGTTTCTGCTTGTTGTGTTTTAGGCACCCAAACTACTTGGTTAGGTTTTCAAGAAGACTACAGGTGGTCTTGAAGAATTTGACACAAATAGGATCCCATTATTTTAAAATAACAAACAAATAAAAGAAAGAAAGAACAAAACACTCTTAATGCACCTGTGCGAATAGTTTCCTTTAGAGTTGTGTCATGCTCCATGGCCAACAAAGATTGGTAGTAGCCTGGGTTGCTCTCCAGCTGTTTTTGTGCGCCACTAGCTGCCATCCAAATCCTGGCCCGGTGTTCGTTTGGCACACCTTTGCGCACATACCTTTTCACTACCAAAACAGATTTTAAAAGTACAACAAATAAACCAAGAAAAGCAGAAAACACTAACACAGAGAGGTTATTGTTTCACAAGCTAGAAGTGTTCGTTTATCATACCTGTGAGGTTTTTCTCCACATGAGGTTTCTCTTGAAGAAGCTTAGACCACCTCATGGATCTTCTGTTGAGGACAGCTACATATTCATTCATCATCTCCTTATAGGATTCAAAATCATGATGTCTCTCAAAGCCGTAGGGGTCGACCCTGCAGAGGAAAACATTTCATCCACAAACATTAATAAGCTGTGAGGACAGGACTGACAAGCAGCTAGGCTCCTTTCCTTCCCACCCTTTTTTTCTGTCCTCTGTTTCCTGATGAAAGACACTACAACAACCGCCAGGGGATAGGATTTCTGTAGGGAAGATCATATGCCGCTGCTGGATGATCAGCCAGTTTTAAATTACTCCAAGCAGGGTTACAAACAAGAAGCTAAACAAATGACACAAAATAACCTTGTAAAAGTGCTCTCAGGATGTCGCTTCAGCACAAAACTTCAAGTATATCATTTTTTGCTGAGCTTGGTAGTTACTTTTTAGTGACAGCTTTGCATTTTAGTCATGTAAATCATACACTGGTAGTACAATGAGGAAACACACTCACAAAAAAAGTGACTTGCAGTAAGTACGGAAGGAGCAATTTTACAGGTACAACAGTAAATAGAAAATAAACAGAATAAGAAAAAGCTCACCTTTCAGTTTCATTACTACTTGTAAGAGGCTGTGCAGCTTTTCCTGTTATCTCCATTTTTGTTGGCCGTCAGTACGACAGGTAAAGTAGTCCACCGAGGAAATAAGGAGCAAGGAGGAGGGTTATTTCATTTGTTGACGTTGGAAAAGACCTGACTGTTGTCAAAGTAAATAACAAAGCCGACTGAGTCTCCGCTGTCTCAGCTTACAGTGTTCACTGAGAGGAGGGGCTCACTTTAGTAACACCCAGGTAACCTCCACGGCCAGGTGAGTGCTGTATTTGCATGCCAAACAATTAGAGGAAGAGAAATAGCAATATTGCTTGTATATCTTCTTACAAATTCCTGTTCATGACAATAAGATAGTGGTGTACCTGGCATTACCGGCAAACTGTTGTTAAAAGGTTTGACAACAGAAACCCCTGCCCCCTTCTTTTTAAAATCAAATAAAGTTCTGTGTGTCTCAAGCAGACGGTAAAATTTTATATGCCAGCATGAAACAAGGAGAGCCCAAAGTCCTCCTCTGTAAGACTGTGCACTTAAGGTATTTATAACAACTTCACACTGCAGGGATATCTCGATCATGTAGAGTGACCAAATGTTATTTCCTCTGTGACTCTCTGACTCAATAATGACTTTAACTCCAGGTAAGTTTCAGTAAAAATTAATCCCTTTGTTTGTTTTTTTCCTTTTATTATAAAAGATCATATTGACAAGACAGAAATGAAAGGGAATTACATTGGCCTAAAAATTGTGTGAAATATCAGCACATTTATTTAATTAAAACTTTTCTAAACAGTTTGATAGAGCAGTAACATAACTCATAAGAAAAGTTACACTTAAGTTACACATAAGAAAACGAGATGAAACAGAAGCAGATTCTCCAACCAAAAAATTTGCTGCTTCTGTTCCTTGCTACGTAAGGTAAGTGTCTGAAAAATTATCCTCCCATTTTTATTAACAGTGAATCGCATTTATAAGACATAAGAGATAGGAAACTACATCAGGCATATCTTAATCTTTATTCAATTTGAAGATCTCAGGAATACTTTGATTGAGCAAAATAATAAAACGTTCACTCTGTTTTGGACCAGCAGGAAAAGAAATCATGAAGTAAAGTAAGGAGCAGGAAGAACTAAGGTACGAAAGGAAGGCACACGATGAGATGTACGAATGTCTGGCAGAAGATTTTTCAGGCAGTTTTCATTAACTTTCACTCTGCTTTTGACACAGGCCCTTTTTTGAACACTTCCCAGACCGTGGCAGTGAATGTCATGGACCCCTCCATCGGTCTGATGAGGGTTATGCATGTAAAGCTCCTACCAAAGTTTTTGGTGAAACACAGGGACACCACTAAACATTACAATGCAAAATTACTTTTAGCTCCTACCTGGACAGCTTCCAAAAAAACACCCATTTATGCACATGCATAAATACTTTCTTCATTCCAGGTATGAAAATAAAAACAACTTTCATCTCATTCCTGAAATGCCATTTGTTTTTTCTTACATGTAATACTATATTACTGCACAGTAAAGAAAACGGTGTGCAAAGGTTTAGTAGTATTACTACAATTTGCACCATTATGTTGTCGTTATAACTTTTGTTGTGTATATTGTTGTTTATGCATAATGTTTTGAATATTGTTCCTATCTGACTGGGATTTCATTGTATATATGCACACGCGTAAATACCTTTTTTATTCCAGGTATAAAAATAAGAAAATCTATTATCTCATCTCTGACATACCATTTGTTTTTCAACACTATATTACTTCACTATGTATGAAACAGGGTGCAATTTTGAAAAACAAACAAACAAAAACTTGAAAATTATAATAATAATGCTAAAGCACACTTAGCAACATAAAACTACCCAGTTTAAGAAAGCACTTTGTGAGATTTGGAACCAATCTTTTCTGACATTTTCCCCTTGAGTCCTGCATTAACACTGCTGTCAAAACTGAAGAACTATATCACACTTGCAACCTTCCAAACGCTTTTTGGGACACTTGGTACTGTTTCTACTCTGCGCGGGAACACAACAGCAACAGGTGTCAATCCTGGTGAAATAAAATATGTTTTTATAACTGCTCATAACTATAACTAACTCATGAAAAAAAAAAAATCAGAAAAAGGGGACTTGAACCCTAACAATGGTGGTGTATTAATGCAGCATCCGGGTCTAAAAATAATTTCACATGATTTTAATTTTTAAAGTCTGTCTGCAGCTCCCTGCTGGGGTTTATGACTTGTACTGCGATCATTGATACTAGAGCATCACATATAGGGGGAGACCCCGATTTCTTTAACAATGTAGGGACTCAGTGAGTAAGCCTGTATCTTTTTTAATGTGGTAAAAAGCCATTGTCACTAGTTTCATTCGCTTTAACTTTGTAAACAAATGTAATCCATCATATCAGAGGAACAGTGTGAGGCTTTGGTTAGTGTTTTCTGCTGGTTAAATTGTGCACCTCAGGCAGAAACCTCAAGCAGAATCCTTCTCATGTTGAACAACCATCTGCTGTGACCGTGTTGGGACTGGAAGGAGGGATTGAGAGGGATGGAGAAGAGACAGACAACAACAACCAGAACAGCTCATTAGTGCGCTGACAACAGCAGAAATACGTGTAAGCCTGTTTTCAGGAGTAGCTGTTAATGATAACAGACTTTCCTTAATATTGATGGCAGTTAAATTGACCCGGACTTACAATAATGATATCAGGAGAAGGATTGATAATATCAAATACAGCAGCAGAAGTCGAGTAAATTGAACGTTAATAATATAAGTCTAAAAAAAGTGATAGTAATGTTGAGATATTAGTTGTAGCAGCTGGAGTCGTCTCATCAGTGAGGACAAAAGCTCAAAAACTAAAACTTAAAAAGAAAATCCAAACTGTACTGAAGCTTAAAAGTGAACGTTAAGTGAATTTTAGGTCATCGTTGATGTGTGAATAGTTTACTGTGTACAAACATGTTTGCCACATAGGTTTTCCGAAGGCAGATGTTCTGTTAAACCAAATGTTGAGTCTTCACTTTGTTCCAGCTGCCCCCATGTGGCAAAGGTAATGCAGGTTTTATTTTTTAACAGTGAAGATCAGTGTTAAGCAGGTTTTCCTTCAGTATATCCTAATGATAATTACCCATCCAAAGACTGTGATATCGCCCAAATTTCAAGGCAAAACACACAGCACATGTTTTTTTGTTCCTGTAGATTATTAGAGCGTGTTTTGATATTTTCTTGAAGAGCAGGATTAAGGTCCAAACAGGTACATGCAAAACTTGGTACTGGATTTTTAAGGTTCTTCTAGCCTACAGGATGGGACCATTTTTGATTAGAAAAAAAATGTGGACATGTCCATGAATGGTTAACCTAGAGGCTCTGCTCTCGGAGTCTGAGATATTCTCAATGTATTTTCTCCTTTTATTTCAATCATTTTTTATTTGTTTCCTCCTATCATTGCATCTTTTGTCATCATCTATTTACTTATTTAATAAATACATAACTCTGCTTCTTGTTGTCCAACCATGTTTGTGTTTTTTTCATTATATAATGCCACCATATATGAAGACAGGTTACTTTGGTTGTCGAGCAGCTCCCTTCACTCATTTTCTCTGTGCAAAAGAGCAATAATTGCAATGTCAGCAACAATTCAATGCTTTAGCTTTTATCAACCTCTCTCTTCTTTTAGTGATGTGAGGTGTCCATTATCAACAACAAAGAAACTATTTACATATCTGATTATGAAAAAACTCATGCTTTATTCATCTTTCTGAAATGAACAATATACTTAGGCTACTTACATGATGTATCAACAATATATTCACTACCGTCAGTAACACTGGACAGATGGGCTTGAACAGAAACATAAATATTGAACAGAGATATTTATTCTTAAGGCTTACTTTGTTGTCCTGTTGTCGCCGTCTTTAGTGTCCTGGTGTCTGAACTAAGGGCTCTGCACTGCCAGACAATACAGATATGTGCCATGCAATCCTTGGGGTCTGTTAGTTCTTCAGTTAAATGTTGCTCAAGTGTCACTTTATCATCATTTATCACCCCTCTTAGAAGGAACGTCTGATTCAAAGTTTAACTCTCCTCAACAGTGGGAAAGAAAGCAAAATGATGGTATCATGGACAGGACTGCTTACGTTGACTTTAAGAATTTAGATCTCTCAACTGAGATCAACCAGACGGATGAATTCCATGAACCAATATCATTTATCAGAGTTCAGCACAGCCTTTACTTCAGTGAAAACGTACGTGTGAAACCAGCCTGAGGTGACGTAAAATGTGTTTAACATGCTTTCAATAAGAAGCTCACAACTCTTTGACTCGACACATCCACCTAATAATTAAACCAACAGCATATCATCCACAATATTGAGGCATCCCGATGGAGATCATAGCATTTACTGTACATAAAAGAATCCTCTTTTGCATTTATAAACTGAACATATTTATATTATTCTTCATATAGCTGTCTTTGTAAACTGTCCCAATAGATACAGTATGTACAGTAAAAACTGCAACAAGTGTGTAGGTGCTGGTGTAGCGAGCACTCAGTCCCAAAGTGAGACATGGGATCTTTGCACAGTCACTCAGAGCTTCGATACAAAGCTGACTAGGAAGATTCCTATTACACACAGTTTCCTCCTCTCCAGTCCCTTTAGAGTACACACAGCCAGTGAACCTCCTTGCAGTGCCGCATCCATCCCCGCTCACAGGGCCTGACAGCTAGAGTTCCTCCTGGAGCAGAGCAAAGGAGGCGTCCAGGACACTGAGAGTCCAGCAGCAGAGACAAAGGTGAATCTGGCCATGTCCACAGGATGCCTCAGTCTCATGAGGACAAAAAACATGACGCCAGTTCTTCTCAGAGTTTTTGCTCAGCTCCCTGAAAGGTGGTTTCCTGACAGATTCAAGTGCTTCCGTTTGCTCTACAATTTTCACTTTTTTTTGTACAAGTCTTAAAAAAACTATGAAGTCACTGTAAAAGAAACAACGTTCTGGCTTTCCAGAGGCGGCGTTGGATTTAGAGAGTTTTACGTTTCGATCCTGTAACAATCGGTCGAGCAAATTCCACGAAATCATCTATAAGGACTGGCCATGCCCCTGAAAGAGAAACATGAAAATGTTATTAATGTCACAGAGATAAAAGTAGAAGAGTTATTAAATACAGTTTTCGGCTGCATTCATATGGACTCAGACTTAGGTGGACAGCTGATACATATCAATATTTGGGAGACATTTGATAGAAGAAAAAAGACAATTTGCCCAACAAATGGCAGTGTTATGTTACAACTATATTACTATTATTATTATTATATTACAACACAGGATACTGTATAGAAAGTGAGCAAAAACTGAATTGTAGTAATCAAATCATTTCAACCCTGTATCTAATAAAAAATAGTGTGAAGTCAACATATCAGATGATATATATACATGTTCATTTTTTAATTTGAGGTCAGCAACACGTTTAAAAAAACTGGGATGAAGCATGTTCATCATAATGTTGCATCGCCAACAGGATTTCAGCTGCCCAACAGCTCAGAGTTGAAGTCCCCTTTGTCATTATCTTCAGTTCAATGATGTGCCAAATGTTTTTTAATGAGCAGAATGTGGTTTGCTAAATCTTCAAGGTCTTTCCTAAGTAAGACGTTGACTGGATGACAGCACAGGTTGCTCCAAAACTTGTGCATAGTGTTCAGTATTAACAGTGCCTTTAGATGTGTATGTTCCTCTCCTATCCATCCCAACACTATCATGGATGTTGACTTTTGAACTGTACCCTGGTGAAAAGCTGGGCTGTCTGGGGCCCTCTAGAGTGGAGGGCACAGTGTCCAGGATGTCCAAAAAGAACATCAAACTTTGACTTTTAAGACCACAGGACAGTTTTTCACTTTGCCTCAGTCCATCTCACATGAGCTCAAGCCCAAAGAAGTCCTGGAGGGTTTCTAGATCATGTTTATTAATGGTTTCCTTGTTGTATGGCAAAGTTTTGACCTGCATTTGTGGATGAAATCTTGAAATTGTATCAGTGTCCTTCTCATATTTCTGCATGTCCTCTGAACCTTTTGGCTCTTGCACAGCAAATGAGGACATCCCAAAATTGTTTTCAATTCAATGCTGAGGAACATTATTCTGAATTTGATGAACTGTTTGCTCACATGGTCTCACAGAATGGTGAACCTCATCCTATCTTAATTTCTGAGGGGCTCAGCCTCTCTGTGACAACCTTTTTACACCCACTCATGTTACTTACCTGTTACCAACATTTTCAGTGATTTGTTGTCAATGTCCCAACTTTCCAAAAACATGTTAGCATCTAATGTAAAATGAGTATGCAACAATAGCATTTGATATGTTGTCTTTACACTCTTACCAATTAAAAAACAGGGTTTAAAGGATTTGCAAATACTTAAAATCTCTTTTTAATATTGTACAATGCCCTAACTTTTTTCACAACAGTATGAATAAAAATATTTCTATCAATAATTTATTATTTCAAAATGATTTGTCTGTCTAGTTTGTGTTTTTTCTTGTACCTATAAACACAATTCTCATGGCAAGAAAACACAGTTTTATCTCAAAGTTTTTATTTATTTCAAACCCTTAATTCTATCTAAAAGGGAAATTATTACGTTGCCTCAAATCTATTGCCTTCTCACTGTCCAGATTGCCCATGACTTGATTGTCAAGGTGGTCAACATGTGGCTGTCAGATCAGTCCACTAACAATGTCTTCTATTTCAAAAATAGAGGGCTGAATTTCATTGTTTGTATTCAGCAGTTGTCTGCCTGAATCCATGGGAACGCACCATGTGAACATATTTGACTCACCTTCTTCATCATAGTTTGACATGTCGTCTGCAATCATGTTTCCAAAGTCCAACAATAGGTTCCATGTGTCCTTTGGGATGGATCGTTTGTGGTGCTCCTAGAACAGACAAGTGCTGGTGAACATATTATACATACTTCTGTTTTCCATTTGTGTAAAAAGGTGTTGATATTCCAGCCGATACATTAACAGAGTGTAAGTTACTGACGGACCGGCAGACCAGTTTGTGGACTTGTGTTGCAAGAGTATGTGTGATAGCCAGGAAAGCGAGAAAACAGGGTCAAACAGCTTTTACTGAAGGATTCACAAATCCAACTCGACATGTACTCTATAATAATTTGAAGTCAGCTTTCTCCCATTCTTCAGATTTAGAATCATCAATTTTAACGCACAGAGCTCTAGATTGTTTTTGTTGACAGTAACTTGAAGCCAGAGATTACCGGGGTCATAAAAAGTTGGCTGTCATGAGAAGAATCTATCTTGAGAAACCATTCAGCTGATTGGCTTCAAACCTGGCTTGTACATTGCAGAGGAAGCGAGGGAGTGCAGAACTTGACGTAAGAACAATCAGTAATGTGATTCTCAAGAACAGTTTCAGTGGCCAAACTGTTTTCCTTGACAATTTTCTCGCAAGCAGTGTTTCAGGGGTGAAGAAAACAGCCATCTGCTGGCCATTAGAAATTGTGTCTCAGCTAAAGAAGCCATCACCACAAACGACAAATGCCAAATTACATTTTTCTATTATAGGATTTAGAATTTCACTCTAGTGTTTAGGCTAACTTTTTTGGCTTTTTATTACTATTTCTTTAACAGAGCGGGGAAAAGTCACTCATAAACAGGGGAGGAAGAGAGCAGCTACAAGTGGAGGGCTTGAGCTGAGCCCAGAGCAGCACTGAGCCTCTTTACATGAGCTGTACTTGAGTTACAGAGAACTCTATAAATGTATTTCTTCAACTCACCAAAAGAAATCTATTCCAAAGATCGAGGAACTTAAACCGCCCTGACAGAACCAGGTTCCAGTAGGCTACGGCCATCTCCAAGTCTAAACACACACAAAAAGACAGATCATGTTGTCTCAACAGTTTATAAGTATGAGTCTTTCCAAAGTTCTTCTTGCGATCAATAGTCTTCTTACCGAGACCCTTCTGTCCAGGATTTTTGGCAAAGTTAAAGGTGAACTGGTAGAAGTCCTTGAACTTCCCACTATCTTTGAGTTCCTGCTCTAATCTTGGTAAGAGGGCCTTCAGTTTTTCTGGACTGTCACACCTACAATAAATGTACAAAATTATTGATAGACATGAAAAATCACACAGTGGTTGAAGACACTTATATACCTCAACTTGTCACACAAGAGCCTGAATGCTATGACTAACAAACTAAAGTTAACTTTGACACGTGAAACTCAAACGTCAAAACACAGCCACTCTCCCATTTGGTCATTCCACGAAGACACTGAATACTCAAACTGAGGGTGACTGAGTCTAAATATAGAAAGCCTCCCCTCTCTAGAGCTACAGTAAGAGAAACACCATGCAAAGAGACCTCAGGCTCAATGTTTGTGTCCCACTTTAGGAGCATGTCACACCCTGTTGATGTCAACACTCACCCCAGCTCTGTCATTCCGTCGAGAAACTCCTTCTTGGTAAACTCGCACTGAGTGGCGGCCCGAAATTTCCACGCTACAACCAGTACTGTGATGCTGGCTGGATCCAGAGAGAGGTCATCACAAAACTGCTGGATCCCGTCAATACCAATTTTATTCTCATCCTGGGGATCTATCAATTTGACAAATAACATAACAGTAAACATGTAGCATCCAACTTTGAAAGAGTACCGTCTTTAATGTCAAAACAAAAGAGCATACTAATAAGTTACACCAAAAAAAAAAAAAAAAACAACTTGCCTTTATAGCGATTGTAGAGCTGCTCCAGCCGTTTCCGGTCTACTGAGGTTTTCATGGATTCCTTACAGTAGAGATCTGGATTCTGAAAGTAGTTGTCAGTTGCAACTTCTAGTTTCCAGTCATTCTGTGTGAGGCAGTACACAGCTGTCTTCTCCCCAGCCTGTGTGAAGGACATGAACTGCCGTACCTTTTCCTTCTGCGAAGACTTCAGCTTATGCTGTGTAAGTACAGGACAGGGGCTGTCAGACACTGGCCCTATCAGGCTAGGGAGTACAGACAACAACACACAAACACAGAGCGAGACACAAACAAAAACACAGAGCGAGACACACACATCTACAGGCATTCAGGCAACAGAAAAGAGGACAGAAACAACTGGGAGACACTCAGAAACACTCTGACACACATTTCAAAAGGTTAGTCTGTCACACATCAGAGGTGGCGATCCAGGACGCAGTAGTGGTGGTTATTATGTTCTGTCCAAAAGCATCGTGGGCTTTTCTGAAGGGGGATGTTATGGATTCTCAGAGCACATGCTGTACCCAAGTGGGCCCCTTAGATAACTACAGTCATAGATGTAACATGAGGAGAGAATCGGGATGCCATCAGCAAGACCTAGAGGTGCAACAAGTCTGGAGTGTAATACAAGCACCCCTGCCCAGAAATACTCGCCAATATCAAAAATTAAGAGACAAAAATGATTAAATATGCCACTGTTTTAAGATGTCTTGTGGAGTTGGTGGACATCATTTGCAAATGGAGCAAGAGGATTGATTGGTGCATATTTCATCTGTTACAGCGAATTGAGCAAGGTTATGAGAGTTATGCATCCATACTTCACAATAGAGCTATAAAAACTATAACAAAAAATGAAGAAACTTGAACCAAAGATGGCAAGTAATAACCCACAAGTAAAACCTTAAAGTTTTCTGTACTTGCTGGGTGATTTGTACTTGGATAGATCTCCTGAAATGAATCAACAGTTCTGATCAACTATTCCGTATGACACGAATATATAAAGACTAGAAACATGACACCCATTTCGTGGTCTTTGTTTATTCTTTCAGTTTACATTTGAGTTCTTCACTATTCTATCAACAAAATGATAAATACGAACAAGCCATTTCAGTACATACCTTGTTATTTATGGACAAAGATTGGCGATTAACCCAGTGAATAAAAAGTAAATAATATGGGAAGGTAGGTAAAGTTATGATCCTTTTCAATGCCAAATAAAGACAGTAAATATAAAGCAGCTCTGCCGTCTCCTCACAGGAACAAAAAAATGAAGAAACTTTAACCAAAGATGGCTAAAACCTTTAAGTTTTCTGTACTTGCTGGGTGATTTGTAGTTTGATAGATCTCCTGAAATGAATCAACAGTTCTGATCAACTATTTCTTATGACAAAGATATATAAAGACCAGAAAAAATGACACCCATTTCGTGGTCTTTGTTTATTTTTTGGTTTACATTTGAGTTCTTCACTTTTATAATAAATATGAACAAGCAATTTCAGTACATACCTTGTTATTTACGGACAAAAATTGGCGATTAACCCAGTAAATAAAAAGTAAAGAACGTGAGAAGGTGGGTAAAGTTATGATCCTTTTAAATGCCAAAGAAACAGTAAATCTAAAGCAGCAGCTCCGTCGTCTCCTCACAGCTGCTGCTGCTGCAGCGGCGGCGCAGCAAAGACACTTGACAGAAGAGCATTTCCTGAAACCGGAGACTAAAACTCTGTGAGTTTGCAATGACTGTGCCGATCCTTATTGATTACTGTCGGCAACATCCACTTGAAATTAAATGCCCATCCTCATTGCTGTTTTCGCAGCACGGACAACTGTGCGGATGGCGTTAGTTTAGCATTGTCAACAGACCACCAGCTAGTAACTTCTACTAGCTAACGTAAGCTAAGTTAGCCAGAATGTATCACTGGCATTAACCACAGGGCTACAATCCTTGGAGCATGATGTCATTATAGTAATGAAAGTGCCGGTGTTTAACCCAAACGACCCCGCTTTTTGTCTGCCTTTGAGATCAAACTGCTGACCTGCTCACAGCCGAAGTTACAGACTACCAAAAAGGGACGTGTAGCTAGCTAGCTGCTCTCAAAATATCAACTGACCTTCCCTGGAATAGCAGCGAACACAACAAACTGACCATTGTAGGCTTCACAAAAACGCGGCAAAGCATGTACTGTGGTAATACAACAATAGTATTGGAGATAAGCATCACTGGCACCAAATGCAATGCATGGGTTTGTGTTTATTTTGGTTACCTACCATTTTCACACCCGCTGTTTGACCAGTTTGGTAGCCCGACTGTCGCTCATTGTGCGCATGCGCGGAAGTAGTCAGACACTTACTGGAGGTTTCAATGAAAATATGAGGTTGTGCAGGAAAAGCCCAGTTTTTATATGACCTAATTTTAAGAGTTCGTGGAAATGGTCTCTTTCGTATTTGTGTGTATGAAAGGCAATGGAATTCAATTGTATTTGCACTACATTACTATTTACACCATGGAAGAACTCTTTCTAAACAACACTATGAACAAAAACTAATTCTTTTCGTCATTTCAGGTCTCCCAGAAACTCTTGACCAACAGTGTCTCATGCACACAAAACACCATCAAACACTGCGTCTGCACTGAGCAATCCCAACACATTACACCACACACTTACCACATACAGTTAACAAATCATGGGATTAGTTCACAGCTGAAAATTAATCTCTCACTGATAGAAATACCCCCAATTTTATGGTTATTTGAATATGCATTTTTCACTATAAACTCACATAATGAAGATTGCAACTCTGTCTTACAAGGGTTGAAGCAACAAAAACAAACAAACAAAAAACACTGGTGCAGTATGCAAAGGTTGTGTGTCCAATTATAAAGTGTTTATTTTCTGTTATTAATTCATTTTTTTTTAATGTTTGAATGGACCTACTGTATGTTTCATCTGCAGTCCCCAACAGGTACCAGCTGACATTTACACAATGTGGAAATACAAGGAAATACCCCCCTCCACCACTACTAAACACACACAGACAAGTACAAGTAACACAGATATAAAAGAACAGAAATTCTTCAAATGCAAAGCAGATTTTATTCCCTTTACTTTTATTGCCGATTTTATTCCCCTTATTCCCTAAACCTACTAATAGAGCTTCCCACAGATGATCCATTTTTTAAATTTTGTAGCTGAAAAAAAAAATCTGAGAATAAAGAAAAATATCTAGCTCTAGCAGATGAGCGCAGGCTGGTGTTGTTTTGTATTTTTTAAACCTGACGTGTCCTGTCATGTCATGTCCACCAGTCATGTCCAAAAAAAAGTTCCTTGACAGACAGTTTTTTGGGCTGACTCAGGTTCAGCTGGGCTTTATCTCACACAGAAAGAATGAATACACCCTTCAACAAGTGTGAAAGACACACAGCACTGCTGCTGATAGAGTATCTGCAGATGTCAGCCTTCCTCCTTTTTTGTTACACAGTAGAAAAAAAGGCTTGAATTGAACACACCCACTTCATACTATCAGACTTAAAGAATTCAGTATGTGAGTGATCCTTTGTACACATTTATTTGTATCCCTTGGTTTTGGCTTCATGACATCCTGAGAGTTAAAAGGTCTTTACATGCAAATGCTGAGGAGAAAAGAGTAGGGAGATATATCTCATGGAATAAGCAGCCAACCTGACCTTTTTTTAAACATCGTTTTCACCATGTACTTGGTCTGTGTGTTAGTATCAGTTTCATTATGAGGTCTGCTTCTATATCAGGTGTATGATGAAATTGGCTGAAACATGTCCTGGATTTGTAAGGATTTCAGCATTCAGGATGTTAGCTCAAAGCCTTTAGGCCTACAATATCCCCTTGGTAAGCTGGACATCAGTTCCAAATACTCCCCCTGTTTCACAATTTATTGATAGGATGAAATACTTGCTTATCTAGAATCAGAATAGGTTAAGTACCAAATAGGCAAACATGCACAAGGAGTTTGTGCTTGTGTGTGGGGTGCTATTCTACAGCAGTAACTATACATTAAAATAACAACCAAAAAACAGAGAATATAACAATAAATATGCAATAGACTCAATAATCTATAAGTAATCTACCAATGACAAGTTTGAACACATTGATTTTGCCTGCCAAAATCTTACAGTATGAAAACATGAACAATGTATCATAAACATCTTAAACTTTGTGCATTACACGTTGTAAACTTTGATATAGGGGAGAGTGGGGTAAATTAATCCACCCCCTGTTGCTTGGAAATGGTAAAAGAAATTGATTATGTGACCAAGTATTTAGGAGATGGGCATCAATTCATGGAGTCTGTGAAGGTTAGAAGCACATGGGTGAAGGGTTAGACATTTATTTCCAAACAAAAAAACAAACAAAAAAAACCCAAAACATTTTTCATACTTGAAAGTGAATTAAGTCTGCCATAAGTTTTATTAAAATTGTGTTCAGACCAAAAAAGATCATTTTAAATTTTTTTTATATATCAATTGCGGTATCTATGAGCTACAACATGAGGTCAAAAACCTGACATAAAACTCCACCATTTAAGCTTAGAGGACTAATAAAGTCATAATAGTAGTTCTGGGGTAAGTTGAGCCATTTGCCCAGAGGTAAATTGGTAAAGAAAGTAAAAGAGTCTGATGAGAGGCTCAGAGTTTCAGTTCATATTGTTGAAATGTGTTACTTTTTCTTTCTAAAAATACAGCTGTGAATGTTCTGAATCACTTAAAGGCATCCTAATGTTAAAACAGATTTTTACAAAACAGCTTTTGAGCAGGTATATGCAATAATAATAAAAAGAATTATTGTACCAGTTAAATAGCATATAATAGATAAAAATACACATGAATGTGAAGAAGTGACTGTTATTTAGGGAGAGAGAAGGTGAGGGAGGGCTGGGGTGGAGAGAGGAGGGGATAGTAGGGATAAAGCTCAACTTACCCCGCTCCTATGGTCAACTTACCCCATACACGGGGTAAGTTAACCATAGGAGACCACTTTTTCTTGGTATGCTATACTATCAAGATAGTTATGTTTACACTCATTCTGTTGGTTTGCAGGGATGCACAACATCTTGAAATATATGCAGATACACTAGTTAGAGACAAAACTATGATTGCCTTGATGTAGTGATCTGAAATATGAAAAATGGCTGATCTTACCCCACTCTCCCCTACTCAATAATCTATAAGTGATTTACCAATGACGAGTTTGTACACATTGATTTTGCCCGCCAAACTCTTACAGTATGAAAACACGAACAATGTATCATAAACATTTTAAACTTCGTGCATTACACGCTGTAAACTTTGCTCTAAATGAGATTTGACCAACAGAACCCACCTCATTCGTTGAGCATATTCTCTCTCCATACTCCTGAACAGCAGGTGGCAATGTGTGCATCTTTGATCCAGCCTGCTTTCCACCAATCCCAGCAGACTCGTGCAGTGGGCAGGAGCTGCCCTGCCTGCCTTTGCTTTCGTCACATCGATGCTGTCCAATCAGAGCCCGGTAAAGAGAGACACCGCCAAGATCAGATTGTGAGACGCGCTGCTGTGGCTCAGCTAGCGGACAGAGGACAGAAAAGGCTAACCAACAAGCTGCTAACTTGTGAAAAACACCGGTAAGCCGCATTTACCGACTTGTGGCTCGCTGCCCAGCTGCCGCAAAGGAAAGTTGTAGGTGAAATACGTGTCTCAGCAGTTAGCGTGCTTTTAAATATATTTGAAATATGCTAAAAACAGACTCGAGGCTAAGTGTGGTAAAATTGCGGCTCGTTGTGACAGTGTTGTGGATGACAGCTGTGGATTAGCTCCAGCACAGGCTACAGGCTAGCGTCGGCTAACAAAGCCTCGGTGGTCTTTGCTCTGCGCTGTAATCGCTTATTAGCTCTTTGCTATAATACTCAATAGACATCACTTACTAGCTTTGTATTAAGTCGCTGATACTGTATGTGAACATGTGCTAACTTACCGTATATCGCTAACAAACCAGTCATAATCAGGGCTTTGGTGGTTTTAATGTAAATAATGCTCAGTGTAAGTAATCGAGATGGTTTATTTGACTTTTTAATCTGCATAAACAGACTGTACAAATATCGTGTAATCTAATCAAAACAAAGATATAAACTGTCTTTATTTAGTGTGGCGTTAATTTAGCTCATATTTTCCACTTATATGAGTCCTATTATTGATATACAGCATTTAAAAGAGTTAAATATTAAGTTTGATATATAATGGTGTGATAAATGGTTTCTCAGGGTAAAATCGTGATGATGGTTTCATTGCAGAACAACTAGTTGTGGATTAGTCTGCATTAGACAAATTATGATCAATAACTGTCAATAATCAATCAATATATTGCATCAATAAGTGACAGGAGGTTGAGAAGTCTGAGTTTTCTGGGTGTGAGTGTTATTCATAATAATATTAACAATCCTAATGAAGTAAATATGTATATTTTTTCTCTTTTTCCTCTTACTGATCGGTATTTTCTATTCAAACCATCATTTTGTTTTGCAGCTTCAACAAACACGACAAATCTCACAGAACAACAGACTGAACAACACCAACATTTGGAAACTGATAAATAAAAACAACACGAGAACTAAATCAACAAACTCTGAATGTTTTTCCTCTTGGAATAACTCTAAAATGTATGAAAAGTGCTTCGGCATTGCTCAGTATGTTTCCTGTTTGGTAGGGATTTAGACCTCCTCTTCCTCCATTCTCAAATGCCAACAACAACAGCCGTCGAAGAAACAGCAGAGTGCACTCGTAAGTGCACAGAATAACAAATTTAACTTTTTCCGCCATGCTTAATGCACACATATTTCTTCCGTGTTTACCCATAACTCAGCTTTGCCTGAAATCTGCAGTAGGGAACCAAACGCGGCTAAATTGAGTATGAATCATTTGAAAGCGTGCAGAAGCTAACTCGCTAGCTAACGCCAAGCAAGCTCAATGTAGAGCTAACTGCTAGCGCTGACTGTTGGCTAGCTGCATTCAACAAAAGATTCATTGGTAGCGTCTTAAAGAATTAATGCTTTTAACACCGCTTGCAACAGTTTTGTATGTTACCGTGCAGTGCAGCCACTTAGGTCATATTAATAGTTTAGCGCTTGTGTTTTAAAGTTAGCACGTTTGTGTGACCTGTAGCAGAAGTTCGACGATGCCTCTCCTCCGGACGTGCTCGGTACCTGAAGTAGGCCTTGTGCACATTTGCCGTAGTAAAAGTTGTGAGCATCAAGACTGGGTTAAAATGGTGATATGTACGCACGGTGCATTCGGAAAAGTCGTGAAAACCTCAAAAGATCCGAAACTGGAGTGAAACAGGCACATTTTCGTGCTTTTTTGTCCTGTAAGAAGAAAACCCGGTGACTCGAGCTAACAAACTGGAGTGTGCTTGCAGCTGACAGTTCAGTAGGGCCTCATAAATAAGTGTTTAATGGAACAACAACACCACAGTTATATATTAAAGTGTGTGGAATATTTTCGCTGAATTGTGAGGTTAAAAATTGGGAACTTTGCACAGTCACATATAATAATGATAAATTGCTCTTTCTGTCTCCAGGGGTCTGAAAAGTGACAATAGGAACATTTTCCTTTTAGCCTGAAGCTCATCTCCTCCGGTCCTTTGGGATCATGGCGAAAGATGTAAGTATCCATTTGCATATTTTAAAAATAATAACAATAAAACATAGGTGACACTGATGTGCCACATTGGTAAGTGTTCTAAGATGGTATAAAAAAAGAGTTGTTGATAATATTCTGATATAATCTGGCATATGTATAGTGTCAGATGGTTAAATCTTCCTCTAACTGAGCTGGATAGATGTTTTGTCACTCTGCGCATACTATGATTGCAAAATAAATTCTCTCCTGTGTGCCAGTAAAGATGATCTGAATATATATATATAATTTGCCACAGGATATCTTCCATGATCCTTCTCCCTCTTACTGCTGTTGTTACTTTCCTAGGCTTTAATGTTGTTATAATTAGATGTTATTAAGTTCTTGTTTCTTCTACACAGGCTGGTCTGATTGAAACAAATGGAGAGCTGAAGGTTTTCATCGATCAGAATCTGAGCCCTAGCAAAGGTATAAGTGTGAAGAAATTGTGTTTGGCAATCATCTCTTTCAGTAAAGAAGTTTTATTCTCAGATGTAGGTCATTGTGTTTGTAGTCGGACAATAGAGGGCAATGCAGCATCATGGATAAGCACCATTCAGCACTGATCTTGCTATGTCTGCTTTCAGTCCTATCTTTGGTTACGGTCCAGCCGACTGCCGCCCCGGTGGCCAAACAGCTACTACCCAAAACTCTCGGGCCATCCAATGTGAACGTCGCTGCACACATGCAACATGTGCCACACATGGTGAGTGATGCTTCTCACAACCTTTGGGCTGAATGCGTCAGGCTTTTATACTTTGTGAACCACAGCCTACTGATGCATTTACATACCTGTCTGCTTGCAAGTTTTCCCAACTGTGTCTTACAGTTGTGTAAGCCCCTCCATTATCATTGTGAGGTGACCGGGCGGAGGCTAGGTAGAGGCGGTTGATCCTAAGCTTATCAACTCTACAGTCAGCAGGATTACACCCATCATCCCATTATATACATGGAATCTATACATAATTGAAATCAGCTTAGATATCACCTTAGTGAAGAAATAGATCACCTATGTCTCGATTTTCTCATATTGTTATCAGAGATGCTAATCTAATGCTGTTCATTAATTAGAAAGAAATTACAAATCTATATCCGAGGCAATAAACATGATCTCCTTCAGTTAAAACTGTATCTAAACATTTGTCATTAACTATATCTTTAACCTAGTTGAACTATGAGTGGTATGATGAAATTATTGTCGTCAAAAAGAGAATTTGTTGCATCATAGACACAATTACAACCTTGACTGTGCGCCCTGTACATCTAAAATTATTCAAAGTTCTAACCAAACTAATATTCTAGTTATTAGAGAGCATGGTGAAATACAGGTTTGCTGTTATCACAGGCCCATATAATCTTGGTACAAACATATTAGTCTGTTGCCTGCAACCCAAAAAACGATGTGAAGTTAGCTGAAGCCACAGCTTACCTCTTAATGTTGATAAGCTCAAAGAGATGCCTGCATGTATTGAGTTCAGGGAGGCGAAATATCAGCTTTCCAAGAGCCTCTGCAGCTCTGCTGTGATGGCTTTCTAAATCAACAAATTCCTTCAAGTTCACATCACCAGTGACTCAAAAACTCCAGTTTGTTTTTTCTTTTTTGTTAGAATTTGCTCCAAAGTTTACCCAAAGTAAGTGTGAACCCTGAGCAGTCAGTGAGAAGACAATTAAGTTTATTTCCAAGTTTTTGTAAAAACTGTTATTTATAGACGGCAAACTTGTCGAGTCGCTGTCAGGGAATAGTTAAAAAAAGTTATTTTTTTGATAAACAAACTGATACTTTTTTTTTTTTCAAGTTTGGAAGCAATTCATTTTAGCTTCTAGTACGTTGATGTGTTGTCACTGTTGCTGTGAATTTCCTCCACTGTTATTTGAATTGAGTGGTAAAAAGTAAATCTGTACCCTGCAAGCAAAAGCCGACTGAAAGTTCATTCAGGAACCTGACTGTTGTTTTTAACAGACTTGCAGTCTGACCTACTCTTTAATATTTGCTCTGTTTTTTTCTTGTAGGTGATTGGAACACCACAGAGGCCTACATTACCTAATGCCATTTTGGTAAACAGTCCACATACACCCAGTTCCCAGTTCCTCACTCAGAGTCAACCATCCGACGCCTCTCCCTGGTCATCAGGGTAAGTCTTTAAAAAAGAGTTCATTTTTTTAATCTCAGAGACAGGTTGAAGTTTAGGGTTTCTGTGGAGGGTTCATGTAATTCACATGAAGTGATTGATGTGCTGGATCTCCTCTGTTTGCAGTAAACGTGGTAAAAAGGGGGAGAAGAATGGAAAGGGCTTGAGGCATTTCTCTATGAAAGTGTGTGAGAAGGTGCAAAAGAAGGGAGTAACCACCTACAATGAGGTGGCGGACGAACTGGTTGCAGAATTTAGCTCTGCAGACAACCACATGTCACCCAATGACTCGGTAAGAACTGCATCTGTGTCAAAACTGCTAATATCTGCTAAGAAGTATTTGATTTGAACAGTTTTCGAGTTTCTCCTGGGTTCATGTGTCTTATTTCTTCTGGTTTAGCATGTGTATGACCAGAAGAACATTCGACGGCGTGTCTATGATGCACTTAATGTGCTCATGGCCATGAACATTATCTCTAAAGAGAAAAAGGAAATCAAATGGATAGGCCTTCCCACCAACTCTGCGCAGGAGTGCCAAAACCTAGAGGTAAGAAAATGCAGTTGAGGCTTGTATTGTCATTTTTCTTCTCCCCGTGTTATGTTTCTTAATGACTATTCCTTCATTTCAATTGTAGGTGGAGAGACAAAGACGACTGGAGAGGATTAAGCAAAAACAGTCACAGCTTCAGGAGCTCATTCTGCAGGTAAGAATCAACTGAGTGTGTGTATTAGTGTGTTTGGAGAGAGGGGGTCTGTATCTGAAGCTCTCATATTTGACTTACTGTTTGTTTTAAGTGGTGGTGGAACTGGTCTTGAGAGATATTCCTACTATTCCTCTCGTATTTTGTGTAAGAGTGGACAAAAACATAGTGTGACAGTTGATGTGTCGGCTGTCTATTTACAAAAGGTTGCCAAGTATCACTTTGGTAATTTGACAAATACTTGCTGATGTTTAACTTTGTGGAGGTGGGGGATTGGAGGGAAGTCAGTCCAAAGAAAGATAGAGGTGTTACTTTTTTGATTTTGGATTAAGAGCAATTATTAACCAACCCAAAAGAAGATTTGAGTTTTGTGGAGCTTTGATTTTAATCAATTATTTGGATATCTGGAAGAGTACACATGTCCTTCAAAGTGTGCAAGTTCAATTTGTCAGGTACATGCAGTGTTGAAGGTATTTAGAGGTTAAACAGGCTGAGGTTTCATTATATGACTTTAATTTTTGGTGAAAAAAAATGATGGAAAAGTCATAGAATAAAACACAACATACACATAACAACCTCTTATTTATTAGAAGTGTTTAAAATCCCTTTTCAGTATCATAATAATCTTGTATCACCAGATTTGTGATGATTCCCACCCTCATCATTTATAGAACTTCAAAATAAATTAAAGCCACTTATTCAGTCTTCACCTTTAAACATGAGCTCAGCATGTGGCCTAGATGATAACCTGTCTGATAATGCAACCGTGGAACTTTTGGGATGTAATAAATGTGGACTGTTTTTGTCGTTTTGGTTGTGAATAATCATCTTTGCTGAAAAACAAACCAGCTTCGTCACATGGGAACAGAGATGTTCAATGTGCTCGAGATCTTCACCGAAAGCTCTCCGCATGTGCGCCAAAGATTTCATTCCTGCTTTTGTCTTTTCTTGACAGCAAATAGCTTTTAAAAACCTGGTTCAGAGGAACAGACAGACAGAGCAGCAGGCAAACAGACCTCCACCCCCCAACTCTATCATCCACCTCCCCTTCATCATCGTCAACACCAGCAAGAAGACAGTCATCGACTGCAGCATCTCTAATGACAAGTAAGTAGCTGTGCTTTCCTCTTTGATATGACAGGTTGTAAGTTTATGTCTCATGCTGATCTTTGAAGAAGTGTCATACGGCGCTGATGGGGACTTTTGAAACAACCTGTATTGTTGTACTGCTTTCCTTTAGGGAAGGTTAGAAGTCATTATGAATTTCTTAACATCAGTAACCAAGGACACATGATGAGAAATTAATGATAGGCCTGTCATAAAAGTCATAATAGAGTTTTATTTAGTGGCTAGTGATGCCAAATAAATGTGTCATTTACTGTCGGATAGTTGTTGTGGTTAGGGTTGGGCATCAGGATAAGCCTGAAACACATCAAAACTCATTTGCGCTGGAATATGACTAAGCAGTTCAACATGTAGCTGTTGACCTTTTCAAACATTTGTTGTGACTTTGTTTGTGATCTGCTCATAGTAGAGACTCTACTGTAGGTTGAAGATTGAACTCGATCATCTAGTGCACTGTGATGTATAACACTTTGACCAGATCGAAGCAATGCATTAAACAGTCTTTAAACACATGCACACTGACTGCACCACCCTCCTGCTCTTTGGTTGAACATTAATTATCTCAGGAGGGAATGTAAAGAATGCGTTGTGGAGTAAAAAGAGTGAAGATCACGACCAGCAGACCCCCATACTTTCATCTCAAACGTGTGTGATGTGCAGAGCCACAAAAACAAACACGATGTCAGGAAATATTTACAAAAAGTTCAGAATAATGTGAAGATCTGCTCGATCTCGAGGTGAATCTGAATTGTGTCAAAAGTTTGACGAGTTATTCTTCAGCCCGTGCTAAATTATCCACTGAGTTTGATCAGGAATCAGGCAAGCGTTGGGCCCATAAATCTGCAGCCAAACAAACACCTTCATAAATGTAACCCTTTTAGGAAGCAGCAGTATGGCTCTCATGTATTAATCAATAGTAGAAAGTCTACAAGTCTGCCGTTGAAACGTTCACGCGACACTAGCAGTCAGCCACTGTACTGGATAGATGAGGGACCCTTTTGTTTAATCCCTGTCTTCTCAGTTTGCATATTGATGATAATAATGTACCTGTTCTCCCTCCTCTTCTTGTCTTGCAGGTTCGAGTATTTGTTCAATTTCGACAGCATGTTCGAGATCCACGACGACATAGAGGTTCTGAAGCGGATGGGCATGGCGTGCGGACTGGAGTTTGGAAAGTGTTCTCCAGAGGATCTAAAGGTTGCATGTAGCCTGGTGCCTAAAGCTCTGGAGCCCTACGTTAAAGGTCAGTGTCTCTTTCACCACAAGCTCATTCAACAAATTGCACCCGAGTCACCTGCTTTTCAAATTTTAAATCTCTCTCATGGGCCCTCGCTTCTTTTCCTGCTCTTAAAACTGTGTCTGATTGACTTTAGATCACCACAGAAAGAAGTGTTTCTGGAGGGGGGGCTGTTAAATTGGTGCACAGATTAACATTTGCTAACTTGGTATATTAGGCCTTATTTGAGGCATTCCTGATAGTCAATTGATACTGATATTGGAAAAAAACGGTGTTTGCCTGCCAACTCTGCAGTGGTTTTATAAGCTGGTGAGACTTTGCCTCTACTTGCAGTGGATAAACATCTGTTGTAATCCGTTGCTGATACTCAAAGATCCCTTCTGTTTACCCTCTTCTAAAATACAGTGAACACAAATAAAGGCCAAACCATAGTTTAATAAGCAAATAAAACAACACATCAGATGCCAAGTTTGGCAGGGGGAAACATTCACACCTGTGGGGACAGAATTTGCTTGCTGCCAGTTTTGTCTTCAACTCAGCATAAAAGTGTTGAGGAGTCATATTTCTGCATGTTGTGCTCTTCTCTCTTCCAGAAATGGCAAAGGGTCCCATCAGTAACGTCTACATCACAGGAGGGTCCTCTGCCAACGGAGCCCGTTACCCTGGAAGCAGGTTGGAGGTCTTCTCAGTGATGTAGCCTGTAAATGTGACACACAAACAGAGGGTTTCTTTGAAAATGTTTTTCTTCTTCTTCTGTCCTCAGTGACGGCTGCACTGACGGCACCATGGCCTCCAGCTCAAATGACTCTCACTACAGCGGCTCTCGTGTGGAGACTCCAGTGTCTTATATGGGTGATGATGATGACGAGGATGAGTATGACGAGAACGACGATGAGGACTAAACCGTCTACGGCGCGCCACTCCAACAAGCACAGTCCACCACCTTCACCGTGGGAATTTATATCCCCGTTTTTTGTGTGTGCTTCTCAAACCTTTCCCCCTGTTTTACCCATGCCTGTATTTCTGTCTGGCTTTCTCAGGGGTGTAGATGATTATTGAAAGAACAGAGGTGTGAAGAGCACCCATCTTTTTTCTGCTCCTGAATCACGTGCACCTGCACCTCCACAGCTCTGGGGGAGGCGTCGTCCAAGGGAACTGTAGTCTGTGACCCGGCCACCATGCTGAAGTCTTTGTATGTCTAATCTACTTCTCAAATAAGCCATCCCACTTATGAAAAAAAAAACCCGAACCTCTGTAAAACCTACTGCTGTTGGAGAATGTATAATGTGCTTGTTTGAATAGTTAGTCCTATTATTTTGCGACAACATAAGGCGGACGTGGTGATGATGATCAAAAGTTCCATAACGGCCAAAGTGTCTGCTTTAACACGCCGTGTTAGTGCAACACCGTGGTTTCTGGACGGCTTGACACAGTTGCCATGGCAACACAGGATGGGGCTCCATCGGGTGTGTTGATACATTTTTTTTTTTTTTTGTTTTGTGTTCTGGGCAATAATTTGTATAGGTTCCTATCCCCCATTATGTTGGGCTGGCTTCCTCCTGTTCTGTAGGCAGCTGCTTTTTCCTCATCTCTTTTGCTAGTTTTGTTTTCGTTTGTTTTTTTTGTATTCTGGATTTAAAAGGACTTCTCCATCACCGCCCTGATAACGCCTTGGTAGTGTTTACAAATAAATGGCACCAGCAAGGTAAAGACTTTTATAACCCAGGCTCCTTATAGGTAAATAAGCTTTGTTTGTGAATTACGTATATGAATCCTACGACGATTGTAGCTTATAGTATCCTTTTAGAGGCCAGTGGTAAAATAGACCTTTAAATGATCCATGTAAAAAGAAGTGTGTGGTTGCATAGGTCTTTATGTACTCCCTTCAAAAATCTCCCTTTTAAAACTCAGCAACTCATGTACTGACTCTTCCAAATACCTTTTCTGTAATCTAATATAAGTTTGCAAAATAAATATAGATTGTTTTAATAATTTGGTATCAATAATTTACTGGGGTCTGTTATTGTGTCAAGCATGGGGTAGTGAATCATACCTCACAGGGGGAAGGGGTAAAGGTTTTTTCCAACACTTGTCTCTTTGAGATTTGTGGTTCTTTTTTTAAGAGCTCAGGGATTAAGACCTGTGTGTACTGTGGAAAGGTGCATGTCGGAGGAGAGAGCAACAGGAAGCTAGGGTGTTCAACACTTTGGAAGAGGAGAGCAAGTAGGTGAGTAAAACTCATTTTCTTTTTTCATACATCACAGGTTTTATATTTTTTGTACATCATCTATCTACCATCATTTAATTCCTATAGATTTGAAACTGATGTGGGTTTACAAAAATAGCCGCCAGAGTAAAGAGGGCTCTTTTTTTAATGAGCCGAGTCCAAATGTTTCTGACATGGAGAACCAACAAGAGCTCAAATGAAGCACATGCTGCAGGCACTGGATTACCTGGAAGTTTCTCAGTTTTCCTAACAAGTCTGATCTGAGGCAGCAAATCATGTTAGAGCATGACACTTAGCTTCAATGTTACTTGGCCAAGTGTGGCTGTCAACTTGAAATCTGAAATGGAAGACTATTCTTATTTATGTATCGACACCTGAATTTTTGTATAAGCTGTGTTTTTGATCATATTTTTCCTGATGCAACTAGACAAATTGTTTTTATGTTGGTCTAAGGTGACAAATTGCTCAGTCCTGGCTTCTATTGTGAGTACTATGTGAGCTCAGCTTGGGATAATTTGTCATTACAACAACCAAAAACACTGAAATGCTGAGATGTACTTTAGAGGGATTGTTGATTCACAAACCAAGTGAAGGTCACTCTAAGAAATCCTCTCTTTGTGTGTCAATTGTGGGGTTTCCCTGCGAAACACAGGATAGTCGCGCAAAGTGGTCTTAAAGACAAATTTAGGAGACTACAGAAGCTGCATATTGGCTCTTGAGACTTGACATAGAGCGAGGACTTAATTTCTTTGTTAGAGTAACTTAGTTTTGTTTTGAGGTAAAGGATTTTAAATCTATTTTCCTGTCGACACTTTGCATCTTGTATATTGAAAATCAAATCATTTCAGTCTTCGAGTTTATCTACTGTACAGATGCTGAATCTCAAACATGATCTCTTTGCTCGTTTTTTATCAATAATCATCAAATACTGTGCATTCACAGCCTATGTGTCACAAATAATCAGGGAAATAGTTTCCAATCGATCATATTTACGCCTCACGGCCCCCCACAGCAGAAAAAAAAGGTTATAGTGGATGTTCTGGTGCAGCAGCAAGTTTTCAAGTTTCATCATATTCATAAACGCTGAAAAAAAATGAAACTTGAATATAACTTCATCGAGGCCGAGATGATTGACTGACCCCAGCTGCCTGTTCTGTATGAGCCTGTACTCACACACTCTTTGTGGGGCATTATGGTGTTAATGGATTATCCAAAGGTGTTGACTCAGGTGTGTGTGTGTGTCTGTGTGTGTGCATGTGTGTGTGTATGAGGGTGGTACGATGCTCCAAGTGTGGGATCTGGCTTTGGCACCATTCTCAAGTTCTCTCCTGACTCTCTTGTGCTCCCTCTGCCTCTGCTCTGTGATCTGTCTCCTGTTTCCTCTCCTCTCGTCGGCTTCAGTCTCACACTTCCTCATCTATGAAAATTTGTGTGGAGGATTTACCCTCGCTCCTTTTCGACTTAATCATGTCCTCCCTTTGCGCCGCCTAACAGTAGCCAATCTTCGGCATGGATATCGGAGGATTGACCACAGTGGTAGCGAACTCTGCCTACATCAATGCTCGAGGAAGCATCGATGGCTCTAATCCAGGAGCAGCTCGGGATAAGAAGTACCATTCTCGCCTCAAACTGCCCCACATCACTGTGTGTGAGGGCCTGGCAGAGACTCTGGATCTGTCCTTCGACTCAGTCTGTGTGGCTCAACCCATTGGCAAACGTCTTTTTAGAGAATTTTTGGATGCAAACAAAGAGTACCGTGGTTCTTGTCATCTGTGGAGAGACATTGAGGACCATGATCTGGCAGAGGACTCTGAACTGGCAAGAAAGGCCTCAAAGATCATCCAGCGATACATGGACCCCTCTGCCAAATACTACTGCCCCTTCCTGTCTGAGGACATCATCGCTAAAGTGAAGGAAGGCCAAGAGGCTGTGGGGGGTGATCTGTTTGCTGCTGTTTTGGCCAAGACTTTGGACTTTCTCTGTGAGGCTCCCTACATTTTCTTCCTGGAGAGCATGTATCTGAAGAGGTTCCTGCAGTGGAAGTGGCTGGAGATGCAGCCCATGGATACAGACTGGTTCCAAGACTTCCGTGTGTTAGGGAAAGGTGGGTTTGGCGAGGTTTCTGCCTGTCAGATGAAAGCCACCGGGAAACTATATGCCTGTAAGAAGCTGAACAAGAAGAGGCTGAAGAAGAGGAAAGGTTTCGAGGTAAGAGAGAGAATTTATTTTTTGCTGTTTGCCTGCTGCGTGAAACCAGGTTTCTGACATAAAAATGCCTTGATTAGAAAACTTTAAAGCTAAGTTTAGTTTCTGTGAAATTTTGGGTTCTTGAAAAGTATTCTACTTCCATAAAATTAGTTGGACAGCCCTCGCTCTCCTTTGGTAGAAAGATTTGATTGACTTTGGCATCGTCACTTTCCCTTGCACTTCAGGGAAACGCAAATCTCTCCTGGATCCCGTGCATGCTCTACATGATTAATAAAGATATTCTGTCTTCCAGAGACAATGCCGGCCTGTGATGGTGCTAATCATCTTTGTCCCCTCCTCTGTCTCGTTTGGCTTTAGCCCGCAGTATTAAACACAGACAGGGATAGAGTGATTACAGGGAGCTTTAGTGAAAAGCTCTGCTGAATGGAACTTCTTGGAGCGGCTATATCTCGCCCTTGAATTGTCTGAGGTCATCCTTTGTGATGTTCTTCCTAAGTGGCGTGTGCTCTCCCTCAAGCTGAAATAAGAAAAGTCTCCATGATTTTGACCTCTTTGTCTTTTTTTTCTTTTTTTAAAAGTTGTCTTTCTTGATTTCCTCCTGTAGGGGGCGATGGTGGAGAAGAGGATTCTTGAGAAGGTTCACAGTCGCTTCATTGTGTCATTGGCGTACGCCTTCCAGACAAAAGAAGAGCTTTGTCTGGTCATGACCATCATGAACGGAGGAGACCTCAAGTAACCTTTGCTTTCTGAAAACTCTACATTCTCAAACCTTTAAAATTCAGCACCCCTAAACTTGGTTGACAAATTAATTTCCAAATATAAAAATAACCTTGTGTGGTTCTTTAAAAACTTATCTTTCAAGTCTAAATGAAGACTCACAGTCAATGACAGCACAGTGGTAGTGGCAGAAATAACGCACAATAGGCATACTAAACCCCTCGTAACATATTTGAGAGTTGTATTTGAGAACTACTGTCAGTGAATGTAAATTTCACACCTGTATGTAAGAGAGCAAAAGCTCACCTGTTCACTGTTTTCCTAAAGGTATCATATCTACCTGGTGGATGAGAACAACCCTGGCTTTGAGGAGCCCAGAGCCTGTTTTTACATCGCTCAGATCATCCAGGGCTTGGAGCATCTCCACCAGAACAGAATCATCTACAGAGACCTCAAACCAGAAAATGTGCTGCTAGATAATGACGGTAAGAATATCTCAGTAAATAAACACATAAAAATGCGAGTTTTCATGAACTGGTGGATAGCAAACCAAGAGAACTTTTTCTTCTTGCTCAGGTAATGTGCGTATATCTGACCTGGGCCTGGCTGTGGAGCTCAAAGAAGGCAAAACAAAGACTAAAGGATATGCTGGGACACCAGGTGGGCTCAGAGTGCACCTACACGTCTATCATGCTTTTCATATCAAAGGTGTAACATCATTACTGAGATAGATTTTTTTGACATAGTTTGACTCTGGTTCTTGCAGGCTACATGGCTCCAGAGATGCTGAAAGGGGAGAAATATGACACCTCTGTTGACTACTTCACTCTTGGAGTGACACTGTATGAGTTCATGGCCGCTAAGAACCCGTTCAGAAACAGAGGAGAAAAGGTTGAGTACCATTTTTAAACTTTCAGCTTAAAACGACTGACCTGCAATGAATGGGATGACGAGAACCAAGATGACTTGTCTTTCGTTAAGGTTGAACGTGAGGAGATGAAAGAGCGTATGCTGACTCGGCAGGTGATTTATCCAGACGGTTTCAGCAAGCACGCAAAGTCTATCTGTGAGGGGCTGTTGGCTCGAGAGGTGGATCAGAGGATGGGTTTCAAGGATGAATGCTGTGATGAGATCAGAGCTCACCCATTCTTCAGTGACATCAACTGGAGGAAACTGAACGCAGGTACATGTACATGTAATACTCTGATAGAACACTGGCCTATGTCTGAGTAAAAGTAACCTTGCATATTCCTTGTACATCCTGAAATTATCCCACACGAGTACCTGACAAAATTGCTGTACAATAGTTAAATGTAGGGTACCAAATCATGGCCAACCAAGTATGTCTTCAGTCATTGATGCTTTGGTGCTCAGCTGTGTATCGGTGTTTTACTACCAGGTTAGAAAACTGATTCCTTCATCTTGATGTGATTTTGATTCCACATCTCTCCTTTCCAGGTATTCTACCCCCTCCTTTTGTCCCTGATCCCAAAGTGGTGTACGCTAAAAGTCTGGATGACGTCGGGGCTTTCTCCTCCGTGAAAGGAGTTACTCTGGAGGACTCTGATAAGAACTTTTTTGATGAGTTTTCCTCAGGTAATATCCCCATCCCCTGGCAGGAGGAGATGATTGATATGGGCATTTATGGAGAGCTCAATGTTTGGGGTCCCGAAGGAAGTATCCCCAACGACCTCCGCAGGGAGTCGATACTTGAGCAGCCAAAGTCGTCAACCTGTTGCATATCTTAAAGTTCTTGAAATGTCTTGAAAATATACCAAACTAATAGTGTACAGACTTTCTGTTCTTTATAAGATGGGACATAAAGATTTACACTCTCAGGACGGGAATCATCTCTATTGAAGTTTCTGTTCTCAGAGTCGCTCTAAACCCTCTGATTGTAGAGAGCAGGAACAAAAAACACTGAATGGAGGTGGACTGTTGACCAGGAGCAGACTTACTATCTCTTCATCCTCTCTTTTTATCTTCTTCTGTTTCATTTCCTTGTTTCTTTGTTCAGTTATGTAATGCTTTTAGACTTGAGATACAGAATGAAATAAAGGTAGGGGTTTAATTAGATGGCATCTCTTTGGTGAGATATCATTTAACTCATTTCACATGTACAACAGTCACATGTTGTACATGTAAAATGATATTTTTCTTTCGCATGTATGTATGTTCCAATAGTGTATGCCATTTGATGGAAAGTGTGTTTTTTTTATATTTAAAGTTGAATTTCTCTGAGCCTTTGTGCACTGATCACCAATGCTGGTGTCTAATCAGCAGATGAATCTCAAGTATACTACTATCAGTACTTGCATAGTTATTACAGTAGTCGTTGGACCATCTGCCAACAACACCAGCCACCCTGTTTTTTTTTTTTTTAATTTCAGAAATGTTACAGCTTTAAGGTTCATCATTGACTCTTTGCACCGATGGAACCTTTGTTTAAAAAAGCGAATTCACCTGAGATTTCATAAAACAAATTTTAATCAGTGTTTTAACAGCAAATTTATTTATTTAAAAAAAGTTTTCTAGCAAAAGCTGAAAAGAATTACAGACATCACCCACTTTTCAAAAACATACTGGTAAATAAAATGGCTAATGAAAACAGAAATCTGAGTAGCTTAATGTCTGCTTTAACCTTCACAATGATAAAAGTGCTGCAGAGATGTGAAGTGGAAACACCTTAAAACCACAGAACCTTTCAGGATCTGTCCTGTCACTCTTTGGCTGTGGCCTTGTAGATCCTCATCTCCTGCTGTGGGAGTTCACTGAGAAGTGCGGTGTTGAAGTTGCTTTTAAAGCTCTCAATGAACCTCAAGTCTGACTGGAACCGGATCTTGTTGGCCCACAGCAACGTCGTTCCACTTCCTGGTCGGCAAAAGTGACGCATGGTTTCCAGGAGTTCTTCTAAGCAGTCATGGGGGTAGACCACATCAGCTGCAAACACGTAGTCGAACTGGTAGGAAGTGTGGGGAAAGTCCTGCTCTAGGTTCTGGCCCCAGGTAAGTCCAGCCACCTGGGGGGTGTAGCGGGACGTACCCCTGGTGTTTCTCAGGAGGTTAAAGCTCAGGTTGGACAGGAGGTCAGGCAGGTCTGTGGCTGTCACCTGGGCACCTGGATGGGGGAAACATGTCATTTCCATGAGGTGTATATACGTTGTATTTAGACCACACTAACATCTAGATGTTACGCTGATGTTTCTGCAACTGGCAAAGCTTTGAGTTGACATTTATGCTCTACCTAATGCTTCGATGTCACCTGTTGTGCCATCATGAAACACTTAGGATTAATGGGAGATAAGTCTTAGCATCTATTTCAGGGGGCACATTAAATGTGTGAAATGTGATACTTTTAATCCATACTTCAATAAATCTTACTTTGCAAACTTTATAAAAAATACACTGACATTGTACTCGGGGGTTTTCTAACAGTTGTTCAATAGTACAGAGTGAAATGAAAGCTGAGGAAATGGCTCTCTCGAATTATCCTGAAAGGCTGTTTTGTTTAATAGATAATAAAAAGTCCTACATGTTCCCTGGCATGATCAAGAATATTAATATTGGCCTAAAAATGTTCTATTTTTTAAGACAGTGTATCTTTGCAGCTTCTTTTCTGCTTGCAATGCAGAAATGTCAGTGTGGGTGGAAAGTCACGCTCCTCAGACAATCAACCCCTGTGTTAAGTGACCCTCTGATATTTCATGGCATTTCACTAAATGACCAAAATTTACAGATAGGTGCAAAGTCAGAGTTCATTCTTCGCAGCCTTTTTCCTTAACCAGAGAATAAAACAACTGTGTTTTATATTTTTGAATTATCAACTCTCATATAAATATCATACTTAATACTTATTTGATAATGATGTAGCTAAATAGAACTGTCTTACTGTATGTAATGGGACTACAGTTGGTGAAATATATCTTCAGATTTCAAATAAATTGGAAAGTCAGTTTGAGAAACAGGCTAAAACTCATCCTGATACCTCTATGACCTGCAAAAGCCAACAAAACATTAGAAACCAGACTGATATTCTCTGTTGTAGTTTTGAATACCTTGAACTGCTGAGAGAGATAAGAGTCAAACCAGATAATTGACAGCAGGCTGTAAGAAAAGCCTTTTTTCCCCTATGCATACTGTTCAATAGACTTGATTATCATGGACGTACCAAGCAGACTGGCCACTATAGAGAGCAAACCAGTCCCAGCTCCGATCTCCAGCACTGCTTTGTCCTTCAGGTTCACTTGTTGTTGGTTATTCTCCAGAAACTGGCACAAAGCTATCGCCTGCAAAACATCATTTTACATGTTTAATAGCAGTATGGTGTTTACTACAACCAGATTCAGAGGCTGTTCAGGTACACACAGCAGTGTTAGGACATACCCCAGGCCAGATCAGGGCGCCATAAGTGTCCATTGACTCACGGATGCTGATGTCATAACCAGCAAAATAAAAGCGCTCCTTTACCAGCGTGTAGTAAACACTGGACTCCCAAATGTGCCTCCTGTCCAGAGCCTCTCCCGACATCACTCTTTGGTCAGTTATGACTGAAATGAGGGATGCACATATAGAGTCAATAACTGCTGTGCAGACAGAAATCACCCACCAGCATCAGAAATATACATGAAGGAAGTCACTTGGACAAAGTAACTCAATAATCCAGCCAACAGTGGTAGCGCAGAATACAAAAGGTCCCTCTTTAACTGACATTGACAAACTTTCCAGTGTACACATTACCCTCATCTGTTGTCTCCTGGTCCAGCTGCAGTTTCCCACCTCCTCTTTTCTCTCTGGTCTCATTTTCTTGTCTGTCGTGTCCATTGGATTGGCTCATTTCTGAGAAGCTTTGCATGCTGAAAAAGAGAAAGGTTGAGCACATTTTTAAAAGCACTATTGAGAACCATTACAAAGTCATTTTTAGAGGTGCTGTTTTGAGTTTTTAGTCAATTGTTGAACAGGGGGAAATAAATTTAGATACCTTTCATTTGTTCATTCATATAACTTAATGTTTTGAAATACTATCAATGCCTAAAACTGCTGCAGTTTTGTTAAACGCTCTCTTAAATACCAGAGACAGCAAAGAAATCAGAAAAATAATTTTGTCCACAGGGGGCGCCAAAAACAATACAAACCAAAAGTTCCTTACTGAAGCTTTAAACTATTCTTCTTTATTGATTATTCTAACTTAAAGGCTTTCAATGCAATATTTACAATCAGAACAAGAGGTGCTAAGATCTCTCTGCTTTCATGTTTGGCTGCCAGGATGCAAAGTCAGGAACTTTGTTTTTTGTTGATTTGGTGCACCCAGATATCTCTTACCTGTTTGTTAGTCTTGCATTTATTCACATAGTATTTCCTGATCAATATTTTGACAGTTTGCTGGAAGTAACAAAAGAATCCGTCCTGGCTTCACCCTCCAATTATCCGAAACATTTGTTTTGTTGCCAGTTGTATAGAGTGGGATTCTGTATTATATTTAGCTTGTTTTATGATTTGTGTGTTTTATGGATTATTTTTAAGCTCTGTAAAAGTTGGAAAGAATGGGCTAGTTTTAGTTTGCTCATCCGTCTCGCTGTCACTGAGCTCCAGTCTGGAGCCCAGAAACACAGCTGGTTAAACCCTCTGGTCAACATGCTTCACACAGTGATACAGGGGCAAGATCTTTCCAGCAAATCTACAACACATTCAGCTGGATCGACATGCAGTTATAAAAGACAAATATGATATTATTAAAAAAAGGACTGTTATGAAAAGACAGCTGTCAGCTTGGAATCTGAGGAATTTGAAAGGATTTTCCTCTTTTTATTTGACAAAAAAGTTTTTTCTAAAAAGTCTCAAAGTATTAAAATGTATTTCTTTTCAGATGGTGTGGATCCTACCTCAATGTTTCTGTAGGTTTTTGTCCTCCTCTCTGGTTTTGTCTGCAGGTACCTCTGCTGTGGTCTTGCGTTCATAGATGCATCTTCCTCAGTGACAACATCTAAATGAGGCAGGGGCGTCTGTGCGAGCCAGAGGCAGACAAACAGATTTATGAAGTCTGACAGAGAGATGAACACACCTTGGCCCCTCCCAACGCTTACAACAACTCTTGTTAATATTGTATTTTTCCTGTTTATGCCTCTTTAAAATTAGGTCCAGCATTTATCTTCTCATAGGATTTTTCCCAGCATCCAGTGAGACCACCTTCTTACTGCCTCTGCTGTCTTGCACGAAAGAGTTCCAGGTAAGTCTGAGGGGACATGTTAACATCTGAGAACAACATGTAGTCACTGTTTTCTCTGAGCCAACATACTAGCATATTTATGTTTTTCTTGGCAGGGTGGAGAACAGATTTATAAGAGGTTTGTTATAAATGTGTGTGATGGATATTTGCCACCTGGCATGAACAGAGTTAGCTTTAAAAACAACAGAAGAAGCGCCAAAGAACATTGTACCTATTTAAAACCTTTAACAAGTTTCTTTTCCTCCTCATCTCTTTGGTATGTCTCTCTCTTTTTCTTTTAGGCCTCACCAGTGTGAGAAACACAAGAGTTCAGGGTTTAAGTTGATGTCAAATAATCAAAAAGGTGAGTTATTAAACACGGCATCTATTGTGAATGCAATGCAAAACTATTTTGGCAGCTATATGAAATGTGTAAGGAGTGCTGTAATTATAATCCAGCACTTAGGTTCTTTTTATTTTGCATGATTTAAACAGCATTTCTTGTATTTATTGAAGCGCTTATGACTTTGAGTCAAGTCACATACATTTGTTTTGATTATTTATGTGGACATTGCAAGCACAGGGCTTTTTCTCGAGCCCTTTAGTACAAAAATCCTCCACCTTGTTGCTGATGGTCTTGTTTGCCTTTGGGTATTATTTGAAGGCACCAATATGAAACTAGTTCAGTTTTATTAATACCCAAAATACTCCTTATGGGGGCTTTAAAAACCACCCCTCGCAGTCTCCCACCATCCCAATAACTGCACAAAATTACAACCTTCTCCCTTTTCCTGCCCAATAACTGCCTTAAAGGTCTCTTAATGTGACACAAGAGGAAGGATTTGTTAAAAAAAAACAAAACAATGTACACAATAAAGAGTGAAAATATTAATTGAAAAATATAATAATAAAAAAATCTGAACACTCATGTGTCTATTTTAAGCTTACTGATGATGATGACACTTTGTTACAAGAGATGTTCCATCAGTACGTCTGTCTGACATCTGTCAACACAACTAAACATTGTCGCATAGAGAATTCATGAACTGATGTTCAAAAATAATTTATTAGCACAGGAGTTATTGACCACCATCAGTTTGTTTGGTTTATCTGAACCTCCAGTTCATCCAGGACCCCTTGCCACAAGTCCACTTCACTCAACACATGGAGTCCAGGCCTGACGGCTCATTTTGCAGATCAGTGAACAGAGATCTGCTTTGATGCCAAACATCTTTATGGCTATTAAAGCTGTTCACACCCACAATTGATGTGTTTTCATTACCTCACCTACCCTTTAAAATTACAGCAGCTTAGAGCCCATTAACGGATCCATTCACACTCAGGCTGCACATGCTGCTACTGTAAATCCTGAGAGGCTTCACATGTTGCAGTGTGTGACTGTGAGTCATTTTCCACTGGCCTGCACAACCTCTCTGTGACCTTTGGACGTGGAGATGAGGATTATTGACCGTAAGTTGATGACTGACAGCTCTTGATCCCTCTATTTTGATTGCTGACTATTCCTCATGGAGAAATATCCACCACCGAGTAATTCACCAATATGATAACCTTAATGATAAGATCCTACATGAGCTTTTGCTCGACAAACACAGTTGTGGGCACATGTTAGCTGGGGAGATTCACCATTGTTCCTTTACCAAGAAAACAGACTTTTGTTGGATTTAAGAGCTTAGAGTTAAGTTTGCATCTCCAAGTTATTACTGGAGGGATGTCTCTGAAAGCTTGCTGTACATCAAAATCATATCTCAGATCTGTTTAGTCATCATCAAGCTTGTATATGCTTCATGTTGAAACAGAAGAAAGAGAAGTGATTACATCAGGTGTTATTCTGGCAAACAACCAAGTCAGTCATTCATCTGCAGTGATTGATAAATGTAATATGGAGTCAGGGATCATCCTGATGCTCTTGAAATCTCCTGAAACCTTGACTGATTGTCATAGTTGCTGTTTAGGAGAGTGTGACTCAGCGCTGTTTGCTGCCGTCTGTCAGTTAGATTCATTTTCCAGCACACAGTTGTCTGCTGGCGTGTCCCTGTGCAAGTTTGAGCACCAAGGCTGTGAATCCTCCCAACTAAGCCCCATAGCCCGCCTTACAAACACATGTGAATACCACTTTATCAGTGCTCAGTCATAAACTCTGAACTTTGCACAGAAACAGACTCTACACATGGTCTTCCCTGTTGACTGTTATTGTACACATGCATAGCAGCTTTTCTCAGTGTTAGGTACAGCCTGTCCTGGACGAATTACAGACAAAAGAGTCTTTGAAAGATGTCCAGTATTTCTTGAATTGTGTGTAGTCAAATATCAGACAACAGAATGAAAAATTGTGTTGGCTCTTAATAGAGTAAGGAAAGTACTTACAGGACTATGCCAGTGTGCATAGTCAAAGTGCAGACTTCGGCCAATACGACCTTAAACAATGGGATATATCATGATATATCTCTTTAGTATTTATAGTTTTCACATTTTTCAAATGCTGTACTTGCAATAAGATAACGCCCAATTAGATAACTCTCTTTGCTCCAGCATGAACAATCTTGGAGTGTACTTTTGGGCATATATGTGTATTAAATCTTTCAAATACTAATAAAAACAGAAAAAAAACCCCAAAAAACCAAAGTGGCTTGGACATTTCATGACACAATACAGTACAAGTATTTGCAAAGACACAAGAAAGAGGAGAAAAAAGTGCATATCACAAAACAAAATATATACTGAGTCTGGATCATACTACTTAGCCATAATCCCCATCAGTCCACTCGCAACTTCATCAAGGCAGACCAACCCAAGGCAAAATTAAAGATACAGAAAAGCAGAAATCCCCTTGAGAGGAATTCATTTAAGATTTTCTAGGGAATTCATGTAAAATAATGGATATAAAAAATGGGGTCTAGATGATTTAAGGATCCCAGACCTAATAAAACGGATCTACTCAGGTGTGAAGCATATATGTAATGTATTTAGTGGGAATGCATTAAATAGTTCCCATTAAATGGTCATGCCATGACTTTTCAGAAGGAACGGTTTCTTTAATCCAAATGAATAAGATAATCTCCCCCGCAGTAATAACCAAAAGACCATACAGTCTTCTGAGTCTGGCACCAAGAACTTCAGGAAGAAGGAGGCACATTTTGTTTCGTTCAACTTCAACACTGAAATTAACAATTTATTCACATGATCAGAGCTGCAGGTTTAAAGCTTAACACAAGACCAAAAACAGGGAACATCATTACCAATCTCAGAACTACACTGTGCAAAGAGAAGACTTATAACTATCCAGTTTGTTTCTGTACACAGGATGTACTAGTTTACCTGACTTGATTACAAACAGATCGATGTGGCTTTAATCTATACCTCCAGCCAGTCTGCATCATTGATAGAAATGAATCTTTCTCTCAGACGTGGGCTATGGCCTGTGAAGTTAAAGTGGTGTTTAAATTCTGGGCCTTGTAAAAGACACTTCTTAAACACCTGTAGAGACAGGACCCTTTAAGAAACGACACGGTCAGTGTCTTTAATGATAAAATGTCTACTCAGCTGTTATCTAAAGAAACCCCTCCACTCAGTTAACTAAATTACTTGTGTAACTGCAGCAATAACAGACAAGTCTGCCTGGTTAAAGTCCCCCTGTTTAGTTTCCCTCTTGTTTAACCGTCTAGTTTAAAACCTCTATCAATAGAACCTGGCAGGAAGTGTATATTATCCAGAATGGGAGCATGAGGGGGTGTCAGCTGAGCACGGCCCTCTGAGGTATGGATGGACCTCCAGACCTTAATCATACGTAAAGTGATAGGATTGGAGCAAACGCCCACCCAGGGGGGAGTCAGGGTCTCGGACTAACAGTAGATTCCACAGCGGGCAACTGGACTGAGAGGCTTCACCATCATAAAGTTAAAGCTCCTTTGAGGAACTTTTTCTTGTGTTGATGTTGCCACCACCTGTGGACAAAGTGGTATCTCATATTCCCTCCTGTGTGTGTGTAAAAAGTATCAACAAATATTTTCCCCCTACGTTATCTTTATTGTATTTCAGCAGAAGAACGTATAACTCATCGACAATCCTCTCTGTGGGCGATGTAATAAGAGGCTGTTTCATCAATGTGCATTTTATCACTTCCTCTACCTTCCACCCCCTCCCTGCAGTTTTGGATGTTAAAAATAACTTTATTAATAGTCAGAGACTTTTTGCTTTGAAACCTCATGAACAGGCATCTGTTTTCATTTCAGTAAGTTTCATAACAAACTAAAAACCTTTACTGTTTTAGCTTTGGATTGTTTTCAAAAATCTAAAAACCTTATTAGTGCAATATGTACAATATTCCTGGAAGTTGATAAAGTAATATTCTTGACTGTAAGTCATTGCTTAGTGTCCATTTCCTTAAAGCATGAAACTCTAAGAGGAAGAGAGCTCACTAAAAGTTTACTGATAAGGAGAAGGAGCAGATGAAAGCCTGAGGTTCCCGGCATGTGGAGTCATTAAATTTTCCCTTTCCTGAAAGTCAAACAGAAAGCAGATTAGAGGCCCAGTCCCAACGTGTTTCATGTTCAGGCAGTATCATCAATCAGAGAAACTTTAAAATGCAAAACAGCATCACAAAGTTTTGAGTTTAAATTTGAACCAACGTCTGACTTACCAAGTGCTGCCATTTGCACACAGTCCTCATCTGCTGTATTACTGGGTTCCCCTGACATCCAATCAGAATAGTCCCAATGGGATCCATCCAACCAGATGAAGCGACCAGTCTGGTGGAGACATTAATAATGAGGTACACTCACATGGACAAGTCCCTCATTTCATTTTCTCCAGCAGTAAAAGACATCCCCTCTATGGTGTGTCATTTATAGTACATAATTTATAATTCCCCGCTCTGACTGACTAAACATACATCCAAATATCGCAGCCCTCCAATCCAGACGTCAGTCAGGACCCCGTTCACTTGCAGCATCTCTGTCAGCTCTCTGTGAATGTCTTGGCTGGTGATGGAGGCCAGGTGGCCACCGGGGAAATTGTCTTGGCAGAAGAACTGAAATAAACCAGTGACACTTGGATTAAACACACTAAATCTTACAAAAAATTGGTGATTGTACAGATTTGAGAGATTTTCTGGCTCATCTTTCAGAGGGTCTGGGATCATGTTGATACCTCAGCATCTGCTGCCCTCTTCGGCTCTTGGAAGAACTCGTAACACTTGCCCTCCAGAAGAAGTCCAGGACAATTGCTCGGCCTGGTGGCTGAAGAAAAACATTACATCACTTCCTTTTAGGATATGTTTAAGATGTGTTGGTCACAAGTAATAATAGACGGAATGCAGTTCTTGTAAAGACATTTATTGGATACTTATTGAAGTAAGGCTGAGCTAATGTAAGTTTGTAAAAACAAGAGTAAACTAATAGGGAAGCATTACATTTACTTTAGAGCTGAACTTATGGAAAATAATTCAGTAGTAAATCTCATCATTACTTTTCAATAGATAATGTACTACAATACAAAGCCTGATTTTCATGGTTTACTCTCTGTGGGACCAAAAGCCTCCTTTTTTGAACTTATTTTTTTACAATCTTTCCAAATTTTGTTTCTTTTCACGCTCATTCCCTGCTCTTGTTACATTCCTATTAGCACTAAACCAAGTCCTGCTCCTCTCTCTGAGGAGGTCTGTCTTTCTCTGACTTGAGTGACTGCTCCCTCTAGTGGTTCTATAGTAATCAGGACAGATGAAAATGAAAAAATCTGGTAAAATACAATGACTGCAGTGAAAGCTGAGAGTTGTCTTGACTTAAATAGGACAGCTGTCAATTTTTTAAATGACAGCATTGAAATTTCCAAGATATAATTATCTGATTGTAATCTGACCAACAGATCAGGAGATTCTTTAATGAGTTATTAAAACAAAGATCTGAATCTAAAAGTGAGTTTTTCGTTTTCATGTGGATAGTGGTTTTTATTCTGTTATATTTTACCTTGGTCCTCTTCTGTCAGTGATAAACTTCCTTCTTCAGAAACCTCCTTGTCAAATGCATCGGGCTCCTCCATCCTCACATACTCCAACCCCTCTTCTGCAAAAGTGCCTTCCTGTTCGCTCTGCTCCATCCCCAAACTCGCCTCCTCATTTGGAAAATACTGCTCCGAAGGTACCACTGGCTCACCCATAAAGTCCAACAGCGGTCCCTCCTCCATAACGGCAGTATCTGGCATGACTTCTTGGGGGGTCTCTTCTCCCATCCCTGGCTGCAGCTCCATGATTGGTTCATCATATAAAACCGAATCCATCCTGTTCATAAACCCCTCCTCCTGTTCTACAGGTTGATTCTGAAATTCTGCTCCTAAAAAGTCTTCTTCTTCTGTCAGCACTGCATTGTTCTCTTCTTCATCATTCAAGTCCAGTGGCTTCAGCTCCATGAGAGGTTCCTCATACGGTTCATAATTTCCCGCGGACTCCAGGAACTCAGGATCGTCTTCAGTCTCTGGCAGGAGATCCATTTGAACCCCAAACTTCTCATGAAGCTCATCATTTGTCATGGGCAACACTGTGTCTTCTTTAGCACCCTGCTCAACCTGTGATACCACCTCAAAACTGGGGTCATCTTCAAACTCTGACCCTAGTTCAACCTCAGGCTGAATGTTGACCTCAGGCTTAGACATGGTGTCTGGATTCAGATTTACTTCTGACTCCATGTTTGCCTCAAAATCCCCATCTTCTGGCACCATGATAACCTCTGGCTCCACCTTATCGTCTGTGTTCACCTCAAATTCTTGCTCTGACTCAACCTCCTTGACTTCTGGTGTGTCTTTTACATGTTCTTTTTCCATCTTAACATCTTGCTCCACCTTAACTTCAGCCTCCTCCTTGACTTCAGCCTCCTCCTTAACTTCAGCCTCCACCTTAACTTCAGCCTCCTCCTTGACCTCTGGCTTGGCCTCTTGCCCCTGTTCCACCTTTACTGCTGCCTTTTCATGCTCCACTTTCACATCTGGCTCCTCCTTTACTTCTTGCTCTGGTTTAACCTCTTGCTTGTCTTTGACCTGCTGCTCCATCTTAACTACTTCCTTGCCTTGACCCATTTCCTCCACCTTAACTTCTGGTTTCTCCTCTTTCGCTTCTTGATCCAATGTGCTCTGCTCCTCTTTTACTTCCTTGGTAGCCAGTTTCTCCTGCATTTTCTCATCTCCTGGTTTTTCATGAGGCAGAGGATCCTCCACCACCACGTGGCCCTGCACAGGAAGCAAGTCTCCCAGCACAGGTTTCTGGTCCTCTTTAGCCAGAACAGGATTTTGTTCCACACCAGGGGCAAATGGTGGCATTCCCAGAGCAACTGTGTAGAGAATAAAAATGATAGATTTACTTGTATCTAAAGGACAATGACACAGACATAAAAAACACATTTTATTGTTGTAGAGATTCTGTGACCTGGACCAGAACAAGATAAGAAAAAACTTTGTCCACTGGGGGCACCAAAATAAAAAAAAAACCTCAAAGTTGCTCTCAGGAGCTTTCAATAAAAATGGAGAGCCAACAAGAATGATGGCTCTGGTCTCTCGATCACTGACATCCATGCTTGAATTGGTTACCAAGCAAAAAACATGCATGCAAAACTATTGATCAAAAAAAAAAAAAAGGCAAACTCCCCTACACCTGCCTGTAAACCAGCTCAGCCACACTCAGATAATACAAATCTGCCAAGCCTGCCTCTAGGGGACACTTGAGAAACTGCAGTATTTTTCCCCTCTGAATTGGCTTCATTTTTTTTTTACCCCTGTTGTTTCAAAGTTGTGAGGAAACCTATATCATGATAGTTTGCTTTTGTTGCAAAGTACAGCACTAAACACTAAATTTATACAATAACTTTAATTTCATATCAAGACACAGAGGATCATTTGGTGACTTGGTAGTTATTCAGATTATTGTCTTACTCTGTTCATTCGGATTCAAGTTTGAATAACTACCAAGTCACCAAATGATAGATAGATAGTTCTCTATCTATCTATCATTTGGTGACTTGGTAGTTATTCAAACTTGAATCCGAATGAACAGAGTAAGACAATAATCTGATGTGACTCTGAAGCAAGTACACACAGCAAGTTAATGAGAAGAGGGCTGAGTAAAAACAAAAGCATGACAACAAAATATGATTACTGTGACACAGGAGTGAAACCTTTAGTGCTTTAAAATCTGACAAAGCTGTACACAAAGTACTATGAAGGTGATTAAAAAAAAAAAAAACCTCAATGTAAGGTTGAGCAGAAAAAAGTTAAACTAAAGAGTCTTTTTGAGGACGTTTAAAAACATGCTGAGAGCACTTACCTGTAAGGCTCAGTGAGAACAACACCAAAGTCTTCATCCTGATCTATTAAAAATGGGTTCAGTCTGAATTTAAGATGTGTACACCGAACAACTGTTGTGTTATTACTGCCTGCTTGTGAGTCTTATGTGGCTCTTCTCTGAGCGACTGCTACTTATCCACGCTTGGTTAATGGTTCATTTTTGTGATCAGTATTAGTCATGATGACCCTCTCCTTTTTACTGTAGGCCATAAAACCTTATCTTGTGAAAAGCTTATTTTTTCTGTTTTGTTTCCTGATGGCATGGACTCAATAGTTAAGAGGGTTGAGAGTTCCTATTGTAAATGTTCTTCCACAGAAGTACGATATTGATAATACCTGATAACTCTTCCTTATGACATACCCACGTTTTGGTAGTAACTGTACTTTGTATAGTGTAGTAAACTCTACTGCTAAGCTATCCTGTGCTTTCTGCCTAATTTGATGACTCGAAATTCTGCTGTAATCAAGATATGGAGGAAAGTAAACAGGAGGAAGGAGGAAATGTTCCTGTTCAGATAAAACTTAATCTTACACTTTGAAACCAAAGGCCAGAATATTAATGGGTCAGTGTATGACACAATTTATCATGTCTCAATTGAAACTAGAGTTTTAAACTTTGAGGAAAAGTTTTTCTACTCCAACAAAACTTGGATATTAGAGCACCAATGTCTCAATATATTTTCCTAGGAAAATCAGGATTGGTGGATTGGTCTGGGCTGTATTTTTTATTTTTGATAACTTGGGGTCTACATTTTTTATCTCTGTTTAAAAAAAAGTCATTTCCAAAGGAACTGAAACCAAACGGGAAAATGTAAAAAAATGTCCTGGAACATTCTGAATTAGCTAAATAGTAACTTTTGTGTCTATGTGATCATGACCAGTTCAATCACAGGTGCAGCAAAATGAGGGCAACACTGTACACTTGTCAGTTTTGGCGCTTTCAGGGCTCGTGTGTTGTGCATGCCATCTTAAAAGTTCTGTGTAGCCGCTGATGGTTCAGAGCCATTGTTAATGAGTCACACCTGTCAAAGCGTCTTGTTTTGAACAGCTGAATGTGAACTTGAGACACTGTGCTCATATATATGACCCCAGTGAATGTGTGCAGGCGAGTTTGGGTCACCAGGTTATAGGGGTATCACTGGTCAGATGAAACCGCATTTATACAGAGGTATTACACAAGTTTTATTAAAGCAATACTTTGTAAGTATTTAATGACTAATTTTTAAGATTTAAGGAGAACTGATGGAAGAAATGTAATACTTAATCTATAAAATGTGTTTTGTGCTGCTGATGAAAACAAGAATTGGTGTTCTGTCATTATATAGAAAAATGAGCTTTGCATATCAACAGAAGTATTTTCTCATGCTCAGAGTATTTTGTATTTCACCAACGCTTTTGTTAGTGAGGGTCTTTTTTCATTTTTTTTTTCATGAGTTTCGCCAGTACAGGTCTACATTAACTCAATAAAAATATTGATTGTGTTGCCTGAAACAAAAGTTAAACTGTTGTTGCAACAGATCAACAAAAGAAAATCCAACTTGGCCAAAATAGAGTTCAAGTTGGTCACAAGAATGTGATCATGTGTGAAGGAAAGTGTTGGGGCAGTTGTTAAAATAATGTTTGAAATGTCTGCAACAAGTTTCATCTTAGGAAAAATCTCTCTTTTATGAATGGTTCATAAAAGAATTACTATAAAGGAGAGATTTCTTAATGAAGTAAGAAAAGGACATTGTGTTATATTGTATATCATGTCAGCAGTGTGTCTTGTTCACAGCAGAGCAGCTGGGATTGTCAATAGTGAACAGGTGCTGCAGAAGAGATTTTCAGAGCTTGTGTCTTTCTCTGTATGTGTGTGTGTGTGTCTGTGCGCACGTGTCTGCACGTATGGCCCCTGTGTGTGTGTGTCTTTGTGTATGCATATGGCCACAAATGTAAGCATGTGTGCACATTAACCAGGTTGAGGGACAATGTACTTCTGTGTGAGGGCTGCTGGTGAGAAGTCTAATAGCCAAGGACACGGTAGCTCAGGCAGCAGCTGTCTCATCTCTGCACCTCGTATTACACCCTTCTCATGTGCAAAACCTATAGCTCCAACCATAAGAATATTATCCATTATGGTCATACATATAGTGAGCATTGCATACTTTTAAAAATCATTTCAGGGATCGAAGAATAAAATGCAAAAAGTATCATGGAAAACAACATGTTTAATAATGTTGATTGATCGATTAGTTGTTGTACCTTGACCTTAATAGCTGAGATATTAACACTGAGAAGAACTACATTATTTGACAAGGAAATGTAGAGCCCTGGTTGCTGGAAATTGGTGTGCATTTCCACAAATTTCAGAGGGAACTTCAGGCCTACATTAAAACTGCTAGCTGCAATTGTGATCATCAGCTTCATGGTCATAATATGTTCAACATTGAGCTTAAACTTGACGTCAAATATTCAAACGGCTAATTCGGATGCTTATTTACTACAGACCAGTCCTACCCTTTAAATTAAATAAACTATGCAACTAAGTGCCACAACAGAAATCTGTCTTCCAAGTAACCCCTGACGTTTTTAAAAAGGGTTGAAGCAGCCTGTTATCAATCTCATGATTTCATTTTTCATTTTATTATTTTTTTCGGACGTGTGGGCAACACCTAAAGTAAACTCAAAATAAACAAACATAACCAGTGAGAATATTCAAAACAACAATATTCAAAGAAAGTAAAAAAACAAACAAACAAAAAAACAAAAATGACAACAACAAAAAACAAAAACAAAACAAACAAAAAACAAACAAAAACAAAACAAAACAAGAAAAACAAAAAACAACAACAAAATAAAAACAAAACAAACAAAAACGACAACAACAACAACAACAACAAACAAAAACAAGACAAACAAAAAACAAAACAAACTAAAATATAACAAAACAAAACAAGAAAAACAAAACAAACAAACAAAAAACTAATAATAGTAATGCAAAACCAACATGTCCGAAAAGGAATACAAATTAGCCACATGTGCGGCAAAGTTTGTCCAAATGCGATGCAAACAATGCTAACAATGTTTAGGGAGCAGATAAGGTCGTGTCAAAATAAAACAGGATCCAGACCCATTGCACACTGTTGGTCTCGCGCCTGCGCACGCTCCCTTCTCGTTGTCAGGGATACTCGAGAGCGTGCGCGTGCTGCAGATGAAACTTGAAGAAGCTGCAGAAAGTTTGGAGTTGAACAAATCTCACCCGGACTCAGGACAAACCTCAACTCATCGAGACTTAGAATAGACTCAGTGAAGATGCTGGCGCTGCCTCTTCTCATGATTCTCCTTCAAAGTGAGTTTTTGTCTGTTCTGAAAACTTTCTTGCTAGTTTGGCTGAATTTAACGAAAAACGAGAAGGTCATGAAATCTGTTGTTGAAAGCTTTGGGATAAGGATGATTTGTGTTGCCTAGTAAACATGGACAAACTTATTTATAAGGTACTGAGAGAGAGGTTTTTAGAGGAAGTATACCTCCTTTTTGACACTTTGAGAGCTGAGTATTATAACCCTTTGAGATTCCATCGTCTCACATATTTTATTCCTCTTTAAATTCCACTCTGTGTGGATACGACTTTTGATTTGCATTCAGAAATGCAGAAATTGAAAACCAAAGAAGAACACGAGAGACTGGAGGAAAATTACTATTGCAGTGAGCTTTGATAAACCTTATGTCAATTTAAGGGGAGGAGATGAAATAGAGAATCCATCAGCAGTCTCTCCAGCATTGTTTTGACTGCAATAGTAATACAACAATACTATGACTGTTGATATTTTGGTTTTCTGTAAATATGAGAGAAAATATTAACATTTTTATAGTTTACCTTAACGGACAAATACAACTTAAAGTCAATTAGAAATATGGGGTTAAAAAGTTAAAGGTTATTTGAAAAATATCCCCCAAAAGTTAACTCTCTCTCTCTTTTAAAAGAAAATAAAGAAGTAAGCTTCTCCCATTTCTGAATCCCTCTCTCCCCTCATGTTTTTTTTACGCATGAAATGCCGAATCATATTACTGACATTTATAGTATTCAGTATATTGGATTCTACACTAAAGCCCGACCAGGGACAAAGACTGTAAATCAGCTGAATCTAGACATCTTGTAAGCATCACATTTTCCACTTCTTGTAGCAATGTAAAATAAATTTTAAACAAAAATAGTGAAAAAGGTGTTTGTACAGAGACATTTTCATGGTAAAAATGTTCCCAAGTTAATTGTCTATCATCATTTATTGATAGTGAGAATTTTTGTGTTCATCTTGAGATTGAGTTGATGCGTGTTGATCTCACTTGCAGTGTGTGTGTGTGTGTGTGTGTGTGTGTGTGTGTGTGTGTGTGTGTGTGTGTGTGTGTGTGTGTGTGTGTGTGTGTGTGTGTGTGTGACGTGTCCAGGGTTGGGATTGTGCAGAGATGGGGTGGGTGTAGCTCTGGGGGTTCATGTTTACATTAAACCCGCTCTGATGCCTTTTGAACCTGAGATCCGCAGACTGATCAGATCAAACACATTACTCAGAGGAGTCCCAGATCCCGCCCTCAGTTTGAAGATAGCCCCTGGCTGACCCTGTTGTTAATTGGACAGAGATGAAAACGATCTCTTGCTATCTGGAAAAATTGCATTTGAAGTTTCCGTGGGACTTTTTAAGGCAGAGACTGCTTTCTTAAGCGAGTGCTTTATGTTGATAATTGCTGCTTTGGCGTTTGTGTTTGATCTTTCTCTCTCTTATGTACCCATGAGGACTGACTGTCCTCGCAGGGTTTGAAGATAAAAACCTTATCTTTTTTAAGGTAAAAGCTGGTCAAGGAAATGTTTGGAAGAAAAATGTTTAAGTATTGTGCATGCCTGCTAATGTTGGATTTGAACATTTTAGCCGCTTAAATGCTTTTAAACTACACAGTGCCATTGGGTTCATTCATTTTAAAATCATTACGAGCTGAACAAGTTTGTTTTTCTCCTGGATTAAGTAGAAATGTCTTGTTGAGATTGTATCTTGAAACTGCAGACAGTATATGCCCTGCTCCTGTTACCCTGAGCTGTTTGACTGTGTTTGGCCACTTTACAATGTTCATCTCTTCAATTCCTGGTTCACGCAGATATCTAATCAGCCAATCACATGGCGTCAACTCAATGTATTGAGACAAGTAGAGATTGCCAAGATGATTTCACTGAAGGTCATACTGAGCATTAAAAGGCAAAATAAAGGTGATTTGAGTGACTTTGAACATGACATGGTTTTTGGTGTCAGATGTTTCAGAAACTGCTGGTCTACTGTGATATTCATACCCGACTATTTCAATGGAAATATTAAAAAAAGAGTAAATATTCAGTGAGCAGCTGGTTTCAAATACTTTGTTGATGGTAGGGGTCAGAAGAGAACAGCTAGGTTGGTTTTGGTGGATAGAAAGGTAATAGTAGCTCAAATAAACACTTGTCACAACCAAATGTGATGAACAGCATCTCTGACAATCAGCACATTGAACCTCAAAGCAGATCGACCACTTCCTTGAAATCTACGAATTTCACCAAAACTGCGTAAAAGATTTTAAATACGTCACTCAGTGTGATGAGTCTCACTTTCTGCTGGCGGGTCAGAATTTGGCATAAATAACATGAAGGCATGAATCCATTCAGCCTTAGATCAACGGTTCAGGCTGCTGGTGTTGGTGTAATACTTAAACCTGCTTTGCATCAACTGGGCATTGTTCTTACTCAGCAGCCTACCTGGGTAGTTAAATCTACATCATTAAGAGTTCAGGCAGTTCTGAGGGCCTAAAGGGGTCCATCCTGGTACTACTGTGGTGTGTATTCTAAAGTGGAGGGTGAGTGGCAGGATTTCATGTTGAGTGTTAAAATCAGAATCAGGTTTCAGTCGGACAGAGGGTCAGAGTAAAGCTTAGGGGGTTAAGGGTTCAGTGAAGATCCCCACAAGTGTGTAATTCAGATATGCAGGGATTGTGTATGTGTATGTGTGTATGTGTGTGTGGTGTGCCAGCTGAGAAGGGTAAGGTTACTGTCACACAGAGCTGCTTTGTCTGCATAAGAAAAACACACTCCCAAGACATGTGTGGTGCACACATACGGACACACGCTTGCACACGTCGACCAAATGATCTTCTCTTAACAATAAACCACATGCATGTTTCAGGTTTCCAAACCAACTCTGAAAATCCGTGTTGCTGTTGCCTTTTGTCGTCTTTACTGGCAGCTGATCTAGGAGCAGTTGTCTGTCAGAGGTTACAAGCTTTAAATGAAGTTTATTGCAATGAAACATAAAGCTTTAAAATCAACGTAACATCACAGACGCCTCAAATATCTGCAGCATATTTAAATCTCTGCTTTATAAACCGTAAAATAAGGCTGTTTCAACATGTTATTCAACTATATGAAGCTTCCAGGTTTTTGGCTACACGTAGATATAACCTTTCTTTTTGTCATGTTCTAGCTGTTAAAATAGATTGAAGCCAACTACATCCACCGTACATTATTCTGCACTCTGTCCAAGTTTTAAAACTTTACTGCTCAAGCCGAGGTTCCCTCTTAAATTTATCTCTTTTATGATGTACATTGACAATGCTGTTTTGCTGATGTGCAGTTTTGGGTTAGGATGTATGCTCTGTGAGTCAGAATGTGTGTGTGTGTGTGTGTGTGTGTGTGTGCGCACAGACAGAGGGGACGAATGACTAAAAGAGGTTATCAGTTCAAGATAAAGCAGCCTGTCAGGGTGTCATCCATCACCTGCATTCCTCCGCAGCACCGCTCCTAGCACCACCAGGACGCTGCTACACACTCTATACACCCAATGTGAGAATGTATTTTAGTGTGTGATGTGTGTGTGTGTGAGTTAGTGTGTATGTGTGTGAAAACATTTGTGTATATTCCTTTTTTTGGAAATTGTGGTATCAGTAGCTGACTAACTCTCTGGGCTTTTTTCCCTGTTTTACTTGCCCTATTTTCATGCTCTCCCTGATTTCCCACGGTCCAAATGTAACATCCAGGTAAAGGTAAAGAGAGGCTGCTGCACACATTCATGTCATTTTGTTATTTCCCTGCAGGTCCTGTGTGTCTTTCAGTGACAGTCAGTAGCAATAAACCCAATGTAGAGGTCCATGAACACTCAGGTAAGACTGTTTTTAAACTTTATTTTATACATTCATCTGTAGATTCAACACTCCATTAAGACACAAAATATCATCTGCGACCATTTGACCTGGGTAAACATTATATCTACTTCAGTGTTTTTTTGATTAAACTTAATTTTCTGGTAAAAAAAAGGATCACATCAGCAAAAATGTGCAACTTGTGTCATAGTATCTGTTGTTTATCTGAATAATATTTAATTCCAAATGAACAGGAAACAAATTATGCATACTTGATAGATAATTATGCATACCATTCAAACTTTTTATTTGCAAAGACACCACTTTGTCACTATATGGGGAAGCAGTGAACATAATTTCATGCTAAACCAATTCTTTTTAAAGGAAATGATTATTCAGAGAAGAAACATATTTGAAGCGTGTAAAAAAAATAGAATAAAAACTGATAAAAATGTCTGCTGGTTTAGTCCTGGTCAGAAATGAACGTACATTGGTTTGATACCTCTTTTTGCTGCCCCGGGTCTTATCCTTTCAGATGCTGTGCTTTCCTGTGAGTTCAGGACTGAGAAAGATCAGAGCCCTCGAATCGAGTGGAAGAAGAAAGGAAAGGGGGTCACGTTTGTGTACTTCAATCAGAAATTTACGAGTGAGTGAAGAATTATATTTACTGCTTGAAATGGTCTGCCTCTCATGATCTGGTCAGTCTGATATGTTTCCACTTTAATACGTTTTATTCAATCTTATTTAAGTTCTCCTTTACATCTCACCATTGCCTTCCTCTACAGGCTCTTATGCACGTCGAGCGAAGATCGAGGGAGCCACGCTGACGTTACACTCTGTTACCCAGAAAGACTCAGGGGAGTATCGATGTGAGGTCACTGCTGGTGAGGACCACGTCAACCTCGGGGAGACCATTGTCACCTTGAACGTACTTGGTATGATGGAAATACTTTCTTGTGAACATGTTAATGAGGGTGTGCATACATATATGTGTGACATGGAGAGTAAATTTGGATTATTTGGACATCAGATGCTGCTTTTACAGACACATAAAAGTGGTAATTACAGAAACTTCTTCCTGGGGGTATTTGTCAGTAAGGTTTAGAAAGAAATCCTGTCTCAATTTCAGTTCTTCAGCTGTGGCAATTTGTACTTAATTATTTCCAGCAGAAGGTCAACAATTTGTCAAAAATAGAAAAAATAAAAAACAGTAAAGAAAAAATATGCAAATAGGTGTAGCAGGCAATTTTCAGACCAGTCTTCATAGCCTTGAATCCAGCTGTTCCTCCTCTGTGTTTCTTCAGTACCTCCTCATGTTCCCTCCTGTGAGGTGCCGAGCTCGGTGTTTGTGGGTGCAGGCCTGGATCTCCTCTGCAAGGACAAGCTCAGCGTTCCTCCCGCCACCTACCGCTGGTTTAAAGACAACAAGGCTCTGACAGCCACAGCAGATACACCGTACAGCATCGATCCACATAAGGGCTCACTTGTAAGTACAACCTTATATACACATACTTAATAAATACAGATTTGAAGAGTCTACAGCTGTACACTCTAACTTAACTCTCTCACCTTGCAGAAATTTCAGAGTGTGTCAAAAACAGATGCTGGGATGTACCGCTGTGAGTCCTCCAACAATGTGGGGGCTCCCAAGAGCTGTGTGGCTCAGCAACTCAAGATTATTGAGTGTAAGTGGTGCTGTTTAAATTATTCCTATAAATCTGAATGTCATACTTCTTTCACTTTAAACTTAGGAACGTCTTTCTCTATTCTTTAGACCCTTTGAACATGACGATTTTGATAGCTGGAGCTGCAGGATTTGTGGTGCTCGCTCTCTTCTGCTGCATCTGCGTGTGTGTCTGCAGACGTCGCGGCTGCTGTAAAAAAAGTGAGTACATTGTTCCTGCTGATTTTGTATTTAAATGTGTAAAATAGATGCATGAGATAGTACCTGTCATGGAAACATTACCTCAACACTAAAGATGAAAACAACTAAAGGTTGTATTAAAAATATAAGGGCTGTAACTTTAACTGACAAGGTCACACACAGATGGCTGTATAAATAGAGGATCAAGTTGGGGCGAAATAATCTTATACACATTATAAAGTATTTTATCATGACTTACAAGGTCGGGTATTATAATGTGTTATGCTTATTGTTATAAAGCCTTATGATAATTAATTAGTGTTTATAATGATAGTCATACACGTTTACAAGCAAAATATAACACATCATAAATATACATATAATGCATTATCTATGTGGGCATTGTCAGAGAGATGTTAACAGTTATAACACATTATAATACCTGACCTTGTAAGTCATGATAAAACGCTCTATAATGCGTTATGATTATTGCTATAAAGCATTATGATCATTTATGAGTGTTTATAACTATAGTTATCCAGTGCTATAAGGTGATTATAATGTATTATACATATATTTAAAATACGTTATAGAGACAGGCGTCAAGTAAAGTGCTTTGAAGACTCACAATTATGAGATAAAAACGAAAAACATGTCAGTCAGACTTCATTTTAAACATTGAGAGCCCTTCTAAGAACTCTGTCCCCACAAAAGCAAAAAAAAAAAGAAAGAAGTGAAAAACTGCATTTTGTTGACGGTGCTTCAGCTTTCCTCTGCTTTTTCCTGCTAATTATGATTAATTGTTGCTTTGGTTCAGTCATATCCACTCTGTTTCTGGCTGTAAGTGGCGGCTGTTTTTTGAATATGCTAAACCACTTGCTCAGCAACAAACCGTAAAATGACAGTAAGACCCTCTCACTCATGCACCGCACCCTTGAAAATGTCCTGATATTGTCCAGTTGGAGACCAGCACCCGTCTCTATCTATTCCTGGCTTTAGGATGACTTTTTCCTGCTAACCCCAAAAGTAAAAAGTCTGACTAGTGTGTGAAACATGGAGTGAGTGGGTGAGGTGATATGTTGCATTAAGCAGGTTTCACTGCTATATTTCAAACTCGAGTCATGAGAGCATATCTCTGGCACAGACGATATCTCGCCATGTGGGCGTGTCTGAACTGAAATCTGGGGCCAGATATTGTTAAAACTTATGTGTATGAGAGACCCAAGAACTAGCTGGTAGACATAGAGGATTTAGCTTTTTTTCTGATAAGAGGGAGTGATTTCTAGATTTGAAGATGGGCAGAAACAGGTTCTAGTATCCAAACTTGAACATAAAGTTACTGTATAGACACAGAAATGATTTTTTGGTGAGCATAAGAGTGGCAGTAAAATGTTCACCACTGTTTTCTTTTCCTACCTGGTTCATCGGGTGTTTGAACAGAGGACAAGAAAACAAAAAGGTAAGGCTTTCACTTTTCATTCTGACTCTTGTTTATGCCTGCAGCCGTGTGTTTTCTAGTGATAATGAGCTCACACTGAACTGCTACCCTTTGTCTTTCAGCGCCAAGCCCTACAACCCCCCTCCTCCTCCTCCTCCTCCTCCCATCCGTAACGTGAGTGATCACAGTTGTTATGGTGTCAGGGCTTGTTTTGCTCCCTGCCTTGAATTTAGGTTGCCATTAAATGGAGCTGATAAGATGCTGATAAGACTGATCCCATGCTAATTAAGGGAAATGATTCATTGCATGTCTCTCTGCTCCCTACAGCTCAAGCACTACAAACAAACTCAGTCCTTCATGATCTGAGGGTGAAAACTCTCTGACTTTGACTTCAAACTACCCAAAGTGAACTTTTCTAAGACGCAGGAAAGTTGCCGGATAGTTGCCTCACTGTGGGATGGCTGCTCTTTTCTCCCTGTGAAGGACTGACACATTCAGATCTTTAAAATGACAAGTGAAAACAAAGAATAACAAGAATCTGCAGAAATGTTGTCATCATTATTTTGGAGAAGGCCTTCACATGTACTGTAAACTTTCAGCTGATAGACGTTATTTGTATGTTTTAATAGACAAATCTCCATCGTGTTGTTCTTGTGTGTGTGTCTGGACATTTTTATAGGTGCATTTCAACTCCTCTCAGACGACAGGGGCAAAAGTCAGCCCTACAGTCCAAGTTCTGTCTCTCTTGTGCCACCCATTGGCAGACCAGCTCATCTAATTCACGCTGATTATTATTTCAGATTTTGTATAGACCTTATCCTTTTTCTGTTTCATATGTAGATGCAGAGGTTTTGTTTGTTTACTTTTCTATCTTTGTATTCTTATGTATTTTATAAAACATCGTCTTGATCTCATTATCAATTTTTGTTGAATATTCGGCTGTAAAAATTCCAATACTGTGAATTGATAACCAATGAACAGGTGTCTGCACACACTGAATGGTGTTTATCAATATGTGGATCAGTCTTTATTGGTATCATTAAAGTCAGATTTAGAAAAACTGGAATTAAGCATATACTGGATCATTAGTCCACAGCCAGGCAGAGGGAATATCAGTGTAATATCAGTTTATAATAGCGTGTGTTACACCCAGTTATTAACTGCAAGATCTGAAAAACATATTTGTATATAATGTTACATTTAGCCTCTTTGTTATATGAAATTTTATCCTGATCTCCTCATTTGTCATCCATGTTTGCATTATGCTCTTTTGATATTTATAACACTTTTGGCCAGTCAGTCATTGTGAAATATCATGAGTGATTTATACGTTTTTTTTCTACATTTTGTACAGATATTTACTGCCCTGACATCAAACTTTAAAAGAAACTTAAATCTTTCTAATACTTTTATGACTTTTTTTAGCTGCGTACCAAAAACTTATTAGGGGTGAATGTGGAGTTATGTTTATTGCACAGTCTTGGCAGATGGCTGTCCAACATAAGTCTGGCTCTGCTTAAGATCATGGCCTGTTAATGGGGAGTCGGTGGATTACTGTAAAGTAAATAATGTAAGAGTCCAGTCTACCTGCTGTTTTTGTCCCTGAATAAAGACTGAATGATTAATTGCTATTAGAGTAAGAATAAAATGTTAATAAATGTAATAACTTTAAATAAATCTGTGCTGTGAAGATGTTAGCAGGCCAGTCAATGTTAGCGTTAAACCTACCTTTGCCCTCTGAGTCGCTAGATATAAGGTAAACTTTAAGTCCTGTCAGCTGATGATTCTTTAAAGTTTGTGTAAATAAATAAATTATTAGTATTTCTACAGTTTTCTGTTTTCCCCTCCAATGGTTAATGGCCAAACAGAAATGACTGTGTGCGAATTAAAGGGAATTCTGCTATGTATAAATGAGTAAATCTTTGCCTTTGCTTCGGATATCTTTCACAGCCCGATCCTGCTCACACCTACAGTTGTTAAGAGTGTCTTTTTTTCCCACAGATATCAATTGAAGTTACAGGCAGCTGTGTTGTTAAAGAGAGCACTTATTAAAGCTCATGTGAAGAATTTTGGTTTGAGTGAAATTTGACAGCACCTGCAGACAAAGCAGTCTTTTATTGTCATATCATCTGGATACTTGTGTAATGACTTTTGACAGTCAGATGTTTCATCCATTGTGAATATTTTATGTAGAGATGGTAAAAACAGAGCTGTTTCTTCAGCTGCTGAGCTGACACCTCCCCCCTCACTTCTGTTTTCATCTTTGAAATTACAATATAAGAATCCTGAACCTTGTCTCTGATGTTTGTCTTGTTATTTTTGTTTTTCATGGAAAGGCATTTCAGTCTGTATAATAAATTGTTCTCCTGGTTTGTCCTCACTGTTGTATAATAAATGAAATAAATCCTCACTGAAGCCTTAACCTGCATTTTTACAATTACCAACTAAATATAATATGAAATTAATTATTGCGTAAAAAGTAAGTGTAAAAACACAATTACACACTTGGAACAATGGGATTAAATAAGTGAATTCTTTGCAAACTTATTGGCTATAATGGTGACGCTACCTAGATTTTCACATGATGAAACATAAACAGTAATACCCCCAAACAAATAATACACACAAAAAAAGTAACACAACTATGAAACTGTATAGCAAACCCTTTAACCAAGTTGGTCATCAGTTTGCACCAAAAATGTAGAATTTCTCATATTGTCTTTGTCCATGTGTATCGTCATTCTGTGGCTATGTCATTGTTCACTGGATATATTTTAAATAAAGATAGAGCTGATACCTGTTTGTGAGTAAAAACCACACAAAATGACCTCATGAATTGTGTTTTGATAATTTTATCTGCCAAGTGGACTTTTGAATGTCAACAAAACCAATTTACTTTAATTTGTCCAGCTTGTCCGTTCACGACCACTAGATGGCGCCACAGTACTGACTGTATCAGTTCACACCCACACAGACTGCAGGCCTACAGCCCCATGATGCCAGCTTTTATCCATTATTTGTCAATAAACAGTGACGCCATTGTTCTCCTGGTTTGTCCTCACTGTTGTCCTTATTGTGCCCCCATAAATTAAAAGTCTGGAAACACGGATTTTCTGCAGCTCCTCTTCAATGTGGCTCAAAAAAAGGAGGAATTGTTTGCATTTGTTGGTCTACTCATGGTTTATCTTTTTAAATCATGGTGGTGTAAATTGATTACAACATTAAATATCACGACATATTGCTTGTGCACAATCTATTCCTGCTACAACTCAGGCGGTAACAAAGCTCTGTTGTCATTCATGGTCATAACCTTCTCTGATGATTATGATTAGTGGCTCGTATTGATCTGCCATCAGGACTGCTGCTTATTAGTGCTAACCTTTCTGCTCAAACTCTCCATCTGCAGAGAGATGGAAGAACAGCTGAGCTCCTAGATATGCTAATGTTGTTTCATAATGTGACACGTGTGCCAAACTCTACCTTCAGTGGGACCTGCACTGATTTTCGCCTGATCACAGGAAAGGCAATAATGAGTCGTCAGCAGGAAAATGAACATAAAATCATAGTTTATAGAATGACACCAAAAGAAAAGCATCAGAGTTCACCCAGCTATTTCATTTTTTTTTCTGTCTTGGTCTTTTATTTACTGTAATTTTGTTCTTCTTTGCAGTGGGTTTGTTTTGCTGCATTAACTCAGCTTACTTCTCTTAAAAGCACCTGTTGTAGTGGTGTTGTGGTGGTGCCACATGTAATCACACAATTGTTGTACCCGGTGTGTAATATGGTACGCCCCTAATCCAGCTATACGCACTGTTGTCACAGTCAGCAGACAGCAGCAGACGCTGCGTTGCCACAGCGGTAATAGCTGCTATGCAATATGGCGCCACACACGAACCGCTGTGTCTACATTATTTTATTTTATTTTGCTGTTCTCATAAACTAGTTTTCATATTGGTCCGTGAGCCACTCAGTATTGTAGTCCAGGACATGATTTAGACTCTGGCTCTGATGACTCTTGACTGCCTCAGGACCTTAAAGATGGAGAATGTGAAAGGACTCAGACTTATTTATTGACAACATTATTATTTTTTTCAGTAAGTGCATCTCACTAACTTTTCAGGACTTAAAAAGTTTGTGAGATGCTACAGTAACTGTACTTGGTCCATTGAGCAAGTCAGACCTACTATTCTTGATTTATTACGTGAGAGAAAATTGTGCATTTCAAACCTGCAAGCATTTAAGAATAAGAATACCTATATTAATCCTGGAAGGGAAATTCAATTGTCTGTTATCTCACATTATATGTCTCCAAAAGTTATCTACTATTTACTCAAGAGTTATAAAGTCTGATGGCTGTTGGTACAAAAGATCTTCTGAATCTTTCTGTCCTGCAGCAAAGAGAGAGGAGTCGTCCACCACCATTGGCCCTTTGGTCCATCAAGGTGTCAAGGTGTTAAAGTGTTTGGTTGTGATATTTCTGCACTGATTGGACACGCTATGCAGGTAGGATTCATATTGTGTTGATGTACAAATACTGCTGTTACATTGTGGTTCCATTAAATTCAAGCAGCATCGATATCAAAGTATAGCTAATTGAGATTGAGCTCATTCAAATTCATATTTTGTAAACTGTCGATGATCTCAATGATCCTGCATAAACATGGTCCACCCCCACATGGATCTGTATCATCCTAATTATTTAATGAGACTTTTCAACAGGACTCTGGGGGCGGGCGCACAGACTCACTTTGATGGACACCTCTCTGCCTCCCCTCTTAGGTTGCTGCTGGACCAGACACAACTTCATCTGAATATTAGTTTATGGAGTTTGACCTCATATAAATTCCAGCAAAGCGTTGCAGCACTGCAACCTGAGTGGGTTTATTCAACCAAGATGACTGGAAACATTTGAGTGGGTTTGATCAGCCTTTCATTTCTGATAATGCATTCATTTTTTATAAGGTGTTCATATGCTCTATATTTAAGATTACAAAAACTGTCAGGATGGTCTAGAAGTGATGCATGATGTCCAGTAAAGTATCCCAAATTGAAAAAATTCAGGTACAACTAACTAAAAATATGCTCTTCAGGTGTGCTAACAGTGAAAGCTGACTGCTCTGCTGCCTCACTTGTTTTGGACACTGGAAAAAATTAAAAAGTGGAATATTTGAGAGAACAGGAAATCATGAGCAAGTTCAAACAATGTTGGACTTTCCCTCAGCTCATGTAAATAATTATATGACATCTCTTTCAAAGGAAGTGCTTATCAGGCATCATGTGCGCTCATATGACCATAAAGATAAACAGAGCTCTGTGGAAATTACATTTGTTACTGAAAGTACCTATGTTGACCAAGCACACAGAGATAATCGCACATCCTGTAATATCCTGATCTGGTGGCTGGTTAATGGTTCTGCATGAATGCCAGCTTGAGTCATGTTTTATGGTTTCCCCTGTACATCTTAGCAGGCCTTCTTCATGGATGCCCGCCTTAGACTGCAGCTGAAGGGGGATGTTGCATCACTTTCTGTAAATTTGTACGTATATGTCAGATGGCGGATGAGGAAAAAGCGAAAGTGTGGGGAAAAACGTGTGTGTGTGTGAGAGTATGTGTGTGTGGAGAGAGAGAGCAGGAGCAGCAGAGTGTGAGTGGGCGGTGGCTGTCAAATGAAATCTATGTCAGTACCACTGTTTTCTTTAGATGTTAAATTAAGCCTCAAGCCAGGTTTCCTCCAAGACATCTCCTTCCTCTGCAGCCTTGCTACTAAATTGGCTCCACTGGTACCTTACCCAGAATGCACTCTGAGAGTTGATCCCCCCCTGAAAACCTCCAGGAGCAGCGCTCATCTCTGAGCAGGTGGCATGACGCTCTGAGCACATGGCACAACACCCTGAGGGGTTAAGTTGCTTTTTTCATCCTTACCTCAGACACCTTCGTCTGAGTTTTGTTCTTTGTTTCTTATATCTCAAGCTATTTGAAGCTCACTTTGTAGCACATTTGCAGCTCTGGTAGCCAGGGGCAGATCCTGAATTTTTTGACAGGGGTGGCGTAGCAAGGTCACTGACATATTACCATCTCTGGGTGTTTCAAACTTAAGCCAATGTGCAAGTGCATTAAATGTGGTTCCACATTTTAACAACCAGAAATATATTTGATGTTTTGTTCCTTTTCATCACAGTTGTAAAGATTTTACATCCCACATTTCAATAATATTTCACAGTAAAATAGATCATGGTGGCTTTGAATGGCTTCTGGATACTGCTGGCTTTTGCACCTATAAGTTTTAATGTTGAATTTTTCATCCAAAAATGGACAAATAATATGAATTTGCTTGTTAGTTATGGCTCTTAATGGCTGAGCATAAGCCTTTTCACTGAGTAAAAAGGCATTATATTAATATTTTAGCACTATAAGCATATGCAGCAACAAATAGCTTGGCAATTAGCAATTAGCTCATTCAGTGTTTTCATACATAAGTTTATGAATCTGCCAGTGCAAAAGAGCCAGGGTTATTGTTGGCTATTCCCCAGACATTGGTGGAAAGTGGGTTTAGAGGCATCTTATTCTAATGAACATGGCATGTGTTGGTCGACTACAGTTCTGTCACCAAAAGCAGGTGAGCTAAAAATGAGTTTGCTACATATTACAAGCTTTGCTAGCTTCTTTAGCCCAATAAAACAGGAGCCGTGGTCACAAAGGTTGGTTGGCTGCACAAAAATGCATGCTTCTGAATGTATTTTATTTATTATATATGTCTACATATTAAAGCTCCAGTAAGGAAGTTTGCTCATATGTAAGTTTTGGTTCCCCCTGTGGACAAATCAGTCATTGCTTTTCTTCTCCTCTACGTACCAATTTGTGACTTAAAAAAAAAAAATTAATCCTAATGACTTTTGACAGTAAACTCTATTATGAATTGTGAAATGTGTAAGTTGTAAATGCAGGGCTGTTACAGGACATCTACCTCCTCAAACTAGTTTAAGGCATTACAATTATTCGTAAATCTTGTTGCTGATAGTCTTGATTCATTCTGGATATTATTAAAAAGTTATCAAAATTAATATCAGTCTATTTCATAAAAGCAACAAGAAAAATCCTGATAGGATCTTGAATATTAAAACCTATGTATAGCTTTGTTAACAAGGGTACCTTTCTCCACTGTTATTGTTAATATCCTGCTTACAGTTATTTCCTGACTTCCCTTTTTTCAGATTTTTAAAAAAATATTTTTGTAAATTTTCTTTTCTTTTTTTTCTTTTATTATTAATTTCATTTTATTATTAATAAGTTTATAAATATTTCTGTCTCTCTTTGGTTGCGTGACATCTTGTTTGTCTGATTACCTTGTTTTCATGTCATTTATTTAGTTGTAAAAGTTATTATTTTGTAAAATTATTTAACTGATAAAAAAATGAAATAAAAATTTTATAATAGTAATAATAATAATAAACAGCTGTGATCAGAAAAAAAAAAAAAAAAAAAAAAAACTAAATCCATGGAAGAAAAGGATATGGAAGCTCGGTGATGATCTGATGAATAAGCCTCCAGTGCTGACTTTGAAGTTGAGGTGACTTGGTGTTTGCCAGTTTTTATTTTTATTTTTATTTTAACATGAAGGTATCGTACTGCTGAATACATGTTTGATGTAAAAATGCGCTGCAGAGTGGCAACTTCCAAACTCTGAATGCTTACATTTTTCAGACCTAAAGAAGTAGATGTACATTGAAGTCAAACTAAACAATATCAACGGCTATATCTTTATTCCAACAAAAGCAACTTGAAGCCACTTGCAACAAAAGCTGGACTAGCTAGTTTGGGGGTAAATCCTGCCTGTGTTTGAGCAGATATCTGGTCATAGTCTATTTATTCTCACCCGGTGTGTCCAATCATCTTTCAGGGGGCCCATACCACCCCTGGAAATGCCCCTGACTGTTGCTACGGAAAGCAGCTTCTATCCTGCAAATCTTGCATCACACTGGCATGAATTTTATGCTGGGGGCAAAGTTGTTGTGGTAAGACTCAGGAAGGAGGATAAGCCCACTGTCACAGGGATTATCACAGGAAACTCTTTCTTCCCCTTGTAAGAAATAGCAATATTTAAACATTTAAACCCCACCAGATGACATCCCTTACAGTTGCATGAAATCTTTATGCTGAGGTTCTCTTACAGTGCTTGAATGTTTGCTGTTTGTGCACTCTTTTCTGTCTCCTGTATGAACTGTGCTGTCTTTGAGCATCGTTCACTGACAAAACTGTTCAGTGTAATTACAACAGAACTGGGGGACGGAAATGGTTTCGCCACAACACAAACTCACACACAGAGAAACACACATGCATTGCATCCTTTCCACCTGCACAAGCAATCAGTCAGGACTTGTACTCCCACAGCAGCACCGCGCTTCTTATTTAGACTCAGATAGAAACTGTGTAGGCTGAGTGTTATACAGAAAAATGTTTTGTCTGTGTGAGTCTGAGGGTGTGAGAGACTGTAATTCAAAAGTATTAAGAGCTTTTTATGTCCTGAAGGCCAAGTGGGATTTTAGTTAATGTATTTAAGAAACACTTTGTAATAAAAAAAATGTAGCAAACTAATCAATGTATTATAGTTTTGTCAAATAACCCCCCCAATAAAGAAAAACAAATTTAAGGTCTCCTTAAAAAGTCAACTATTCTACTGACTAAGGATACATTACATTATTCAACTCATTAAAAAGATTTTGATGTGTGAACTGAGCGGCAAAGGAAAAGCTATCATTAAAATATCCAAGCTCTCATTTAGACAGATGCAGATGTTTTGTCAGTACACTTGTCAGAAACTATAAAAATGAATCTGTATTTGCCTGAAAAGAGGTGGTTGATAACGGTTGTCAGGGAAATATTCAAAGGATATGAATTATAAATTCAGTTTTTGACACAGAAGAAAAGTTTGATTTCAGCTGAGCAGATCAAGTTTAAGTTTCAGTTGATTGTGTAACGATCCTGTGAGAAATTTGTGTTGTTTTTGGCGCCCCCTGTGGACAAAGTGATACCTCTGATCTTTGTGCAGATCTGGTTCTGAACATGTGTAGTGTCTAGACCTCTTCTTTATTTGTGCACATCTGATTGAACATAAGGTATTTACTCACTTATTTCATGCAAATAACTCGCTTTTCTGTATTGAGTCAGTGGGGGAGCCTAAACATAAATATAAGTAATGCAGAAGAGAAAGAGTTCCTCCATGATAGTTCAGTCTGTGTACAACAAACAGGACTGAGGATTTGCTTTGCCTGACAGACATTTGAATCTATTTGCATCTTTCAATTGACTTTCCATGTAATTCACTCGTATGAATGATTTTATTTACATTTGGTGAGACAACACAACAAGTGTTTTGTTTTTTGACTAGAAAAAAACTGTTCTGCTTTGAGTATCTTTATGAATGATGCTCAGAGAGGGTGTTTATTCAGCATTCTGTCAATCAAGTTTGTCTGAAATCTACCACTCTGTCCTCAGTTAAAAGCATAAAAAATGACCAGATAGAGACTGTAAGTTTTGATGCTGATGGTCTTAATTGGGTTTGTAAGTTGAGGCATCATTATTGATTTCAGACTGTTTCATAACTGGTCAATGAGTCCTTATAGGAGCTTTAAAGACCACTGTAGGAGAAAAAAAATGGGAAATTAATAGTGAAGTCAAGGTAAATGGAAAAACTGAGAAACAACAGAAAACCAAACTGACCTTTAAGTCATGTAGTTTGCACATGATGAGCAGTTTGTCTGGTACACACTGTACTGCATATTCAAACACTAACAATGCGTCCGAACTAATCACTTGTAAAATGTTGCAGACACAAGGATGCTGAGTGTTTGCTTTTCTTGATTCTTCTGCACTGGAACACATACAGGACTTCAGAATAACTAAATCTGCTTTTCCCCCTGTGATTAAAACAAAAAGGCGAGAATGAAGCCAAGGAGCTGTCAAATTGTTCGGCTGCACATCATTTAGATGTGTAAACTTCAAGATGCATGGGAGAAAAATGAGTCCAGTTTTCTTTCTTTTTCTTTTTCTGTGGAAATTTCAGTCTTTCTGACTGGCAGACATTTTGCTTTGAACGCACCTTTTGTTGAAAATCTGCCTTTTCATGACAGGCTGAGAACATCCAAACAGATTATTTTGCAGCCTAAACTGTGGAGTAATGTAAACCAGAACTATTATGCTGTAAGGTGCAGATTTCTCATAGTAGCAACTTTTTCAGAATATTTTCTCAGTGCAGCCTTCAGAAATAATATAAATATGCAATTTTTCTCTATGCAAGGTTTACATTTCTCTATAAGAGTTTACATCCAGAACGGTGTCTTGTCTGCAGTGTTGCCTAAAACACACACACAGAAGACGTGCACCTTTTTCTAATAACTGAGACGGAGACACTAAAAACTCTGTCTTCCTTCTGGAGGTTGTTTTTCACTTTAACACACACAGGGTGAAGTATGCACACTCTTGTCAGATGTCTACTGCTCCTCGCTGCCCATCAGTACCTAGGATCCTGTGCTGCAGCCTGCTATTTGATAAAACTGCTTAGCATTCAAGAGGAATCCTCAGCACTCAAGTACTCCCAGTATTATGCTTTTAACTCGTTCCCCTCAGAGGAGCAGAGGGATAGAGAGGAAGAGGAAGAGAGGCAGAAACAGAAGGATCCTTATGGGAAGTGTGAAATTTCACAGGACAAAAGCCTGTTATTGAATTCCTGTCATGATTCTTTGGATAATAATCCCCACTAACCAGCCCCCAAGACACATTTAAAGGCTTTCACAATCCCACTCCCATCTGAATTCGCTGGCTAGCAATGTGTTGCTGCACACAAGCCGCTGCACTGTCCCACCACGCTCTGGATGCTACTGAACGCCTCTGTGCTGGATTAGACTTTCTGTCCCTTGAGCGGGGCTTAGAAAACACCACAATGTATCCAATCAGTATGTGAAACACCAAGCAGGAAGGGTAATGGCTGAGTGAAGTCATGCCCTGTTACAAAAAAAAGAAAAGAAAAGAAAAAAAAAAACAGGAAAAAACGAGTTAAGATGTACCTGATTGTTCAGGCTGCACACAGGCCACAGGAGCCATCATGAGGCCTGATTGCTGTGCGATCGGGGCATCCTCAGACCCACAGCTCATCAATATCCCTCACAGCTCAGCCCTGAAATACTCTGCACTGCAGCAGGACGCAGGCAGCGCTGAGATGAATATTTATCAAAGCCATAAAAAGGTACAGAAAACAATTTATTCGTCACAGAGAACAGGCAGAAGTAAAAGCTCTCTTTGGTGGCATTTTCAAAACAATGCTATAATTCAAACACGCAGCTCTGCCTGCCTGCCTAGAGGAGGATTGTAATAAGAAGTCGTTTGAACACTCTGTGCTGGAAAACACCTTTATGTGGTGGCTTACAAGGGCAAACAAACTGCTACAGCCAAGAAAATTTCCTCCAAAATAGCTGCAAATGTGGAAATAATGCAAACTCAAAAACATCTACAAAAGTCAGAATCCAAAATCTGAAATGATGTATTTTTTAATTCATGCATCAGGTACTTATGGCAGCTTTACTGAGGTTTGGACACCTTGTATGAAGAAGATAAAATGGGAATGGGCGAATAGTTAAGGGGATCACAGGGTTAGCTCAAAAGCCGGGAGCAAAGCTCAGCAAGAAAACTACTTCACATCAGAATTTCCTGTCATCATAAAATCCTCTTTTGATCTCAGAGGTTTTTTTCGTACTGGACATACCAAGACCTCACCCCAGGTCTGAAAACATACAGAGGTCGGCCCCGAAGACCATTTCACCTCTCTCTCACTTCACTAAACCCCAGTTCAAAATGATTCTCCTTCAGGCCTGGAGCACTTTGCTGATTGGTTAAAAAGTCAGTTTCTTATGAATTTGTTTGTTTAGGGGGTTGTTCATTTTTTAATAAGCTTCTTTTTGGGACATTTTCAGCTCCTTTGTCCTGAATGCATTTTTTTGCTACATACAAGAGATAGGATTCGGTACTATATGATAAAATATGATTATGATGACGAGACAGTTGTGATATTAGACTGAAATATGATACAATTTATAATATATGATATAACAATATATAATAAACATAAAGCAATAAAATATAGTATGATGTAATACATTTGAATTAAAAAGGGCAATGATATGGTAAAAATTGGTTTTAATACAGTGTGGTCTGTGTGATTCAATATGATACTATATGATACAATATAATATGATACATTGCAGTATGATGTAATATAATACTGTATGTTCATATACTTAACATTTATTAAGCAACTTTAAATTTCTGATTTAATAAGCAACAATATGATAAAAAATTATCCGACAGTATAGGTTCAATGATATGATAAAATATAAGACCTATGTGACCTTCTACGTATGGGCATCAAGACAGTCAGGCAGAAAGCACTGTCTAAACTGTCCAGGTGTTATTACCTACTTTAGCCTCCAGATGGCGTGTGCTGCTCGTAGCCCTTCTGCAGGTCGTAAAGTGGATCGTTACACACCATTAGCTGTGTGTGCTGTAATATGAAGCAGAGCAGAAGGGTGTTGACAATATATACTTGTCTGTTTTTACATTTGCATGTAAGCAGATGTAACTAACATCAGCGGTTGTAACACAATGAAAGTGGAGGCAGCTGTCTTGGGTAGACAGGGAAAACTGGTGTTTGTTTCCACCATAGACTGTATATAGAATGGACAGGGTCTGCCTCCTCACTGGGTGAAGCCACTCCAAGAACAGCACCCTCTGGTGACGGGCTGCAGTATAGATCATAAATCCCGCCTCCGCCAGCTATTCTTATGGAGCTGTGGACAAACTTTAGAAATTAATTACACAGAATATAATTTTTTCTCCCCCGTTCTGCGATGTTGACATGTAGTTACTGTAAGACTGGTTTGTGCTCAAGTCCTCTTTTTTCTGTACAGCTCTGTTTTTAAAAGTTATTTGGGGGTTCATGTAGTTAGAGATTGACACTTGATACAGCCTATGGGTGTACAATGATTGCATAGCTAAAGCGGGGGATACGCTGTTTGAGCAGAGCGTCATCACAGCGACTCTCCCGCCGAATGCATCCAATGCAACTGCGGAAGTGGTGTAGTGCGTACAACACTACTGCGCAATGCTGGTTTCAGGAAGTGAAGAAAAAACACGGAAATACTAAGATCTTTTCAGCTTCAAATCTGTATACTGGCGAAAGGCGGAACCAAGTTATCCATAGTATATACAGTCTATGGTTTCCACCAAGCACATCCAACAGAAGTTAGGTTACTAGCTATGCTAATTCAACATTTAAGCTAACCTCCATCAGTTGTATTATCCTAAAAATGCGCACTTACTACACTAGATTTATATTTTAATTTATTATGTAGCCTAATCAGTAACTTGAGAAAGAAAGAAAGAAAGCACAACATTGTGCTGTAATATGAAGTTGTGCAGGAGCTGTCGTCAGCATGTGCTCATCTTTGTGTTTGTTTCATTACCTCACATTACATTGTTTTACAGTACTTGATGCTATGCTAGATTAGATTTGATATATGGTACAGTATGGTATGCTACTGTCCAGTTTGTGCACACTATTATTGGGATTTTTCTTGAACTCAACTTAAAAAACAAACATCATTCAATATGTAAACTAACAAGTTTATACAAATGACTCACATGGCTTTTACCTATAAAATACAACAATGATTACGGGAAAAAGATGTTCGATTAAAAAAAAAAAAACATGTAGCTACTGCTCAATCTTTCATGCTTTCAGAAATGTTATTTGGAATCTTGCCTGAGGTCGGCACGAATAAGCAATCAGAAAATTGTAACTGTTTAGGAAATTTTTCGGCTCTTATTTATTTGCTAAAATTTGTGGTTGCAGAGCTTTTCCCCCTATCAGCCTACGTACTTTTAGCAAATGTTGCAGCTGAATAAAAAGAGCATCAGGTTTAGCTGAGTGTTCTCTGGATTAGAATAATTGCTTCCTTTAATCTGCAGGGATTCATTAAATGAGTCAGATAGGAAAGTCCACACTCCTGTCACCAGGATTATAAGGTGCCGGGTAAGAGCAGAGCGTCTGGCAAGCACGAGGTGTCTGCCTGTAGACACAAACTCATTTCCTCCCTCTTTACTTGCTCAGCCCTGTGAGCTGGCTGGAGACAGGACAGGACGATAGGAAAACAAGCCCCCCCTACTCACCCCAGGGGCTTATTAAGCCCCCGAGTGTTCAGGAAGAAGCTCTCATGCGGAAAAGATTTACGTAAGAAGGAGAATTTACCCATTTCTGTCCTCATTTCCGTATGCTGTACACACCAAATCCTCCTCTTTATTCGTTGTGTTTGAGTCTGGCTCTCCACAGTCTTATTCTGGCAAACTTCTCTCAGTATTTTCTCGCTCTGATTAACTGAGAGGGCGTTTTTTTCGCAACAGGACATTTGCTGTGCTGGCCTTGATTAGAACATGTTTAAATACCACCACCCTGCACCACCTCCATCCTCTCCATCCTGCCTTCTGGCTCCTCTCTCCATCCACCTCTCCCACTCTGTCTTTAGTGTTCTCTTTTCTTTTGATTTCTCCTCCACATAGTCTCCCTTTGTCCCTTTATCCTGGTATGATTAAAGGTTTTGCTTCAGATGTATTTTCATCAAATACCTCACTGCCTTGCTCATGATTATGTTTTTTTTCTTTCTCTTCTTTTGTCACGCTTTGTCTTTTTTCTGCCAGAGGTCTATGTTTGATTATAGCTTCACTCTCTCTGATTAGAGCTCTCGTCTCGGTGAGTGCTGTTGTCTTCCCGGTGCTCTCCCTCCCTCCCTCCCCTTCAGCCAGAGTGACCTTGGCTGAATAGCAGAAGCAAAGACAGTGACATTCAGCAAAGTCTTTTTCTGGTAGAAAATGGAAAACAGGATGGATCTAAACTGCTGAGGAAAACAAGATATTTTTACTGTCTTAAAAAAATGCACCCGTGAATAGTCAGGCATGAATGCATGATGGAAGGCAGAATGTGTTATGAAATTTTGATGCTCTAGTGAGAAGTTTTGAGCCGGTGATGAAACAGACTGAAATTATTATGGATGTTTCTTTATGACCGAAAACAGCAAACAAAACCATCAACAAGAGCAGTAACTTTTTTGTTGTTCTGTGTTTTTTTAATACCACTGGTGGGGGCTGGTCTCAAATCAAGTGATTACCTAAATGCTGACTTTTCACATTTAATCATAAAACAAGAGCAGGATGAGATTAGAAAACACAATAAAGGAAGATCCTGCCTTGCTAAATAAAACACTAAATACTGCTATGTAGCTTTGTTTTAAATCTTTTTTTTTTTTCAAGGTCCCAATAATCTGTTCATTTTCACACCAGGGCTGGCATGTGGGTTCACCTACACGCACATACACGGCAGTAGTCCCTGCCAGGATGCTTCATCATGAATCTAAGGAATATACAGTAAATGCTGTGAATTATGTAAAGGAAGTATAAAGCATATTAAAAAATGCATTCTACCCCCTCATTAAAGGGATAGTCCGGTGTAAAATTAATTTAGGGTCACACTGTAACATTGAGTTAGAACATTTCTTTATCATTTCCTTGAAGTATTTCCTGCAGACACAGTAGTTCTTCTGACTTAGTGTCTCAGTCTGATTGCATTTCCACAAAGAAATGATCATAAATGTTCTTCCTTGAGCTGTGTCACCCTGCAGTAGTCTATAATAGACTCGCCCAAGGTCTCACTACAGACAAGTGGCTGCTGGAAGAGAGCAGGTAATTTGTGTTTAGTCTCTTTGCTTAAGAAATTAGGCAAAGTTAAAAAGATGTTTGGTGGCTAGTGCTGTGGCCCTATATGTACTGTTGATGAAGTTAGGTGCTGTTCTGAGCATTATTTGTGGCTATAGAGTGGCATTTTGGTTGAGGTTTGTTTGTGACTCCTCAGACTAAAGTTGGAATAACTAGAGAGGGGGTGTCTAACTCGGTGTTGTGGTGTGTTTGACCCTAAAATAATCTTACACCAGAATATCCCTTTAGTAACTTAACCACAGGGTCCATGTTTATGTAGTCAAAGCTCTGATTAAGAGCAAGGGGTAATTTTTGAATTTATTGTGAAAACTCAGCAGTGATCTTACGACAACAGAATAAGTGAGTGCATCGCCGCTTATTCATGTATTCAAATATGGTGCACAGCTGTAGCTTCATGGAAACGACAAGAAGTCAGACTCAACTCAGACTCAATGACTTGATTTGAACTCTGGCTTAACTGGTGCCAAAATGTACACAAACCAAAAATTACTCACAGTAGCTTTAAAGCGATGATAGACTGGTTAACTACTGTGGTAGTTAGTGACCGAGTTATGAATTTCATTAAAGTTACTCCCAGTCATAGCAATTATATTTGCCCACTTGGGAGCTGTAGAGATGATTTTCAGCATATTATTGATGAAAAAAGAAAACATTTGAATTATAACAACGACATGATAGCAAAAAAAAACAATCAGACAAACAAACAAAAAAAAACAACAACAAAAAAACATGCTTATTAACAAATTCAGCTGTTAAACTACCCAGACATTCATAATTTTAGTGTATGTAGCAACATTGTTTTTAACTCGACACTGAGTTTGTATAAAATGAAGTCCATTTTCTATTTTCTCTTTCATAAGTCCCTGTTAGGATGCTTGATACTCCGCCATGCTACTCCATATCTCTATGCACCTGTTTGTTGTTTGGTGCTGAGCAACTTTTTGAAGCCCTCTCCTGAAAACAGCTGCAGCCAGAAACTTCACCATGAGAGAGAGAGAACCAAAATAGTAAATGTGTGGGCCACAAAGCTGAAAACTCAGGAAAGCAGTGCAAAGCCAAGTGGAGCAGCAGATTCAGGAGATAAACTCTGTACACCCATCACTACCAGTGACCCCTTTCACAAGGTTGCTTGATAATGCTTTGAAAGAGAAAAAACTGTTTTAGCCCACCTCTACTGAGCGGGAAGAAACACAGAGAGAAGCCTCTAAGACTGAGCAGAACAATAAAACCTATGGAAATGAATGTCCTACATTAATGGGAGTTAGTAATCATTCTTGAATGATCCCTGAAATACTGGCTGAGCACATAAGCTGATAATATCCTTGAGGTGGCTTTACAGTGAATCAGAGGAATTTGTGATTTATACTGCAATAAATTAATCAAAATTCACGCATTCATGAGCAGATTTTTGTGCATTTAGAATAAAATGTACCAGAAGTATATAAAGCTTTATTAGAAAGGTTATAAGGCTAACTTTTCTGTGAGTAAAATCCATTAATCCATCTTAAAATGGCTTAACTCCTTAATCCTACAAACCAAAACCAAGATCCAAGAAGATCTTTTACTTGGATGATTTCCTTCGGCCAACTGTAACAGGAGGCCTGGTTAAAAATGTCTAACTTTTGGTTCACAGTCAAGGTTTTTCAAATTACCAATGAGAAATCAAACCTAGACATTT